TTATCATACAACTGGTGTAGAACAGGTACAAACGGCAATAATATTTCGCCGAGGACCTCATATCGACAAACATTCGGGGTCCTCGGTAGTCATCATAAAAATCTTTTGGCGACGGATTGCTCCTATCCCAGAAGCAATTACAAACTCGGTATCACATGTCGTAAAGTGTCTATCCCATTCGTTCCCCAATTGTCTCAACTGTGGAGAGGGGTGGTGGTATTTTCTTTTCGTCCAGTCTAGCAACGATAAGTGATGGAGAGTGGAAAGCAGAAAAGAAGTTCCCGATTAAATTTCATCTTCACGTATAAATCCTCCACAATGTCTCCGCAGTGGTTCGCCATTCACCAATTCCCATTCTTGAGGGTAGAGAGGTTGGAATCGTTCGTCATGTGGTAAGCATCATCGCCCCTAATCGTGCTCCATGTCTCTGGGACTCGTAGTCGCCCGGACGATATCCGCTGGGCTCACGGTAAAGCGCGGTGCCATCGGACTGTATCGATCGTGCAGGGACGGTTTTGGGTATACTGAAATTCTCTGCCCGCCTCACTTGCGACCCGAGCTTTGAGTTAACCCTGGCTTTTGTGACTGGTTGCCATGTCCCTTGTGGTGAATCCTTCGGACGTGGTCTTTCATGTTGTCCATTCGGGAGAAGACGCGAGGGCACTCTTCGCCATCTGCGCCGCGCCATTCGCATTTGATGCTAGGGCTGTGCTTGGCCTCGTGGCGGGCCCGATCCTTTTTGCTCGAGAACCCTCCGGTGAGAGGCTGGTCTGCAGATTTAGCGCGTGCGGCTGCAGTAGCTTCACTTTGAGGACATCCGTCGACGCGGCAGAAAAGGTGCTTGCTATGTCTGTTGTAATGTTTCCGTAGGTCACAACCCCGTGTGAAGGTCGCGCGAGAGGTGCATCCAGGGTAGGCGCATCGCCAAGCTTGTGTGCCGCCGGGAGAACCAGCCGATGAAGGTGAGACTCCAGTAGGTATCATGTTAGGTGTGTCTGTGACTGGAATGCCATATTGGTGTAAAGATGAATTGGAAGAGGTTGAGTGTGATCGGACATTAGGTCGGAGCATAGTGGAATCTCCGGAAAAGGATTTGGAAAGGGATGGAATGGGGCTACATGACCGTGACAGCGAGGATACACTGCTCCTGCTGGGGTGAGAGACGTGAGAGAATGATGGTGAGGCGACTAGGTGGCCATTCGCCCCAAGTGGTGGTGTATTGAAGTCGAAAGGAGTAGGTTGGATGTCCTGAGGGGTAGGGGGAATGATGTTGGCCATGGACGGCTGTGTCGAATGCCCGCCATAACCACCAAAAGGTGTCGAATGCGTCGGCTCATATGGCATCATGGGTGTAGGTTGAGAGTAGTTGGGGAAGTGATACCAGTTGTTCTGCTCATACATGTTGTATGAAGTGGCATCGGCGCCAGAACCTGAGGTACCGGGGAACGCCATGGATGGATCGCTGACGGGCGGAAGAGGGAAAAAGGAAACGGAATCAGATGTTGAGGCCTCGTCGAAAGCGAGACGTTGAAGGTCGTGGGAATGAGGCTCGGCGGACAAAGCAGACATTCCAGGTAACATGAATAGTGATTCTGAAGAGACTGACGAGGCGTGGTCTCTACTTGAAGGAGTCGGCGAAGGATAAGTAAAGACAGGGTGAGAGGGTGAGCAGGTAAGCAGGCCACTTTTATCGAATTCGTCAAATTCGCTGGGTGGAGGAGTAATGGAGAAGATAGCTGCTTCCTTGGTATCAAGCGCCATAATTGCTTTGTCCCAGTGTACGACGGAAGTTTTGTCAAGTTTTATTTAGAAAATGGGGGGAAGAGGTTCGAGGTTCGCATATATACTTCTTTTGTCCGACCGGGCAAGGGCTTTCCCATATGTAGTCAGAGCCAGAATAACAGGGAAGTGGTCGATTATTGTCAGAGATCTTCTGATGGACCTTCAGTTAAAGCCACGAGCTTCAATCGCTGGGGGCGAAGAAGGACATATTCATAGTAGACTCGAGTACTGGCTCGAAAGTCTAAGGGCGTCTGTGCCTGCTGAGGGTTTGAGAGTGTTGGAGAGTGGATCTCGACCTTGTAGGGCTACGAGCTACCCCGGCCCATTTGCTGACAGTATCCCAGCAGCCGATCGCTGGGAATTCGAAGACAGCGGTCGAGCAAAATGCATGGGAGTGGGTACCAGGGCTGCTGAGCCATGGTGTGCTATACGGAGTCGTTAGTAGCAGAGCCCCGGTCGAGTAGTGCCAAACAAAATAAAGTCCTGGAGGGCGCAAGATGAAAGTGGTGGAGATAGCGTGCCACAACCCAAACGCCAGCGTGAATAGAAGGCGTAGTGGTAGTAGCGATACACATGCAGACGGTGTTACCGGCGTCAGAGTCAGCCGGAACGCTGATCATCTGCGGTGAGAACTTGGGTTACGCGGTATTGAAGTCGTTCTGGAGGTGGAGTTCGTTTGCTAGCGTCGTATGATTGCGACCCGGTTTTCCCTCGTCAATACCCAGTATGTAATGCTATACTGGGCCGGCCTGCAGTAGAGCGACACCATGCCGCGGGTAGGGCTAATTTTGACCCCTGCTAGGCTTGATGTGGCTTCGTTCACGGGCCAGTCGTCGCCCTTGGCCCTTTCGACGAGACCGGGATGGTACTCGTAGAGCTAGATGGTGATTTGCATCGAGGACCAGCCACTGCACTGCTCTGCACGCCGTTCCTTGGGCCCGTTTCAAGACGAGTTATCGGCCGAAGCTCTCCTCCTGTCCATTTTTCCGGATTCGACCACTCGCGGAGATATTTCATAAGCACATTTCTGTCAATCGTCAGAGAATGCCCCCCTGGCCAAGGTTCAGATAAGCCAAACCGTGCGTCGGGGTGCTACACTCCGTACGAGATTTGGAACGACAGACTCTTCAATCAAAACAACCATACACCCCCGTAAGCCTCGTGCGATCGACAAGCTGAGGCTAGTGTACCCCTGTCTGAACGAGTCTTCTGCGTCATCGGTGTGAAATTGTGCCGTTCAGAATGTACATTTCCATCAAAAGTCCCTTTCCGGCTCGGAGGACAATCTCGCCGTAGGACAAGCAGTATATCTGTTTCGTGCGTGGCCCTCGGCTATTCGTGGTTTTCTAATCCCATACATTCTTGCTCCGTGGCACAATTGTTGGTACCGAGCACCGACCAAATGGTCTTCGCAGGGATCACCGATTACTGCTTTCGCACAAGCTGACAGATATTTCACGTGGTATCCGATCAAGAGTCTGCAATGCTATGATAGGTTCATTCACAACTAGTCTCTGTAGAATAGTCTCATCTCGATGAGAATAACTCTGCGAATGTAGTGCTGCAGGAGCAACACCTTCCCAGAGAAGGCTTGATTCGGTCGCAAATAGACAACATGCCCAGGGTGCTGATGTCAGGTGTAGAGACCGGCATTCAAGCGCAGAACGATGCGTGGCTCGCGAGAATATCCTTTTCAGTCATTGTCTCCTTTTTGAGATTGCCCGACCATACAAGGACAATATAGCGATATCCACTGGCTGCTGTTGAAGGCATATCCTTGGTAGCCGGCATACAAGTAGCGCGCTGTAATACTCGTCTAGGATAATGATCAACGCCCAGCGCAACCCCATTACGCGTGGAAGCTGCCGGCTGTGCAGAGCGATCCCGGGGCTCTGCTCAATATCCAAATTTGGCATCGTCCACGAACGCTAGGTACTCGTAGCAGCTGATTGGCAACCCATTGTTCTTTCCGAGGTTTCTCTCGACCCGATTTGTGGCACAATATGCGACGTGGTCACGCAATTCTCATCCCTGTCGATGGTGCTGTAGCTGTCAATCCGCCCATACTGCTAATTCTGTTGCCTTCACAGGCTCAGCTGGACGTTGGAAAAGGTTTCTCTTTCCTCGTACTCAAAGTTTGTCTTCCCGAGTTCACCGAGCGCAACATGGCAGAACCGACCATTGAACGAAGTGTACGGGGGGAGAGCTTGACTAGGTCTAGTGTGATTTTGGGGCCCCGATGTATTGTACAACGAACAATGGGGGGCCAAAAGCACAGAGTGCGAGAAGCGATGCTCAAAATCACCACCCGGATGAGATGGTTGGAGCCTCATCGGCTGGTGTCAAATTATGCTAACGTACGAAGCGCTTAGAGAGGTATGTACTTCGTAATATTCATCGTTCACCTTTGCGCATGACAAGACACGAAGTCAAAGAGCTATTGGCTTGTTTGTGATAGTTGGTAGCTCGGAACACGCAAGACATGCGTGGTGTTATGGAGATAATCTTTGCGAGACAAAAGCCAGCATCGTTTACATACCCTCATAGAGCAAAGTATTCGAATCGCAAATCAATAACCGGCGTGTTCGATAACCGGCACATAAGTGGTGAGGAGGCTCGAAACGAAGATGGAGGATGGTGTGGTTGACGTCATAATGCAGTCTGTATATCTGGTAGCCCACCCATAGACATGAGTGACTTCGTGGTTCAGTCCAGTGAACAGCGTAGATGCGGGTACCAGGACGCTTGATGAGGTCTGTGGCTGCATTAATACACCTTCAGACCTGCTTTCGATACATGCCGTTCAGTAGCGTCGATGTACCAGGAACCCGAAGGTATGCCCACAGAGACTGCATCCTCCACGTGTGTGGAAACATATGGTTGGGGACGTAGATTGGGGGTCAGTATCTAGGACAAGGGTTGGATTTCGCGTGATCATGGAAAGTCGAACGTCATTGACGCGAGAAGAACATCAAAGCAAGAATGTGACGAATCCCGTCATCCATGAGAGACAGGCGACCAGTCTTGAATCAATTCTTCAGGTTGCTCGAGATGGGTGTGTTTTATTACGGAATTCATTGTACAGTAGAGCATGTGGCAGAAGTGCGTCTTGGCTGTTTTGCTCCACACTATCCGCCCGTTCTCGTATTTGCAGGCACGTGATCCACTTTTTGCAACCTCGTATTCGTAACTCCTGTCACCACAACTCTCACTGTTCAGTATGATCGATCTCGACAGCGCTATCAACTGCCATCAACGTTTCACGCTTCAAACCCTTATGGAGTACGCGTTTTGCATTGTGTAGTCGCATCAGATATCCTTGTTCTCACTTGATACTCTCTCCATCTCTTTCAGTTAAGTTTTCAACAGCCATCGGCTCTGATCGTCATGCTCGAAATGGATAAGCCACAGGCAATCGACCCGGAGGATCGTGAGATTATGGAAAAGCTGGCCAAATTGCAGAGCATGTACAATCAGGTCAGTCATCCCCGTTGATCTCAGAACGAGGGCTGCAAATTCCCGCTTGCCTAGCGACTCAGGCTCACTTGTGACAGATTGGCGGTCTGCGGACTTTATTACCGGAAAAGCTGATCAACCCAACCAGGTTCGCCCTGGAGAATCCAAACGGGTATGACCCAGAAAAGCTCGCAACTTACTTGCAAGATGCTGCACAAGCAGGTATTCGAGACGTCGAAAGGTTTAAAAAGGACTGGCACAGTGACGATGTACGGGAGCTTTGGCAAGCGGTCAACACTGGCGACGTACCCCAAGGAGGGGATGCCTGGACTCTGAATTATGACGCCTTAATACTTCAGAACCAAGGCAAGAGTGCAGGCTCGCTCACATCCAACACTCTAATCAACGGTGCCGGTGGCCAAACAGATGCCGAAATCGCCAAAATCGTGAGCGACTTTCGGGCCAAACATCCAGACCTGAAGGTCTCCGTTTGGCAGGAAACGCAACCCTTGCCTTTAGATATCGGCATGGGTCAATTGGAATTTCGCATCGACAAAACCCGGGATGCGAGTTCCGGCCCCTTCAAAGTAACCTACAAACCAGGTGCCGAGTCTTTTGCGCTGCGTGATGATATCCTTGAGAGCGTCAAAAAGTCCGATGTTCAAAGCAATCTCATGGTGCTCTTGGTAACCAATATCTCTCTGTCGTCTGTTCCAGGCTAATTGCATGTAGGAGATGATTGCAGCTTACCACGATATCAAAACCAGACCTTGCGATAAATGCAGCAGGCTAGTCAACAACAAGCTGCAACTCCCCCTTATCAGGCAAATGAAACCTTCCGAAGAGAAAGGGAAATTTCAATTCCTCGCTCTTCATCCCGAGTGTGCCTGAGAAAGATATGTTTCTGAATCTTTGCTCCAAAGATTCCCCTCTTGAGGATGTACGGAAAGCGGCCATTCATCAGTCCTCCACGAAGAGTGCTATGGACGAAGAACATAATGACTTAGCGCATAGTCGAAAAGGTGAACGCGAACCACCGAGTATGATGCTTTTGAAACGACAAAGTTCTCTGACAGGTTTGGGTTCTTCGAGCTGATGTCGCGTCCACATCAGCCGAGTACTTAACTTACAAACTCGCCAAATTACATTCCACTTGTATCGAAAGGGCAGCCTGGGCTCGTCTACTGTGTCAATCAGATGAAATGATACGTTCTGACAGCACATGAGCCTTGGCTATCTATCAGCTCTTGCACATACCTAGAGCGGGCTAGTGGCTGCTATGAATTCACCGAACCCTTCTCAATATATGCGGTCAGGATAGTGAAGCATATCCATCGTACAGACGGACGACGCAGACGAGATATTCCAGCTAATGACGATTCGGATGGTGGACTGGAGGAGAAAGACACGATCGCGTAGCGGTTGCTCGACTTTTGCCAAAAGAAAAAATCACCATCATTCATATCACTTGTACGAAAAGAGATTCATTCGACAGATACCAGGATTTCATCACTTAGAGACTCCATTGCCTGCGTGTCTCCTCGTCTTCAATCGAATATGCAGATATTTGAGCATTGATCGTTGCTATAATCAGTCACGACCAAGGAAGCCACCCAATTCCCTTCGTGTCTAGGAATTAAAAACTATGGAGAAGCAGGCGGAGTCGAGGAAAGCAGTGGTGGCAAATACCGTTATGCATATTGGGGTCTCAAACCATATGCGAGCACAATCCTGGTACAAGTTAATCAATAGCTACTCTAACTTCACCCTTGAGACGCCGCCCGCGCTCACACAGAAAGAGTCGCCCTGGAAAAGCAAAACCCCGTCGTACCAGTTTCGAGCCTCCGCAAGGCGCAATTCAGATTTATCTGCTGGACACGACGACGATTCATTCATGACCAATTCAGATGACAGCCTTGCCTCATTCAATAGCGCCTGGGATCCCGAACGAGCAAAGACAGAGATGGATTCTGAAGTACTCCGACGCCGCGTCGCTATTGTGCTGGCTCATCAGCAGGTGCAGAAGCCACAAGCTCGGACACTGGGATGCTATGAAGATAGTGGTATGAATACAAAGAATGGGTGAAAGACCCAAGACAAACAAGAGGACACATTTTTGGACATGGAGGCAGTGTGGCGTTGAGAGCATAAGAGGCCACCACGTATCGATGCAATAATGGGTGCCTTTGAATGGCGTTGGGAGAGTCAAAATTACCTGAGAGAGCAAGTTTGAAAGGGTCTTGCCCAAGGAGGAATAGGAGACTTGGGTCAATGATAGGTAGCTAGTGATTGAAATGAAAAGAACAACATCATTGAGCGAACTCTGCATGAACATACACACGGACTACGTACGGAGTATGTAGAATCAAAACAGATGGAAGTCAGGTCAGATCAGGGCCAGGGACCAAAATAAATCCAGGCCTAAACTCCAGGCGGTTTAGTGGGCAGTGGCTGTGGGAACGAGCCCAGTTCGCTGGTTGGCGGGCAGATTGTTGTGGCTCGGATCCCCGTCGTCCAGGGTGAGACAATTGAGACAGACACACAATTTTGTGGTCACTCACTCACTCCTTTCTCAGCCTGCGCTCGTCCATATTCTTCTTGTTCATCTTCATTTGCCTCATGTGCAGCCTCTCGCTATTCTCTACTTCCTACTTACGATCGTTTTAATCTTCAGACTTTCCCTCACCTGTTGCAGCCTGTACCACCCACCCTACCTCTTCCTACGATCGTTTCAGCCGGAGTCCCTCTATCCGGACCACCACCTCTAACTATCCCTCAAGAGCCCGTGCACCCTCTGTCGAAATGAAGGGCCACGGCCTCTACTCTATACTCTCCACCCTGCTGGTTTTCCTAGCCTTTACCACAGCGTGGCCATGGCCTGCTTTATCCAACCTCGATAAACACGCCCTACTCCTGCCGAGACAAGATGAAGAGGCGGCGAAAACAACCGCTGCTCCCACCGATGCAGACAAGAGCGCAGCAAAAACTAGCACCCCAAAAGCAGAAGCTTCGGCATCCGCTTCAGCCTCTGCCTCTGCCTCAGAGTCCGGGTCTAGAGCCTCCATCACATCTGCCAAAGGCAGTGGCAAAACCGAAACGAAGAAGCCGACAAAGACGACAGCGACCAAGACAACGGCCATCGACCCTCGCCTTCCTCCGGGTGGTGTTTCGTTGATCACTCCCGCCGCGACTGACGGGCTACAATTTTTCAAGGTGGGAGACTATGTGACGTTCAAATGGAATTATACCTCTCTGTCCGTAACACCAACGGCCATTGACGTTTTGGCATCCTGTGCATTGAACCAAGCCACATATACGATATCTTCAAACATGTCCGTAGATGCCACTGGAGCCGTCACCTGGGATACTGGTAATTTCCCGGAAGCGGTGACGTCGCCTTTTGCTGTTGCGAGTTATACCCTCATGATCCACGATGCGGCCAAGGATGTGACGGATATCCCATCTGCTGGATATCTAGGGGCATATGATCAATATGTCTTTGGCATGTACACTGGGTAGGTTTCGTATCACAACTGGAGAGAAGGGCATTGAACTGACCGGATCATAGACAACCATACACACCCCTTAACGAGTTTAAGTGCGCCACCTGCAGCGGCGCGCTTTCGATCCACGAGAAACAGGCATTCGGTGTTGTTTTAGTGACTGCAGCCATCACCACCATTTCGTTCACCTGGTTTGCCAACGGCTTTGGGGTTTTCTCATGAAAATGTTTACATTTGGTCCACCTAGCGAACTTTGCAGCTTTTTAATATAATAACGAACCTATCGGATGACAAATAACGACAAGGCGGATTGTATACAGCATAGCGGAAGCGGGAGAAAAAAAGAGCCAGGAGTTCATAGGACAGTGGAGTATCAGCGGGTTGATTTGAAGGATTACACGGCAGGCTACATGAGGGCTTCAAACGGGGAAGGACAACAACTTCCGCCTTGACGAGCATTTGAAATGTCCAAACCAGACAACATAGCACTAGTGCTAATGAACAGATTCTTTTTCCCTCGGGGGGAATCGATCGACCATCCAGTTCTCCTGCAGTCGAGAGATCAATCTGGACTCTTTTGCTGCAATCCTATCGGTGTTCTAACTCGGAAGCGACTCTCATGACACGCATGGCAGCACCATTGCTGAACCCCCTGTATATGACCGACAGTCCAATCCGGATATCAACCGTCGAAACTTCGTACCCCTTTTATTTGTCAAACGACAGCACGACAAGCCTCAAGTCGACCCGGCTTTGATTGCGTCGTCGATACCGCCTTCCATTCCATGGTGCGCGGAAGAGGTATGATCGCTTCCGCAACGAGGGAATTGAGATGATCCATCACACGCCCCCCTTTCGCCAGAGTCTCGAGACGTCGTTGTCCACCTAGTTAGGTGAGTGGTGTTGATGCTTACAGCCTCACTCGTCATATGTGACCTCTTATCTGCGTTTCATGACAAAGAGGTGACTCGCAGCTACTTGCAGATTTTCCCGGTTGACACAAACAACCAAGGGAAAGGAGAAGGGGGGTGAAGTACAAAAACCTCGCCTTGTGCGCCCTCTTCCCTCTTGTACACTCTTCCTTGACCATCCCAACCAAGAATTCACTTCTTTTCCCCATCCTCTGAAATCCGCTCACGGCGGCGTGTACAAAGGGTTCCTCTTTTTTGTGGTCTTCCAACTCCATCCCGCCACACAAACTTTCATCGACTCGCCACACAGTGTTGCCCTGCAAGGGACTGCCATCCTACCTCAAAGAACCAAGGCGTCGATCTTAATTGCACAAACGTTCTTGGACCATCGGATCATTGGATCCTCGAACGACCGCACTTTTAAAAACGTGTTGCATTCTGACCAGCATACGATCACACCAGTTTACCTTCCTTTTGTTTCTCTGGCCGGCACGAACCTCCCGACAATTCAATCTCTGTCTCACCGCTGCACTGCAAAGCGAAGTGAAGCGAAGCGGTGTCGAGTAACGTCGTGTGTAGCCTACAGGAGAGAGAAACGGGGAATAGGCACAAGCAAAGCCAAACAAACACGATGCCATCATCTCCACCGAAAAATTGGCGACCCGAGCACGACGTCTGCGTTCGCCGACACGCACGTAACGGAGAAGACATCACTAGCATTCTTATTCTTTTCGAGACCGAATACCCCAACGTCAAAGTGAGCAAGGACTGGATCAAGGAGAGGACCAAGGGGTATATCCGTTGAATGTATTGTACTGGTGGAAGGAAAAACACGGGTGTGCACTCACATACACATTTATTGTTCACCCTTGCCCCCTGGTACAGACCGTACGTATGATGCCGGGGAGGTTCTCAGGGAGCCCTTGGGTGTGTATGTCTGTGCACAGGTTGAGAGGCTCGGTGTTGATGATTTGATTTCATTTTTGCTTCTTTTTCTTTCCTTTCCTCTGGGGGTTTCTAGATTTTATTCAAGGCAATCTCATTTTTCCTCATTCGTGGTAGACTAGATAGATAATCGTAACAACGTTCAAGCCATGTCTCTCTAAGATAGTACTTCGCGTCAATGAAGCCAGTGTTCTTTCTAGACCGACCGATTTGACAAGCCCCCAACGACAGCTTCTAGAAGCCAAAAGCCATACGTAAAACTTGTTGTATGAATTTACATCCAGGCCCAGTATAAAATCTGTACAAAAAGTACCCAAGGTATCTTGGGTATAGAAATAGCATGGCCGTGCCGTACCGCGCATAGAAATCAGAGTTTCTTTCTTTTTCGGCGACGAACAGGGTGAATTTCTTTCTGCTTTTTGCTTTGAAATGTTTATACTCCGTAGACCTCGGAAAAATGCAATGTAAGCAGGACCTGACGCACCAAGAAGGATATGTCTATAAACAACAAAACTCCCCGCAAATGGCGGTTCTAAAAGGGTTTTCTCGCAGGGACGATAAGAAGTCGAATATATATGGGTGACAATCGGTGCACCATATCGTTCGTGACAGTGAGTCGATTTGGTCATGTCGGTGACCGCAGGCTTCCAAGTCTCCGTCTCTCGGTCCCCCATGATTGTTCGAGACAGTCGTCGGTTGTTCATGTCGGTACCACGGGTTTCAGCCTCTCCGGCGTCCTCTCCGGTCGTCCAATGTACTTGATCCAGGCGTAAGGGTCGGAAAACTCGTCCACCGCACCAACCCCGGAATATTTCCCCTGCACCACGGCCTTGTACTCTCCCGCCAGGCCCACGACGCCGACCTCCTGCTTGTAGTCTTCCCACAACGCCAGGAGTTCCTTGAACTTTTCGGGTTCTGCTTCTCGCAGGTCGTCCGTCTCTCCCGGGTCGAGCTTGACGTTGAACAATTCCAATTCCTGTGGCCCTCGCGGGGCGGGCATGAAGGTGATCTTCCAGTCACCCTGTCGGAGGGCACCTGATCCCGCGATTTCAAACCCGACGGCGTAATCCGGAGCGTGTATCTGAGTGGCGAACCCGTTCGTCAACTCTGTCCCCGGCAACAAGGCGGCTTTCAGAAAGGGCACCCAGCTGTGCCCTCGGAGGGTTGCGATCTTGCGACCCTTGTACACCGGCCCTGGATGTCTGAGGCCCGCCATGGACAGGAAGGTCGGCACGAGATCCATGACGGTGCAAAAGGCGTCGGTCGTCTTGCCACCCGGTTGAGGTTTGACGACTCCCAGATCTTGAGGGGAGCAAATCGAATCGGGAAGTTTGACAATCAGAGGAACTCGACACCCGCCCTCGGTCGAATGCATCTTGAACAGCCGAGAGGGAGCTGTGGCGGCCTGCGCCCATTGAGAGCCGTACCAGACGAACGAGTCGCCCCTCCCGATATTGTCCAGGCTGTTGTTGTAGTACTTGTGGATGTGATTGACGATGTTGTCCCCCACCAGAGGCAAAGCTTCGTACGAGGCTCCCTCGGCGCCGTTGTCCGACATGAACAACACCAGAGTGTCGTCGTACTCTCCGGTCCGTTTGAGGTAGTCAATCACCCTACCGATATTCCAGTCCATCCGGTCGACCATGCCCGCGTACACCTCCATGGCGCAGGACGACTTGACGCGGCTCTCCTCGCCCAATCTATCCCAGTGAATGTCGTCCGCTGCCGTGTTGACAATCGGATGCGGCGTCACGTCGGACTGGACCAGGCCCAGCTCGATCAGCCTTTTCAGTCTGGCCTCGCGCAGAGCGTAAGGGCCGTCGTTGTAGAATCCTCGGTACTTCTTCACGTTCTCGTCGGGAGCCTGCAATGGCCAATGTGGTGCGGAAAAGGGTAAGTAGGCGAAGAACGGTTTCGAATTTTCCTCCTCGGTCCTCTCCGACAGGTAAGACATGAGCTTGTCGGCGTACCCGTCGGACGAGTACCAGTCCTCGGGGAGCTTGTCGACGAGTTGATCATCTTCCACGTGCAACGCCCGCGTCGCCGTTTCAAAGAACTTCTCCGGTTCAGCGACTGGGTCATAGTCAGGTGGCTCCCATGCTGTGTGTGTACAAGAGAGACAAAATTAGCCCTGACAAGTTCTCACAGCATTAACAAAGGGGACTTGGAGGCCATCGAAAACTCACCATAGTGATTTGCGCAACCTGGAAGCAAAGCGAATGACTTTGTGAAGCCTCGTTTTTGTGGGTGGTGCTCCTTCTTCAGGCCCAAGTGCCATTTCCCTGCCATGATCGTGTGGTAACCCCCTTCCTGGAGCAACTCGGGCATCGCCACCACCTTCTCGTTGAGATAACCTTCATGTCCCGGCTGACCTCGATGCGCCGCGGAACTTCGAGTGAATTCGGCCAGTTGACCCAAGCCGGCGATGTGGTGATCTGTTCCCGTCATCAACATCGACCTCGTGGGCGAACATGCCGCGGCGACGTGAAAGGATGTGAACCTCAGCCCTGTGGCCTCGGCGGCAAGAGCATCGACGTTGGGCGTCTGAATCTCCGAACCGAAGCAACTACAGTCACTGAAGCCCAAGTCATCGGCCACGATGACGAGGAAGTTGGGCCTTCGTCTCTCCTCTGCGGCGGCAGCAGTCTTCTTCCCCCTTTTGAATCATGTTGGCTTTTTTTGGGGTGCGCGAGTCAGCCTTGCGAGGGTCAGATCGTGTGGCTTTTCACCCCCAAAAAATGCCTACAATTTGACTACACACTACGCGAGGTTTTCCTGTTTCTGCTTGTGTCTCTCCTAGGTAAGGGCACAGCAATGTATTTGATGGGCTGGAAGACAATTTAAAAAAAAGCCCCCCAATAAAGATCCAGTCTTCGTTGCTTTGGGGGCGCCAAAACTCCCTTTGCACATCGCCGGTTCCCTGAGAGTTCCGGCATTGGAAGGGGGCTGGTCCGTAAGGAGAGAGGAGGGACTGTAACATTGGAAAAAAGTTGTGGAATTCAGCACGAGTACCGTGCCCCGTTTATGCCCATGGACGTCGCTTGTCGTCAGTCCACGCTTTGCTGTACGCCGCAACAGTAACCGAAGTGCGACGAGGGCAACCGAAGTCCGATAGAGAGCGAGAGCGACTTCCGCCGCCCGCCCATCACCTTCCACCATCTTGTCGAAAAGTCCTTCCAGAGAAGACCGATAGACTCATCATACAGTACACCGATTTGCTGTTATCCCGTTTCGTTTCTCCCCCTCCCCTCCCCCTCCCCCTTCTTTTTTTTCCAATGGTAAACTTTTTGTTCCTCCATCTTCCAGGCATATTGACACGTCAAAAAGACTGACCTCACATTTGCGGAGCGGTACCATTCAAAGTTACCAAGACGGCCTCCGTGGAGAAAATGTTCAACTTGGCCTTGCCGTCCTGGCCGACCTTCAACCACTCTGGCTTGTACGTGCCGGACTGCAAGAGGCGTCCGTCCGAGTAGTTCCAACTGAGACCCGCCCAGCGATACCATCGTCCGCGCTCGCACCGTCGCCCGTCAGGCGGTCGACGCGAACCCTCGTCTCGCCGTTGGAAACACTCAACACGACCTCCTGACTGGGTCGGGAGAAGTTGCTCGTCTTGTTCCACTCGTCAAAATTGATGGCGGCATACTTGGCGAGTCGACCACCCTCGTAGATCGTGTAGGCCGACATATTCCAAGGGAAGGACTTGTCGACGGCGGCTTTGATCTGGACATTGGGATGATGGCCGAGGGCGTCCGCGACAAAGATTTGCCCCTACAGAGGAGCACGGACGTAAGGCTCTCGACCCTTGGTGGGAACGGGAACCCAAGCCGCGTAACCAAACATGGTGCCTTGGATGAGGTTGTAACGGGTAATGTTCTATTCATATCGTCAGTGGGTGACTTGAACTCTAACTGAAGAACAAGATGGAAACAATCAAAATGATTATGCTCATGATCGGATGGGGGTTGGTAACCAACCATTGTCATTCCCATCATCAAATGATCAATCAACCAAAGAGCAGAACCTAAAACCTCCTCGACCTGGGACATGTTCAAGTTGGCCGAATCACTGTTGGTTTCTCCCAACACAACGGGCACGGTAAGCTCCTGTTCGTGGGCGTATTCCATCTCGTGCTCGTATTGAGTGATGTTGTTCTCGACCGCGGTGTGGTTCATGAACGAGTTTTGGAGACGGACCCAGGGCTGGTTCGAAGCTGCGTACCTACGTCGAAGTGCCTCCTAGTCTGATTGCCGGATGTGCTCCAGTCTTGTTGTACAAGAGATCAAAGATGTCCCTAGAAAACAAATTGGGTGAGGTGTTGTTTCCTAACGTGACCACCAGTCAGTGCCGAGAATCACATTTGATTGGTTTCTTCTCGCCTTCTCACCGGCGTAGTCTGCGAAGAAATGGGTAGGTAAGGAGAAGGAGGCGAAATCGTGTAAAACTGCCCACGAACTGCCAGCCGGCACAGACAATGCACCCGAGATGGTGAGGGTGGACGAAGAGGCATTCGTCAAACCCATTCAGAGGCCGGCAGTGACGAGTGTTTTCCGCATCGTTGAGAAAGAAAGCTGCATGGCTGGTTGCGATTGATCACAAGCCAACACAGATTCGCCCGCGGTAGGGTCAATGACTACTCGTACAACAAAGTCAACTGATAACGATGAGGTCGGACTGAACTTGAGACCTTCGACCTTTGTGTTAAGCCCCATAGGCGACAGTAAATACCTGACTTTTTCATCCCAGCCCCAGCCCCATGTCGATCGGAAAAGAGACGACCTACTCAGGATTTCTGATACATCATCACCTACCCCAGATACATCTGAAAAGGACAAGTCGAAAAGCTGGCAGCGTAATCAGTCGCTGACTAGCGGAACTCGCCCTTTCTTTTTCGTCTACACAAAAGGAATGAATCAATAGACAGCTGATAGTACGAAGGGTACCAAGGATAGATGGTGAATGAGTACTAGGTAGCTGAGTTTTAGCTAGCTAGCTTTGAAAAGCCCCCAGCTTTTACAAAAGATCTCCGCGTGACCAGCGCCTGGGGCACTTTTTTGGTTATGGGCAACTGGCAAGGGGACGAGTATAAGGGTATTGATAGGGGAGGGTGAAGGGTGCCGAGAAGAGGGGGAAGGCATCTATGTAATTACTTAATCACCTTTATCATTAGTCGAATGCTATTAGTCCTTGCCCGCCTATCAGGTAAAAGGCACGCGACTTTTGCCTCCTCTACCGCAGTTGGCGCAAGATATAAAGAGACGTCCGTGACCGAGATGCGAGCGAGCCGTCCGATTGACCTACTACCTACTCTTTCCTTCTTTTTCCTATTCTCACTTGCCTCCCAATGCACGCGCCGAGCGTCCCGACGCTTCGGACTTCTTTCATGAATAGTCTGCCATGGATACAGGCGCCGAACAGTCTCTCGTGGGCTCTAGGCCGGAAGCTCGTAAGTTATTTCCTCTTGTTCCAGTATCACAGGCATGACGTGGTGCTAACTCTCTCTTCTGAACCATCTATCAGCTTGTCTAGTTTGTCGAGCTAGGAAAGTCGGTATTCTACTGCGCATTCTGATCCAGATTCAGACACTTGGGTTACTGCCACACGATGAATGATGGTGTACGGAACTCCCCACTAATCTTATCACCTCGTTTGTAGGTGAAATGTGATCGCGCTCGACCCGCGTGCGGCCCTTGCATTCGCCTGGAGATCCAGTGCCCCGGATATCAGGGGACCTCCAAGCTGCTATCCCAGGCCGAGGTTTATCGATCTGCTGCCGGCATTTTCGAGGCGTCTGGTGTGGTCAAGCGCCGCATTGGATCCTGCGTGGAATGCCGACGGTCGAAATGCCGCTGTTCACGGACGAGACCGACGTGCAAACGATGCGAAGAAAAAGGCTTCACCTGTACCTACTCGGGCCCAGGGGAGGCGACAGCAGATGGAAGAGACCCCGTGAAGTCGCCAACTCCCTTAACCGCGACGCCTGGACACAATCCAAGCACGCCCGTCCTGACTACACCTTCGGCATCACTCGTTCCCCTCGCATCATCTGGCGGAGGTTCAAACGCAGGCCGTTCCGTTGGTGAAAGCTGGTAATGGTTCCCCCGCCCCCAAAATCCCCTCCTTGTTTCTCTCTTGGTTCCATGTGTGGCTCATAAGGAGGCGGTTAGGCTCTTCGCCGAATCAATACCAGAGGATCCACGTCTGCTACGGTCGTTGATTGATGCTTACTTCGAACACGTCCACCCGCTGAGATGTCTGGGCTTCGTGCACAAGCCCACCTTTATGCGCGCCCTGGAGAGAGGGATCGTCAAAGATGAGTACATCGAGGCGCTGATCTACATCATGTGCGCCTTTGGCGCAAAGTACTTGTCGTGGGAATCTCATAATCGTCTACCGTTGTACAACGATGAGAATGAGGCGCCCGGCTTTCAATGGGCTAGAAAGGCGAGGGACATAGCCATGAGGGGGATGGATATCCCCTCGGTGCAAAACCTTATGGTGAGCGTCGAGTCCTCGACATGATAAAGTGTAGGTGTAGGCAAACTCTTGCTGACAAAAGTTGTGTGGCAAGGCGTTGATACTCATCTCCGAGTATGGCGCCAGTGCCCACGGAAACGCCATCGCCTTCGTCCTGGCGGGATGCTGCCACCGCCTGGCTCGTCTCCTAGGTCTTGACCACAGTTACGACGCAAACATCAAGCCTGGTGCGGAAGCTTGCGACCAGGAAAGCCGTAGGAGACTCATGTGGTCGTGTTTCGTCCTGGACAGCATCGTCGGCTCAGGCGTAGACACACACAACAGCTCCAAGTACTCGCTCCCGGACATTCCTCTGCCCGCTTCTGATGAAGATTTTCTGGCACAATGCCCCAATCAAACCGGGGAAAAACTGCAAGCCATGGAGCGGCCAGAGGTGGCCCATAATATCAACTACAGAGGCCAGCTCGTCTACCTGGTCCTACTACGAACTCAGGTTCTAAGGTATGCGTAACCATCATGTCCATGAATATCTTTCTCCCTCCTTCGGGGCCGTAAACCAACCCGTCATACTTTTCACAGGTTGATCAGACAATCGCTGTCCGCGGGCGACGTCGAGGACCCGAGGTCGCCGTTCAGAGATTTGCTCGACAATCTGGAATCGTGGTATGCAAACATGCCCTCCAGGCTTCGCGTCAGCGACATCAACATCTACATCCACAAGGAACTGAATACACTGGGTGCCGTATTTTCGCTTCATTTCCTCTACCACGCCGCCATAACCGACCTGACGCGCGTGTCGCTGCCCGGATTCAGTTTCCCTCTCGCCCGGACCTTCGAACACGTCTCCGACGAGTTCAGACAAGACTGTCGACAGCGCTGTCGCCATCATGCCGACGAGATATCGCGACTGATCGAGATCGGTCTGCGGCACGGCGTGCGGCCCTTTGATGACACCTTTTGTTTCACCGCCGCCTACGAGGTGACCAAGGTCCAAATCATCCATTCCACCACTGCGGCACCCCGTCGAGGAACAGGAACGGACCACGGTCAGGCCGAGGCAAACATCCGTTGTAATATCAGGTTGATGACCTTGATGGGTAGGGATGGCTCTCATGTCCTGGTAAGCTTCACAGATAAAACCTTCGGTCCTCGTTGAGGATTGACTAGCTCTTACTAACTGACCCTCTACCTATAGGTACGGCCATTGATCTCGCTCCTGAGTCGATTTGGGTTCCGCAAACTCGCTCTCGAATGGGATCCCCGTTCTCCTGCCACCGATGCCGAAGGTGCCGAGATTTCTGGTCCTGCGGATTCCAACCACCTTTCCAGCGTGTCGACGCTCAGACTGGCTCGAGCCGAGATGCAACGTCACCAATCCTCGGCCAATGTCACCAGTCCGACGTTTCGGTCCTCGACCGATGCAGTGGACGCCTCTTCTTCATCAGCCACCACCGCTACACAACATCACCGCCGCCAACGCAGCGGAGTCCATGAACGGACGACGACCGAGAGTCCCGTACTCGAACATCATTCCACAACTTCTTCAGGTCATCCACAGCAGCAGCATTATCCAGACCAACGCGGCGACCGTACGAGACATTCATCCACATTGCAGCAAGACAACGACAATACCTCCCCACAAACTAGTATGGACTTTAATACCAGCCTCCAACCCTCGACAGTGACAGGATTTGGCCCTGGTCCCGGTCCAGCTCCCACTGGTGGTGATACCATGAATGTGGCACCACTTCATCGTATTCTAAATGTCCACGGTGCACAACAACAGCAACAACATCAACAACATCAACAACATCATTTGGGTGCTTCTGCCACGGCGGCGGCAGCAGCAGCAGACATGTTTCCCGGGGTTGACGCTTCTTCTTCTTTCCTCGACGCTCCTGTATCATCCGATGACGTCGCCGCCTACGATTATACCAACCTCGCCGCCGAAATGTCGGATTACATCACCTGGAACGCCGCGGATTATACCCGTTGGGGGTTGAACTTCCATCCGTACTCGACGACAGACGACACGGCTCAACACCACAATCCCCAATATCACACATTCTGAAACCCCCTTTCCTAGCGTATTATGACGAGAATGATGACCCCCCCCCAAACATGCTTTTTCTCCGTACACATTCCCGGACCGCAAAAAACCAGCCTTTCATCTTGTCGGTTTCTTTTTGGTGGACAACATGGAACACAGAATAGTCCACCCCGCCCGCCCCCCCCCCCCCCCCCCCCCCCCCCCCCCCCCCGCGAAAGGAAAATCAAAAACGTCCGTTCTCGCTTGTACGAGTATTACTCCCCGTCCCGAGTTGGGCTCTCTCTCTCCGGCCAGCCCATGTTTTATGAAGATCCGGTTGGGCCACCAATTTGTCCGACCGACTACGCTTCTCGTCCCGAGGACGGATTTACCGGTACCGACATCTCTTCGACGGTTGGGTTGTTTTGATCAATCACGTCGACACCGAACCCCAGAAACGATGTTCCACGCCCTTGTACGCGACCGCGACCGGCGCCTGATTCGATCCTTGGCAAAGGTCCTGGTTCTTCTTTTTGTTGGATTCAATATGTGCCCTGTTTTCGACCGAGGTTCGAATGTCAGTACCACATTTTTTACGCTCGATTTGATTGTGTTGTTTGCACCAAACTTTGATGTGCTGTTTCCAGTCGCGACCATGAGTGATTTTGCCAGTGTACACTGATCGAGTCTAAACTGATTTCGCGATGCTATCGAAATGGGACGATTGACCCATCGTTGCTATGCCACGTAATGAATTGCAGTCCCTTCAGCACAAACGAAAATTATCGGGGAATAAAAGCACAGTTCGTGGACTATATACTTATTCCTGATACCTGGAAGGATATGTAATGATATTCCATGACAAGCTTGAGCTAAGTAGGAATTTTGGGAGTGAAAAAGTTGTGTCGCCTTGAGAACAAAAGCCGAACAAATCAAACAACCATTCCCAGTAGTCTGTCAAACCAGAAACTAAATACCTAGTCAGGTGTTTTCAAACAAAAGCCCTCAAAAGGAGGAGAGTTGATGATGATGCGTCGTCCAACTCCTCGCTCAAAGTCAATGTGATTTCTTGTCCCTTTCTCATCAGTAGAGAAATATACCAAAGTAGTAGTTGTTGTTGTTGTTGTGGTTGTGTGTGCTCATAACGCTGCATTTCGTATAGCGTCACCTTTGAAGGGGAAAAAAGGTGGCGGCAAACCGGGAGACTCCTGAGTATGCGTGGGCGAAGTGATATATATCGCAGTGGAAAAGTCAAACGAAAAGCACCATCACGAAAGAATATCATGACGATATCCATATCTCCATCTTACCCATCTCGCTTCTCTCCTTCTTAGCTTGACTTCGTACACTACTCAACAACATCTCCAAATCATCTTGATCGCCCATGGTGATCATGTCACCATCGTCTTGCATTTTGATCTTCAATCGATCTTTGATGCTGAACTTTTCTCGTATCTTGCTTTCAAAATCACCAAAATCTATCACTGCGCCGATCATAAGGTATCTCGTATCTTCGTTGAAATGGCATTTGACTCGGATCTTGCGCATTTCGGGCCGAGAGCTGCCACGTCCGGACCGTGATGGCGCACGGATGGGTTCAAAGCCGTCCATATCATCGTCGTCTGCGAGTTCTTCGTCTAGGTATTCATCTTCTTCATTGAAGTAATCTTCTTCCTGACGTCTTTGCGTGGGTCGTCGTTGCACCGGTCGTGGACTCGCGTACATGCTGTAGACATCGTCCACACTAGCTCCCGGGTCTTCGTATCTTGGTTGCTCACGGAATAGGGGAGCTGGGGCTGGGACCCTCTGTGATATTGATCTGTCGAGGACCTGGCGTCGTGAGGGTGCTCTCCGTGGCTCAGAAGCTGTCCGTTGGGTACCATACCGGGATCTCTCCATTGGAGGTTGCTGACTCAGCATTGGGGCCTCGTCTTGCCATGAAAGCTCGCTCATGGATGGTTGTTGCATCCTACTCCGACTCGGAGGTGCCTGTTGGTCAAAAGTTGCCGCACGCGACAGCATCCCAGGCCGAGGTTGCTCCATGTCTTGCTTTGTAGGATACATGGGGCGTGGGTTGCGGAGAGACGCTGATCGGATTGGAAGATTTGCACTTCCAGTGCTGTTGGTCCTGGGCTTGTCTGTCTCTGGTGGAGGGGTCGGAGGAAACACGTTCCTGTTCATAACAGGAGGAGCACTTTGGTCGCGGGGGACTCTACTGGACAGATTCCGTTGGACCAAATTAGTTGCAGCGAAGCTGATGTTTTCAAGGGGCCTGTCGTCTTTTGCCCCTAACTCTGCGGCTACAGCTTGCCTGCGTTCAACGCCTTCGAACCCAGTACCGGTGTTCGAACGGTTGGAGGTAGCAATTAACCGGGCCTTGCCCAGGTAGTCTTTGGCCTTCAGGTTCTTCACTTTCGCTTCGTTCGGTCGGTATACACATCCGACAGGACTAGACAAATCTTGTCAGCGGCTAGAGAACAGAGAAATACCTAGCCCAATACTCACATGCTGAAAACGACATATCCCTGCGCCTGTCAGTGTGGTTTTGAGCAAATTTGGGATCGAATACGTACCTGTGCTCTTTCCTTGATAGCATCGTCAATCACATCGTGGTCCGGGGTCATCTTCTCCTTCTGCGCAAATGTAAAGTCCTGTATGCCAGCTTCCTCCTGCTGCAGGTACATATAACACAGACCTCTGTTGAACAAGACCTCGCATGAGTAGAGTTTGAACTTCAGGCCGAGTTGTTCGTAGTCGATGTATGTGTTGCCTCGAAGATATAGAAGGGTGTCATTGAAGTTGGCCAGGGCCTCTTCGAAGTCGCCAACGAGAAAATTGGATACACCCTGCTGAAAGTATGCGACTGCGAGATATTGGTCCAGCTTAATTGCTCTTTGGTAGCATTCCACCTATTCACCCATCAGTATCTTGTTCCACACCCCGCCGTTCTGGCTTAACGCACCGCCCTGTCGTGTTCGCCAATTGTTGCATGAATAACACCGCAGTTGAACAGGATCTTGGACGTATCCGCGATAGCATCAAAGATGGTCAAGGCTTCCTCGAATTCTTGATTGTCGTAGTGGCCGAGGGCCTCGACCCAAGTCTCGATCTCCTGCTCCAGAGTTAGGGAAGATTGTCTCTCAATGAACCAGCGTCACCCACCTGTTTGAGCGACATGGCGCCGCGCCCAGAATGGTTGAAGATGAAATCCTCTCGGCGGTGGACGTGGGCAGCTTATGCAGGCTAGGATAAGTACAGGAGGTAGGAGGACCGGACTGCGACCGGAGTGGTCGTGACTGGGACGTTATTGAAATGGAGGGATTCGTAGTGACGGACTCGGTAGAGGTTAGACGAAAATGGATGGCTGCGCGATGCTACCGAGTAGGAGGCTCGGGGGGTCGGCCCTGCGGCAGAGTGTCGATATCCAAGGATTAAGCGCCCAAGTAGGTGGCGGGCGTTCTCGGCGCCAATACGTCAACGAATTGGCGATGCAGTAAAGTTGACAGAAAGTATTAGTGACGACCGGCGTGCAGATGAAATGAAAGATAGCGTATATGAGAAGTGAAGTCGTGTATGGTGTTTGGTATAGAGAAAAAAGAGTGTGAACACAGAAGGAGAAGGAGACGCAGGATTGACAGTGTGAGGAAAGGAGTTCGAGTTAACTGGTCCCGGGGGCAGATTCTGTCACAGGTTTTTTTCCTCTGAAGCACCAACAGAACCAGGTTTTTCTATCCGCAATACCACTTGGTACTCCGTAGGCAAGGGTGGATATCATGAAGGAATCCCTCGCTTCTTGACAAGCCACTGACTCCGTGGTGTTCTGCTGACCTCAGTGGCAACTGTCAAGATCGCACAAGCTGCTGGCACTTGTAGTCCACCTACGTCGTCGCTGCTGTCACTTGTAGTCCACCTACGTCGTCGCTGCTGTCACATTGTACTCCGTATAGCTACTGACATTGTTTTTAGGGGGCGGGCAGGGCCGTCGAAGGCTGGGATTCAGCGCAGAGGCCGCTATGTGATCTACCGGCGCTACTTTTAGGTGCCCTTACTGTACTAGAGCTAGATGCTTACCTAGATAGAGCCTAGAACTCGAAATAAGGATCATTTACCACTGTACCTGTAGAAGATACCTACCAGTGGGAAGGAGTACGTGTACCCACGTAGGTACTGTAAGTGCGGAATAGGTATCTAATTTGGGTAGTTCGGTACCTAATGAGGACACCTGATCACTCCCTGTAGAGCCTGGTCACCCTTTTGACATACAATGCATGCATCTATCACCTCGGCTGGTGCCATGCTTCCACCACAACGATGTGATCAAAGATCGCTTCCTTATACGAAGATTCAAGCGATACTCTCGAGTGGCCTGAGTTCATCACCTGAGCCGTCCTGCGTAACGAGCGCCTTTCGCTCTTCTTCTCCAACCATCACGACCCGATCCAACCCATTGTGACGGGGTTTCATGTCTCCGACAGATGCGGGTGGACCACTTTGGTTTCAGAATCCATCTTTGGCGACCAACCAACGCCCTCGGACACTCCTCAAACTCCCAAACAAGGGCAATTGTCTTGACAGGCCTCGTCTATCCGTACTGTCGGGCTCTCGGGCTTTCAATGTTCAATGCAGGGGCACTGCATCATCGTGCAGGAAGCCCGCCCGACTCGCAATCCTTCAGCCGCGAATGCAACCTGCTTCCGAACAATCACGACGTGTTGCTGATGTATATCAAAAATTTTCTACAGACGAGAATTACTCGTTAGAATCCTCAGCGTACATCAGGTCATATCATCCCCCTTCCCATCTGCTCCTGACGTTCCTGCCAGACTGTCTTCCCTGAACAGCTGCAGACTGTCTTGTCATTGTCCCAAACCCCGGCACTGCGGGCGATGACCCCTACCAGGGTGTCTGCACCCTCGGTCTGAAACGAACCCTCTCGTTGTTTCGACACGACCATGCTGCGACCAATAATTTCCCAAATTGACACAGGTCGGTCCAAAAAGGCACTACCGCGGCCATCTTGGCCAACTTCGACAGTGCCAAACATGCCGCGAGGCTGGTCGAACCCTCCCAGAGCCTTGACCGCTTGCCAGATGCCACCTGTCGATCCTGCACCACGTGAGATATCGCCTGTCTCCCGCACCGTGGCATGATAAGTGCCCGGCGACACCCCACGTAGAGTCAAGTCCACCAGGGTTCGATTGTCTGATACCTGGACCATCCTTGCCAGCCCTCGCACGGGATCTGACACTCCCTTCGCGTGCGTTTCCAAGATGCACACCCCGGCAGAGTCCGCCTTCCCACTCCCACGCAAGATCGCATCTCGTCCGGTAGACTCGATAGCTGATACAATTGATGATGGAGGTGCTGTCCCTTCAATATAAAAAAGTTGGTCTCCGAGATTGCATTCGATCTTACGGATGCCTGGCGGGAGAAGAAATGTCATTGCTGGAGCTTATCAACTCTGAAACAGCCTGAACATACCTTCTACTTGATTCAAAGCACCGGTAACATCTTGAACGCAAGATTGACAGTGTAAAGGCACAGCGAAGGTGGTCTTCCGACATGGTGAGTATGGCCGTTTGAGTGCATTCGCACCGACTCACCTGAAACGGTTCAATGCCTACGCTTCCCATCTTGGTCTTCTCTGCTCTGGTAGGTAAATCAAGTCAACTGATGACAGACGGCGTCTGACTACTATCACTATTGCACAACTTGAAGTATACAAAATGTAAGATATGCTTGGTAATTGAATAGTGATCGCCCAAAAATATCCCCCGCTCTCGGAAGATGTTGGATTCCGATAGAATTTCAAACGCTGCTTTTACGCCGACATCAACATCGCTTTCTTCCGATGGGTTTTCACCACCACTACCATCACACCCCCCGAATGCTTTCTCTTCTCATTCAATATGATGTAGCATGAGCAACCACGATAGTCTCACAGAATGGGCTTTGAGTCGTGGCTACAAGCTCAATGGCATCAAAGCCCATGCCTTCGCCGGCAGGGGTTTAGGTGTCATTGCCGAGAGGAACATTGAGGTAGGTAACCTTCAGACGCGAATCCTTCTTTGTCGATGTTATCTCGTTGCTTGTTGCTCCACGAACACGTCTGATGCCGAATAGCCTGGAGAAGCCCTCATGATCATTCCAATGAGGGCTGTACGTACGGCTGAGACGGTACCCAGGAAGATTGTTGAATCGGTGGATTCTTGCAGCAACAATGGACTTCTCGCCGCTGAATTGGCCCAGGACGAATCAAGTGAATTTGCTGTTTGGCGCCAGAGTCTCCCCAGCATGCAGGATCTGCAGACGATGCCGGTCGTGTGGGAAGAAGTTGTCGCTCAGTGTCTGCCGTCCAAAGCACGAGGGATACTGTCCAAACAGGCCGCTAAAATACGAAAAGATTGGGACGCGGTTACGGCGGGACACATCGACGTATCATTCGAGAACTTTCGTTACTTTTGGCTACTGGTCAATACCAGGACGTTCTATTACACTCCTTCCAACATGAAGACTGCACCGGTGAGCTCGGAGGAATGTTTAGCTGTGGTGCCGTACGGAGATTACTTCAACCATTCTGACGTCGGCTGTAAAGTGGCGTACTCAGCATCGTCCTATGAGATCACGGCAGATCGGCGGTACTCAAAAGGGGAAGAAGTGTTCCTGTCGTATGGGAACCACTCGAATGATCTCTTGCTCGTCGAGTACGGTTTCATTTTCGACGGTAATCGATGGGATGAGACGACCCTCGATGATGTCGTCATTCCTTTGCTGAGTGAAGATCGAAAGAAGATCCTTCAGAACGAAGGGTACTGGCTCGATTACCACCTTGACCGGGATGGACCGTGTTACCGGACCAAGGTGGCAGTGAGACTGCTCTGCATGCCTCTACGGCAGTGGAGGCGTGGCCTCGCAAAGGGATTTGATGACGACGATAGGTACAAACGCATGGTCAATGAGCATCTCTTGAGGGTGTTCGGGAATTACAGGAGGATCGTGAGCGAGCGACTTGAGCAGGCCTCGAACCTCAGCGTTGGTATCGAGGCCCAGAAAGATATCTTGAGAAGGCGCTGGGGTCAAATAGACAAGATGATATTAGATGCCATCGAGCAAATCAAACGCTGAACAAATTGTCGCTTACGACGTGAATTCTTGTACTCGCCCTCGATCTGTTACTACTTGAATCTGCCGCTTCGATCGTGGCCCTTGATACTCACGTAGCGAAAGGCTGGGGGAACACGTAATCACGTGACAGAACCTTCAACAGCGGCAAGCAAGCCTTCAAGTCGCAAGTTACCTCATATACACCCATGTTGACGCAGCCCAACACGTCCACTTGACGCAACTAGGAAGCGCTGGACGATCCGTTTCTACCAGACCCCAGCATGGCCTCGAAGACTTCAAAATGGGCTGACGACAACGACGACGACGACGACGAAGAAGCCGCGGCGGCCATGGCACAACGCAAGAAAGAGAAGGAGGAGCGCAGACGTCTCAAGGAAGAGAAGGCACGCAAGGCAGCAAAAGCGACGGCACGTTCAGGGACACCCACCTCACAAGACGCCTCCGCTGGCGACGATCAACGGCCGACGAAGCGTCAACGAACGTCAGAGCCCCAAGATGAGGCAGAAGAAGAAGGCGCACACCTTTTGCATTTCCCGACTCGCGCGGTCCGACCGTGCGGGCACGTATCGCAGTACGAGACGCTCAACCGGATCGAAGAAGGCTCGTACGGGCTGGTGTCCCGGGCGCGCACGACGAGTTCGGGTACCATCGTCGCGCTGAAACGTTTAAAGATGGGCAACAACGAGACGACTGAAGGATTCCCCGTCACGGGCCTACGGGAGATACAAACTCTCCGGTCGTGCCGTCACGACCACATCGTCCAACTCCTCCAGGTGGTCATGGGAGACGGTCTGAAAGAGTGAGTCTCGTGGTCCCTCGTGTCCTCCCCTGTCCATTTTTTTGGTTGCGCCGATACTGCAAGCCACGTGTGTTGACGATTTCTCTTTGTGCCTTCCTTTTTTGCCTTTTTACAGTGTCTACCTCGTCATGGAGTTTCTCGAACACGACCTCAAGACCCTGCTGGAGGACATGGCCGAGCCCTTTCTCCCCTCGGAGACGAAACGACTCATGCTCCAACTCGTCTCGGCCACCGAGTACCTCCACTCCAACTGGATCATCCACCGGGACCTCAAGACTTCGAACCTCTTGCTCAACAACCGCGGCGAGATCAAGGTGGCCGATTTCGGCATGGCGAGGTACACGACGGGACCACACGCGCGGCCGCCGCCGAAGCTCACCCAGCTCGTCGTGACGTTGTGGTACCGCGCGCCTGAGCTGCTGCTGGGCGCCGAGGAGTACGACTTTGAGATCGACGTGTGGAGCGTCGGCTGTATCTTCGCCGAGTTGTTGACACGGGAACCCCTGTTCCAAGGCCAGACCGAAGTCGACCAACTCTCCAAGATCTTTGGGTTGCTGGGCACGCCGACCAACGAGACCTGGCCCGGTTTCAGGGCCTTGCCGAACGCGAAGGCCTTGCACCCGGTCTTGTCTCGCTCCTCATCGTCGTCGCAGTCGTCCCTCACCGTCTCCAAGTTCCCGTACCTGACCACCTCTGGCCTCCGTCTCCTGGCGTCCCTGCTGTCCATGGACCCGAACGGACGGCCGACGGCCACCGAGATCCTCTCACATCCTTACTTTAGGGAAGACCCGCGACCCAAGGCCAAAGAGATGTTTCCCACCTTCCCCAGTAAAGCCGGCCAAGAGAAGCGCAGGCGCAGAGCCACTCCGCAGGCCCCCGTGCGTGGCGACGCCCCGAGGCTGGACGAGCGCGAATTCGAAGGCATCTTTGCGGGCAGGGTGGACGAACAACGTGGTGCCGGGTTCGCTCTGAGGCTGGGTTGAATGACGGACTACTACAACTTGTCTTGACCGAGTCTTTTCCCAAAGAAGAAAAGTTCTTTTTGGGGGTTTTTTTGGTTTAGAAAACGATCGCGGAGGTAACGTTTCAGACATGGCATTTTACGATACCCATAGAAAAAAGACTTGGCTTCGCGGGCGGCACATGTAATGATAAATCTAGACTTGACGAGCACAACCATGCGGACGAGTATTGTTTGCTCATGTTTTCATTCTTTCGAGTTCTTTTCTCATTGTAATTCATTTCCGTCTACCCTCGCGAAAACCAACGTGGAATGCGTGCACATCTGTCTGCTATCTATCCTCGCGTTTTGTCTAGCTTCATGCCGGTCGGAACCGGAATTTCCAGGTGCTTCTGAGAATCCCCTCAAGGTGTTCTTCCTCACAGAGTGTTCCAAACTCTCCGTCCAGTTTTGAGTACCGGGCCACTCAGTCAACGTTCTCAAACAAAAACGTCGGGCTGCCTGGGATGGCATTCTCCGCCATGCTCGGCAGGCCGGCCTTGTTGTCGTCCCTCACCGAGACGACGACGACGTCCTTGCACCCCGTCGTCTTCATCAGGCCCTTCTTCATCTCGGCCAGGATGGCGGCCTCGTCAAAGGGCAACTTTCGGTCGAACACGGCCTTGGGGGTCTCCTTGTTGACGACGAGCCTCCTCTTCAGCGCCTGGACAAAGGGCATGGCCTTTTTCATCTCGGGGCCTCTGCCCATCTTGGCGACCTGGCCGTTCAGGGTCTTGTCGTCGTCGAGACTGCTCCTTTCGAACATGTCGCGCACGAGGTCGACGTACTTGTCTTGCCACGCCGGGAACGTGTTGGCCGCGAAGATGGTGATCTTCTTCGGCTTGCGCGGGTCGAACGCGCTGCTCTTGCCCTTGGCCATCTTCTTGGCCGCCTGGGCCTCGGAGCTGGTGATGTTGCTGCTCGTGCCCTTGACGTACTCTCTCATGGCCGTCAGAGACGGATCCGCCGCGGGCACTTCGGGCCACCGTGCGTTCTGGATCGTGCCGTCCTTGTGCAAGACTTCGAGCCACATGTACTCGGCCCAGTGAGGGGCAATGGTGGCGATGAGGAGGGACTGCAGCTCGACGTAGCGGAGGACGAGGGGTCGGGACATGGGCGTGCCGCTCGAGAGGCACGCTTCACGGTAAAAGTCTCGGGCGGATTGGAAGTCGTATAAGGACGATTTTAGAGCGAGTTTGTAGTCAGTGCTATACGAATCATTCATGCCGCGTCAGCAGACTGTCACAAACGGACAGGGTAGGGCCTGGGTGAAAAGGTGTCGACTTACTCAGAGTAATGCTTGTACGACTCGTGCGCAAGGAGGTTCATCTCATCTTCGAAAAGTTTGTCCCAGATGACTTCACCTTGGGTCTCGCGAAGGTTCTTGTCCTTCAAAGTCTCTTCGATCCATTCTTTGAGGATGTACATGCGCATGATGGCCGCATTGGCTCCCTTCTCTTCAAAGTTGGCGTCTTCCATACCATCGCCTGCATCGGCTAGAGCAATCCGTGTCGCATCGGCACCAAATTTCTTCACTGCCTGGCTTAGGGTCAAGAAGTTTCCGGTGGACTTGCTCATCTTGTCGCCGTTGAGCAAAAGGTGGCCGTTCGATCGGACTGACTTGGGCCAGTATTCCCGGGGAAAGAGGGCAATGTGGATATAAAGGAAGAAGGTGAGATGGTTAGGGATGAGATCTTTGCCAGAACTTCGCATGTCGAGAGGATACCAGTACTCAAAGGATCGTCTGAGGGTATGGAGGTCTTCTACCGAAATCCTGGACGACTCGGACACACTCTCGACGTCGCTGGTCCGAGTGAAGACGTAATCCCAAACATCGTCAGTCATCTGATCGGCTTTGATGTTGAGCAAGCCCGGAGTCTTTCCGAACTTGTCACCGTGTAGGAAGTGGGCGATCGTATAATAAGACATGTAGATGGTACTGTCACTCAGACTTTCCACCAAAAAGGTGGGATCCCAGGGTAATTTGGAGCCTAGTCCATACGTTCTCGCACATGCCCATTGGTTCAACCACTCTAGGTTTGCGATGAACTGATTCTCCGTTTCGGGTATGTATGTCTCGAGACCATTCTTGACATAGTTGAGGACTGTCTGTTGCCATTCCTTGTCGTTCTCTCCGTAGTTTAAAAACCATTGTGGCACGTAGGCAACGACACATTCGTCTGCACTTCGGCTTATGACTTCAGCAGATGGGTCGGCAAATGGGAAAGCATCTCTGGACTTGATCAAGGCGTTGCGAACCTTGTCTTTCGCATCTGACACCTTTTCGCCCTTAAATTCGCCCACCAACATCGTGCCGTTGTAGAACCCCTCCTTGTAAGCCATGTCCTTGGCTTCGGCCAGCAACGTCGTATCTTTAGGTGACTGGATTTTTTTCGTTTCCACAAGGTACTTTGCGGCGAGATTGCCGTAAGCTGGGGTGTCGATGATGGGAATAATCTCCAGTTCAGCCCATTCTTGTTTGATACCGTAGAAATCGGCCTTCTTGGCCAGATCTCGAACCGTTGCAAAATCGTCAGGGCTGTCCGAAGGGACTGAGGTGACAACACCCGTACCCTTGGTGGCCGAGACTGTCTCCATAGGGAGAATCCGCACTCCTTCCGTGTGTACTGACAAGGGAGCCTGGACGAGAGTGCCGACAAAGGCGGAACCCGGCAATTCCAACACCGGCTGCAGTTCGCTCTGGTCCCGGGGAAAATGTGCTTGGTCAAAGAAAGTACCTTGGAACGCCATATTCCACGCAGCTCTCTTTGTGACGACATAGTACTCTTTCTCTGAGACTTTGAAGACTCCGTACTTGATTTTAGGACCAACGAAACAACACGTCTGTCCGTACATCGTCTCTGGTCTCAATGTGGCGGGCACAAAGTAGACATTTGCATCTTTCGGTAGCTTCGCCTCGGCCTCTTTTGCAGCTTCAGGAGACCACTCCTTCACCTTGAGTTTCAAGGCAGTGTATTCAGTAGGTCCTACACCTTCACCTTTCGTCCTGTCATGGTCCATACAAGGCTGGCCGTCTTTGGGGCTGTATATTGTATATCTCTTGCCGTACAAGATCTTGTTGAGTTCGTGCAGGCGATTCATCTGCCACCGGACGAAGGCGTCGTAGTATGGATTGGCATCGGTCGTAACAAATTGCCTCCTCCAGTCTATTCGCGCACCAAAGTCGATCAAATCTTGTTCGCACAGAGGAGGAAAGTACTCTAGCCAGTAGTTTGCGTCGGCGAATTTGTGAATCTCCTCCTTTGGAATGCCCATGGCCAACATTGTTTGAAACTGGTAATTTGCCTTGACCGTCTTCGCAGCCTGTTTACCTTTCTTGCTCTTAAACTTGGTGATGTCGTCCTTGACATTGACACCCTGCGTTGGTGCTACGGCCACACCGTTCGACTCGCCTGCCACATCCTCCTCCTCATCTTCGTGGTAGTTCTCAAAGTTCTTGCCGAATTTCTTCACGTCATCGACCAGTTTGTCAGCGCAGGCTTTGATCGGCATGCCCGTGCAGTGGAAACCAAGGGGAAAGAGAGTTCGCTTGCCGGTCAATCTTGAGAAGCCGGCAGTGAATTCAACCTTGCTGGCTGTGAAGCTGTGCCCCGCGTGCAACGAGCCATTCATGTAGGGGTAGGCGAAGGTGCCAAAATATTTTGGGTGCTGTTCTCTGATCTGTGAGGCTGGTACTGAGCTGAAGGGTATTTCGTTCGTGGTTGGAGCATCCGACTCGAACACTTTGTTCTTCTGCCATTCCTGCTGGTATTTCTTCTCGATCGCAATGAGGACATCTCGGTTGTGCGTCTATAAACGGTCAATGTCAATTTGTCTGGCACCGGGTCGTGTGCGACAACCTACATTTTCGAGTTTGAGAGTATTGGCCGAGGTCAAGGTCGGGTCGACAGGTATTTGGGTCGCCATGATGGCGAGATGAGAGAACTTGAGTCAAGCCACCCAGCTCCGTGTCTTCAGCGTGTGTATGCGCAACACTGAAGTCTTTAGGAAGTTTATCGAATATTCAAAATCCCCCACCGATTTTGCGGAGTTGCAAAATGACTCCAAGGGCCGGTAGCAATTGTTCGCATGATCGACCGTAGCACTTCTTCTAGAGCCTCGTAGGGCCTTTTTTTGCCACGAGCACTCCGTAGGAATGTTCTGGATAAACAGACAAGGCTGATAGAGCTGAATTGTTCATTAGAGGTACGGAGATATCTCTGGTATACCGAAATAATTGTGCCAGCAATTGGTACTCTGTGCATGATAATCAAGCAGGCTACAGATTTGATTCAGTTGATGGATATATGGCTAGACATCATCACCGACGTTCTTCGTTTTCATCATTCATCTTTGCTTCTCTCATAATTCAGGGGACTCCCAAGATTCTCGGTCGATTTTCATGATAGCTGACTGCTTGTGTGGAAATGAGACCTCTCCTTGCTTATAAAATCCACCCTCTCTTAGATAGTTGATAAATCTGCCATTCTTGTCAGTGATTGCAATCTTGTCACATCGACAAGACTTACTTGGTATTGTCGACTCTCGGTTCCAACATGACGGTCTCGGTCCTCTGATCTGCAAGCCAACAATAATGTACCAATGCAGACAGCCAGACCTTGACTCGATGAGGACCTCTGAACTCTTGTTCACCAACTAGGACATGCAGTCCGCGAGTGTAGTTGCCAACATCGCCACCCAGCAGTCTGCCCAGTTTGTCTTCTTTGACCCAATAGATTTCAAAATAGCCAAACGGCTTACCGTCCCAGCACCCAAAAACCGGGAAAGAATGGCGGCTTTGTAACCCCTCGGTCAAAAATTTCTTTTGGCCCTCTTTTGGTCCGGCACAAGACCAAGCTGCATTCACTCTAGGCTCGTTCATCCATTTATGCAGCAGATCCAGGTCACATGGCCGGTCTGCAAAGTTGGCCAAGGTAGGCAATGTAGGGAGGGAGATGCTTCCTCCATGGCTGGTCATAACGGAGGGCAAAGACGGGCCCAGCGGCGAGAAATGGGGGTGAGGGCACGGTTTAGACGACAGTGTCGGTACCCGGAAGGACAGCCATTGTCCTAGACTTGGAATGTACCGGCTATAGAACGTTTCCCCTTGCCGAGGAGGCTTTGGGCGTATGGGATGTCGAATATGGTTCGTAAACGTGAACTGTGTTGGCTGAGGAGGATAGAACGTTGGGAGGTGACTTCCTGAATTGAACGGTCCACCGGGCGAAGCGATTCCCGCAGACAAGCCATCGACCAACCCCGGCTGGGGAGGCAGCATATAGTCTGTCGCCCGTGGAGATCCGCGGTCAGGAAGAGGTGTTCGGTCTGGCGAGGCCGGCCGGGATGTGTGAGGAGATGCCCCTGGTAATGGCGAGTGCTGCTGCGGTGCCATTGTATATAGAAAAATTCTGGCATCGATCTGCCAGAAGGATTTTCGACTCACGAAAGTCTCGGTCCAGCCGTCCGCCATCCGAAAGTCCAGTTCCGAACCTACACAGGATTCCTCGCTCGCGATGAGACCCATCCGCTCAAGTTTCTGTAGAGTATTTTTGCCCTTGAATATGCCCTCCTTCTTGATTTTGATGCGCCAGTCCAGTTTCGGTCTCCCACTTTCCGGTGTTAGGGCACTTGCTTCTGTGGTCGCGTGCAGATTGGGAGGCTCTTTATGGAAATACCAGCAGAGAGTGGCCCATAAAATCATGGCGATGTGCCTTGTTGGGGAGGCTGTATTTCTGAAGTCGGAGCTCGATGGCATTGATATGGAGGAAATAAAAAGCGAATCTCGCTGGGCGGTAGGCTGCATGAACCTGTGGACCACGGTTTGTCTCTGGTATGGACTGTTCGACCCGCTCTTTGATTGAGATAGTGATGCTCTGCTCTTCCTTGCCTCGTCCTCCTCCACCACATCTTCGGTCTGTACCATTACGGTCCACCCGGGGGGAATTGGGGAATGATGTAGATCGAGGTGGGTTGATTTGAAGGTAAAGCCGCCAAAAACTGGCGTGACTGTATATATCTGCCCATCTGAGAATCCGTCAGCATACTAGATCGATTCCACGAGGCGTTGTATACTCACTGGGCAGGAATACTTGTTGTACCATCCTTTTGGTACCGGCTGGACCATCAAAGCCGACAGTATCCAAAGTGTCTAGGGGTCGCACCCTCGAGGGAGTGATAGAGTGTACCTATACGGAGTGGATATATAGATGACTTTTTTCCCGTCAACCATGGAAGACGGTGCTCGAGGATAAAGTGGCCTGCTTGTGGAGAGGAGAAAGACTGCCAGCGGTGGTGGCACAGATTGTCGGCGCACAGAGGCAATGAGGGCCAAGGTCTGCCGACCGCGTCCTTTTTCCCACCGGCCTTCAATTTTGAGAACCTCAGACACTGCTGCCGTTGTCGCGTGGTCTGAATCTTCCAAGAATATAAGTTTGGGCATGAGACACGGTCTGCGCTGTGCAACACAGGCCCATTTATCGTCGACAGACCAAACGTCACAATGGGAGACCCAGGTGGATCAGGTACCGCTACTGCACTTCCTTGCCCCGCGCCTTGACGGTCTGTTGAAGCCGATACGCGAGGGGAAATGCTGGCATCACCGCTGACGGCGTGGGAACCTCTTCTAAATAATGTACTGTAATTCGCTATGGACTGGTCGGCTACAGGCGCACGCCGGACATCGTGATGCTTGGTCAATAATCGCACGGTACCTTGGCAAGGACAGTACGTAAATATGAGTGCGCCTGTTGAGAATTACTCGTGAGAAGCCGACAGTGGCGCATCACTCAGATAGTGGCCACTTTACTGTAGACCAGGTAACTTTGTTGGCGATATCACATATGGAGGTTTGGGTTACAGATGCTCAAATCGTATTAATGCCCTCAGTTTCCGCCATGTGGTACTTGCTAAGTCTACTGGGTCTTTGTACTCGTACTGTGGTCAATCAACAGCTGATCCACCCTCGCTGAAATTCCCGGCTTTCTTGGTCTCACCATGATTCTCGTCATACCAACAGAAAGCCAACATGACAGAGCACCAGGCTCCGAACGGCATGCTTCAATATCAAAAGTCCTCGATTGTGACACCAACATCCCGTTCTCGGGCCAGGCGAATCATGTCTTCGGCAATGACCAGATCCATCAGACCCATCCCAACACTCTTGTAGATGACATTCCCTCTGGTCAGCCATTCCAGGAGCCCAGGTTCACCACTTCCGCCGAGTTCGACTTCTCGCTCTGCCGATTTTTTGATCATCATTACTGTTGCTTTTGTTAGAAAGTTGAAGAAACCAAGAAGTCAACGGAGAAAAACTTACACTCTCCAATCTCGACCAGATGCTCAGGTCCTAATTTTGCCTTGATAATCTCGCCGCTATCCTTCAAGCACGACTCTAGGTTGTCCACTATAATGACTCCTCCCTGTCGAGCATGCTTGTGATGATGGTGTCCATGGTGCGGCTGCACAGCTAGTTTGAAGACATCTGGATGGACCTCGACCATGTGCGGGGCGTAGCTCCCTATGCAGGAAATATATCGCCCTTTCTTCTGGCCCTCGCGGGAAGTGAGGAATTCGGCTGGGAAAAGAGGGTCTAGGGATGGCGTGCAACAGAAGATCACATCTGCTTTCCGGACCTCTTCTTTCAGAAGACGACCGTATTCGCCGAACTCCGGACTCATGCAAGAAAACTTGATATCCTTCCGCCAGAACCCATGACTGTTCTGTTCCATTTGAAGCGTCTTCATCAACTTGATTGAGCGTTCAAAAGACCGGTTGATGATGTTAACATGTCGAATCTCGTCACCTTTGAATAACAAAGCTAGTCTAATGTGCCAGTACGCCTGCTTACCTGCCCCAAATACTGTCACCGTGTGCACATTTTGTCGCTTCTGAAACATCATGGTTGAGGCCAGGGCTGTCCTGAAAGCCGTGAGCTCTTCGGCATTAACGATTCCCACTGGGTTTCCCCGCGCGTCGAGAATCGTCACTGATCCTCTTGGGGTGGAGCTGTGAGCACTTGAGATGGAAGCCGGTGGCCGGAACGAGGCTCCGTCGATGGAATCTCTGCTACCAGATGACATGGTGGACGCAGGCGTTAAAGTGAGAGTGGCGAAGTCGCCGACGGGGGACTTTATAGCCCCCGACTCAGTGGTGCTATGAGACGCTGATGAAGATACTGACGACTTTTTGCCATGGTTGATGGCGTGTTGTTGTTCCAGAGAAACAATTTTCATCCCAACGGCAGTTCCAGTAGAGGCTGGCATGAACAGCGTAGTAATCCCATTCTTCTTGATGATCGTCCGATGGGGTTGCGAGGATGCTGAACACGGTGAGTTTGTGTCGCCTGTCGAGTACGAATGCAAGGCTTCTGCGAGATTTCGCTGCAACGCTGTTGCATCTTCCTTGGCCAATGATAGGAGGATTGTGCGAATATCTGCCTCGGTGAGGACAGTCAAAGGCATCTTGGTGGTAACGAAGAGCCTCTCACTGTACCAGGATGCAATCACGCTGTGTCACCCTCAGGCGTTAGCTATAAGGTGCGTGCTGTGATCCAAGGGGGATGCGGAAACAGGGTGAGGTGGTTAGGAGAGGTGCGACTTAAGTCGGCGGACATGTGTACTCCGTAGGTATGCGACGTCAGTGCTCAACAACACAAGACCAAAGATTCCTGGCTCTCTTCGATCTGCACTGTTTTCTGCAGCAAGAAGTCAAGTGGCAAGTGTCTTGATGGACCTCGATAACAAAGCAGAAGTCAGGATGCTACTTGATCACCAATTATTTGCGTAAGCGAGAACCATCTACCTCGAAGTTGACATGCGATCAGGCTTTAAGGTCTTGGACCAGGTCACGTAGGCATCGCGTTATCTCCATCACAGGCGCCATTGGCTGCGCTCGAGGGCACATGTGAAGGAAAATACAGCGGCGTAATAATATTTGAGTAACTAAAACAAGGGCCAAGAGACCGACAAACACGCCCACCAGGATACGCCAATAAACTTCATTCCCGGGGGTTCCTTACGCCCCCTTAAGGTCACCACCAAGCTTCCCTCGCAAGCATTGCTCTTAGCAGTCTCCTGGGTCACTCTATGTCCACTTCATCCCACCAATCACTCCTTAAGTTCTGCGGGACGGTCTCAGATACAAAACAAATGGCTCTGTTTCGGGAAACGAAAGTGTTTATGGAACATTCCCAGATATATCATGTTCAAGAATATTTTCGATTCGGGTATCCTCTATCCGCTACCTGATGGTGCGTACTGTACATTGCCGGCAGTGTGCATCTGGTATCCAGAGCCATGGCCTGGTAAAAGAAGCAGAAAGCACATAAGAAACACAAAAACAGTGACAAATTCAGTCGAAGCATCACTTCATCTCACCCCACATGTCTTCATCACTCATGACCATGTCGTCCTCGCTAAAAACCTTTAAACCTTCCTTCTTCATCCGCTTCCTGTCCTTCTTTGTCACCAGCATTCGAGGCGTGACTGGGGTCATCGGCGTCATGGGCATATATGGACTATACGGTGTCTGAGGCACTCCGGTCTTCGGATGTACGCCTAGAATGCTCTCGCGGCGGTCCACAAAGGTTGTCTTGGTTGGGGGAGCGCTCTTCAATGAGCCGTCGTACATTTGTCGAAAAGGCAAAGTGTTCGAGCTACTTGAAGCTGTTGCACTTCGCAAGGAGAGTGGAGCAGGTGGTCCCTTCTTTTCGATCTCCGTCATTGACACCACAGCAGACTTCTGTCCTGGAGTTGGTGGCGGCGGACCGGGGTTGTACAGTCGAGGTGACGCATTGCTCTTTTCGGAATATACAGACGACTCGGTCAGAGTAGCTGAGCCTAGAGGTTCAGAGATAGGCTGTCCACGAACAGAGATTCGACTAGGTCGTTTCTTGTTTTGAGCATCCGATTCTCTTCGACCCGAAATGAGTGACAAGGGAATCAATTTCGACTTGCGGCTATGTTGTGACGCTGCTCGTGCGGAAGGGTCTTCATCCGGAGTTGGAGCTAAGGGATGGACCAGTGCAGGCGGAGCACTCTCGTCTGTCTGTAGCTTGTATAGGTGTTGGAATTCAGGAGGAAATCTTGGAGACAGTGGTCCTGCGCCACTTGCTGGCATGTAGTTGGGCAACCGAGGTGATGAAGGTTTATCGTACGCCGAACGAGGCGTGGGAGGGAGAGCCTCATGCTGTGGGAAATAGGGACTTCTCGGAGTTGTCTGAGCACTGCTGTGTGTGTTTTGTGACTTCTCGTCATCGTGTAACATGACAGCAGCGTACAACTTGGTCATTTCGTCCATGTTCTTAGCTTTGTCTGCCTCAAGAATTCTTTCATCGATGGTCGAGACCGTCACATTTGACTCTTTGCGAGAATGCGTTCGTCCTCCACTGGCCCATGACTTGAGGCTGGCCATCTTTCCAGGACTTCTCATGGGTGCTTCCACATCCATGGTGGGATTGTTGGCTAGTGGTGCTGGTTTGATGATCTCCATACTCAGAGTGCGGTTGGAAGTCTGATACTTGCGTCGAAGTCTCTTCCCGACAAAGATGTAGAGAATGAAAGTAACCAGAAGCCAAAAGATGTATGCTCCGACAATACCAACAATCTCGAATTTGAGCTTGGATGGGTCTCTAAGGGCTCCTGCTGATATGGGGGGCCCTTCGTCTGGAGGCGGCGCAGGATCGTTGTCGATGTGAAAGTCCCACACACCTCCCGGCCTGGCTGTCGTTGGTACAGTGAGCAAAGCAGAAAAGATAATGAACACGACTGAATGAGAGGCCAGGCACCTCATCTTTGTAGAAAATCAGCTCTTGAGTCTTCTCCAGTTTTCCGCTCCTGAAACCGGTGACCCCCTGACCGAAAGGGACATGAAGCAGCTTGTTGCACGCAAGGAGCGATCCGGGCGGTAGATGTATCTCGCCATGATTGCTAGAGGACCGTGGCGGAAGCGCTGATGGGAGTGATTGGCAGAGACTACAGGGTGAACAACGAGAAGAGTGACTGCATGAAGCACATTTGGGGACGAATCAAGTATTCGAGCGGGGGATGCAGTAAATGGTGGAACCTCGAGTCTGCGGTGCCTAAGACTCGGTAATGCTTTAGTTGGTCGATTTAACTGGATCCGGCCAAGCTGGGCACCGTGATGCCCATTCAGGGCTTGTCTTTAAGCGCCCAAAATACATCGAGGCTCTCCTGCTTTTGCCAACCCCCTCCCAAAGAAGTATCGCATCACAGTTCGATCCACGCTGCGTTGTCCATCCAGAACCCTGGTTCCGTGGCTCGACCAATCTGTTGAAATGAAGTTCCATTCAAGACTCTGTTCCTAGATTTTCGCTGGCATTCTCGATCCAATTCAAAGCTGTAGCGAGTGGGACATCACTCTTCCCCTGGCAGGGTGTAGAGCCTCGGAGACCATCAGTCACTATCTGCACGGCCCGTGGCCTCTTTCGACTCGTGCCGAAATGGCTGTCACACCTAGGGACTTCATGGTGTTGGAAATGGAAGCGAACATGATGATGGAGATCTTGCTCAGTCACCGACCGTTGATTGATTCAGAAGGCGCTGTCACCAAGACAAGGGCTGGTATCGAACACAACTCTTGCTCGTCTCGTATCATTTGCCTTGTCCTTGCGAGCCATCTGTGTGTCCTGTGTCGCTAAGCTTGGCTTAGTGAGAAGTGAAGTGGCTGCTGACCTGGACACGAAGGTGATATTGTCAAGTTCGTTCCGCTTTCGGCTTTATGCATTTAATGGTGTGATGCTGAGATGGCCATGCAAATGCAGCCGCCTTGAGAGTCGTGAAGGCCTAGTCGCTTTTTGACGACTGCAGTGTGTTTGTCCGTGTCGAGCAGACGCGAAAGCCTTGTCATGGCGTGTCGGAGAAAGTTCATGGTCGAGTTGTTCCATTACAGGCCATGTATGATGTCTTCCATGCTATGGAAGCACTCCGGATAAGGCACCGATTAGACCAGCTTTCGTATAGCACTCCTTCATTTATGCTTCATCTCCAGCTTCCATGTCCTGTCGTAGCCCAGCCTAGGCCTGCAAAGCCACTTCCTCTTCCTAAGGAACTTCCCGAGTCTCGTGAATTGATGGCACGTCGCTTGCCTTTTGTGCCTTCGTTGGTTCTGACGCCTTCGACGATCTTTTCGAGGCTTGTTTCTACCACAACACCACCAACCACCATTTCACTCAGAACGGCATGCAGTGTCTCGAAACCAAAAATCAGATCCAGCTCGCACACATTTTCGAACAACCTATCGAGAGCCTCAACGAAGACCTGGATGAAGTCGAGAAGAGCCAGGGGAGATTCGGTAGAGGTAGAGATCAGAATGAAATAGAGAGTCGCGTAGTGTCTATAGGTGATTTGCGCTGGAGCATCGGGAGAGGAGTTGCTTCCAGAAGGAGCCAACAACGGAGGAAGAGGCAAGAAGTTGCACGCAGACGCTGGACGCGCAGAGACAAGTGTGAATATCTGGTTCAGTAAGGACTGCTGAGTTGATGTGTCCTGCAAGCAATTGATCAGCATAGAGGGACAACATTTATTGAGAGCTGTTCATACCAGCTGAGAGTAGAATTTGGTCAACCTAGGTTGACCGTTATTGTTGAAGACCAGTACTGCGTTGATCATCGCACGGGAAGACGTACACCTGGTGTATATTCGAGGAGAGTGTCTGGCTGCGCACTTCATAAATAGATGATGAAGATGGTGGGCTACAAACGAGTATGACGGTGTTAGGCTTTCGGCGGAATTGACCCGAAACGCCCTTTGCATGGCTCGCCTACGCCTGCGCCTGAACCTGAGCAGATCGTAAATAATCTGAAATCTTTGTTAACAGGTTCGTATTCACGACGCTTCGTCCAGATTCTTCCACGAACCCTTGATGCCGGAATTCGCCTGTTCAGCCTGCAGGCAGGTCCTCAGATCTCGCCTTCGACGGCGTCTGCTCCATCTCCAGGATGGCCGTCGCAGCCTCCACAGCTCTTCAATTTTGAAGAGTGAACGCCACAATCGTACCGTCGAGTCGTGGTACTGGGAGACGAAACCGCCTACACTTCGAGAGTTGGCGGCAGCGGAACACTTTTTCAGATACAACAGACCATTCCGTCAATGGACCGGCGAGACGTGGCGGCAGGATGGTGCGAAAAGGGGGCCATTGCAGATTCCTGAAGTCATCTTTTTAGGTCGTTCCAACGTTGGCAAATCTTCAACGATCAATGCTCTCGCCGGCGAAGACCTCAACCGAGTCAGTGCGGTACCCGGCGCGACGAAAGCCATGGCGGCATGGGCATTCGCAGCGAAAACACCCAGCGGCGGTGCCATCGCAGGATGGGACGGTGATGTCTCCACGAAACTGTCCCTGGTTGATATGCCAGGTTACGGCTTCGGCTCCAAGGCTCTATGGGGTTCTTCTATAATGACATATCTGATTGAGAGAAAACACATCCGCAGGGCTTTCATCTTGCTGGACACTATACACGGCATACAAGAAGGCGACCGTCATCTGATCGAGATTCTTCGCGGCCTTGCCATACCCTACCAGATTGTCGCCACGAAATGTGACCGGCTCGTCGAAATGAAAGATTACGAAGGTCAGGTTCGAGAGGCGCTGACAACGCTCCGCACCCAGGCACAATTTGACACCACAGAGGAACAAAAGCTGGCCCTGGGCGAGATCATCTGTATGGGTAACCTGCACGCTAGTATCCTCAAGGGCAAGCCACCTCCCAAGTCTAAAGACATACCATTTGGCGTTCAAAATCTCCAATGGGCAGTACTCAGGGCCGTTGGCTTGGATACTTACGCAGTGCAGAAGGCCCAGGGTCAAGGGGCGCTTAAGAACATCGCCACGGAAGAACAACCCAGCATGAGGATTGACTATGTGCCGGGGGTCGATCTGTCTCCCAAGACAGCTGATCCTATTACGATAGAGGAGAAGCCTATGCCGTCAGAGACTGCAGGAACCAAGTCATCCTCCTCCTCTTCCAGCCTCCCCGACCTCTCCATCGAAGAATTCATGCGCGAGATCATGGGCGCGCGAGCAACACCGTCCGCAATGCCGCCCACGCCGCCCACACCCACCAAATCCACTACAGACACCGATGCATTGCCTCCGTGGGAGCGGCTCATGCAAGGCTATCGAAACAGAGAACAATCCAGAGTACAACGCCAGATACCTCTTCGTCAGCCAGCATACCGTTCTGGTCTGGAAGGTCCGGAAGGGGGCCGCTACCATCCCCAACAGGCTGTATCGAGCAGATCCCGGCTCCCTCCATCGTTGCGGTTCCCAGAAATTCCACTCAGGCGGGCTGCACCGACTGCTCCCACTACAACTTCTACAGCGGCTCAACCTACACGGTCAGCCCCACCGAACACGAGCAGCGAAGGCAAAGTCGTCCTCAGGGGCTCCGACGCATTTGAAGCCATGATGGGGTCGTCCGAGCCCGCCAAGTCTACGAGCAGGACACGAGGCAAGCAAAAGAAGAACAAGAGCAAATCTGGAAGCAAGCAGGCTGTCCAGGAGCCGTCAAGAGCACAATCTGCCCGACCGGCCTTGAGTGGCAAAGGTGTACTTCGCGGCATGGATGCGTTCGAGTCGATGTTCTCCGAACCGCCCAGAACAAAGTCAGCTGCTAAGAGACGGCGGCGTTCAGGGTAGAGGTGTCTCGTTGTTCGAAAAGTCAATCCTCACGTAGATACTTTGTACTAATATCGTCCAGTCCAGGCTGGCTTCTTAGCGTGGAGTAGAGCCTGGCCAGACATGTAGACTATACCGTCTCTCAGCATAGACAGATTGGAAATAGAAGCAAGCAGCTTCTCTAAAGCACATTCAAAAAGGACAGAAATTTGTCAATTCTAGCGACAGTAGAAATAGAAAGAAGTAATCAGGCGCATTCAATATCTCAGGACTCGTTCGCTCTGAAAGCAATAGCTGGTATCAGGCTGTCAATAGAGAAGAGAAAAAACACAGAGTATGTACATGTCGTGCCTTTCTTTTTCCTCTCTTACAAAGAAGTGGAAAAACGCGGCTAAGCAAAATGAACAAGCCACTGTGTAACTAAACAAGTCTTGCAGTTCGATCTGGTGTCGTTGGGAGTCTATGCCTTTTCTTTCTTTCTTAAAAGTGCAAAAAGCCCAGCCCGCCCCCATCACAGAGCAAATGACCGAAGAAACCACTAGCAGACCCCTGCATATGAGCCCACGTCTGCTCATCTTCCAACTTTGGAAGTGAGTTATGCATAAACAAGAAAAGGATCAGCTCGCACCAGAATGCATTCATTCGTCAAGGGGTATTGATATCGGCTATGTTGGCAGCTGTGCATCACGATATGATTTGTCGTTAAGCCACAAGAAGTCAATCAAGGTCGTCAAAAGTCGTAAAGCAAGAGGCGTCAGTCGTAGTCGTGCCAGAATGAAACATTTCTCAGGCTTGGAGGAAGATAGTGAGGATCGTCTGGTCCCGCCTTGGAAAAGGAAATCAGGGCCAGAAGCTGCATGATGGTAGTGTTTCTTCGTGTTAGGGAATCTGAAATGTCCGCCTCGGTCCCTTAGAGCACACGAGTTCATACGTCTCCGGCTCCATCCTCCAGGTAGTCATCATCGATGCGGGTCTCGAACCCCGACTCGTCGACGACAATGCGTCGGCCAAGGTTATGGGGGGGAATGCCGTCGCGGGCTGCTCCATAGTCGAGAACCTATCCAGAATCGTTAGCTTGAAAGGGAGATTCGAGCAATGCAGGCTTACCTCGATATAAGTCAACCCATCACGCTGCACTGCGGCGACACAGCGTCGTTCATTGAATTTGACTTGCCAGACACCGCTGAGGTTCGAGAGTAGATCTTTTATGCACTCCCCAGTCTTGATGTTCCATAACTTCAAGGTGCGGTCGGAGCCACTAATTACTTTCTGCCCGTCGTGTTTGAAGCAGGTAATTGCTCCTGTGTGTGCGCTCAGTGTAGCTTTGCACTGACCATTTTCTGGGTCCCATATCCTCAAGGTAGAATCAGCAGCCGCTGAGACGAGTTTGTCACAGTTCAAGTCGAGCAGCCCGACCAGAGAGGTGTGGCCTTCCAAGGTATATTTAAGAGACCCGGTGTGCAGATCCCAGATGCGGACCATGTTGTCCATCGAGCCACTGATACAGCGATTGCGGTCATGATCCAAGACTACACTGTACACCTTCTGAGTGTGACCCTGAAGACGATGAACAGTCTCACCAGTAGAGATCTTCCATACACGGACGGTACAGTCGTAGCTACCGCTTACCAAAGTATCAGCATGAGCGGCAATTGCTCTGACCGAGTGTTGATGTCCAGTCAGTATTCGCACGAAATAGGGGCAGTCATCAGCATCGGTCTCGTTCTCTGCCTGGATGAAGACAGGGTCGTCTGCCCTGGGCAACTTCCAAACACGCAGCGTGGAGTCCCTAGAACCAGTGATGATGAGTGGTTGCTTTGGCATCATGATTGGCCTGCCTTCAGCACTCTCGCCAACCTTGACGGGCGTCACGATCTGCAAGCATCTCACAGTCGATGTGTGACCTCGGAAAACCTGAGTCTCCCGCCCTTCAGCGATGTTCCATACTCGGACTGATCGATCAGTTGAGCCAGAAACGAGAGTATTTCCCTCATATTGCAAAGCCCACACTCCACCCTCATGACCAGTCAAGATAGCCTTCAAGACGCCTGTTCTGGTCTCATAGACGTTAATGTTGTTGTCATCACTTCCAGTCAAGATCTTGTCGGTGTCGAATTGCAGACAAGTGACGACGTGGGTGTCGTGCGCACGGAAGGCGATATGCTGCGGTTTTGTTTCCTCGAACATCCAGTTCTTTCGGATTAGATGGTGCCTCCGGTAAAGCGACTTGTAGAGATGAAGACCCCGCAAACTTGGCAAACCAACGTTGGGTTGTGGAAGAGCCGAAAGAGCAGCATTTGCAGCATGGTATGGACCTTCGGCATTTGATGCTTGGCTCATCCAGTCAAGGGTGACGTCAATTGATGCTTCGCGTGATGATCCCATATGTTTCAGCTGTTTGTTGCGGTTGGACAACATCGTCGCAGCCTTGCGCTTGGAACGTCGAAGAATACCGTTGAATCTGTTTTGTCCTTGGGGCGACGATGGCAAGGACACAATAGCCTCGTTGTCGGACTTTGAACTGGATGAGGAGCTGAGGTTTTCTTCATAACCTGCCGGCCCAACCGGATCCTGCCAGCCCCAACCTTCGGTGATGGCTCGCTGTAGTTCACCCTCAGGTAGAGTATAGCCATCGGCGTCAAACAGTTCTTTCCATGCCCTCTCATCACCGTTGACCAATTGCCGCCACTTCTTAGATACTTGTGCCGCCCTGCAAAGACTCTTCAGATCGAGATATTTCAAAATGTTAAGGCCCAGTTCAGGTGGTAATATGGCGAGGAAATCACACTTCAGAGCCGGATTTACAGCATCTGCAACAACTTGAAGGGTGGGTTTGGGGCACCTTCGCAGAAGTTGGTGCATAACATAGCTCTTTAACTCGTTGGGTATGGCTTCAAAATAGTCCAGCATGGCAGGAATGTCGGAAATTGAACGGCCTCGGAAACGGTTGAGACGGCTTTGTCCATATTGGGAGACGTGGTCTACGGTGGGGTTGGAAGGTGGTAAAGATGTCAGTGATCGTTCCCGGACAGTCATGCCTGCCATCACGTCCTGCTGAGAAGCTACTTCGGAGTTTGAGTCAATGTCTGCGAAGTAGCCAGAGTGTTGTAGAGTGGCAGCGGCCGTCACAGGAGACAACGACGGACTAGGCAAAGAGCCATCCTGCCCAGATGGACTTTCTGCGACATGAAGTCTTGCGGGTACAGAAGACAATGCTGTACGACTAAGAGGTCGGGGGCCAGGCACCTGACCATCTTCATCAATTGGCGGTGTTGGGACCGCAGTGTCTTGAGAAGAACCTCGTCTCAGGTCTCGTCCAAGGATCGTCTCTTCGAGTGTCATACCGGCACTATCGTCTAAAGACATGGAAGCATGTTGGCTTGTTCTCGGGGTGAATGATTGTGTGTTGTGGAACGTGTGTTGCAGGTCCATATTTGGCGATGGAAGAAGTCCGGAGCTCATGTGCCGCGTGGCGCTGGCTCGCTCGCGGCTGACTCTTCTGTGTCGGGATGGTTTCGGTATACTCTCTGGAGTAACTGGATTCGAGATGTGCAAATCGTGTGGTCTTGACAACAGCCGCATGCTGGGTCGTTCGCGTTTGTTGCTGGGTTGTACAGAAGCACCACGGTTGCTGGATGCAAAGGCTGGCCCCTGGAGATGTGCATGTTCCTCGTCGCCGCTGATGGACTCTGGTGACGCTGGCCGCTTTTCTGCTTGTCTCTGAAACGACGTCAGGCGTTCTTCGTTGTGTGGTGTCTCCGACCAGGGCTGAGATGTTTGGATCGTCTGTATTCTGCCATTGGCATCCCCAAGCATTCGCTGCTCTCTCTCCAACTGTGTTATTGATTAGTTTGAGCTGAAATACTGGTGTATATGACATACCTGTTCTAATGCAATCGATGTGTCATTTGCCTCGCTGAATATTGTATGTCTCCCTTCTATCTCGAAATGTATCTTCTTGAGGCTGGCAGGTGTGGGACTTGCTGCTAGTGGATATTGCTTCAAATCGAGCTCCTGCATTCGACGAGGAGGCCGCATCAAAAAGGGCGGAAACTTCGTGGTCGTGGTCGTGGTTGTGGTAACAACAGTCGTTTGGGTTGCTGGTGCAAATGAGAGCTGCCCTAGCAATGCGTTGCTTTCGACGTCCTTGGGGAACCCCGGTGCTCCTCTGCTTCGAGGTCTCTGGTTTTGTGTCATATCTGTGTGCCGCGATCGTTGGGGCTCCTGGGCGTCTACATCCATCACTTCCTCCTCATCCGAGACATGCATCATAGCCACGTTGAGATCAACAAGGGCATCTGGGTCGGCGGGGGAGTTGGAGGATTTCGAGACGCGTCGTGGAACCGTAGTCTTCGGCGGGAGAATGCAATATTGTACTCAGGTATTGCACTCAAAGATGACAACGAAGGACCTGATCGAAAAGCCAGACTCGGTTGTTCACCCCCAGTGGTAGTCGAGACGGGATCGTGTGTATTAGCCGAGGCGTTTCGTCGGTTGCTGAAAAGTGGGAAACAGGAACCAAGAGTATTTCTAGAAGGAGTGTCATCAATTCATCAAGCGGTCATGCACGGTATCCCATTTGAATGCAGAAACCCTCGTAAAGAAGTGAAGATGAATGGAAGAACCGTGATATGTCCGCAGGGTGACCTCGCCCCCGGCATAACCGTACGCAGAATGCCGCCGAATTAGTAGAGCCTTGGCGGGCAGAAGGCGCCACTGCCAGCACAGACTGCCAACCTCCTCCGTATATCATTTGCCTCTTCCCGACAAGATGTTGGCTTTTGATAGTACTTGTGTCTGCATAGAAACGGTTTCATCATTGACTGTTAGACCATGCAAAGGTCACACAGTCGAGCCCAAAGCTTATGCATCTATGAACGCATTAGGTGACAGCCCCTGCTATCTCGGTGCGATATGGCGATAGGTCTTACGCACACCTATCTCTGCGTTATGCACAAGGCTATACTTATTACTGAAGTTTCCCCCAAATTGTCACTTGTTGGTATCAATATGAGTTAAATGGCAACCGAAAAATACAAGTAAGTCAAGAGACATTGTTGAGGACAGTGAGATTGACGAGCACCAGGACACTAATAAGGACAGTGACAATGACTATGTTACTCCGTATTAGTCACTCAGTCGCCTGCATTTTGAAATCGACAATGGCGGCTACTTCAGTAATAAGTATAGCCTTGTGTGTAATGCAGAGATGGGTGTGTGTGATACCTGTCGCATGCTATATCACGGTGCCGTTCTGGATATTCGCGGAGGATACGGATACGGAATCCAGGTACTTGTGTGTTGAAGACTTGACTTAGCGATGATCCGTAGGTTGCTTTTCTGCTATTATGGTACATTAAAATGCGCTCAAGGTGCTTCTTATCGATCTCGCAGCAAACAGAGTCATGCTAGTATGGCATTTGGGATATCTTGACAGTCGTTTGCGGTTGACGACGTTTTGAAGTGATTCTCTCTCTCCCCAAACATCGCCTTTAAAATATTTGCCATACTTCTCATTCTCCCCCAACTTATCTCGTTCCAGTGTGATTGCCACTGTTGAAAATGACTGAACAGCTTCTGTTATCCGCACCAGCTGTGCCGACTCTCACTCAAGCGCACAGTCTTGCTCTTGTTCAGATTTTCATCAATGCCTCTCTAGCATGCATTGCGCATGCCCGTGAACTCATCCCATGGACCTCTCCGTGCTTCCGAACTCGATACGTCGAACAGATCAATACACTTATCGATGCCGATGCGCGTACCTTGTATACGGCTTTCAAAACTCTCGAGGGAACAGCCACTAGCGGTGGCCAAGAGATCAAGATCCTTGTCCGTGGAGTTCACAAAAGAGCGGACCAGGTGCTCGAGATGCTGGTACGCACTACCTCGGAGACTCTCTAAGGATCCAGAAGTCCTTGCAGAGGCGAGTATACTCACGTCCATTCAAGGAAGATGGTATCTTCGAAGCGCTAGAGCACAGATTTCTGGACGCCTTTCAAGTTTTCGTGACCGATGCCGATGACTCCCACGATGTCCTTGAAACCTACTCCTTTGCCTTCAAATATACGCAAGATCGCATACATAGCGTTCATATGTCTTCAATGAGTCGGGTGCTGGTCCTTGAGGATTTTCAGCACAGTTTCAAAGCGTTCATTCGCAGTCTGCTTCGTTTCCTAAGATGCCTACCACGTCTCCCAGGTCAGTACCGGACACATTTTCCAAATGGATCCTCATTGACTGTGCTAGCACACCGACGGTTGGGAATGAGTCTCACTTACAGAGATAGTTGTCCACAAGCCTATCAGCCACCCGGCTTTGTTGACCAAGAAGAATATCCAGGCAAGATCGGAGAGAGAATCTGTGACACGTTGTGGAAGAGTCATGGAGATCTAATGGGCGAGGTGCAAGTTGGTAATGAACAAATTGCGATGAGCGTGCGCCCTTTCCGCATTGACGAGCCGTCCACCTCTATTGACCCTCAAGACATGGCAATGAGCAAGCAGTTGCAGGCTATGCAAAAGACGTCCTCACAGCGGACCACGAATCTTGTCTCTACTTTGCAAGACTCTGGTTCTAGACGCAAACGCAACAGCGATGTGCCCCTTCCTGTCAAGCGAATGAAATTGCCCTATCACCCTGGACACCAGGAACGGAATAGTCAACATGATTTTCTGCAACAGGAACAAATTGAAGGGACAGAATTCTCGAAGCATGATGCTGCGACAATCGACACACACGAGGCAGGTCTCTCGCCCGAAACGGATCAAGATAGAGACTTGCAGCCACAAAAGACAGACTACAGAGGCCCAAATACCAGCACGAACTCAAAACTGCCTGGATCAACTCGTTCACTCCGCCGGAAGATTAGCATCTCCCGAAACTTCATTAACATTGATCGCTCATCGTCTGTCGAAAGTCAAGGTGTTGAACAAGGTCTCGAGTCGAACGTAGGTATTGATGACAGCAGCGACATTGCAACTACTTCAACAGCCACGGCTGACTGAACATTGAGAATGTCAAGCACCGTACGCGGTACTCCATAAATTCCTGGCCAATGACGGCTTATGTGTTAGGTTGGAACATGATGGAGCTGAAACAGGTGTTGTAAAGTAGACTGGTGCACCAGATCGCTGTCAAAGCACATACAAGTACTCCGTATCTGCCGACCATTGGACGAGTAGTGGGCGGACTGACCTGACCTCAGCCTGCTCCATGTCGCGCCTTTAGAAAGAAAATGGAACGATTCCTCGTGCTTTGACGATGCCGATCTGTCTCAGTCTCGCGAGGCCGAGCAAGGCGGTCGTGGTAGCGCGGAACAGCAGTCGTCGGAGGTTTGCATTTGGCGACCGAGGGCTGATACAACGTGATATTATTGACCGCGGGACATCCAAGATGAGTCAGGCTTGATCTGAGATGGTTTTGAGTCAACGTGGCCCAAGGTGGGTTGCTAGGGAGGTGTTCATGATCAACACAGCAAGGTTTGATATGAGGAATCGTTAGGGTGAGAAGTAAGCTGCGCAAGACGAGGACGAGCGTCTTTCTTTGCCTTGTAGGGAGTAGAAGGACGGCAATCTTACTCTGCTCGTTATGATGTGCAATATGTTCATCGTGGAAGTGTCTACGTTACCATTCGTTGGTCTCTCACATCTCGGGCCATTGGCGGTCTTACGTGTTCGGCGGCGGGGATGTGACTTCGTCGAGTGGCACTAACTAGTATCTGCTCGAATTCCCATACAAAGCAAGACTTTCTGGTGTACCCCGTAATGATGGCGTACTTGGCACCAATGTTCCTGGCATGCACCCATTATCAGGACCCCTTGCAAGCTAAAGTCAGTCTTTTCGGGCCAACAGCAAAACCTCCTGAAGATCACCACCTCGAAGTTATGCTGACTTTGAACTCCTGCGGTGCTAAGGCATCCATTGTGTGCACTAAGGATGCCTCGTAGCAGCCACAGGTGGAGTATTCTGTACACCACTGTAATATCGCCCACTTTGTCGCTTGCAGAGGGAGTTCAGAACTGGAATCTCCGTGCGGATAGCAGGACCCATGGTACTGATGCAAGCCTGCAACATAATGGGCCCCATCTTCCCATGGAGCCTCTTCTAGCCACTGAAGGCTCAGACACAGGCCAGTAGCTCGATACCGGCGTCGGTCCAAGGCATGCATTTGAACGCCTAAACTTCGAGAAGGGTGTCAACCACGATAAACGGACATGCATAGAGCACGAGGATTACTTGTACTGACGAGGGGCTGCGGGAACAACCTCGACCTATTCCAAGACAATCAGGCTTACAGTACCAGAAGGACAAGCGGTTTTTGCTAAGTATTTGCAACTTCCACCATGCGACTCTAGTCAGTGCTAATGGAAAGCCTTCGCTCTTATTACATACAGCTGGCTGGTCTTTGGTCTTATTAGGCTGTTGGATAATCCCAATTAGCCCTCTTATTGTCTGCATTCGTCATTGCGCCTCAGTGCCCTAAAAGATCCCGTGGTCCCACTGCTGCCTCCTCCTCCTCCAGTCCTGTCATGGAAGATTTGGTGCTCATCAATAGATGAGTGTTGTGGAAACTGGGGCTCGATCGGCTGGCTCTTCATCTGACCCGGAGGGACTTCCATCTCTACGACCGCCTCTACTCTCTTCCGCGGCAATCAACTCTCTACTTGCAACAAATCGTCGAGGTTTCCGTCGACAGCGAGACAAGAGGTTACAGCTCTCCTCTCCCGAATCGCAAGCCAGCAAAACTCGAAACATCTTACTTCATTCGCAAAGCCTGATACGAGTACACTGACTGGTGCGACCTCCGATCTGCCTTCTATCTCTCACAAGATCTGGTCCTCGGCGAAATTGTCCACGGGGCGGATGGCAACTTTATTGCGACCCAACATGTTCCCTTGAAGTCTCACCGCTATTCCTTCACCTTTGAACCGCCGATTTGTCGGCCGGGAGTTCTGCAAACGAATTCATCGGCCTGTCCACGACGGGAGGAGACGGATATGGGTTCTGGTCCAAGATTTCGCTTCCCAGGGTCGTTAAAAAGGACGAAGTCCAGCGCAACTGAGCAAAGCTGGAAGACAAATACTGGCAAACGCGAACACAAGGCTCAAAACATACTGGGTATCTCGGAAGCCGCATTGAATACCGCTAGAAACGAAAGTGTCAGTTCTTCTAACACGGCGAAAGTGCCAACTCTGTCATTCTCGGATGCCACTACTGAATTGGGCTCTTCGCACGCCGCCACAGAGAAACCGGATGTGATCCCCGAACTGAAGTTGAAGGCATCCTCTGTATTATTACATGAAGAGTTCTGTATCAGCGCTGAGAGAGCAGCATCGATACACTCGAAACGACCCAAACCCCATCGCTCTTCTTCAACTTTGAACTCCCATTATGAGGCACAGAAAATGCCACTTGCTATATCCCAACAGACCTCTGACTCGTCGAGACGAGATGGCGCCCTACGGAAAGGCTCACCAATAGTAATCAGATCAGCCACAGCCGAGAAGGAACCATTACGGCAATTGCGGTTATTTAGGTCGACAAAACATCGAGACAAGAGTGGGAGTAAGAAACTCTCCAAGCAGAAATCTGCTTCAACTGCTTCTCCTCCTCGATCACTTGCGGACGGCCAGAGCTCGACTAAATCAACAGAACATCCAAGAGAATCGGTTTCAGCACAGTCCTCGAGAGGCTCTGTTTCATACAGGGGGAGTAACTATCACCGCGAACATGCTCCTCGTCCGACGCCGAATTTTTCTATGGTCAATGTGAAGCATCCGACGTCATACCTCACTCATTCCGATGGTCCCGTGGAAACATCCCATCTCAAATTAAACATCAGAAGACCCAAAGCAGGGGCAAAACATTGGTTCGATGGATTGGAAGGCGACAGCAGTGAGGATGAAAGTGTTCACGAACCAGAATTCCAGCCAAGCTTCGTGGATGGCATGGAGAGTGCATTTGAGGACGGCAGGATTGGTCTCGTGTCGAAAGATTCTGCGCGAATGTCCACCTTCGTCCCAGATACATCCGATGGCTGTGCAAACTTGGACTCTGACCCTTCCGCTTCTTCATCTTCTCGTCACATGCTCCCCGCCTCCGCTATTCCCCCACGGACTTCAACCTTGAATACCAAATCATCAAGGTCAACACTATCCCAAGAATTATTCCGCTCTCACTCGAATCAACGTATACCTGCGGCAGCATCCAAGACTTTGGCCTCAAGTGATCTGCACACAACCAGTGTACTTGATCTCTCCTCGTCGGAGGATGAAGAAAATCGTGTGGAACCTGAACGTGAGCGTTTGCCACAATTGCGTGACAGTATAGCACTCGAGTCATTGATGGAATCGGACATTGTGGTTGGAACTGCGAAGGCAATCGAGACAAATCAGAACTCGTCTATAAAAGCAACACCCAGCTTGAGGCGGGTCGCTCGCAATGTGTCAAAGCGGAACGCAAAGACTTCAACCAAAGCTATCAGCAGACCTTCCAATATAAGACAGTCATATTTCAGCGATGTGTCATCACAGCGGACGATCGAAGAACATGATTTACTCACTTCATTCCCCGCCACTCCTACCGAATCCCGGCGAACATCCTTCCAAGGGTCATGTCTCTCGGACAATGCAAGTATAGAAAGTCGAAGGATGATCAGCGTAACCAAGCACGAAGAGTCACTACTTGCGGCGATGAGACTAAGATCGACCGGCGTCCCACAGCACGCCAAAAGGAGCAGTGATCCAAGACTTCGGCTACTCAGAGACCTCGACAAGAGATCTCGATCCCGACAAATCCCGGCAGGCTCGACAACCAACGAAACGGCCCGAGTCAATGTGTCTAGTCAAGAAGCCCTGAATCACTCTGATGCGAACTCTGACCAAGCATCTTGCACCACTTTTCAAACTGGCAGGTCGGCTGACCCAAGTATCAGATTTTCCATGGCGAGCTTCCAAACGGAAACATCCCTCGGACATGGTAGTGAGATGTCGTTTCTCGCCTCGCCTGGTTTTGTCCCTCTTGCGAACGTCACGAATGGCGCGAACCGTCTCAGTCGTGCCACTTTCTTCTCCACGTCGACCAGTGACTCGCGAGATACGTCAAGTACTCGGCGAGAGCACAATTACAGAGCAGCTCTCGAGAAACTTTCGTCTATTCCACCCCGGGACGATATACCCTCACAAGAATTCATCGAATGGCCTTATCATGGCTGGGAAGCTAAGTCGACCACCCTGGCGACTGCACATTAGGAGGAAAGAATTCGATTTTTCCGTTTGTTCCCAAAATTACAGAAGACGATTGGTGATGTATTGACGTCACCCTTGTACTTATACAATCTTTCTTTTTTTTTCTTTGTGATGACGACGACGAAGTGGAGGATTGACTTTGGATACTGTACGAGTATTATACTGGGAGAAGCTGCTCCAGGAGCTCACGATGTGCTTGGTGTGATGATTATAAGGCTGGCCTTTTTTGTGAGGAGGATCTGATCTGATCAATGTTGGTCTGGGCGTCGTCGGGTATGGCGGAATTGTCGCTAGACATCGAATCCACCGGATAGCCGTTGTCGCGTAATGAAATGCACACCGAATTTCCTGGTTTCCCGTACTGTAATGCATGTTGGACAAGCGACCAGGGCAGTATCTTGGTAGTGGACCTGTCTTGGGGGGGGGGGTGTGTACTGTAGCAGGCTGATGGAGGCACAGGCGCGGATACTTGGGCACATGAGGCGTTGACAGCCTCCCAAACAGGGGGTCGACAAGGATCCATGACGCAGCCTGCATTGGGCAAGCCCAACTACCCAGGCACTAGTAGCGAGTCTCCAGAAAAGCCCTATCCGCGTTGAGAGGAGGACGGGAAGAGCACACTGCATCTTGAAAAAAACAACCCAATCGACGCGCCAGACACTCTCCCACTCATTCGCCAATTGTTACCACTATTGCTTCGTCACTTCACGTCTTCCAGGTCATGCTGCATTTCCTTCATTGTTGCGGTGTCGGGTGACCTTGGGATTTCCACGCTTTCATCGTCCTCCTTCCTCAGCGGTTCAACGTGTCCTCTGACGATAGACCCGTCCACTCCTTTTGACCTTTGTCTTCATTTTGTGAAAGCGACCGTCTTCTCTGCCTGGAGCAGGACGACAATTTCAGAGCGAAGGGCAGTACATTGTCAAAGATTGGAGACTTCACACCCACTCTCAAGACTGAAAAGATTCCTCTGCACCAGGAGCGCAGTATGGGTATCGAACGCGCGGGCAACCAGCCCAGGTTCATGGGAGCATCATTACGGAGTTTATGTTTGAGCACTGTAGGAGAATTGGAAAACATGCCGCGGGGTGGACAATGCTGACACTGCCTCGCAGTTGACGATGCAGTTTTCTGTTTTTATCCTAGTATGCAGCCATCGCATCACGATCATCGAAAAGAGCACGCCCTGCTAACGCAATTGACCACAGCTTCTTCACTATTCTCGAGTCATGCCGACTCCGGATGGGCATCGTTATCTTCCCTCGACGGCCGTCTTCCTCGTCGAACTACTGAAACTGGTCTTTTGTCTTACCGTGTCACTCTACGAGATCTCACTTTCCGTCCCTCAGACCACGACAGCAACGACCCTCTTGCGAACACTTGGTAATGCCATTTTTGGAGGCGATTCTTGGAAGCTTGCGATTCCAGCAAGCCTGTACACGTTGGCAAATAGCCTACAGTATGTTGGGATTTCTAATCTGGACGCTGCCACATTCCACGTCACATATCAATTCAAAATCTTTGTCACAGCGGTCTTTAGCGTCATGATCCTGCGAAAGTCTCTGTCGGGCAGGCAATGGGTGTCCCTTATTCTCTTGATGATTGGGGTGGGAATAGTTTCATGGCCGCAAGAATCAACAACTTCACTGGCCTCAAATCACCATGCTCGAGTCTATGTACCGAGGTCTTCGAACCCACTGCGAGAGCATTTCAAAATTGCAGGTCACGGTTCCCACCTCAACAAAAGATCTGCCACATACGAGGGTATTGAGGAAGATGAGCTCGCTCTTAATACACCAGGGATGGACGCCTCGGCAGGACTACTTGCTGTCCTCGGCGTATGCATCACTTCAGGCCTTGCTGGCGTGTATTTTGAAAAGATCATGAAAGAGTCCCCAAAGGCCACCTCTATTTGGATCCGCAATGTCCAGCTGTCCATTTACTCTCTTTTCCCAGCGTTCTTCATTGGCATCATTTTTCTGGATGGCGAAACCGTCGCCAAATATGGATTCTTCGCCGGCTACAATTCGGTTGTTGTTGCTTCGATCCTCATACAAACAATCGGCGCAGTCCTGGCGGCTTTTGCAATCTTTTACGCCGACAATATTGCTAAAAACTTCGCTTTGAGCATTAGCATGGTCCTCAGCAGTTTAGCGAGTTTTGTCTTCTTTGATAACTCCTTGACGAGCCATGTAAGTAGCAGCGACCTCGATCAGTGTTCCTTTTGCTGACGCATGTTAAGTTTCTATTGGGGGCTTCCATCGTTCTCGTATCCACTATCATATACAACACAGAGGAATCTCGCATTCAGTATGCGCCGCCGCCGTCGATCAAGATCTACAGCGACGAGAAATCGGTGCAGGGTGAAGTGCTGGACATGAATGATATGTCCATTCAGATACCAAAAACACCCCTCAGCCAAGAAGAAACCGCCATGGCGACGTCACGTCCAGGTTCTCCTAATCATAAGAAGCGCAAGAATGAGTCTGCTGGTTATTTCCCAAAGTACGACGATTGAAACATGTCTAGCATGACAATGACCTGACGAGCGAGGAGGGAATTTAGTATACCCATTGATGCCCTATACTGATGCTGAACGGCACTTGAGGAGGCTGCATTGATACTGAACGTTATACCAAGTACTACAGGAACACAATCCTCACAAACATCAGACGGCAGGTCTCAGTCTCGGTGTCACGTGCTGTACTTAAAGTATGGGGCTTCGTGCCTGCCATGAACAATTGACCTGCGCCTTGCCCTTCTATATTCTGCTCACACCCCTCAGAGCCCATCTTATTTGTTTTCTGTCTGCTGCAATACACACTTTAGCCAGCGCACAAAGTCTGGCAACAGACAAATTAATCAGACTCATGAATTCCACAAGACAAACGCAGGCCACTTACAACCCCCCTTCCTTTGGTGCCCATCGCCGCAATCTTGCTTCACGTTCACGGCCACAGAGATTTATACAAATTCAAAGATCTGCTTACCACTCTCCTCAGCGAAATCCATCTCTACATACGCCGCATACACCTCCACACGGACCCAAATTGAGCACTGCTCCGGTCGTGACTCGCGATGACGACCTGGACGAATTTGGTGAGGACAAGCCATTTCATCTGGAATACTACTTACACCTTGACAGATATGTCCCTCCTGGAAGGGATCAGCCATGATGCGCCAGACGATCCCCAAGCAGAAGCAGAACCCTCGCGAGCTCATAGGCCATTACCGTTGCACGGTTCCACAAGCAACACCGGAAATACTGGACCAGCCAGCACGTGGACTGAACCCAACCTCAGAAGGGGGCCGGTGGAAATACATGACTGGCACGAGCGTGCTCCTGCACTTCACCCTTTCAGCTCTCCAACAGGTCCTGATCTGACTAGTCCGACAATGTCCATGTTGCAACATCGTCAACAGATAAAGTCGGCGAAGGCAGAGAGCACAACTTCATTCCTACAACAATCTTATCCTGGCGAAGATTTATACCACGAGGGAAAGCCATCAAATCAGCCCTCACCAAGAATGCATCATGCTAGCTTGCCACCTACCACTCAGGGGATACAGCTGGTCGCTACTAAGACTCTGCCTGGTCGACTCCGCCCAATCTTCAAGTTTGAGATGTTCAATGCAGTTCAATCTAAATGTTTTGCAAGTGCATTTGGCACTGATGACAATCTGGTGGTATCCTCCCCTACCGGCAGTGGGAAGACTGTCATTATGGAGCTTGCCATATGCAGACTCGCCGCGGAGTCGACCGCCGGCGACTTCAAGGTTGTCTACCAAGCTCCGACAAAAGCTCTTTGCTCCGAAAGAAATCGCGACTGGCAGACCAAATTCGGCCACTTGAACTTGAAATGTGCTGAACTGACAGGTGATGCCGATTCTAATCACTTGCGCAACGTGCAGAGTGCAAATATCATCATTACAACTCCAGAAAAATGGGACAGTGTGACTCGCAAGTGGAAAGATCATGCCAGACTGATTCAATTGGTGAAGCTATTCCTCGTCGATGAAGTGCACATTCTCAAAGAAAACCGTGGCGCCACCCTGGAAGCCGTTGTATCTCGAATGAAGTCTATCGGAGCCAATATCAGATTCGTGGCACTCTCTGCCACGGTTCCGAACTCCGAAGATATCGCCACATGGCTTGGACGGAATTCAACTATGCAACACATGCTAGCGCAGAGGGAGGTTTTTGGTGAAAACTTCCGGCCAGTTCAACTGACGAAACATGTCTACGGGTTCGCAGCTAGAGGTAACGACTTCGCATTTGAGTCGATGCTCACACAGCAGTGAGTGACAGGGGATCGCCATTCTGTCATTGGGCAGAAGGCTAATGTTGGACAGACTACCAGGAGTTATTGCACGCCACGGACATGGGAAACCCGTGATGATCTTTTGCTCAACCCGGAATGCATCTACAACGACTGCCAAGAAGTTGGCTGATATGTGGATAGCCTCAATTCCATCTCAGCGTTTGTGGAAAGGTCCGACGACACCGCTAACACTCACGTCTCAGGATCTCAAAGGCAGGTAACCATCCAGGGTTCTTCGACTCTAGGCAGACGCTAACATCTCCCCAGTCACATCTGCTGCAGGTGTGGCATTTCACCATGGAGGGCTGGACCAGGTTGACCGCAGGACTATCGAGAATGCTTTTCTAACCGGCCAGATCAATGTGATCTGCAGCACATCTACACTTGCCGTCGGTGTTAACTTTCCCTGCTACTTAGTCATCCTCAAAGGGACAAGTGCCTGGTCGGACAATGGTTTACAAGAATATGCTGATCTAGAGGTGATGCAAATGCTTGGAAGAGCCGGTCGGCCGCAGTTTGAGACGTCCGCTTGTGCAGTCATACTAACAAGAAAAGAGAAGGCTGAAAGATATGAGAAAATGGTGTCAGGAGAAGGCATTCTTGAGAGTTGCCTGCACCTGAACTTGATCGAACATCTCAACGCCGAGATTGGATTAGGAACTGTGTATGATTTTTCAACGGCCAAAACCTGGCTTGCGAGCACATTCCTTCACGTTCGCATGAAGAAAAACCCTTCCCACTATCGCTTCAAAGAGGGGATCGATACAGTTTTGGAGGATGATCTGCTGGAACAATTGTGCCAAAAAGACATTGCATTACTCATCAATGCCGGCCTCGTGAAGGAACAAGCTCGATTGGTATCAACTGAATACGGACAAATCATGGCACGATACTATATCAATTTCGAAACGATGAAGTCTTTCATTAACCTGCCTCCCAAAGCAAAGATGTCGGAAATTGTATGTGGTATGACTTGTGATTTATTTCAAGGCTACTAACCCCTTTGCAGTTGTCGATCTTAACCCAGGCCAAGGAATTTCGCGACGTTCGCATGATGGCAGGAGAAAAGTCATTCTACAAAGAGATCAATAAAGCCCCGGAAATCAAGTTTCCGGTCAAGGTGGATGTGGCACTCCAGGCGCATAAAGTGTCACTCTTGATTCAGGCCGAGTTGGGCAATGTCTTGATTCCGGACAATGACAACTACAGAAAGCACCACCAGCAGCACCGGATCGACAAATCGACCGTTTTCAGTCATGCGAATCGCCTCATCCGGTGCATCATTGATTGTCAGATTTATTTCAAGGACTCGGTGTCCGCAAGAAATGCTCTGGAATTGGGTCGGAGTCTTGCTGCCCGTGTCTGGGACAACACCGCGAGTCAATTGAGACAACTGGACGGTCTCGGAGAGGTTTCCGTCCGCAAACTCGCTTCGGCTTCCATCAACGGCATTGACGTTTTGCTCAACACGGAGCCGTCTCGTATCGAGGTGGTACTCGGAAAGAATCCTCCTTACGGACACGATCTTCTCAAGAAGCTCGAAAGCTTCCCGAACTTACGAGTGTGCGTAAAAGAGACAGGGAGAGACTTGAAGCGTGGGACTGGTGCAACAATCAAGCTTGTTGCTGAGATCGGATTTCTCAACGAGACTCCACCATTGGTATTCAAAAGAAAGGATATCTATGTCTGTTTGCTAGTGGAAACTTCGGACGGGACTCTGATAGATTTCCGAAGATTCAGCGCCAAAAATCTGCTCAAAGGACAGCAGGTGTTCTTATCGACAGTGGTGACCAAGCCTACAAGCAATATCAGTTGTTATGTGATGTGCGATGAAATTGCAGGGACGAGCAAATATGCTGAGCTACGGCTGACAGACATACCTAGCTCGTTTTTTCCAAGGCAGCAAGGTCCTTTTTCTGAGATTGCCAACAATAACAAGCCACAAGTCAAGGATGGACGTACCGACGAGTTTGACGACGGTGGCGTCGATGATCAAGACCTTCTAGCTCTCGAAACGAATGAGCATGATATTTCAGATGTGCAAGATATCGACAAGATCCTTCAAGAAGAAGAGAAGACAAGGGGCAAATCTAACGGTGGACGGCGCGGTTCGGAACTTGCACAGAAGCGGAACCGCGATCATAAGGACGAGGGTGATGCCTCGTCTTACAGAGAGCCAGTCCAGCTTGCTAACGGACGATGGACATGTCAGCATGATTGCGTCCAGCATCACCGAGACTGCAAACATAAGTGTTGCAAAGAAGGCGTTACCAAACCCAAGCGTCGTCCAAAGGCTCCAGACAAAAAGCAAATGAAGATTACTGGACTGAAGCATGTGAGACGGAAAGCTGAACCTGGAGGGAGCAGTGGGGGTCATCTCGAGCAGGTTTCCAATTCCAAAGCGACGAGTAATGTCGGCATCGACAATGGAGGCAAAACACCGATCAATGAACATGTCAGTAAAAAGTTGAAACTGTCAGACCCAGATCAGGGTGACCAATCCTCGGGAGACAATGGCAAGGTCCAAGCCCAACATAACAGACTCGACGTCCAAGCAATAGAGAAAGCCAATGATCTGCATCCAGCGATTGGTGACTCAGATGACGAATTTCTGTTCTCAGACGACCTCCCTGATGTTTTCCCGATTGACGGAGCTGCCAAGGGGACATGTCGTAATGAGCTGAACATCACCGCTACAAACCCAGAGACGAAGCCTCCGGATCATGGTGATGATGATTTTCCGGACATATTGAGGTATGAGGTCGATCTTTGTGGCTTTGAGCCCTCATCCCGGAAAGCCACTACAAGTGACGTTGTGGGTCCTGGCAAAGGCCTTCTCATTACTGGTTTTAGTAGCAGTCCCGTCGAGCAATGGCCAAGCAGCGAAACTAATGTAGCGTCCGAAGACAAGTCCCCTGGATCTCTACGAAGAACAAGAGATCCTCAAATAGGCAGGTTGAGATCTTCATCTGCGGCAACTGGTGTCATGGAGTGGAGCAAGTCTCATCCAATTGAAAGCACGAATCGAACCTCAAGAGATGTGGTGGATATGGAAGCTTCATATCCTTTAGCATCTATCGATCAAACGCCGGAGGAGAGACAGATGTGTTTGTATGAAGCGGAAGAGAAAAAGAAATGGGAAGGAATAGATTCGTGGCTTTACGATGAGTTCCGTGAATATGTCGAGATTGTTTAAGCAAGCGGGGGGCGATGTACAACAAGATTGTGATGAAAGTATCTGAACCAGTTTCAGTCACCTATGATAGGCGGAGGATGGTACGAGTGCAGTACACTCGTTCTGTTTGAAGAGATACAGTCATGTTTGGAAGAAAGACGATATGGTCGGAAAAGCTTCATAGGTCAAACCTTTTTTAGGTAGAACGTTGTTTCTTTTATATTCCACGATCTGCTACTTTGAACATGATGTATCAATTGATATTGGCTTTTGTCCGTGACTGTTGACAGGACTACTGGAACAATGAAATGGTGGTCAGGATGTGGACGGTCGACAGATCTGTGCCAGGTCTAATTCGGTCCACATGACCATCCACATGGGTTTCCCACCGAGTTTCTCCATGACTCTTCGACTGGGCATGTTTGATTTTGAAACGTCTGCATGTGCCCAGTAGTATGGTGATGGAAGGCCTTTTGGTTGCTGGGTGGTACTGTCGGGTTGTCGTTGGTGGTGTCGGTGGTTGTGCCGCTGACGACGACGCCTGATCAATAATTCTCTGGCAACACACAAAGCTAAACCTTTGCCGCGATGTTCGGGCTCGGTGTGTAAACTTGATATACTAGAGTCTTTCCCCAAGAAACCCCAGGCGATGGGGGTTGGGCCTGAAGAGTCAGAGTTGTCGCACTTGTCGTCGTCTTCGGTGTCGGTGTACAAGACACCCACATTGACAAACTCTGACAGCGTCGACAGTGTACGAGGGATGGTGGATCTGTCGAGTACGGTCTGTAAATGTGTCGAAGCCAATGTGGTGAATTTGTAATTTTCGGGCAGAAGAGAAGAAGATGTCTTTTCGGTTTCTTCTGGTGGCGGCGGTCGTGGTGTCGCACCCGTCTCGTCCATGACTGGATTTTCCAGACTTTCCGGAGTAAAAATGTACTTGATGTAACCCGGGTCCGTTCTGGCTCGGGCATGATGGGGAAAATATCTCCAAAGCTCGTCACCGACGGTACCAAAGATGATTTTGTTTCGAGAATAAGGGGTGGTCAATGTTTTTCCCGTCTCCAAAAGCGTGGTCCATTCTTTCGGTGGTGTCATTGGCATGGTCGGGATCAGTGTCTCGTGTATGTAATTGAAGAGGGAATCCATCAATGCTTTGTGGATTGGGTTGTTTTGACCGTCGTCGGTTTTGGTGTGCGTAGGAGGGTCAGTGGTTGTTTGAGTATGTGATGGACATTCCCAACTGGCAAAAACCCATACTTGGGTTTGACCATAATTTGTCAAATCGACATGAGCCGCCAACCATGGATTTGAGGAGGCGGAGGCGGACGAGGTCGTAGTATCTCGTCGTAACCATTCATCACCGATCGATCCGGAAGGACCAGTAGCACCGGAAGCAGTGTCTTTTCCTTCTTCTTCATCATCTTGAGAAGTATAAACGGCGACAAATATTTTGGATGTTTCGGGAACAAGTTGGCGTGAGAGGTGAAAATTTATCCTCTCCCACAAAGGGATCGAGTAAGGAAGTAAAGATTCCAATTTCTTCTGGAGTGACGGTACCTGTGACGAGTCGAGGACGCCACTTTTGATGTCGTTGACGCCGATGCTCGTACTCGTACTCGTATAATAGTGGTCATGGTTGGTGATGTTCATTTTAGGTAAATGTTTATGGTCTTCGAAATGGCATGACCTTTCTTTGCCTCCTTGCCGTGGAAACTGAAAGCAAAAAAAGGAAACTCGCTCTAGGAGAAAAAAAATAGAGACGAGACAAGGCCGAAGATGAGGATGAAGAAGACTCGTGTATCCTTTCGAGAGGTGCGTACAAATGCTTTGTGAGTATCTATGAGTCAGAAAAAGAGATGGGTTACGACGACGCCCTGGACGTTTTATTGTATTTACGTGAATCTCCCATCTCCGTATCTCGCACTAATCCCTGGGGGGGGATCCATCAAGAAACTTGCGACGATTTCCTCGCAACAAACACGAAACAAAATCTTCGTTTTCTCAATTCTTGTCTTTTCCTTCCAAAACTTTTTCAGCGATGACTTGTTCGAATCAGTCCTAGATCAATGGATTTGCTGTGTCCACCTTCAGACGAGGTAGAATTCCCAATTCAGCCATCTCGGAATACATCTCGAACAAGACCTCTCTCGTGTCGACAAATCCCGTCCATCCAAACAGTCTCGCCTTGTTCATGGAAAGACTACTGATCTTTCGGAACGCGGCGTCGCCAAATGCAAAATTGGCCACGGGGTCATCAAACGGGTTGCTGGTAAGTTGACCTTTGGAGTTGGCCATGAGTTGTCGCCAGGCCTCTTTGTTGGTGGGTTCCGAGGCCCAATCGACCAAAGTGAAGCTGCTCCGCCAAAGTAAGGGAGGACCATATCTAGGTAATCACAAGTCAACATTGAATCATGATCAAAACAAGCAAGAGACACATGGTGAGTATGAATATCAGAACGTACCCCATTGGTGTATCCTTGCCGGATTTGCCCTCAAACACAGCAAACTTGTTGAAATCTTCTTCTGGTGGATGAACGCCCTTTTTCACATCAAACCACCGGACAAGCTCCTCGTAAAGTCGATCCCACGTAAGGGCGCCAGTATCCTGAGAGTTGAACGCCTGATTGCGACATTTATCCTCTAGGACGGCCCATTCAGACAGATACCCAGTCAGCAACGCAGAAGAATGATGTCCTTCGTGTTGCCAGACATCCCAGTCAGAAGGGAAGTAAAGAGGCTCTCCTTTCTGTCCCTGGACGGCGGCGTAGAACGCGATAGGCAACAAGGCGTTCATTTGCGCGTTGTTGACAGCACCGAGCACCCAGGCTGGTCGGATGACATTCCACGAAGTGCTGTTGGCTTGACAGAATTCGAAAAGTGACTTCTCTTGAGGATAGTAAAAGTTGGGCTCCAAATTGGACGGGCAAGAGTCGGATTCCACAGCAGGACTTCGAGTACGACCGATATGGACACCGTAATGTTTGGCTCCAGTTTGCAGAAGAAAGCGTTTGGGGATAATCTTGATCAGCGACAAGGCTTGTAGAAAGTTGTCGAGGAGGGCCGTGTTGACTTTGAGGAGCTCCTCGGCATTCGACCATACTGGAGCGCCGGGTGGTGGTTTAGGTTGCAAGTATGAGTAAAAGAAGACATAATCTGCCCTGACCGATTTCGATTCCAAAGCCTGAGCAATCTTCCAAGGCTCGTCCAGAAAATCTACCGCTATATGCTCGACTCGAGATCGCTGTGACTCCGGAAGTAAAGCCATCATGTCCTTGGGTGGTGGTCGGCGGGACAATGCGTACACCTTTGACCATCGGTCAGGGCTCTGCAGAAGCGCCCTCATGGTATGATAGCCCGATATCCCATTGGCCCCGGTGACAATCGCTGTCAAGCCTTTGATGGCAGGATCGAAGACTGGCAAGTTGTGGTAGATTCCTTTTTGCTGGACTGGGAAGCGTTCAGACCCCATCGTGTCTTTGTGAATGGGGTACAGGTGAGCGTGTGATGCGACCGTATGTAATCTCAGGCATGTAAAAGGGTTCGTGAAAGAATGATTTATACATGTATGAATCGAGAACTCACCGCCAGAATGAATCCTAAGAATTGGTAAGCGTAGACAATCTCAGGACTATGAACAGCTCTTCTTCTTGCACGCAATTCGAGCTAGACCCATCGGCACTGAATGAACACTTGCAGCCATCTATGACCAAGCAATAGAAGACGATAGTTGCACTGCCGACACTATCTGGCCAGCGCGGGAGTTGTGGATCGATATTCAAAATGCCATTCGGGTACATGGGGGATTTCGGTACCGATGTCAAACTGGAGAACTTCGGCACTTTGACACACTGGGCAACTTCGGTACCGAACACAAATATCGTGCATACCGAAATGTCCCCTTTCCCTCCAGATCCAACCGCAAAGGTGAGCCTTGAGGATATAGTGCTATGTTAGAGTTGTTGTGTCTCTTAATCATAGCTTCTACCTCAATTCACCAGAACCCTTATCACCTCATACAAAATCAAGAAACCTCCTAGGAAATGTCAGCGACCGATTACTCCGTTGATGCCTCCAGCATATCGCGACTTGATGTGCAACCTTGGAAACAGACAGCACTCCGAGCCCGAGAAGTCTTATCGAATAGTATTCCAGCCAAATGGAAACTGCACACGAATTTCGAAACACCAGACACTGATTTTCCGCATGCCGTTCTTGATTGCGGTATTTTGACCTCAAGACAAGTGGAATTGACTCAATTGACAGCCTCTGAATTGCTGCCTATGCTGCACACAGGGACACTGAGTGCAGCCGAGTTGACTGAGGCATTCTGTGCTCGTGCAGCCATTGCTCAACAACTGATCAACTGCCTTACCGATTTCTTCCCGGAAGAGGCGATCGAATCAGCCAAAGCGTTGGATGCTGAATATTCCAAGACCCGGAAGCTTCGGGGACCTCTGCATGGTCTTCCGATCGCGATCAAAGACACCTATGCAGTCAGGGGCAAGAGAACCACCAATGGTTGTGCTGCGTGGTATGACAGCGAGCCTGCGGGCGAAGATGCTGCTCTTGTGCAGGTCGTCAAGGACGCAGGAGCAATCGTATTTGCCAGGACAACGATGCCACAAACTGGAATGGCCTTGGAGACAGTCAGCCCTCTCTGGGGCCGTACACTCAATCCGTACAATTCAAGATTCGGATCTGGTGGCTCCTCTGGCGGCGACGGTGCTTTAGTCGCCATGCATGGGGCTCCTTGTGCGCCCCTGGCTTCCGATATTGGCGGTAGCATTCGTGCTCCCGCTGCTTTCAACGGTCTCTATGGTATGCGACCAACATCTGACAGGGTTCCTCGAACGGGGCTGGTGTCACAAAGACTGGGTCAAATTTCCATCAAAGCGTCGTGTGGTCCCATCTGTCACAGCCTGAGCGACCTGAAGCTTCTTGTCAAGTTAATACTGACACATCCGACTCTGCCCTACGAGCCAACATGTATTTCAGGATTCTGGAAGGAGACGCACCCTAAAATAAAGCTTACCATTGGTATTCTCGCCACGGATGGCATTGTTGATCCACACCCACCAGTTACTCGGGCTCTCAGAGATGTCGCAACCAGTTTACAGGCAGCGGGACATCAAGTCATAGAATTCACGCCCCCGATAGATCTTTGGAAGGCCGCGATTACCACATGGAAGCTCTATTTCCAAAATGGAGCCATCGAGACCAAGGCGGCTCTGGCGGCGTCCGGCGAACCTTTGATTGTCCAGTTCCGACATTACCTCGATACATTCAACGTCCGTGAGCATACGGTGTCGGAGATTAGCGAGTGTCACAGGCAGCAAGCAGCTTACAAGAAAGCATTTGTCGATGCTTGGGATGCCACGGCCAACGAAACCCAGACAGGCATGCCGATGGACTGTATCATCACCCCTTCTGCACCACTGGCTGGATCGCCTCATGACTTCCCCCTTTGGTGGGGTTACACAACGATCTGGAACCTGATAGATTATCCATCGATCATCATGCCGTTGAAATCTTTTAGACTGAATCCGATAAAAGATGCGAAAGACATGAGCTACCAGCCTCGTGATAATCCATTCGACAAGCCCAACTGGGAGATCTGTATGTCACATGTCTGAGTGAATGAAGTGGCCTGAATGCTAATACAGCTTGAGCAGATGATCCTGAGATGTGGAAAACGCAGCCAATGACCTTTCAAGTTGTTGGGAGGAACTGTAGGGACGAAGAACTAATCAGTGCTGTAGAAGTCATCGACAATGTTGTGAACTCGAGCCGTTTGCCATAACATCGTGCATCTTAGGCGCATTAGCAGAAATAAAGAAGGGCGATGATAGTAATCCATAGGTCGATAGCTGCTAGTTCAGTCGTGCAAGACTCGTCGAATGTATTCTTGATCAGCATCGTTGGCGACAGTAGCATTGAGGAACATGATTAAGTTCGAGCTTCTGAGCATACAAGGCATAAAGCTCAATGTAGATGAGTTGAGCCATCGTGTTGATGAAATGGTTTATAAAGAGCAGTCAGAAAGAATTCCTAGTCGCGCGACGTCGTCATACGAACCGAACTCCTTGACTAAGCAGTCTTGGCTGAGCCGACATCCCCTTTGGCATATGTAAAGTACCGGACCGTGAGTATCATCGTAGGATATGATGGTCATCCTCGCTGCGGGTTAAGAGTGGTGCCTTGTTGGTCACCTTCCCTTAATAACCACGATTACGCCAAATACAAAGACACCTCCCGATGAACTCGCCAGGAATACTGCAACACAGCGAGAGTGGTACTCTGCGGCGACGCTTGAACACCTCTTGCTGGACCTGTCGAAAGCGTAAAGTTCGCTGCGATGCCACCGAGACCACAGGCTGTACCTCTTGCAAACGAGCAGGAATAGAATGCAGGTGAATGGTTTGTGTTCACACAGAAAGTGTCAGGACTGAAACAAGTGTATTAGAGCCCATCCGAATCAGCTCAAGTCTCCCAAGGCCCGTCGACATCGCGCTACCCCTCGGGCCACTGTAAACTCTGCTCAGCCCGACGATAATGAAGGCGCCATTCCGATCTCTTCTTCTCTCAATGTTTCTCCTAACTATGATAGTGGAAATCTATCCCGCTTCTTCGAGGCCGGTGTTATTTCTTCACAGTGGGAAGGATTCGAGGAAAAGGGGACATTTCGAGACGTTTACATCGGTACTGATGTCGCCAACCTACACCATCTCGTGCGTGATCATGAACTGCCTGGAAGTGGGTGCCTGTTCTATCCCTTCCCTGCGATTCGGGATGAACTATCTTGGAAACCAGCTGCTCATGGCCCCTCGATCTACCACTATCTGCCAGCCGAGGCCTTGAACGACTTAAGCAGTTTTCCCGTCCGCCCCGTCCGGGATGCTCTCGTCGACACGTATTTCGAGGACATCCACCCCGGGTTCCCGATTGTGGACGAAGCCAGTTTTCGCAAAAGATACAAAGACCCTGACAATCCACCTGCGCTCGTCGTCTTCCAAGCGATGCTTCTTGCTGCAGCTCGCATCACAGACCATCCTCAAGTCGCTGCGTCCCGTGAGATGACGACAGCCGTCCTCTTCAAGAGGGCCAAGACTCTATTCGATCTCAGACACGAGCATGACCGCGTCGATCTGATCCAGGCTGCCCTTTTGATGGCATGGTACACGGATAGTAGTTCTGATACTGTGGCCTCCAACGCGTACTATTGGGTTGGCAGTGCCGTGCGTATTGCATTTGGCATGGGTCTGCACCGCACCGCCTCACTTCGATACGTACCGCCGAATAGGCGGCGATTCGACAGGAAATACAAAAAGATCTGGTGGATTTTGTTGTACAGTGAGGTCATGTTGGCTTTGGAGTACGGCAGGCCCAGTCTGATTCGTGCCGACGATTTTGACGTAGGCATCTTGGAGGACGACGACTTCAAGAACATGGACGACTCAGAGGATCTTGCGGTGAAGGGTCGCTTCTGTTCCATCCTGGGTGACATCTCCATAGTAGTTTTGGACATGCTCAGTCTCCGTGGGCCGCGAGGCAGACCGACCCACGACAGCCTGAGCACAACAGCGGCAATCGAACGTCAGTTGGCAGCTGTGGCTATGCGCATAGCTCCAACCCACGACGCCTGGTCTTGTCAACTCCGGATCATCTACAATCTGGTTGCATTGATATTCTATCGAAACAATAGCGACGGCGATGAGGGAGCGGCGAAGCTCTGCTCCGAAGCAGCGTCCAACATTCTGACCACTTTTGAAGCCATGGTGGTGCACGGTACGATCCGCCAATGCCATCTGAGCACCACCACGGCTCTGACAGCGGCTGCCATCCAATTCGCTCGCGAAGCCCGATCAGCAACTGCCGCGGGGTCCATCATAAAGGCCGTCTCGGCTCACGGGCAGCTGGAAAGGCTTCTGGGTCCTGCAGAAGCACTTTCCCAATATTTTTCGCACATCAAGGCCGTGTGTAAGCTCTGCAAGAGCCTGAGTGCGCGTGCCGAGCTCCTCATCAAAGAGTCTCAGGAACCGAATTCCAGGTTGTTGTCAACTGATTCTCAATTCCCACCCGACACCAGTATTGACTGGGAAAGCATCATGACAAACTACCGTATGCCGAATAATCTTGGATTTAACGGCTTGGACTTGGGAGATGAAGGCGAAGAATGGTTACATGACTTCTCGTGGGCCAATGTCGACGACCCATCCTACAACGGCACAGATCAATGAACGCAGCACCAGCATTCGCTCTTCATTCATTCAACGGTTGAGGGTTGGTTTTAAAGAGTCGCGACTATTTGAGCTTTCAAACACTTGGGATTGATGCCTGCAATTTTTTCTCTCCCCATGTCCCTCTCCTCATACCTCCGTCCTATCAGTATATATCGATGTACATTTGAAGAGACGACATTTCAATGATGAGCATTGGCGTTATGATCAGCTTCGACAAGTTTCCAATACTTGGCCGCGCTTCGAGCCCGAAGTCTCTTTCCGAACCAAATCATGAAGAGGAACACTGATGAAGCAGCCATGCCAACGAATGCTGTAGAGATGAAGCAGTTGCGGATTCCGAGATGATTCACCCAGGGAGTGATGCTGTTAGCATAGTGATGTTAGCAATCGGCCCCTCTCTTGTCAAACGGGTACTGTTGAAGGTAGGTTCAGTGACTGACTTACCCATAACTAACCGCAAAGGACATGGTGTTGCGGACAAGAATCACAGTGACGAGAGCATCTGTGCTAATGTCATGATAGCTGTCGATCAGATAGTTGACACTCAACGACACACCCATGGTCGTGGTCATGGCCAGCATGCCCATAGCAAAAACAAGGCCGACCCAGGAGATGGAATAAGAAGCCCCCACGCCCCAGAGAATTGAGGCGCTGGGAATCACGACAACACAGATAACAAATGGCCACAGGCGATGCTCTGCCTCCATGAAGCCGCCATTTCGGCTCGCAAGCTTGATTGTCAACCAGTCGCTCAGTCTGCCTGAGATCAAGCTTCCGACAATCACGCCGACACAGCAAGAGAGGTAGCTGAGTCCGACCATAGAAGACGAAAAGTTGTACGTCGGCCCGGACAGGATGACCGATGCCGTGGCATTGGTTATGTTGAACCATATCAACCCTGACCCGTATGAGAACCCTGCGTAGAAGATGACGGGCCAGGAGAGGTATTTGAGACTTCGCAGAGCTCGTTGGAACATGGTCGGTCCTGCTGTGGCGGTCGGGCTGCTGCTCCACAAGGACAGTTTCTGGACAAATGATTTCTCCTTGCTGTGTATTTCACCTTCCTGTTGTGTTCTTGACCTGGTCGCTTGTGTCTCCTGGAATGTTGGGTTCTTCTCTGAATCCGGTTCTTCAATCACAGCAATCCTCTCGCTTGGCGGCGACGGTCCGCTGCTGTCCTCTTCAACAATTCCAACCGTCTTACGCATATAGTTTGTTTCTTCTTGGAAGAAGAACAAAAATATAAGCGTCCCCCCGTTGAATATGGCCGCCCAGTAAAACACCCATTCCCAACCTTGCCTGTCTGCGATGAATCCACAAACCACAGGAGTGAAATAGTTGCTGCCTGCAAGACTGAAGGCGTACACACCCATCCAGGTACCACGTTGATGGGTAAAATACTGTTTCGGAGGAGTGGGTTAGTTGGTTTCCAACAGGTTGCGCTCATATCCAGCAATACTTACTATATCCGTAACGGAAATCTCTGGTAGTGCTTCGATGGGAGCAATGAAGAAACCCATGACGATACATCTTGCAATCCATTCTCCATCACTTCGGACATATGGGCTTTTTGGTATACGTATCAGTAAGTCATGTTTGAGATCTGATACAATACTATGTGCTTTTTCGAAGCTCGGAAAACTGTCAAGATCTTACCTCCACATACTAGTTCCCTATTAATCTTCATTAGCTATCGCTCTCGTGAGACAGAAAACCAAGACTTACGATGGCTCCCAGAACCGAGATGAGAAAGGTTGGGCGTTTGCCATATCTGAGAGCAAAAGGTTGCCAGAACAAAAGACTCCAGCTACGATGCGGCAAGTATATTAGTATTGCGAACCCTGGTAGTATAGGTAGAGAAGAAGACAAACCCTAGAAACAAAAACATGTAACCTGTCCCCTGATTCAATGTCGTGATGGTGATACCTGTGGCTTTGGAAATTGGTACTAGAACCGAATATACCGTCGAAACGGCTACTCCAGTAAACCAAGTGTACCTACCACATGGTGCGGAGGATATAATTAGTCTGGGTATCTTCTCATCATCATCATCGAGTACGTATGCTCACAAATTCGCACAGATACTAGAGAGTATCTTTCTTCTCGGAGTCCAGTTCAAGGGATCATTCGGATCTTGGGACGGGGTGGGATCAAGAACGATGTCCCCTCCTTCGGCATGTCGAGTGTGAAGAGTGTGATTCAAGTCGACGAGATGGACCGTTCCAGGAATCTTGTTGTTCAATGGTCCATCTGCTTCAACATCAATGACAGGAGGCGAAGCCATCATCGAGGTCTATGAGGTATATTCGAGATGATAAGGATCTACCTAGCTAGGGAGTAGGTGATTACTGTCCTTGGATAGCAACGAGCTGGCGCAAGAAGGGGATTTATATGCACTCCGTATAGCTTGTGACTCTGCGCCATGTCTATCAAAGAGCCAGCTCTCTCTACCAAGGTATTCCGATAAGACCAAAACATGTCGGGTCAGATTGACGCGCAATCTTCACACACACGAGATATAAGAAACCTCGGGGGTTTTCGAATACCATCGCTGACCTGGGTACCGATAAAGACAATACAGTGGAACAGCGGCCATGGGAACCCCATTTGTCCGGGGTAAATAACGACGTGGAGGAAGAAGATAGATTGAAAGTACCGAGCCGAAATGCTTATCCAGTACCGAAGATCCATGAACCTCTGTTCACACGGTACCGGCGGTTGTAGGGGATCTGGACTCGATGTCGGCTCCGTGATAGGGGCTCGTCGTCATGCCGAAGATAAACAGCTCCCGAGAATCCAGTGACTAAGGTCTCGATAGTCACTGAACCCATGGCAAAAGCACCTTGTTCAGCCTCACCAGCCATCAACCAATTAACCAATTCATCAGTGCTTGGATCCGCTGATCTTTGACCAAGATTAGGGGAGTATTTGGTCACACACGTTCCTAGAATGTGCCTCCCACCAAAAAATGCAAGGGTCGAGCAGTTGTCGCCTAATTGTGCTTGACCACACCTTTCATGACCGGGGGGGTTACATGCACACAGCCACCACCACCTTCCTCGCCGCCGTTGCGATGAGGCTGACTTTGGTTCTCAATGGCAATGACTTGCAACTGTTTCTCAGCTTTCTCTTCTTCCTTGTACCATCGTTCAAGACAATTTCTCACCACAAAAACAAGGCTCCCAACTACATCTCTGATATCACATCATGCGTAGGTCCTAACAAACCCGACAGCTATTTGACGCTGATACTGATTTTGACCTAGACAAGTACCGACGTCAGGCTAAATTCGCGGCTTGGTACGATGAACCTGATGAATCGAGCTCGTCCATTGTGAATCCTTTTGCCAAGTGGAGGCCCGCTACGAGGGCGAATACCCTGGAGGCTTCGGGGGAGAATGCTTCACCCCTCAGGATCACACAGACAGACGATCCGAGACACTATCGATCTTCCAGTGGACTGTCGCATCATGGCGACTGGTATGGGGAAGGGCCATCACATGCTGACACTACGCCCACTGCGTACCACTCTCGAGCCGAGCACGAAATTCCAAGGACATCAAGTCCCGTAAACTACCATTCAGAGCCCGAAAAGGATCAGGATGCCAATCCAGAAAGTTCTGACCCTGCGCCTAGCCAAGAGACTGGCCTCAAGGAGCAAGATGGGCGCACACGACCCTCTTCCACCACCATCCAGCAATCTGGTCTGAAAAGGTTGTTCGCAAAAGGAGAGGACGCACAAGAGAGCGACGACGACGAGGGCAAGAAGGACGCACAAAGATTTTCCACATGGTCACAAATCCGCGCGACAGTGTTCAATTCTTGGATCAATGTGCTCTTCGCTCTGGTACCGGTCGGCTTTGCGCTTAATTATGCCAATGTGGATGCGGCGGCCGTATTTGCCATCAACTTTGTCGCGATTATCCCGTCGACGCGGATGATATCTTTCGCCGTGGAGGAGATCACCTTCCGGCTGGGGGAATTGCAAGGGGCATTGCTCAGCATAACATTCAGGTCGGTCATCGTCACATCCGCCTAAGCCATCAGGTCCTGAACGATCTCACCACAACGATGCTAACGAGAGCAATAGCAATGCCACGCAGTTGATCTCGTCAATCCTGCTCTTGAAGCACAAGCAAATGACCATCCCCAAGACGTCGCTCCTGGGAAGCATCATCTCGAACCTGCTCTTCATGACCGGCTTGTGCTTCTTCTTTGGTGGCATCAATCGCATCGAGCAGGCGTTCAACGTCACCGTCGCGCAGACGGTCAGCATGATGCTCCTACTCGCCGTCATCAGTCTGGTCGTGCCCACGGCGTCACGGCTCATGGTCTCTGGCGTGACGGACCACGACATTGTGGTCCAGTCCCGGGGGACGTCGGTGATCATACTCATCTCCTACGCCCTGTACCTCTTTTTCCAATTGAGAACACACAGGCGCATATTCGACACGCCTTGCGAAAAGAATGCCAGAATCACCAAAAAGTTGACCCACGTGGTCGTGCCTGAAAGGTTTCGCAAGCGGAGCGGTGTTTCCGGCGGCCGACCGATCGAGGACATCTACGAGGACGAACAGGAGGAGGAGGAGGAGGAGGAGCAACCCTCATTGTCCTTCATCACCGCGTTCGTCACCCTGGTCGTCTCCACCGTCTTGGTCGCCTTCAACGCCGAGTTCGCCACGGGCAGCGTCCAGAAGATGGTCCACCAGGCCGGGATTTCACAGACGTTTGTCGGGTTCGTCATTTTCCCCCTCCTCTCCAACGACCCGGAGTCCATCTTCCTCGCCGTCAAGGACAAACTCTACCTCAGCATATCCCTCACCCTCGACAAGTGCATGCAGGTCGCGCTGCTCATCGTCCCCCTGCTGGTCATGGTAGCGTGGGCCATGGCCAACGAAGAGATGACGCTCGACTTTGACGGGTTCCCCGTCGCCGTCTCCTTTGCTTCGGTCATCGTCGTGGCCTACGTCGTCCAGGAGGGCAAGTCGAACTGGTTGACGGGCGCCCTGCTGATCAAGGTTTATGTGATTGTCGCACTGGCCACGTACTGTATCCATTGATTTGACCTGTAGTGTTCCGTACGTAAGCAAGGCTTTTCAACCAATAAATCAATCGTATATACTCCGTCACTCAAGACGGGTCGACCCATGTACAAAATTCTCTACACGTATACCGAGTACCGAGTATCAAACACTTCGACTCCTACAGTCCGTGAATTGGAAGCTATCTACAGTATGTAACGTGCCATGGTGCCCAAAAATTTTCATCATGCATGTTTCCTCGTCGTTTGGGAAGATATTCCCTGTTCCAATTCCAACCATGTAATTTCGTCGTACAGTGTGACAATTCGCTCACAGAGCGGTAATTGGTAATTAACACTACCTCCTTAGCGTACACCACCACCACATGTGATGATCTCAAAAGAAAGCAAAATGGTTTGTTTGTCTAAGTGTTGTTTGACCTTTTTCGACCAAATATCCCACGAGATTTCGACTTGTTGCGTGGTTTGTCGGATGTGGATGACTTGGTGGTTGATCTCGATCGACCGTCTCTTTCGTCTTCGGTGTCGTTATATTTTTCCTTGTGAATCCTGGTTCGAATCATTAGCGGAGGCGTTGCGGGATACACCACAACAACACTCAAAACTCACCAGCTGTTGCCAATCATGCTGACCCCCTTTGCTTCTGCCATGCGGTAAAACTTGGCAGCTTTCTTCAAGTCCTTTTTGCAACCGATACCTTCGGCGTAGCAAAACCCGGCTTCGGTCAGCGCATCCGTGTCACCCCAATTGCCCGCAATCTCGAAACAGCGCAGCGCCAAAGCCTTGTCTTGCTCGATGCCCCAACCGTTCAGGTGCGACACGCCGAGTTCGTAAATGCTGAGTGCGAACTGGGCTCGGTGTGTCTTCATGTCGTGGTAGTCGGTGCCCGGTTTTCGAGTGACTGGATTCTCGTCTTCAGCCACCTCAGACATGGCACAATCCACGGCTTTCCGAAGCCACTGTACACCCTCCTTCTGGTTCGCTCTAATGCCCCAACCGTGACGACAGGCCAGGGCGTAGAGCAGCATCCCGGTCGCATGACCTTTGTGGGCAGCGATTCTCAGGTGATACGTAGACTCTTTCAGGTCGCCATGCTCGTGAAGCTCAATGGCCTTGGAGACGTGGTCTTCGGCTGAAAGGCCTTGGTAGTTGCTGACGGTACGAGCAGTAGAAGGTCGGATTGTGCTGTTGGATCTCGATGACTGGGAGGCTTCCGCCACCGGAGACAGAGGGGGTGGCGGTGGTGGCATAAACAGGTCCGTCATTGGCGGTTCGCCTATTGACGGTCTCGGGTTCGAGTTGGTCGATTTTACAGACCCGGTGGGCGTGTATGACGCCGATTGTTGGTGGTACTTTTCCCTAGACGCGAGGCTTTGTTCTGAGTTGAATTCGAAAGAGAATCCTGACCTTTGTTCACTGGACTCTTCTCTGCTAGGTCTTGCAGATGCCATAGGAGATGGAACGGCAAGTTCACTGCTGTTCTTGCCCTCCAGCGGCGGGGTGCCAGGAAACATGGGCTCCTGCCACTCAAAATGTGGCATCGAGAGGCCTTGGAAGACACCAGATGCCCTATTGGACACCCTCCGGCCTCGCGGCAAGCTATACGTAGCATGTGTGTACGAAGAGGCCTCGCCAGCAAGATAGCCTGACATGGCTTTAGACCCGTCGAAAGAACTCGCGTTTCGTAGATGGCTCAATTGCATAGCCATTGGTCCCTTTGTGGGGCTATTCTCAGCATGGAGATTGCTCAGACTCGCAGAGCTCATTGGGCGCGAGAAGTTCCTGGTAGAAAATTGAGTGGGTGAGCCCAGCGACCCAAGGGAATCAGTCCTGCCATGGGAGACGGCATAAGGGGATATCGGCGAGTGAGGTGCAGATAGTCCACTACTAGCGGAGAGCTGCCTCGATTGTGAAAAGGTTGAACCAGCGTTGGAACTAGTATAATCATCGTCTGAAGCGTCGTGATACGGTCGTAATCTGTTTGATGGTGGTACGAGGCCTAGATCGGACTGAGAGAGATTCGAAGGCTGGTATGGAAATCCTGCGTGCGTCTTCAGCACAGGGCTGTACGAGCCCGATGATGTCTCTCTGGTCTCAAGAGGAGGGGGAGACTCGACTCGAGGGGCCCCGAAATAGTCTTGTGCATTCGCCTTACTTCGTCGTTGCTCTGTTGGTGACACCATAGTGCTCATGCGAACATGCTGCGACGATGGCCGATTTGAGGGGTTCGCTACCCGCGGGAAACTTCCTGCATGATCCTTATCCATGGTGGGCAGAGGAGGAACAGTATCTACCCCGTCGGACAGGGCACGAAATATAGGTGGCCGATTGTTTTGATGTTCGATCAGTGATTCTGTGACGACTTGTGGTGGTAGTCTGCTTAACCGTCTCTCTCCAGCCTTCCTCGTCTCTTCCAACTCTTTGGCTAGTCTCCGACTTCTGGCGGCGAACGCATCGAGGGGCGAGAGTGCAGGAGGGACATCCCCATCGAAATGCTGGATTCGTGGTGAGACGAGGCCATTCTTCGACAGTGCACTACTTGTGCGGGCGGGCTCTTGGGGGAGTTCAATGAAACTGGGTCGGTTCGATGTAGTCATCATGAATGTACCACTGACCCAGCAAGACGATAATGGTTTGCGGTGTGCGAAGTCCGGTAGTATATTGATCTAGACTGTCCAAATTTACAGAGGCGAATGATCATGAAAAAAAGACGTTTGCCGGTTCGGTGAGACGATCAATATGGTTGGGAGGGGGGCCGGTGGCTGAGTAGATCGTCCAGCCGTCGGTCGCTGAAAATGATGGGCAATGAGTGACGATGGGTCAGGCTGAGGTCGCAGCTGATCCGTCCAACTTTTGAGGATAAAAAAGTAGACCCTGGTGACAGAGCCGCTGCTGGTTTGTGACTGGTAGGGAAGGGCAATGGTCATACGAAAGGGTATAGGAGAGGTTTTTCGGTTATTGAGCGATGTGAGCGAATGGTTTCGAGGAAAGGAGTCGTTGGTGAGAAGTAAGAATCGAGAGGCGATCGATACATTAAGGACGAAAGAATATGAGATCAGCACCAGCCCTGGGACGGGATGATCGGCAAAAGAATGTGCGTGTGTGTGTGTGTGTGTGTGAATGTGAAAAGAAACAACGACGAGCAAAGAATATACAAAGTCCTCTCCGTACGGAGTATTATCGCAGGCAGGGAAATGGAAGCATTGAACCAAGAGGCGAGACAGCGACCATGATGAATCGGTGCAGAACGCAAGTCCCCCCTGTACCATTTGCATGGGGCCCCTGTCCAGGCGACGGTAGGCATGCAGCCAGCCAGTCATTGACGCCCGTCAACGCCACAAAGCTGCACTCCAGCAAGCTAATCCACCCACCCACCTCGGGCTGCTCCAGGCTTTGGCTCTTTTGGCTGGATGCCGCCGAAAATCAGGGGGCTTTTTTTCTCAACCGCCACTACGAGAAGCACCCTCGACAGTCTGTGCGCACTATACCGAGTTCCCGCCTTCGACTGGACAACGGTCTACGCACGCCCAGCCGATTGAGATTGACTGCTGTCAGGGTCCTGTCTTGACGTCTTTTGGATCATTCCATCCTCGACACGATACCTGATGCATGTACAGCACGGAGTACATACAGTATGGTGCTTTTCATTATCATACAAGTACTGTAGCACATGGCAGTGTTCGAGTCCAAGCGCAAAGCTACTTGGGCCGCCGCCGCCGCCGTTGAACTTGGCCCTGATCCAGAACCCGAGAGTTCACAGCAAGCATCGCTAAGCAAAGTCGAGGCAAAAGTGTGGCGCTCGCGATCATGGTGCAACCTACTGATCTCTCTGCTTCCCACATCTGTGTCTCACACTACCTACATGCGACACCAGAAAAATCCCCCGACCGTGTGATGTAGTGGAACATGCAAGGACTTGCCTTGTTGACCTCAAACACACACTCAAACAAACCGGAGAAGCGGATTATGGTCTGTCATTGGCCATCTACCGGGGTATACCGAGTCCTAACTTGGTATTCGATCCCAGTAAAAGGAGGATCCAGCAGTAGTCTCTTCACTGAAAAGTTGGACCCTTGAATTAAAGACACACAAAAAATAACCACAGGGACACGCCCGATGACATGCAGCACTCGTTCACTGGTACATACGCCGGACAGGACCCTAGTTCCTAAAAGGGTGATATCAACACATGACGGTTCAAAAATTTCGGCATCGACAGTACGGAGCACGGAGTCCAGAATATGGAGCATGCTCGTGCTCAATACCTGGTCGACGAGGATAAGTACAACACTCCGTGGGTGAACGGAAATGGTCCCTGCAGGTGACAGAATAGTTTTTCACACAAGACTGTAGTTCTCGTGGCTCTCGTGCCCCCTGTTCTCGAGTTCGCTTTGGTTCGTTGCGACAAAGCAATTATTGTGTTGTCATTCCATACTCAAAGCAGTAAGTACCTTTAGTTGGGCATTAGACAAGTTGTTTTGCGAAATTGCCCTCGCCAGGCAACGTACATTTTCGCTCCTTGACGTGGTACAAGTCTCTGTCGATACTCCATAAGAGGAATTAATAAGTCTCTTTTCACGAAGCAAAGCAAGATTTCACATCCTTTCTGTCACACCCTTGAAGAGGGGATCCAACTCATACCCTGTCTCCTATGATATGAAGTACAGTACCTCGACCTCGAAGAAGCAAATTTGCCAAGTTGTATATCACGGAAATAGGTCGCGAATAGGTAAAGGCTGCTTTTGGGTCAAATGACCAATGCGGAGGATGAGATGCTGATCAAATTTCACAAAGGACGAGTGAAGAAGTTAGCCGGGAGTACCAGTAGGCATGCGGTCTTTCGCTGTAATCGAGTACGGAGTACGGAAATTTAATTACTTGAGCTTTTGCGATCATGCCCGCAATCTCAGTATTCGTACGGAGTACGGAGTACGGGTAACGAGTCTTTCAAGCCTCAGCCAGCCAGCCTCCTCGATCGTCGATGCAAGGCTCTCATGCATGCTGATCAACCGTTTCCTTTTCCCCGCAAAATCCTGCAGGTCCCAAGCCCGCAGCCCAGCACGCGCCCTGCCAAAAACATTCCTCAGTTATGACAACCCACACAAGTAAACACTTCACCACCTGCTCAGTACGTAGGTAGTAAGCACTCGGTCAGCAGCAGCAGCACCACCACCACCAGGTATCTGCCCTGCACCCATGGCCATTGTCGCCATACCCTTCGTACACGGTCGCACAACGGCATAGAACCATTTCGAAAATGCGCAAACCTGACCTCACACTCCGAAGCCTCATCCCACCATCCATCTATCCCTTCACGACATCATGGTTGCTCCCACCGCTCGCCCTCGCCCTCCTCCGCCTCTTGTTCTTCGCGTACTGCCTGGCCACGCAACTGACCAACTGGATATATGACGGGATCCATTCCGCCTCGTACCTCATCGGTCAGGAATTCAGTTACTTCACCGTCCTGACGTACTGGGGCATCCTCTTTTACAGCCTCGTCGCGGGCACACACACCCTCGTGTATGCTCTCAGAGGTCGATCGTGGCTCGAATCCTGGCCGCGCTCGACTCTCCAGGCATTACATTCTTTCTTCTACACCACCATCGTGACACTGCCATTCCTCGTGACCATCGTCTACTGGGCGGTGCTCTACGATGGACCATGGTTTCCCGTCACATTTGACGGTTGGTCAAACGTCAGTATCCGTACATGGTCTCCCCTTGTTGTGTTCTTCCCATCCTTGTCTCATTCATTTGACTCACTACCTCCCTTTTGGCATTGACATCAAGCTACGAGTGCCGACTGACCATGTATTGGAATTCAGATCTCGAGGCATGCTCTCAACTCCCTTTTCGCTCTGTGCGAACTCGTCCTGCCCGCAACTCACACTCCGCCACTCCTTCATCTCGTCGGACTGATCATACTTCTCCTCTTGTACCTCGCCCTCGCATACCTTACGCATGCCACCCAGCATTTCTATGTGTATAGCTTTCTTGACCCGTCAAAAGGTTCGGGCAAAGTGACGGGATATTGCTTCGGTATAGCTGCAGGTATAATCGTCATATTCTTCGCTGCATGGGCCGTGATATGGCTTCGGCAAAGGTACACTGGCGATGCTAAGAGGAGCAAGAGAGATATAACTAGGCATACACCCGTAGATCAAGAGGTGGAAATGAGTGCGGATATAGAACGGGCCAAGTAGTTGCAGAATTACAGTCACCTAAGCCAGGTGTCGCGCAGTAGCCATCAATATATTTAATATACAAATGTCATCAGATTCCCAAAGTACTGATACAACAGTCTACTCCAGCAACATCTCACTTCTTCTGTCTCTTCTTTACTGGCGTCTTCTCCTCCTCGTCTTCTTCCATTTTGATCTCTTCTACTTCCTCCTCCTTCACATCCTCACCAGCCTCGCCTTTGACCTTTGCGTTTCTGAAAGCTTTCCTCAATTCACACTTGCCCAGGTTCTTTCCTCCAGCTTTACACTCATCACATTTCTTACCATGCGTTACAAGCAAGATATGCAATCCGTACTTGTCTTCATCAGGAATCATCACATCCAAATGGGCATACGTCTCATCCCGACTGGCATTCTTGGGCCGCCAGCCAAGTAACCCCGTTATACGCCAGACATGAGTGTCAACGGCAAAGCTTTCTCTCTGCAGACAGAACAGCAACACACAACTGGCCGTCTTAGGACCCACACCTTGAAATGACAACATCTCCCGCATGGCATCCTCACTCGACGCCTGATGTAGATGGTCCAGAGAGTATTCCCCGTACTTTTCATGTGCTTGTTTCAAAATGCTGATTATGACTTTGCTCTTGACCACACTCAGCCCACCGCATTTGATGGCTTCTTGCAACTTTGCTTGTCCGCCGGCGACAATGGCATCCCACTTGTCGGATCCGCCGTAGACCTTGTCCATGCTCAGTTTTGCTCGCGTGGAATTCTTGTCGCTCGTGTTCTGCGACAATATGGTCCGTACAAGTGCGTCCAACACAGATGGCGAATCACCACATCCCGCTCGTGTTGTCGAAGCAACCACTTCCTTTGGTCGGACTCGCGGGCCGTGTATCGACGCGAGGATGCGGTGTGCTACTTTGCATTCCTCTGGTGTTGGATGTTGGAAGTCCGGAAATGGAGACTGACTTGCGAACTGCGCGTATGCTTTGAGCTTCTTCTCTTGTAGGTCTTTACCAGGACTCTTCTTCGACGGCGTTTGCTTGGGAGGAGGGTCAGTGTAAGAGGTATCGTCGGTCGGAGGAGGGCTGATCAATTTGGATTCATCTTCTATCTTGACTTTCTTCCTGCTCTTGGTCTCGCTGGTTGGGATCGACATTCGCTTCCTCGAGATGCGCTGTGGAGATTCTTGCTCTTCTTTGATAGGTATTTCAAGGTCCTCCTCCTTGGGTTTAAGGGGCGATGCCACGCCATTTCGAGTGACTCTTCGCGCTGCGGTAGTCGCAGCACGCGTGGACCTAGACATGGGAATCGGAAAGGGTGGTCGACAGAAAGGTACGTTTTCGAACAGGAGGTGAACTTCGTGTTATGAACACTCGAGAAAGTACAAGATGGTGATGTCATCAACTATGGTTGAAGGGTTGAATGGGAGCAGCCACCGAATCTAGTAGATTAAATGACAGGAGAGCTCTCTTTCTAGTGGGATAAGTTCCGGCAAGTACATTACTTCAAAGGGTCAACTCATCATCTAGATACCCGTCCGCTTATGTCTGAGGATTCTATGTTATTTCTGCCTTTCGAGGTCTCCAGCGTACGAAGTTGATCCATGCTGACTTCGTATCTTTCTCGAGCCTTTGGGAGATCGGTACCTGCAGATCGGCCCCGGAGATCCAACGTGACGAATCAAGTCACGCACGGCCCGATTATCAAAATTCATGACTCGAACGCGGTTCTTTTTGGACTTCCTCACATCTACAATTTGAAGATTGCTCCTTCAAACAACCATGCTGTCTCTGAATAACTGGTATCTGGCTTGATCCATACCGGCCTTCCCGTTGACTCGCTGTTGTGCGTCTTGCGCAATGGGCAGTGAGCCAATCACGCCTTTTTCAACGATAGGCAGAGCGTCATTCACCATGTCACCCAGGTGAGATACGTCGATTCTAACATGCATTCACAGCATTCATTCACTGTGGGAAAGCAAATCATATAAGAAAACAATGCCGCTCCTTTTAAATCTCTTCTTCTACTTTCTCCGTCTCTTTATAGCAGCGCATGAATCCCCCGACAAGTACAGCCTCGTGAACAGACAATCATGGCTGCTAATATGTCCTCTCCCTTTCTTACTCGTCTTATGCCCGAGTTACGCCTCAAGGTGTACGAATATGTGGTCTGCTATGACCGTAACACCCCACTGACGTTGGTCCCTGGCTATCTTTCCAAACGGGTAACCACAGACTGCAAACCGCCGGCGCTTCTCCTGGTCAACAAGCAAATCCGAGATGAAATGATTCCCCTTCTCACCAGCGATTTCTTCTACAGAAACAACACCTTCAAGATAGTGCAGTTGGACATCATCCACCAGAGCAACCTCATCTATGGCACCACACCCGGTAGAGCACTTTCACCACCAAGAGGGGTGAGCCACTTCCTCAAAAAAGGTCGCCATTGAAAGCACCAACCTGGGTCCAATCTTCAACCTTCTTGAGGACATCAACCAATTTTCACGTTACGCGCCAAACGTCGAAGAATTGACAGTCACTTTTGATCGATCTGCCCTTCTCATCAATGCTACCATTGCTTTGGGTAGAGCATGCACGCCAGATCCCTTCCACTCAGACCAAGAGGAGGGGTTTCTCCCTCCCTTGTTCCTCTCGATCGCTGTCCTGACGCCTTGCGCTTCGGTTGTTGAAACCAACCCGGCAGGATACTCCAACTACGACCCAGCCCTCGATGCCATCATATCCGTCTCCTCGCAAGCCGGTTTAGACGATCTTGTCAACCGCTCCAACATGCCGACCCGCCGGGTTCCCCTCCTGACTTCTCCAGCTCTCAAGAAAGTCACCTTGGTCGGCCGCATTCCTGATTTCTGCATCCCTATCATCGAAGGCTACAGATGCGGTCTGGGAAACGGCCGCTGGGTGAAGACTTTGACCAGTCACAACAAAGATGAGCCAGCGGTGGACCTCACTGGAACAAACGTCACGTACGTGTGGAGTGCTCCCTCGATTGAACCGACGCCATAGGAAACATGATCAGACCGACAACACGCGCGTGTGTGTGCATATTGATGGTGAACATCATCGAAAAGATTTCTGGATATTGCAAGAATGACGGTTGGGGCGTCATCATGACCAAGACGACAGATCAACGTTGACGACCATGATGGGGTTGGAAATGAGCCTCATGGACAATGAATAGCGATATTTCAAAAGCATTGTACTACTGCTGTCGTGCTGTTTACGTACGAAAAGTACTAGTACCGTAGAATGGCCGAATTGATTTCAGACTTGAGCCCACCAATTGTCAGATCTAGTAACCGCTACACATGTGATGGAACTTTGAACCAAAAATAGAGGAGGTCCACACGCTCATTATTGCATGAGTATCATATCACATCACACACATCATCTCATCTCATCTCATCCATTCTCCACCCAGCCATTACCAGGTAGAAGCAAGGCTCGGGGCGGTACGAGGTGGTTTTTTTAATATGGAATACAGAGGATTAAAAAAAAAAGTAATCAGGTTAGGTTTTGCGGAACACTACCTACCGATCCAAGGTACCTAGGTAAAGGTATCTTGTCTCAGCCGAGCAGAGCCTTGTTGAGGGCGGCATTTTTTCGAATCTCCTCTTCATTGTCACGTTCGCCGTCGTGGTCGTCGTCACGAAATTCGATACCCAATTCTTCCAGACCGGCGGCGGCGGCATCCCCACCGCCACGTGTGTTGTCGCTCCCGCCGAGGACCCTCTTCATCATACTGATACTCCTCCTCACTCGACTCTTACCGTCCTCCCTCTCGTGTTGTGCCACTTGACCGTCGGCCGCACGGGTGTCGATCGTGTGTTGGTGGTGGTGATGATGATGTTGATGTTCCCTTCTCCATTTGGCAAACGCACTCGACCTGCGTCCCTTTTTGACGTCGGCCACGGAGACGGCGGCGGGCTGGGGTGGCCAGTTCCCTTCCGACTTCCAACCTTCGACCAAGGCCGGTATCATGTGGACCAGGGGGATCGGGACGTTGGGGGCCAACCCTTGAACCACGACCTTTGAATAGATGGTCGAGTAGGCCCTTGGGGTGATTCGGTCACGCAACAGGTGGTGGACGTCTTGGTGGTTCCCGTCCGACGACGAAGGCAAAAGCGGCGGGAACACGGGCAACCACGGCCCGTCGACCGAGTCGAGAGACCCCAACGTCTCGCCGGTCGTGTCGTTGTCGGGTACGATGTCACTTTCGATCGACGACGACACTTCGATCGCCGCCGCCGTACCTGTGTTTGTGTTTGCATTCGTATTCAGAGCGTCGCCGCCGTCTCCGTTGGCCGCACTCGACCTTGTCGTCCCCGATCCAGGGTTCAAAGGTGAACCGGAGGATGTAGAAACGGAACCGTTCCTTCCGTGACCGTGACCGTGACCGTGACAGTGAGAAAGCATACTACTTGACCGTCGAAAAATGGTGTGCGAAGGTCGTCGTCTGTTGTCGAAACCACCCTCTCTTCTCTTCGCCGCGGCCGCATCCTTCGGACGTTGTTTGACCGCACCGGTCCAGGCGTCCCTCCTGTTCGTCCAAACCCTCAACCCTTCGTTGACGCTCAATTCCTCCTCCACAAGTCTCCTCCGTTTCCGTTTCCTCTCCAGAACCATGTCACCCACGGCATCCGGACTTTCGAATTTGTACGGGCCGTTGTTTTGGCTCTTGCCACGTCCGTGGGCGTTCGCGTTGGGACCCGAGTGCGCACTCGCGTACGCGTACGCCGCTTTCCTCTCCTCCGCCTCAATGTCACTCGACCACTCTTCTCGAACCCTGTACCCCAGAGGTTCCCGATACGGTATCCCGTCGTTGTTTGTCTTTTCCTTCACTTTCACCGTCGTACTAGGGTATTCCCAATCGTCCCTCACCATCGCCGCGAGAAGTTTCTTGACCTCCTTGGTCTTTTCTGTCTTTTTTATAGGGTCTGCTGGTGATGGGGAGGCGGCGGCGGCCGGTTGCGCCGCCGACAGAGGGCCTTCCACACCACCACTGTGAGAGCTCGCGTTGGAACCTTTGCGAAGACGTTGGGTCAAGTTGTGAAGAAAGGGAGAGTGAGGTGGATTCGTGAGGTCGATCGAAGGTCGAGGAGACGACAAACGAGTCGGTGAGGAGTCGGGAGTCTCGAAAGGATGCATCTTTGTGTTTCTGTGCCGTTGATCGTACTTGTGTGGTGTAGGCAACGCAGGCTCAGGTTTATCGACACAGGTGGAATTCACAGCGGGTCGATGGGTTACTCGTAGCCAGGCTAGAACGCCAAAATTTGACAATTAATAATGGTCACTGCATCAAAGTCATGTCTTCCCGAACGTGGTGCAGTCTTAAAAAGGTAAACCCTAAGAGATTCGGGCGTGGACCGGATGGGTGGGATCTGAATTGAAAGGTAAAGTACGGAGTTGTTAAGTAAAAGTAGGTATCGAAGTAGAGATTGATTGACAGACAGGCAGGCAGACAGAAAGACAGCACCACTGTGTTTGGTGTCACCCTCAGACAACGTCGCATGTGGTAGAGTAGCACAAGACACGAACGGAAGTGGAAGTTTGGGATTGGAGAAAATGGTTCGTAAAAGAGTTACGGATATACGGGAGATATACGGAGTACAAGGATCATCGCAAACACCTGACGCTTTCTTTTCGCTGGTCTTTGCGTGGTCTGGGGCCCAGCCGGCCCTTTTCGGATGTCCATCGGGCTTCACAGTGCGCAAGCCTCAAGGCCTAGAACTGTCAAAGAACAAGCCTAAAAGGTGCCAAGCAGCCCCCCGCACCTAAATTCCCTAGTGAGCCCTAATAACGAAAATCCGGGGATGTCCTTCCTTGACCTCGGAGTTGGTGTTCATCATCCCCTTTACCCTCCATACCAAATATCCGTACGCGGATTCCCAATCTGCCTTGGAATCGTTGTTCTTGTCATCAACTCGACGTCGAGGGTCAATCTAGATCGATACGATGGTGGTCTTGACCCCGACGGAGCGACATTCAAATCCAGCAAACCTGATAGGACGTCATCGCTAAAATTGCCGCTGGGCCTGTATTGAGGTAAAGTGGTTCTCGATGATGAGGATAATGGCGACAAGAGAGCAGGATCTGGTGGGTCGATATTGCTTATACTGCTGATACCGTTGATATCACCACCACCACCACCACCACCACCACCACCATTCTCCTCCAGATCCAAAGGAACAGACAAAGGGCGTCGTGAGATCGGCGTGACTTTGCTCGGTCGAAAGCCGACCACCCTCCTGATGCGCACGAACCAGAATGGCGAGGCAAGGTACGAGTAGATTGATATTGCCATGATGATGAAACAGACAAAAAGCCCAGCTCCTATCCAGAACCCTTTACCAGGAGGCCATTGTCTTTCTTTCAAAACATGCACAGCGAGGGATGGTAACTGCTTGGTGGTTGTGGTGGCATTGCTGAGTTTTGATAGACCTGAAAACGACACTGGTGGTTGTACTGGGGACATTACACGTGTGTGTGTGTGTCTGTGTATGAGAGTTGACTTTGTCGTACTCTGTGAGATCCGAGTTCTGTGGCTGTTTCTGTCTCGCAGAAGTATCGAGACATAAAAGGACATAAAGCGTGACGTTCCAATGTCATGAAAGGGAAGGATGGTACAAGCACCAAAACGACAACCAAAGTGGCAAGAACAAACCGTTTGATGGCACCTTTGTTATTTGTTTCGGAATGACACGAACATACCTTTCACTATCGACCATTTTCTCTGACAATGCTCGACGCTATAGAGAGTAAGTCACTGTTCTTGGTGAAAAGAGCCTTGCGTCGATAGACCCGTTGGGACCAATATCGACTCATCATTTTCGCAATATTGTAGGAAGAAATCACCTAGAAGAAGAAAAAGCCAACCATTAGGACAGCATATGTTCATTTCCCCCAAGTCTCAAACTCAGCATTATGTACAAGTTCATGCTCATTGCCCCCTGATCCTTTGGATGGGAAAACCAGTCATCACTTCCCTCTACAAAGCGTCTGGTGTCTGTCATAATGAAATCCACACATTCCCTTGGTTGTCCGAACAATGTAGATTCTTTCGCTGCTAATCAACCTTGAGAGCCATTGATCATTTTCACAAGTGACTGAGAACACAATTCCTCCTTCTAAGTGGTAATGTGCCGTTGGTAGTTGGAAAAATGCAACAGAACCAGCCACAAAGCAATGATGTTGGCAATGTAGTGTAATCTGTAAGCATAAGTCATGCCATACAACGCCGCGTACACTGCTAATACAAAAAACAACAGATTCGTCGCCCATCGGAGAGATCTGACCGATGGCACCATCATCCCGCTCGACAGGGTCTCGACCAGGATGATAAACGGTGCTATCGACAGCACATTATGGTGGGATGAGAACGGTGTCAACCAGTGCACCGCCATATTATGTATCCAGACAACCAACACCGGCAGGTTGATAGGCAACACCCAGAGCATTAAAATGAGTATCGAATAGCTGTAGTTGAAAAAATTATGCGCCGGCCCTGATCTAGTTTCTTTGGCATAGCGCAACGCCCGCGTGCAAGTCATAAGCTGAACAATGCAAGCCACAACATACGCGAATGGATAGGGTATAATTGTCGCAACGAGAAATAAAAGAACCGCCGTGTTGATGGCTCGGCGTCGTGGTGTACTCGCAACGAATGCAGAAGCAACGCCTTTTTCGCCATCATCGATCTTGACGTAGCGCCGGGAGATCAAGCCAGACGCTGTGACAAAAACATCGAGCAAGGCCAAAACGGCATAGTTCAAGACGACGCAAGCTCCAATGCTGACAAGGCCTGCTAAAGGAACGAGAAACCAGAAAAAAGTATTTTGTGACCCAAGAAGTAGATCATTTTGAGCAAAATTGATGGCGGTGCCATTCCTCTGCTGGTGACTCTCAGACGGACTGGTGTGGGAACTTGCCGACGTGAAAGCGGTGGCGAAGAAAGTCATGGAGAGTAACAGTACCGGTAAAGGTAGCCTTAGACTCTGGTCGAGACTCTCGGAGAACGAGATGAAGACTCCAGAGTTGTCGTACACCCTGAACTGTTTGCGCAAAACCATGGCCACGACTAACAGAGGAAATGCCGCAAAGACAGTTCTGTATCTGACCACGAGTTTGCCCAAACTGCCGATAGGGTCTGCTCGCAAACGAACTTCCAACGAAGAGTTACATGTGGGGTCTGACCAGATCTGAAATGCGATACCAGCCTCGCATTCACGGCCATCCAGAGTTGGTGGCATGAAGGGAGCAACCCCGTGTAAGTTGATGTCGCCTTGTTTAAAATTGACGAAATATTTCGATTCATGTGGGTTCTCGATATGTTGTCGGACCAGTGGCGTGAATAGTTCAGTATCTGCTCCACAACCGTGCTGGCGAACTTGAAGCGAGTAGGTCAAGAGGCTTGACTGGATTGACGGGACCCGAATCTCTGTAACGACGGGTCGAGTCGAGGGAAGCTCAACGTTGAGGCCCCTCAGAAGCAGTCTCGGAAGACCAACATCTGACTTGATGACAGAGTCGGATTCTGATACGATTTCTGCATACGCCCAATTGTTGCTGATCTCGGTGGACTTGTCAATAATGGCAACGAATTGATGCTCCTGCAGATCCCTGAGGTCGTAGTTCAAATATGTGAAGGGATTAGGAGGCTGATCAAAAGCATGCTGAGACAATCTCGTGGAACCTGGGAGCTGAATGCCATCCCGGGCAGGTTTTTTGCATGCCAGTCGGGTAGCGCTAGCATCGCCTGAAGATAGGTCGAATTGCACAGGCAGTGGCATGGAAGTCAACCCTCCTGCAAGAGGGAATGCGCTACAAAACAAAACCTCCATCTTGTCAAAACTGCCCTGGGGATCCATTTGTTGGTCGGTCATAAAAGAGAATCGTTTTGCAGTAGTGTTGTCAATGGTCGGGATTGGCAAAAGAATGGCAGACATCGCGTCCTGAGCTCCGATTTGGCGAATCGTGATATTGTCGCTTTTGGCCACGGATGACCTTGAGCCGTCACTCAGAGTCAGGAGAACCTCATGTGTGGTGTCTCGAAGGTTTTTGGGCGTATTCTCCTCCAAGCCTGTAAGGAACCACTTCCGGAAAACCTTCATTCTTTCCGCACGCGGCTTCGTTTGTCCGGCGCGACGGACGTCCACAACATCGTATAGTGCTCTTACGATGACTTTGCGCATTTGATCAGCCCAGGTGATCGACAGGTGGTCCATGACAGTCCAGACGTTTGGAATGCCCGATGTGAAGACGGTAAACCCATGGCTCTCTGGAACCAAAGAGGCAATGTTGGTGTAGTCAGAGGGAACGGTGGTATCCAATCCGCCACCAGCAATGGAAATCAGGGTTGTATGCCATAGCGGATTATTGCTTGCCCATCTCTGCAGGTACGATTCTCGCCAATACTCGTTGACCTGCTGATATAAGGATACGATATCTGCGTCGAATGTGACTGGGGCCCGAGCATGAGGAGTCGACATGGTAATGATTGTATTGACAGAATTGGCTTGATACTTTGGTGTGACGAGTACGGTACGTGCAACTATCCCGCCCATCGAGTGTCCAATGAGTATGACCGAGCTGGGGTCGGGTAATGATGGATCGCGGCGGAGTCGATTTGCATCGTGGTACAAGGAAAGGATATATGCCACGGCCTCGTTGACATACTCGGCTTGATCGAGCAGCGTTTGACCATGAAAGGCGGACAGATCCTCGTTGAAGTCGATGGTGAAAAAGTCGAATGACCTGATGCCTTCTTTAAGGGCACTAGCATCATGGCGTAAAACGTTGGCGTAGTAGCGGGAGGCCTCGGACGATAAAGAGCGGACTTGCTTGTAGCTCCCAGCGTTGCCTGGGATGAACAGTACCGGCGCACCTCTCAGTCCAATGTTGTCCTTTGTGTATTCATCTACCCCCTCTTCCCGATACAGGTACAGCGCATATTTTGTCGCAAAGCGCGAGTGTTCCGTGTCGAAGCCCGACAGCTTGATGTAGGTCGGGCTCATCATCGACATGACACATCCTTGAGGGTCGACTTGGAGCTTGAGAGAGGACCGCAGGATGAGAGAGAGCGCAAAGAGGGCGACGGCGGTGGTAATGAGCGTCAATGGTCGCCATGTCCAAGGGCTCTGAGCTCGGATCTTCCGAAGGCCGCGCACATCAGCGTCGGTGTGACTGTCGCCCGCATCGTCCTTGGGCTTCAGCAACATGGTCGCTGAATGTGCAACCGGCTTCCAGCCAGGTAGCTGTTGGTACCTAGGGGAATGATGCACACGACCAACGGGGCAGGACAGGTGGTTGAAGGAGCGAACAGACAAGAAAGACTGGACTGCGACACCTGGGGGAGGCGGGAAGAAAGTGGATAATCCTCGGCGAAATGCTTGGCCGGCGCCGGGCAATAATGTCGATGGCAAATGTCGATGTCTCGGTTGGTGTGTGCTTTGTGCCTTGTCAAGATGGAATTGTCGATCTAGGATAATAGGTTCGACCCTTGACGTAGCATTTGCGACGCACCGGCCACTCTTTTCCAACTCTTGGTAAAGAATCTATACGTACAAATTCAATGTCTACAGTTGCAGTCTCTTGGGACGCGAAGGGGATTCTTGAGGCGAGTTACAAATACGAAATACGGAGTTCTCGGACTCTCAATTTCGTCTGCAGTCTAAGCCACTCTTCCACTCCCCACAGAAGCGAAACACCACCATCGATTGTTGACGCGTCGTGTTTTCTGGTCTCCTCATATTCTGTTTCTGCCGGCCTTTCCAGATGTTGTACGGAGTACTGTTTGCAAGAGAAGATCTTTTGTCGAACATCATTGCAGTGATGAAGATCAAACCACTTGTTTAGCACCGAGTCCACTTGCTGAGTGTGATGATCAGGGGAGGGAAAACAAAGAGAAACCATAAAGCATGACGACTAACGTCAGATTATGTCCATGAGGAAATGTACCTTCCATTACCTAGTATATTACGACTCTATGCAACCCGTGCTTGATAGCACAAAATCAAACGCTCACAATTTATTGCGCAACCAAAACACCCCGGTATCTCATCTTGCCGGCCTCCAGTGTCTCGAATGCTTTGTTGACACCCTCCAAACTCATGGGGAACGTCTGGATGATGGGCTTGATGTGATGAAGGGCTGCAAACTCCAACATTTCCCGGTGGATCTGTCTCGTGGCCACCAGACTTCCCTGCATCCTCAGACCCTGCATGATCAAAGGCATGTAGGGCATTTTCAGGTCATCTTCACTGACTGTCAAGGGGTAGATGGTCCCTGATGGTGCCATGACAGGAAGATACAGGTTCCAGTCTGGTTGGGAGGCAGTGGTGACGAGCAAGTGGTCAATGGGAGCCTTGATCTTGAGTTCCTTGAGGCCCTTGACAGCGTAGAATTCTGTCGCACCCAGTCTCATGGCTTCGTCCTTTTTGCTGTCGGTCCCCGAAAAGACGGCCACTTCACAACCTAATCGTGCGGCAAACTGGATGGCCAGATGGCCAAGACCCCCGACGCCGAGCACACCTACCCGGTCGGTACTCCTGACATTGTACAACTGGAGTGAGTTGAAGACGGTAGCGCCGCCACACATCAAGGGGGCGGCTTCTTCGGAGGACAAGCTCTCGGGGATCTTGAACAAAAAGTTCTCGTTCAGGACAGCGTGGGAACCGATGGAACCTTGATCCAGGTTCGCCGCACCGTACATTTCTCGTTCAGCACAGAACGTTTCCCGTCCGGTCAGACACTGTTTACAGTGGCCGCAAGAGTTGTGCTCGTAGCCCCAGCCTGCACGCTCCCCCTTTTTGAATCTGGTCACACTCTCACCAATTTCCTCGACAACGCCGACCCCTTCATGGCCCAGGCCTGAATTGGTGGTCTTGTAGTGAAGGTCGGTGCCACAAAGACCACTATGTGTGATGCGGATTAGAACCTCGTGTGGGCCGATGTTTCGTGTTGTGGTGTCCTCGAAAAGTTGTCCGTCCCTGTCTCCCTTGAAAACCGTGAAGCTGACCATGACTGATGCTTTTTGGTGTCGATCTGGGGGGAATGAAGATGTTGTTTGATTTTATCGGTGTGGTCGCTTTTTATAGGAGAGTGCTTGGGAGTGTCGTGTTGAGAGTATTACCCTAATGATGTCTTGTTTCTGTTGATGTAGAATTCGGAACTGAAGCAGATACATCTTCTCTCTTTATACCAAGTACCTCGACTCACCTCAGGGGATATGTCAATGCAGGAATTAGTAAATGACGATGAATATGACAAAGCGACAAGGCTGCCGCGGGCCGTCGAAGCAACATATTGACATCATGGTGAGCTTGAAAACTCGGCGTGTCAGGGTGTGTTGGGAAGGAAATCCCTGGCCGACATTTGTAAAATTCAGGAGGGCCTATGGAATGATTCGTCGAAAACAACTCCACCGAGGGACCTTCCTAGAGATCTATGTGATATTAGGACGTAGATGGACGGATTCTGACCAAGCAAGGTGACGAGTGAAACCTACGAGGTATTACTGTCCGAGAAAGAAGTGCATGAAGGATACGGATTAGAACAAAGAAAAACTAAGAGTTGAGGGCGTAGTCTATCTTGAAGCAGGCGAGACAAGCGAACAATGCGAACTAGGCTTGTGATTAATTGGGTTTAGTTCAGGGACGAAGAGCCTAGAAGGCCGACAATGGGCCGTATTATTGGTGACCAAGCGAGGTCTGAGGACTTGTCGACCGCCTACAAGGGGCCTAAAGCCCGACTTTTAAGCTACTGGACGAGCAAATCGCTACGGGCTGATCAGGCCCAGACTCTCCACTATTGTGATGCAACACATGCATTTTGTACAGAGTACATTGGTGACATGTTACTGTAATGGAGTACTCCGTACACCTCGTGCAAATGATAACCTCGTATTGCAAGTTCCGGAGAATCACGGCTTTTGTTCTTGAGTCAGCAAAACGAGGGCTGTCAATTTATAGCAAAAGTGACATCAAACCACGTTGCGAAAAGCTCAAAAGGGTCCAATTATACCAAGGTACTCCTCCGTACGACGAAGTCCCAATGACAACTAGGACGAGATATCTCGTATCCACCTTTTTTTCGCAACGAGGTGCTTTCTGCAGCTGAAGTAAACTGCATGGCATTACTTTTATTACTCCTTATTGACTTGGAAATTATTTCCCAATGGAAGCGAGAGACTACACTTGGAATTGTCCGTATTACTCACCCGCCAACGACGACCTACCAAGGTGCGGGATGAACGGTATTCCTTCGGTCCAAGGCGGAATATATCAGCATTTAACAAAGTCCCTTGCATGCTTACCTTGACAAGAAAGTGGTGTGAAGAGGTGCCCATTCGGTTATACAAAGTAGATAAGCAAGTTATTGTACAGCTCTTCCATTCGTTCTTAGATGGGTATTGTACCCGTCGTTGAGAACGGGTTGACATTGAATTGTGATTACGGAGAATCAATATATTTATTCTAGATGTGAATCGTGTTCGATTTCATGCTACATATTCGAATTCTTCCCACAACCACAATTACCAATTCTCCCATCACCACGACCCAGAGTCCATCATCCGTATCAGACTGCAATAAATCATATAATTTATTGTAATTATGCTCTGAACCGAATCGATTTACTCTTACAAAACTCCTCGATTGCATCCCGGAAATTAAATCCACCTGCCAAAGACCACCCCCCCGTGTTTTGTTGTTGACGGTCCAGGCGTCCTGTCAGTGCACTTCCAGAAAAAGAAGAAGAACCTACCCATCGAACGCGTGAACTGTTGATGTACCTGTTTCTTAAAAAAGACGCGACATACCCGTCCAGGGGGAAAAAGTCATGCTTATCTTTCTCCTCGACAACGACACCACACCACCACTACAGTACAACCACTATCGACTGACTGACTGACTGACCGAACCGAACCGACCGAACTGACTTAAGTAACTACCATACAATTCCACCATGTATTCACTCATCGCTCATAATGGAGCAATCGCTCAATTGTCACCATTGGCTAGGAGTATGGGATCTTTTTATCTTCACGCCTTACTTCGATTGTTACTCATATGTCGTCTTTACTCGAAAGAGGCCTTGCAATTTTCAAAACATTTGCTAGAGTTGCGTCGATTATGGGACGCGTTTTGGACCGTCCTTTGAGTGAACGAGCCATGCATCATCATCATCATCATCATCATCTCTCTCTCTCTCTCTCTCTCTCTCTCTCTTTTGGAGAGATGAGAAAGAAAAGTGACCCGTCATGACATATATACCTTGTGATCCTGTTGAGCCCTGTGGTGCCACCAAAACCGACACAATGTTCGATTGATGAATGACAAAGATTGGAACAAAAAACATCGAACCACTCCGGTCCCATCCACGAATCGATCGACAATATCCTCCGACATGGTTTGATCAAATTCTTCAGTGACTCACCGACGACCGTGGGTCTACATACGGCCAACAACGACCGCCCCTGATCCGCCCAATTGTCAAGGGTTATCAATCTTCGGACGCACACCATCTAGGCGGGGGAGGGGGGGAATATTTCGATAAACCCTGACTGCAGACTTCAGTCATGTGCCTGGATTAAGCCATCCGTGCTATTTATACATGTCTCGAAAAGACCAAACATCTCAACATCTCCGACGAGGCTAAAGGAAAAGGAGGGGGGGCGGAACACCGTCATTGCCGTGTATCACATCACATCACAGGGAAATGGTCAACGTGGCCGAGTTCCTAATGACACGCAGTCCTCCTCCCACCGAGTACTGGAAGGAATCACGGTGAAGAATGGGGAATCGGGGCTTCGATCATACTGGATCAAAGGTACACCAACCCCAACGAACCCCCGAGGTACAAAATCCAGGTCACAGGCAGTCACCACGAATGCTTACGAGTATGGCCACGAAAAAAAAAGTTGTTACACTCGTACTGGCCGGGAGTACTTGCTCAGGTCAGGTCAATTCAATCAATTTTATTATATTCGCATGTCTCCGTGGACACGAGGGAGACAGGGGTATCCCATAAATAAATATGTGTCAAGTTTATACCTTGGGTACATACTCGCCACAACTCGACTTCTGCAAAAGTCATTGCATCGTAAAAATCTGTAAATCCCCAACCTTCTTTTTTACTTCTTAATTTCTTCACAATCATTCTTTATCATCATTCGATACACCTTCACCATCGTTTTCCGCCTGACGTAGATTGTTCTGATGTTCGACCGTGGCAATGGCACTCTGTAGAGCACTGGTCAGGTCGATGTGGAAAAAGGGTCTGTTCAGGCCGTGCACGACGGCGACGCGTTTGGAAGTCGCCCTCGAGTACGCCTTGCTGTTGGTGATCTCTCTCGACAGATCAGGCGGTGACGATCCGTTCGACCCGGACCCAGAACTTTTGTTGGTGTTGTCAAAGTCATCATCCTTGTACCGGGCCTTTTCGATGGCGTCGGCGGACTTGACACCGTGACCGCTGCTCGTCCGGGAATGAACCTTGCCAAAATGTCCGTGTTCCTCGTCGGACGAGTGCATGCGCGACAGGCGCCGGTTGCTCTCCGCCTCGGCGGCCGCGGCGGCGCTGGCTGACCCGCCGATCTCGGCGACGCTGAAGATGGGTTTCCAGCGGTGGTACTCCTCACCCGTGGGCGCCGAGGGGTACCCGAACCCGGCGGACGCCAGGGCCCGTTTCGTCCAGCGGTTGGTGATGCAGGCAAAGTGCCACTGCACCGTCTCGGGCGTGGTGTAGCGGTCGAGTTGGTTGCGAACGTCAATCAGGTTCTGTACGCTGGTCACGTCGACGTTGTTGACCGACGACATGTCCAGGACAATGGCCCTGAGCGTGGGGAGGTGCGAGCGGTCATCTTCGGACTTGCCGCGCCGCGGGCCCGGGTTGTTCCAGGGTCGGTCGCCGGGGCGCGGCCAGGAGTGCGGGTTCGTGCGGCGCGTGTGCTCAAAGATGTACTTGACCAGGTAGTCGGTGTAGTGGTTGGCGTTGGGGTAGTTGAAGCCTTCCGAGAAGCGGTACACGAAGACGCCCGGGTAAGGGGCCTCGACGTGCACAGAAGGGTTCGAGCCGTCGTTGTGGTCGAGCGGGAGGAAGATGTCCCGCACCGCCCGGTCGTCATCGGAGACGCGCTTGTTGTCGTGGAACTTGTCCTCGACCAGATGGTCGCCTATCACGGAGTGGACCTTGACCTTGCCGACAAAGTGGCCGTTGGCCTTGACGACGCGGAACAAGAGCACAGCGGCGCTGACGGAGATGGTGGTGTAAATGCCGTTTTCGATCGAAGAAAAGACGGTGACGAGGACACCGGCGAAGAAAATGATGACCTCGATGGGCGAGACGCGCCAAAATTGGTAGACGGTGTTGGGGGGAGTGATCAAGTCACCCACGGCGTGGATGATGACTCCCGAGAGCGAGGCGTTGGGAATGTAGTAGAAGACTGCCGGCAAGGCGTAGATGGCCAGAAGAACAACGACGGCAGTGATCACACCGGCGAAGGGCGTTCGGACGCCCGCTTTCGATTTGATGGCCGTTCGTGAGAAAGAACCGGTCGCAGGATATGCACCCAAGAAGGGGCCCAGCAGGTTGGTGACACCAATGGCAACCAGCTCCTGCGACGGGTTAATGGTATAATTGTTGACTCGGCCGAACGACTTGGAGATGGCGATGTGCTCGATCAAAAGGACAATAACCGACGCGGGGAGTTCGCTCGCGAAATAGCTGATGATTTCCGTGTTGATTTCGGGAACTCTGGCGTCCTTGAAACCACGAGGCACCTTTCCGAGAATCTGAAAGACGTGATCATCGCGGTGATGGCGATTGACCAGCCAGCTAATGAGCGTGTACAGGAGGATGACAAAAGCCGTGCGAAGGGTCGAAATGAAGAAAAACATCTTGGCTCGATCGGGGTTGCGCTTCGCCAGTTGGTTGCACGTGAAGCGGATGAGATAGAGTAGGAAAAGCGCAGTGAGACCCATGGCGGCGTCAATCTTGGTGTGTCCGAGGTATTTCAAGGTGTTGATGATGACCAGGTAGGTGGACGCTCTCGTGTTGAAGCCCTTGACCTTGATTCCCATCATCGTAGGCACCTGGCCGACCGCGATATTCAACGCGGAGCCGGTCATGAAGGCGGAAATAGCAGTCAAAGGAATAAAGTCGACTATCCAACCACATCGAATAAGGCCGATGAAACAGACAATGGCACCACAGATGATGGCAAGGGCGGACGCGACAACATGACCAGGGACATCTGGATGTTCTTCGGCAACCTTGTTGACAATGTTGCCAACAATGGTCGACATGACGGCGACCGGACCAATCGTGATATCCTTGGAGGTGGCGAAGAACCAGTATATCAAAACACCCATAAAAGACGAGTAGAGACCATACTGAACAGGAAGTTCGGCGAGTTTCGCATAGGCCATACCCTGAGGCACCACGACGGCGCCGACAGTGATACCGGCGACGAGATCTCCAATCAGCCACTGGACATTGTATCTGCCGATCCACCTTGTGAAGGGGAAAAGATTTCGAGCATAAGTGCCCATGTCTCGCCCGCTGGGAAGTAGATCCATGACCCAATCCAGGGACGTCGGTTCTTCTTCCACATATGTGTCGGCGGTGCTTATCGAGTATGTAGATTCACCGCGGGTGACCGAGTCTTTACTGGCTTGACGCTCATCGAGGTTGATGCGGAGGACTTTTGCCAGCCCATGGCCAACTTTGGACGAGGTGGAAGCCATTACGACGTCTGTCTGCCACTTTCCCGAGACGAACGACTCGACAGGGCTTGCAACGGGCTTGAAAGTGATAGAATGAGATCAGTCCTAAAAGGAAACAGATAAGACGGCAGACGGCCTTTTAGTACTCGTACAGAGAGGCTTTCGAGTCGGCGGAGGAGGGGCGCCGAGGAGGAATGTTCAAGATGAGAACGTGGGCGGATGGGGTGTGGGTGTGTTCAGGTACCCTTGTCCAGGCCTATTGTTGCCAAGGCGTGTCTTGACGATTGGGCGTGCTGGTGGCAGGGTTGGGCAAGGATTATGTCTGAGTCGTGGCTTGTAGGATTTTGTTTAGCTACTCATGTAGCGCGAACAAAGCCTCGAGTCCTACGCTGCAAGGGTTGTGTTGCGACAAAGATGGGGTCGGTGAAGTTGGTCGGCTGGGAAGATCGTATACCAATCAAGGTATCCTCCGTGTGCTTGTAAACGTCGCACAGAACAGCGCCCGTGACAGAGACACGTGTAGCAGTCAATGATAGACTCGCCGACTTCTGAGGTGTGTAGCACAAGCAGACTGTAGAAGGGGGGGGGGCACTTCGGATCCCAGAGATACGGAGTATAAGTCGATATATAATATCGCGCCCCTCCACACAGGCAGGACGCGCTCAACGAGAGACCAAGTGCATTTTTGCCGACTGCAGCTAGGAATCAAAAAGTCTGAACTCAATAGGACAAACAGACGGAATGTCAAGATCTAAGAGAAGGGCAATCTGGAACTAGAAAAGAACGTGTTGGAAGGATGGCGTGCGAGCAGAGAATTTTCAAGACATTTCGTGGGCAATGATGAAATAGGACGATGTCGCAATCGAAGGCGTGATGTGATGGACGAAGCGGACGGTCAAGAATGCCCCATCTTTATCTCTTTACTCTTCCCTCTCGACACGTACTCGGGTACTCCGTAGCAGATACAGATCATCTCATAGGTCCCAGTCAACTTTGGGCACTCAAGTGCCACCGTCGACGCAAATACAAATCACGAATAATCATGGCGACATACACGCCATCACCCTCCTCTGCTCATGAGCGATACTCCGTACTCGTCTTCGATTCTTGACTCAGCCATTTGGACTTCTCTGCTCCATGATCAATTCTTCCCGGTTCTCTATCTCCGTCATTGTCTGTGCACGCCACGCTTGACGCTTTCCGGGTACCTGAGTTTTTCCCACATGCTGAACCAAAAAGTGTCTCCCCTGCTCGAACCGGTGTCATTCTCGTCGATCAACAAGGGGTTGAGTTCGGTGCAAACATTTTCAGTGAAACCCTGACTGGTCTAAGGGAGATTTCTGGCCCTTGTTGAGGCTCTTGGTCAATGGAGCTCTACGAGTAGATCACTCTGCAACATCGGCCAAATTATTCTCGCAACTCCCTGGTTCTGTTCGCGTCACTTCTATTCCGCCGTGAAGAAGGGACTCCTTCCACTGCAACAAGGGGGGGGGTTGAAAATGGCGTGCTCGAGCATCTCGAACCTCCTTCGTCGATCGGGCGAGGTTGGACTCCATTTCCGCCCTGGCACGTCCGCTCCAGGGGCTTCGTCATGTTGAACCTGTCATGATGCGAGAAGGGGGAGACACCGGTCCATTGCAAGGTTCTCGCTAGTCCAATTGTCTTCATGGGTGGCTTTATTGGTGGCTGGACCTTTGGGTTAAAGTGCTGACGCGATTTCAGCCACAAATGATTCAATGCATCGAGACACGCAGGGAACCCTCAAACGGTTTATCCCTACCGGAGTACATATTTCTTGATTGTGTCGAGATCTAGTTTCGAATCCTGGGTAGATTTCAGTGCCGTTTGGATGCGAAAGGTATATATCGGTCAACTTTCCCCTCTCGAGTGAACCCTTCAGCAAGAAGGCAGAGACGATCAAGGGACTCGCAATTTCAAATCAGGCATGACCGTACAGTAGAGAGTATCTGTTCTCCTCTGATTGACCGCTTTTCCTTGGCCTCACCATACTTCTTCTGCTTCCCGATGATCGCCCACTTAGCAACTGTCTCGATTATGCACCCTCATATTGTGCTTGTCAGTACAGCGAGGAGAGAAGGTGGGCTACTTATACAGTTGGGTCCCTGATAATGTCGAGATGGTGATGATGCTTTGAGCATCTCAAAGGGTATGGAACTATCCATTGGAAGACAGAAGGATCTATCATGACCTATCTAGTAGAAAAGTATTACTACTTGACAATGTGTTCCATCACACCAGTAATACCCTCTTGATGATGATGATGCTCTACAACCCTTCTTGCAGCTACAAGGATGCATCTACACATACAACTAAAGTCTTGACGTTATTTTCAGGAATAGCAATCTCGGTAACATTGAATGTATCACCTTCTGTCGCAGAAGAACTCGCTCTCAAATCATACATTGCTCACGCCATCATGACTGATGGAAATGAGCCATCATGGTCTCTCCCCACCAATTCTATCATGCATGCAAAGCAAGGCTATCTAATGTTTACGGCAACCGTGAAAAGCCGAACCCCACTAGATGTGCCTCGTCTCGAAACCAATACAGCTTGTTCTTGTGCAATATTGCCCCCCAGTTGAACGCGCCAAACGCCATGTTTGATCCCATATGGTCTTTCCAATTCAACGCCGATACATGCAGATAGTCGACTGGCTGTATGCATCGAATGTACCACGCTCGCTAACGAACATTGTTCATTTGCAGCGGGCAGTGTGGAATTTCTTTGTCGTCATCTTCCATTGTTCATTGTGTCGGTGTCGTGTCCTTCGTCATCTTGTGGCCAGCCTGCCGATTACTGTGAGGCACATTGCATCCTCTCTGCCCCAGCAGGGATACCATCTTCGTCATCCTCATCCATCGCAGCTCCTTGTGCTCTGGCTTGCTGTCGAGGATCAACTTCTTCGAGATCGAAATCTTCCACCATCCCGTCAGCAGGCGGGAGTTTCTGTTGCATGCGAGGAGGCAAGATTTGTTCCAGCATCTCGACGTTCTGGATCTCTGACTTGTCAGGGAATTTGACGTCGAATTGGATGTATAGGTTGCCGAAGTCGTGATGACGGAAGGACGGCATGCCCTGTCCCTTAATGACTTTGATAGCTCCAGGAGTGATAGGATCGCCTGGGAAGATGTTGACAGTTAACCACCGGTCGTCAAGATGTTCGATATAGATCTGTCCGCCAGCCAGAGCAGTCAACAGGTCAATTTCGGCGTGGTAGAACAGGTCGTCGTCCTTGCGCTGGAACCGGGCGTGAGGCTTCTGCTCAATCTCGAATACGACGTCACCAGCGAGCACGCCGGGCATCTGGTCACCCTCACCACGGAATTCGATCTTGTGCCCGCTCTTGACACCACGATCGACATGGACGTGTAGGACCTTTCGCTCTACGACAGTCTTTTTACCCATGCAGCGCTTGCATCGATCACGATCGCGAATCGTCTCTCCTTCACCCTGACAGTCTGGACAGACGGTCTGGAAGCGCTGTATCATAGGCCCCATCTGGCGCATCATGGTCTTCATACCAGCGCCGTTGCAGCCAGTGCAGGTACGCACTGCACCCTCCTTGCCGCCTCGGCCCTCACATGCTGGGCAGATGACAGACTTTTGAAGCGCCAATTTTGAGACTTTGCCGCGGTAAATATCTTCCAAGGAAACCTTGTGAACGTGGTGAATAGTTCTGGCTTTCTTTGGGCCGGTGTCACGCATGCCACCGCCGAACATGCCGCCGAAGGCTGAACCACCGCCGAAAAACTGGGCGAAGAGATCTTCAGCAGCCATGCCTCCTCCCATGCCGCCTTGTTCGAGACCCTCTTCTCCATATTGGTCGTAGAGTTGTCTTTTCTGTGGATCGGACAGGACTTCGTAGGCTTTCGAGAGATCTTTGAATTTTTCCGCAGCATCAGGGTTATGGGCGTTCTTGTCTGGCAATCATTAGTCGCCTATTGTAGACATGATGTGTCACTGAAAAGCAACTTACCAGGGTGATGCTTTAGAGCGCCCTTCTTGTAAGCTGACTTTAGTTGAGCCTCCGAGGCTGAGGGGTCGACCTGAAAAGTGTGTTAGAATCGATGAATCGGGAAGGACGACAGATGGTTTGATTTCAGCATTACCCCCAGGATCTCGTAGAATTTCGTATCCTTAACCATAGTGCAGGGCAAGTACTAGAGGATGTGGTGAAGGAGGGACAAGGGTCAGTTGGTGGAGAGGAGATAAGTCGCCGCGGCGATAGCAAAAGAGTCGAAGTTGCTAGTGCTGTATGATAAGCAAACAGCAGTTCAGTCTGAGCGACAGTAAGACGTCAAGTAAAATAGGGAGTGAGAGGAAGGTTGAAGGTATTTAGGTCGACAGTGCGCAGGCGATTAATTGCAAGGCATTCATCAGCGCCTCCCAAAAATTCGCAGCGGCGTCTTCGCAGGCAGTTTAAACCCGGACCCGCCAAGCTTCTGAGGCGTTCCTTCAGCTTCTCTCGATTTCCCCATACAAAGAAAGATCGTCTGGCGGCGTCTGATACGTCAACAATAACTATACATTATTTTACATACATAAAAATAATGATAACCAGAGTTTGAGCTGAGGGACATACAATGTACATACGCCTTACTGTATGTACTGAAGGCATATTGACATCTCCTACGCAAGGTCTCAGACCGACTCTATACTTAGGCACCTACCTACTCCGGATAAGGGCTGTTATCGGCGGCCGCCTTCCTCGGTATCTCCCTCCTGCGCAAAGACACTTCTATATCTGGTCTGTCTGACAAAGCAGATCAGTAAAATTCGCCCGCACAAAATGACAGCAAGAACATCTACCGTATCGCTATCGAGCTGTATTGCCTGTTAGGATCAGAACATAACTAGAATCAGAGATTTAGGTAGAGATTTACGTTCACTTATTTGCCTGCTTCGGAGGGAAATTTGCTGTAAATTCGGTTGGCCTCCACGGTACTGATGTACTGATATTTGTCTCGTCAGACACAGACCCATTCTTGAAATACTCAGCCTCTATTCCTTTTGTAGGCGCGGAACTGAAGCGATCGGCTGCCTCGTATCTACCAATGGAAAGCTCCGAATAAGCGATCCCCAGCCTCACTCAGCGTACAAATGTCCTATGCGTGCCGGAATCGCAAAACGAGACGGTTGCTCTTCGGCCTTGTTGTGTAGGCATCAATCTCTTCAATCCCTTGATCATCCACGATCTCAGTCGTCCAATTTGAATAAATAGCGGCAACGAGCAATTTAATCTCCTGCGTTGCCAAGTGACTCCCAATACACATCCGCCCGCCAGAGCCAAAAGCCCAAAACCAGCGGTGCATCTCTTTGAGGTGTTCGTCGCTAGTGTGGGATGGAAGCCAACGTGTAGGCTTGAAAGTTTCTGCTTCTGGAAAAACGGCTTCGTTGCGATGCAGACCATATGGCATAGCTGACACACGTACGCCTCCCGGAATACCCGAATATGATCCGAGTGTGTTACCTCCAGGAACATGAGGAGAGATCCTTGGCTCGATGCCTGGGATCGGTGTGTGCAGCCGCAATACCTCCATAACGATCGCCTGCAACAACGGTAGTGCGTCGATCTGCTTGGGATCAGGTAGCTGAAAGTCCTTCAGGTCCGAGCCTGCGGGTAACGGCCATTTGATGGGAGGTGTCAACATCATCAACTCCTGGCGGAGTTGTGTTTGGAGCTCTGGACTCTTCGACATTTCCCAGTAGAGGTAGGTCAGAGCGACAGCCGAAGTCTCATGCCCTGCACCCAGCTGGTCAAGCATTTCACTATAGATTTCGGCTGTACTAGTGTCGTTTTCATCCCGTTGGAGGCCTTCGTGTCGGACTGTGGGGAGCAAGACATCCGACGTGGACTTACCTGCCATCGGATCCTTCTCACGCAAGGCTGCAAGCCCACTTTTAAACTGTTTATACACGATCGGTTCGTCGCCCGGCCACGCAGAAGTAGCACCCGCCGCTTCAGAGAGTTGTTTTTCAGCGGCCCGGCACATATCGGCATTCCAGTCCTCTAGATATTGATTTGCCTCGTCCACGAAGCGCGGCACCACTGGGAATCCGAGATTGCTGGTGATCCCCTTTATCCAAGGCATTTCGGCGGAAAAGAACTCATAATCTCGCCGGCAGTGATACTCATGCATGATCCTCTTTCGCGTGGTCACGTCTTGAGTCAGGTTTGTACTGGCTTTAAGGCCGAACTGGTAGGCTGACATAAAATCCATGGTCATAGCATTGTTCAAGTCATGGACATCGGTGGGCTCAGCAGTATCGGAAAGATGCTGAAACAGCGGCAAGAAGCGTGTGGAGAAAAGTGTATGGGAGGTCGCAGATACTTGTGGCGATGAAGCAATGTACGTCTTGCTGTAGATGTTGGCCATGGTGCGTTTCTTCTGGCTATGGGGACCGTGCTTGATGGTAGAAAACATATTCATGACGCTGGAAATGAATCAACAACACACAGCTTCATTAGGTACACCCGTTCGGCGTGCGTCACTTACCCGTAGCTGCCAAAGCGCTGAGGATACCAAGCGTGCTTTTCCCACCCTCCAGCATAAATGGTTCTTATGCCATTCTCCACGCAATTGACACTAAGCTCATTCATGCCCATCCGGACAACCGGGCCATGCTTGAGATGGGCGGCATAGGTGACCGCATTGTTACGTTCGCGGTATCGTTGGTATGTTATCCATAGATCTCCGAAGAATGGAACCGACCAGTGGGCGGATGGGATGTGGCGGAGAGGGTGGTACAACAAGGGATGAAGAACGACTTTGTAGATAGACAGCAGTAGAAGACATGCTAGTGTGACTGAGGGAATCACCGAGACTGTCATGGTGACAAGCTGGCAAAGTTCCCTCGGTGTTGTGATACTGTTGGGGAGCGTTGTTGGGAAGAATGAGCTGCTACTTGGCCTCTCGGAATGGTTGAAACAATATAAATATTATTGTCGAGGTGAATGTCTGAAATGAGGAGGAATGACCTTTTTCAGCTCGACATTGGTGTTGATGTAGTATCCATGACCACTCATGAAATGCCCATTTCTGTCAAGCTAGTCTATCATCAATGATACCTAGGTTCCGAGAGGTGGCTTTGTCGTCTCGTCTTTCCCCTTCCACTCGTCGCGAGGTGGGTGTTGTCGCTAAAGTCCGCGGGGCAAAGCGAGGTTGTATGTGGAGTGCCATTCTCCGTTTGGTTGCTACATGCCCAATTACGAGTGCAAGGCTCCGCTTGGGCAAAGTCAAAAGGTTCTTGCACATGTTATCGTGTTATGTATATCGACGTCGAAGAAACGACATGCGAGCATCGAAGGAAGAAAAATAACAACTTTATCCCTGACTGGGTTCTGGGCGGATCAACGAACGGTCTGCGAAGTTACTATGCATTACGATACCTAGACGGTGATCTTTTGTTTACCCTTTCCCCCCGTCTCCTCTTCGGCACCTTCGTCCTCATCACTGCTCGTCAACTCGTCCTCTTCGTCGAATCCTGCGAATCGTCTTACAGGTTGTCTGGGCTTGGGCAGGAGGTGTGATGGTATCTTCAGCTGATGCTGGAGCACCCACAGTGCATCTGCATCGCCCCCTTCGGCTTCCATTCTGAGTCTGGCCATCTCGTCTTCATCAAGCTCCATTACATCATCTGCGTCGCTATCTGCCTCACTCCCTGACGCAGACCCGCCACTTCCACTGCTCTCGCCTGCAGATGTAGCGTTGGTGTCCTTTTCCTGAGCCGCCATCATAGCCATCTTGACGGCATTCCTCACGTTTTCACCAATCTCCTCCTTTTCTTCCACCCACTCGTCACTCAACCCTTTTCGCCGACCATCTACGCCCTTACCGGCACGCATATCTGCCTCTCGCTGCTCGGCCAATTCAATAACCTGTTCCCATTTCTTCCGTCTCTCTTCCTTCTCTTTCTTGTCCATGTCCGGTTTGGTGGCAAGATAAGTTGCCAGATTCTTGGCCTCTGTTATTGTCCGTAGCCTCCGCCCGTCCAGATTTCGGGCGCTGCCAGTGGCAAGTTCTGCATTTTGACGTTTTTTGCGAGAGGACATGCGTCCACCTGCGGCCCTAAGTTGGGAACCAAAGCCACCCTTTCCCCCGACTAATGGGGCGGATAGTCTGAGGGGCAACATCGTAGATTCTCCGTCGCTGCGACATGTTTGATGCAGAGCAATATCTGCTAATGTTGTGGTATCAGATGCATAGATCGGGTGGCTCGCGGTAGACGTGAGAAGCAGGCGGGCCGGAGGTAGACTTGATGGCAACAAGTTGATGATTGTTGACAGCAATTCCGAAGTAGAGGACGAGGCTGGTAGAGGTATACATAGCGTAGGTGGGAGTGCGAGGCCTGGGAAAGTGTCCAAAAGGACATTGACCACGGGTTGCATGATGGAAGCGCTGGTCAAGGATCGAGGAAAAAGAGTGGCACTACGGTTTGGGCTTTTCCCGATGGCGAGGAACCGAAATAGTGATCAGGACCGTTGTTCGGGCAGGAGCGAGATATTGTCGTCTCGAAATGCAATGACACCGAGGCGAAACCTGGTCGAAACCTGGGCAGATGGTGTTGTTACTACAAGGATGGTTGCACATGTAACTCATCGCGCATCGAATTTGAGCATCAGAATCACCACGGCGCTAACCACATTAGGAGAGGCCCCTGCCGCTAAAAGAAAAAGAACTGGAGCTTCTTCCTCCTTGTGTGCGGCTGGGGGAGAACACCATTTCTTTCTTACCAGAACTCGTGGATAACGCGTCGTGATTGCGAAAATGATATCGGTCCATCATCCTGGATCCTTTGACTAGGAACACCTGAACCTTCTTCAGACTCCCATCCTTGTTGCCGAACTGTCATTTCGACCTCTCATGAACTGTCAATGCGGATTTTCAGCGCACTGGCCCCTGGATACTGGATACGGGATACGGGATACTGGACACGCTCCACAAAGATCATCGCCACATCAAGGTCACCGCTAGTCAGTCCTGACCACATCCTCATCAAGTTTGACTACGGTGGCTCGGTGATCGCAACCAGGCCACCGCTCAGGTTCAGAACATGCCCTGGAAGCCGCTGCCTCTGTCGTATGCAGTAGCCATATACCCTTTCCAACCTTCGGCTTCTCCCACCGAGTTACCACTTCAGATCGGTGATCAATTATATGTCATCGAACAGGGCGGTAAAGATGGCGCCTGGTGTCGAGGTTATCTTGTTGCTCCTCCGACCCTATTGTCGGCCCTGACTCCCGGTGGCAGGACTGCGGCTGATGCACGTGTCTTTTCTGGCATTTTCCCGAAATGCTGCATCGAAATTCGGGAACAGCTTGGTCCCGAAGTCTCTGTGGCTGTCCGACCCGGCGAGCCGAAGCCGCAAGCCCCTGTCCCCATGCTGAAAATAGGAGATGATTCACCGACATCTTCGACGGAACCACTTGTGGATGAGATATCATCGTGCCTGCGAGAATGGTATATTCTTCACCTTCCGGATTTAGTACTCCGGCGCGAGTATCATGTTCTCGATCAGATGTCCGAGATCATAAGTCGACTGGATTATGCCCGGAGAGAACTCTTAAATGACGTTCTTACTGCGCAGGAACGACTGCAGGTGCGAAATGATGCGGTCTGGGACCTTGTCAGGGGCAATAAAATGCTCAGTGGCGAAGTTATCGTTCGAGATGCCACCCACCAAGGCCGACTATTGACTTCGGAGGATTCTGCTATTGAAATGACAAAACTACAAGCGATCATGAGCGTTTTGGATTCACCGCCATCCGAGAAATCCAGGGCCACTTCCTTGCATCATTGTCTGGTTGAGGTCATATCTGTCGTAGGTTCGGACCTAGAGTCTGCAAGCTTGAACTTGGCCTTGTATCGCAACGATTCAGATGGCAGCCCTGTGTCATTCTCCGAAACATACAGTTCTGTTGCTTCGGCAAAGATGAAGACTTTGTTCTCAGATCTCAGTACAAGGGATATAGGAGATGCGGGAGAAACTTTTCTCACAGTGAAGGTCACCATCTCAGAACCTCCGCGAAAAGCAAAGCGAAGAGCCCCTGAGCGCCCTCCCTCTAGAAATGGCACCTTGTTGGGCCAGCGGCAACTTTCTCTCAATCGCCGAAGGTCAAGCTTGATGTTCGGTAAAAGGAAACACGCTGAAAGACCGCATCCCGGGGTGAACGGTCGAGCAACGCCCCAGACCAATGAACGGGCTCAAACGCCGTCGATTGCCGAAGAGGAGGATGGTTCCTCACCGGCCCAAGGCCCTCCGGTACCTCGGACAATCGCAGTCGGGATTCTCGACGTGAACAAAATCATGAGGGATAATAACTCTGTCGAAGAGACGATCACAATGTGGTCAGTCTCAGCACGAGATGATGAAAAAACCAGAGAAGTGGATCCTAGAATAAAGCAACTGTTGAACTCTCAGGGGAGAAGCCTTGTGGTCTCGCCTTATATATCGAGTGTGGCTCTCAGACTTACTCCTTACACGGCCCCGGATGCAGATACAATGATCAAGAACAATCCGACTTCAATGCATCTCGTCACCAAGAGTCAGAAGATTGGTTTTTCGGAGGCGCCTTCCAAGCCTCGATCAGACATATATCTAAGGCTAAGCAAAGCCGTCATAACTCAAGGAGCGCATCTCTCACATCCAGAATTGAACGTGGCCCCAATCAAGGCCCAGTCTATGCAGAACTTACAATTAACAATGGAGGTTCGGGACTCTTCTGGTCGGCGTATCGAACACTGCATTTATCCTTCCGCAAATGGGGCTGCTGTGACTGCATTACGCACGAATGCAGTTGAGATCGATTCTGCTTGGGACCAGACACTATGCCTTCGAGTACCGACAGAAAAGGTCCCGGATAGCCATCTGATTCTCAGCATTGCGGATGCCCCGGAGTTCCCATTTGCACTGGCTTGGATGCCATTGTGGGATAAGAAGGCCTTCATCAGCGATGGAAACCACTCTCTCATCCTCCATGCATACGATAAGATAACATCTAGTGTTGTTCAAGGTCGTGGAGCGTATCTGTCCTTGCCGTGGAATAATGCAACTTACAAAACTGTTCACGAAGGAAGTTATGCCAACATCGCATCGCTGGAGGTTAACACCCTTCTGTGCAGTACAGAATACTCACAAGACCGCACGTTGGTCAGCCTAATCAACTGGAAACATCAGACGTCGGTGCAGTTACTAGACATCCTCCAAAAGCTCACTTTTGTACAGGAAATAGAAATTGTGAAGCAACTTCAAGATGTTCTCGATGCACTATTTGGAGTGCTTGTGCACAAGTCAGGAGAGTCAAAATTTGAGGATCTCATTTTCAACGATATCGTATGGGTGTTGGGCATTGTGCACGACAGACGGTACAATCTGGGACCCCTTGTCGAGCAGTATACTGAAAGTCACTTTCGCTCTCCCTATGCTGCATCCTGCCTGATACGAAGTTTTACTCGACTTCTGCAAAGCGTTTCAGATCCTCAGAGTGCTCGAGACATGAGGGCTTTGTTCAAAGTTGGCAGGACATTCATGAAGATTGTCATTACATCCTATCAGCAACGGCGATTTGGATCACAAACAAATGAAAATCGAGACGAAAAGCATTCGACGTTCAAACAGGATATGCAGGCTATTCTCTTTGGATTGCAAATGATGATGCGCAGTGAGACGGCAGCGCTGGTAGGAAGCAAGACCTTGCTCGTACGAGAATTTCACACCTGGCTACCTGAATTGCTTCCCGCTTTCAGCAAAGAGGAAGTCATCAGGACGTCTATCGACTTCATTGATTCTTGTGAGGATGCAACTGGCAAATTAGTCCTCTACCGGCTTATCCTCATTCATAACTACACCAAGCTGGACCAGATTTGGGTCGATGATAGGGACAAAAAGATGCTCGTCAAGAACTGTGTCAGATGGCTTTCCCCCTACTGGATCCAGAACGACTTATCAGACGATTGGCACGAACAAGTCCGATTAAGTTGTTCGATTGTTGCCGAACTTACACGAATCCCAACTCACTATTTACACGAGTTTATGCCAAAACTCATCTCTGCCTATGAAATCATTGCACGGCAGCCTTCGGTTCGACGGCGATCACTATCATTCCTCTTCCCGGATTCATACCCATTCGTAAACAGAGCAACAGACAGCGAGGACTCATTCGATGAGGCTTTGCTTGAGCTCTCAGCGACAGTGGCTACCATCGCAAGGATGAAAGCGCCTTCAGTTCCCAAAATCCAGGGTCAAGAGCTTTCGGAGTACGTGCTTTCCACACTCACCATGCTACGCTCACTCCTTCAGCACCACGCATGTCCGTCGACCTGGCTCAGTCTACACATTTACCACCACTCCTGTGCCTTGACGATTCTTAATTACCTCTCTACCCTCCTCATATCACTGTACCTCCCCAGTCCTGAAGAAGCCGAAAATCCAGATCAAGCTGACAGTTTCAACCTGAAAATGAGCTTGTGGAAATCGTTCCTTGATACGCTGCTCATGTTGGTATCATCTCCAGCCCTGGCTCTAGAGCTATTTCCAGAGCAGAAACGCCGTGCAGTTTGGAAAATATCTGGTGACGTACGTCAATCCGGCGCCGACCTCTTGCGAAATTGTTGGGAGAGCCTTGGTTGGGAAGCCACGGCTGACGATCAAAGACGATACAATATCCGTAGGCTGGGTGGGTACCAGGTTCAGTATGTGCCTAGTCTAGTCGCGCCCACGATAAGATTGTGTCTCAGTATGCACGAGGGGTTGCGGAAGGTTGCGGTCGAGATTCTCCAGGCCATGATCATCAACGAGTGGGCACTGAGCGACGGAGAGAGTCTAGAGTTGATCGAGACCGAGGTAATCGGGGCGTTGAACAGTATCATCAAGGCGAAGCCTGTGAGTGCGAACGAGGCCATGAGCCGCAAGATTTTCATCGCCGAGTTGCTGGAGTTGTTCAGCACGATCGCGAACCAGCCTGACGATGCGCTGTGGACGGCAATCGAAGATCTTGTTGCAACGATTGATGAATTGGTCGACCTACTCACGACCACTGAGGCGGACGAGGAAGTCGACGGCGAACCACAGGATCCGAGCAACGGACACGCCAGAGGGCAAAGCGGCGACTCGCAGAACAGCGAAGCCAAAGAACTGGCCAGGGCGAGGAGGAGCATTGACGGCTTGACACCCACGAGCCCCGCGCAGGGACGCGAGAAGGAGTACGGCGTCCATGCGTTGGAGTGCTACAAGCAATTGGCCGAAGAGTACGAGCGCAACGGCGACTACAAGAGGCTGGCCAAGACTTACAGGGCCATTGCCAGAATCCACGAGGCGAGAGCTGCGAGCCGGGCGGGTGCTGGCGGCTTGATGAATGGAAGACGAGCGTATGGAGAACAGAATGCAGATGGTGAAGAAGAGGACGATGATTAGTTTGTGGTCCCATGGTACAAACTTGGGGGCGAGGCTCGAAATGTAGGTTCATTCATGCTCTTTGGAAAGGCAAGCGTGGAAATGGTACTTTTACTTGGAAGAACGACACGGAGATATCAAGCTCGGTGGTGTTTTCTTGGGAGGCTACGATTGAACAAGATCGATCTTCCTGTTGGGGACGACCCCAGGGTTTGCTTGGGCTTCTTTGGCTTGAAATCTAGTTGAATACAGAAGGTGAAGCTATGGGAGGCCAGATGCATGTGCTGTACGGAAAAAAGTTTGCAAATGCCCCCTATACCCCCTCCCTATATGGTCTGATGTGCTGGGCCGGATTGAGCGAAGCAACGTTGTAGGATTTGGCCGTTTGGGCTTGGGAAGTGAGTGGCATCCGTGAGGAATGCCGACTAGAATTCCATCAAAGTCATTGTCATGTTCTTCCTTGCGTCCGGGTGTTCGAAATTGCATTTGCAGACAGAGCCATTCTTCCGTTACACATCTTGGGCTGAAAAAGGGTCGGCATTTCAATGATACAATTGACACGCCGTGGTGACCTGATGCGACCCGACTGAAACTGCCCGGCATTCAAACAAGATTGTACTTACACTGAAGTAGATCTTACCTGAAAGTGGGGACCCGAGAGGCATGTATCTTGCGTGAAGGACGAGTACAAATGATCTAACCCACCTTTTCCCACCGAGCCTGGCTACAGTAGTAGTGCGAGCCAGGTCACAGCGTTTGTGCAAGTGCCGCCTTCTCCTACAGTAGAACTTTCGGCTCGTTCGATCAGCGACGTGTGGTGAAACACGAGCCGCCCAATGGAGGCTGCGCCGAGATGGGAACAGTGTGCTCGTACTCGTAGAGAAGTGGTGAGGGAGTCATGACTCTGCTAGCCGTCCGACCGAGAGGATCTTCAATTTGGCTGCAAAACAGCAAATTCACGCAGTATCGCTTCATTTTGCCCCCAAAGACTTGCGCCTCTCAGAGTAATTTTCGTACTGGCATCATCTGCTGATGCTGACATCGTCGGAGGACTGATAGTCAGAGTAGTTCGGAAGCGGCGCCAAAGGGGAAAAGGGAGTCTGTCCGTCGTTCCGTAGGTCATTCCACTGGCTTGATAAGAGAAAAACAAAAGTCGCCGCAGTCAGTGCTTTTCCGACAACAGACTGCCCATAACAGAGGTCAACAAAAACAACATCATCTCGGTTCGGAGCACAATAAAATACAAAATGGACCTCGAGAGGCGTAATGGACGAGCCCTGGACCTCGCCACCAGTCTATCGACGTTAGTGGGTTGGTCGATATCGTCGTCGATGGACGGCAATTTCATGGCAACAGCGTCTGATCAACTAGAGTGAAGGGCAATAGATTCCTTTTAGATTGCTCACTCTCCCAGACAACGGGTGGAAGATCAGTGGCAATTTCAGGGCTATTGCGTGAATGAGGCCAAAGCGTCAATAGATGGATGCTGTCTCGTCAAAGGTGAAAGCACAGATATTACTGAAGAACTGTCGGTCGGAATATATTGTGGCTCTGACAGCGTCTGTGCGAAATATGAGTTTCTGAACCTCAGGTGTGCCGGAAAGCGATTTTGGATAGCATTCGACTGGACCCATCTCTTTCAACCGCATGAGCAGGAGTTACCGATGAATGCGACCGTCTGCATGAATACAGCAGGCAAGAACAAGAAAGTTGAAGCCCACTCAGGGATGAATCTATGACACGGGTATGAATCGCACAGCAAACTCACCTCGGGGGTTGACTTGTATGAGCAGGATTGGCGCGCAGTGCGCGTGTTCTCGTACCAGCGAGAAAGACAAGGTAACCTCTTGCAACATTTGGAAGCTGGAGATGCGCGGTCTGATGCCATGTCACTGTCTGATTCGTCCCATTTGGGCTTCTGCCGCGATGAGTTTGGTATAGTCCGCGGCTCTCCATGTGTAAAGTTGATTACCCGACTGGGTACGCGTACTGTCAGGAACCAGGAGCAATGGTAGTGACAGTGTAATAGAATAACAAGGCCGAGGCAATGATAGGCGGCCAGAACCAGGATTTTTCCTTGTGGGTTTAGAAAGATGTCTGTGTCTGCCTGTCGCGATTTTCTGACAGCTTCAGGGGTGGTCGTGCTTCGCTGGGCGATAGTGACATGCCCCCGAGAATTGGAACACGGCAGTTTAACCTCATCATTGCAAATAGTGTAGAAGCCAATACCTGGAACAGGATGACTGCAGCGGCTCGTGGGTTTCAGGTAGGCAAGCGAGAAGAAGGAACCTGGAAGGCGTCTCCAGAGGTCAGTTTTGCAGCGAGGGTAGTAGGAGTGGTGGTGACGAGATAAAGGTTTGATCCCTGAGAGTTCTGGAAATGAAATCATGATGGACCCCGCAAAGGGGATAATTCACAGCTGTCAGAATTGATTTTGAGCATACTGTAGAGTGGTGAAGAACGAGTTGAAGGATGTCGAGAATGTACGTAGTATGCAGGCTTACCGTGGGTAGACGTTTGGGTGATGGGGACGAGGTTTTGCAGCCAAGCCACCATTGCGTTTCGCTGCGACTTTAGTGACGCCTACGGGTTACGGGAGTAGTAGGTACCTTATTCCTGTATGGAGCGCCGAAGTAACCTACAGTACGACGAGGGCAGTAATGCCTCAGCTGGCCACTAGGGATCTTTAGGTAAGGTCGCCCCTACTGCAGCTAAGGCAAGTCTCTCCCCCCCCTCCACGTTCTTGTCCTGGTCTCGGTCCCTCACGCACCCCCCCCAATCGTGCCGTCCGTCCTCTGACCATCGTTCTGGCACCTGGCAATTGAAGTGGAGGATCCTCACTTTCATCCTCCTGCATCAGTCAATGATGAATGGCTGACCGGAAAGAGGGAAAGAAAAAAACCATGCAATGATCATATCTCAAGGTCAATGGGCACGGCCTCACCTCATCAATCGCCTCATCTGCCTCCATGACTGCACCGACCACCAACACAACGGTTTTTGGCCCGACGACGAGATTGTACTTCCTCCACGTTGCTCACGAGATTACCGACGCCCGTCTCAACTGACGGACTGTGCCCAAACGTCAAGTTTGCCGTCACTGTCCATCACCGCGGTCATACCCTTCGAGACGTCTTTCGCTGCTAAATTGCAAAACATAGATCCCCTACCGTCTCTTGCTCGCCGCCACGGACCGCCCGCTCAGATACTCAGTACAAAGACCACCCGAAGCCCGTGTTCCATCTGTCGTTCCCATCCTTCACTTCCCAAGTCCACAGCACACGCTCGGATCGGAGGCAAGAGGCACCTTACGCACACGACGTCAGAGAAAGATCCATCAGCACGTACGCTGGCCGAGGAAAGAATTATCCCAACACAGCACGGGAGGGTGTTCAACATCATACGCCGAATACATACTCGAAATACAAGCAATATCGATCGAGACAACTCTATCGAAGGGTAATACGTCGCATTGGGCATAGCATATCCAAAATAGGACGACCCAAGTGCCCCGAGCTCGCTACACCAGAGGGTAACAATATCGGCTTACTGAACCGCCTCTGGACCGATTGGGACCTAGAACACCTCTATTTTCATCGTCCAGACCGAAAGGGACACACCCAAGTTACGTCGCTCCAATCGTGACCCCAAAGGACAACGTGACTGTCGGTAGTCGCCAAGGCACATACCAATCGCCCGTCGCCCTTTTCAGCATTCCTGTTGATTGTCACAGTCTCATTAGCCCATTATTTGGCTTTTCTTCTTTTCTCTCTTTCTAACGACACTTCTACCAACACGCCCAAAACGTCTCAGGTGAGTCCTATAATTACGTATGACACTTTGCCCGCAATATATCACAGATCAGATCAATGGGACAGTGCTCTGTCCTATTCTGGTACTTCTGAGTGAGTGGATCGGAGGGATCTAGGGCGATTTCTGCGGAAGAGCGCCATGACCCTCCTCCACTTAATACGGCACTGATCCCTTAAGGATCAAGGTCCTCTTCATCATTTGTTACCTTCCTTCCATCTTCAACGTCTTTTCTGTACACGGCCGCTGACCAAAGCACGATGCAGAACTCGAACCAACGCTTTAGCTTTCCTTCATTCCAGAAGCCTCAGAGCGAAGCTGCCTACCAGCACGCCCTGAGACAACCCCTTCCATATCCTGCCAAGGGAGGAATGGAAATCGGAGGCCTGTTGAACGCAAGGAATGCTGCAGCAGCAGACGCTGAACTCAGACGACAAATACAACAATCAATGCAAATGGAGGGCGGCGTAGCCTATGCTATGAGTCAGGCGCCAAATATGGCTCACCACCAACCGCACCACATGCAAGCCCCTGGGATGCCATACCTAGGCCAGCCTCAACATAGTCATCAACTTTATGCGCAAAGTTATATTCCCCGACACGATACTCAAACGATGGTTGACGACAATTTTGGCGCCATCAGACAGAAGAATGAGTCCGCACCGAAGGCATTTGCATGTAGCACTTGCCAGAAGGGCTTCGCACGACGCAGCGATTTAGCGCGGCATGGTACGAATATTCCTCGGTTACAAGAGAACTTTTCTGACTTTCTTACAGAGCGAATTCATAGCGGTATTAGACCACATGCCTGTGATTTCCCAGGTTGCGGCAAGCAGTTCATCCAGAGATCTGCTCTGACCGTCCACATGCGCGTACACACTGGAGAGAAGCCTCATATGTGCGAGCGATGTGGCAAGGTATGCGCATTCACCATGCATACATAGGAAGTCTGATTGCTAATTTCCGTATAGCCATTCTCTGACTCAAGTTCTCTTGCGAGACACCGCAGAATTCACTCTGGAAAGAGGCCATACAAGTGCCCTTACGCAAACTGCCAAAAGACGTTCACTCGACGAACGACTCTCACACGCCATCAAAACCACCATACGGGTACGATTGAGCAGGCGGCAGCAGAGACTAATGCCAAGTTGTCGACCACTCAGCCTCAGAGTCAGTCAATGTATGGATCCACTTCAGGCTCGTCCAGACATTCCACGGCCTCGCCAGCCGACAGAACGCTATCGGTTTCTCCCAATACGGAGCTGCCTCCTACGACCAATGGCATGCAGCGGCAAGGGTCAGAGTATGGGTACCTTGGGCAAAATCACTCGCTTCCTCCGCATCTGCGGCCGGAGTTCCAGCAGCATCCGACTCGCTCGACACCCACCATGAACGGGCAGCCCCTTCACAACTTTACGAGCGCTCCCCAACAACGGCCAACCACAGCACGCCCGCAAACCTTTGGTCCTCCTCAGCCTATGGAACCGCCGGCTAGCGGCACAGGCAGCGGCAATGCTTCTCCTCACATGAACAACCTTGGCTGGAACTCGCAAAATCCCGGCAACCTGCCCACCTCAGCTTCAATGGACAATTATGCTTATCCTGATCCCGGATATGGCGGGCATCCGCTCTACTACCCTGGAAGCAGCATTCGCAGGCCTCAGTCCACAGAGCCTGAAGAGTACGGTATCCGGCCTCGCCACCACATGGGTCATCACATGCCTGTCGCCCCCGATTGGGGAGCCATGCCAATCGCAGTCCAGGACAACCGACAAGAGCGTTATGTGATGTAAACCATTTGACCCGCTCCTGGAACCCACTATTGAGAAATATTGGAAATGCCTTGGCTTCGCTCTCGAGTCAGGTGCTGCTGTACTTGGACTTGTTCGATTGCCCGGCCCTTCCGAACGGTTCGGAAGCAGTCGCGCAGAGAGGCCAAAGCGCCGTTTTCAAACCACGATGCCCATCTTTCATACCTGTTTTCAGGGATCTTTTTATTCTACAAATTCGCTTCTGTTGTATGATATTATTCAACATCCAATTAATAGGCAAGGAACGGGGGAGGGGGAAGAAAACATGGAGGGGTCAAGGCTGCGGCGCAACATCGGCAGGGATGGGATTGTACATATGATTTTCTTTGCATCCGGCAACCTACATGGCGTAAACTGGGATTTGGGTGGTGTGGGTCATTTACGATTGAAATGTCTGGAGCAAACAATAGGCTGGGAAATTTACCAAACAGAAGTCGTCAGAAAACGCACAGGCATGGTGGCGGTCAAGGCGTGAAGTCTGGATGACACGAGTGGGAGTTGTATGAACCTCTAGCTTTTCATGATTGGACCAATTGATGATTCTTTGAGAGTGTTACACTCGGACTATTAGGCTACTATCGCCTCTTTAATTGTTTCATGTTCAGGTGACACTGTCTATTTTGGGTAGAATTCTCAAGGACTTCTAGATGCTCTCTTTCAATGGCATCATATATTCAATTTTTGACCCGACTCTATCTTGTTATCTGTGATGTATGATGGGGTCCTTGATCAAAGTATGATGATGACGACGACGATGATGATGCCGTACCAGTAGCGGTACTATGATTCAGAAGCGAGCCTTTTGGGGTTTTCTAAACGAGGTACCTAGTTAGGTCTTGATTGAGTGTGGTTTTTTTTCTTTGCCGTAAAGTGTACGTGAGTGGTGGCGGTAACTCGTGATCTGATATCTTTGCTATCAGTACTCCCGTACGTACCTAGGTAGGATAGGGTCTTGAATGCGAAGGGGGCTGTTGGGCGACCGTCTCTTTTGTCGTGCGGCATGCATCGTCATGGATATCTTTTGGAGTCTTGTTTCCTTTTGCTGCTTTCCGTGATTCATTGTTTCGCGTCGTGTGGTTGGTTCTGCATAAGCATCGAAAGTCTGATCCTGGTTTTACTTGCTCGGTTTGTCACCTGGGGTTTCAGACAAGTAAACTTGTCTCTTTTTTTTTCTTTCTCTTTTTGGTTTTTATAGTTTCCCGGCAAGTTCCAAAGGTTGGTCATAAGATCGTTTGATCGGTTCTCGTGTTGGTTCTCGGATGATTTGCATGATGTGCATGGCATACATGTACGTGCATATGCACGTACGGAGGAGGGTCAGGGACAAAGTACTCCGTACAGTGTTGGTCCAATGGAATATACCGAGAGTCCGGAGCCCGGAGGAAAGGGGGGGGGTTAGGAGAGGGGGGGGAGGTCTGTACCTTGCTTGGAAGTGCTCTCTCGTGGTGGCCCTTGTTTTCCCTTCCCTCTCAACAAAGGGTTGTGGTTTGGTTTTGGTTTATTTTTGATAACCAAACAAAAGAGACCACAATTTCTCCTCCGGTGTTTCAGCCTTGCAGATTTGGATCGCGTTAGTACAGTATTACTCCGGGGTCGCGGTCGCGGTCGCGCGTGGCACAGTGCACGCACACACTTTAAAAACGCGTCTTTTTTTTAACTGTACTTCTTGCCGAGTAGGAGGTAACCTACTCTCAGTGTACAACCCATCATCAGGGCTGAAAGTCATGGAGTAGCAGCGGAATATCGGACCTTAAAAAAAGGACACCTACCAGAGTACCTAGAGATACAATTCCAAAAGGTCCGACGACGATCGACCTTTCCTTTCTTCCCCATGTTTTCTACATATACTCCTTACATCTCTCCTCCATAATGATTTCTGAAAACATGCAGAGATTTCTTCTCTCTCTCAACAGGCCCTTTTTATCCCAAATAAATGACTACGGAGTATGGAGTATACATGTTTGTTAGTAACGTCACAGAACGGTCCCAGAGAAAAGGCTCCAGAGAAAAGGCTGAGGATGGTTCCTTCGAGTTGACCATGGCTGGTTCATTGAGGACAATCCCAGATTCATCGTGTGCTCGTATTACTTGCATTGCTCAAGTACCCGTAAGTCTCCTGCTGCACATGGCGGAATGTGTGTAAACCCACACAAACATGAAATTCACATTCCGATGATCATCCAGCCCTCATTTGCACCCATCTCAGTAAAAGAATGTCAAGTTTTTCCAACCATTCAAACGAATCAAGTAAAAATCTCGAGTACCACCGTCGTCGTCTCTCACCCAACAATTCCTTTCCAGACAGGGTTCTCTGTCTTCCAATGGAAATATTGCGGCTCCTTCTTCACGCTCCGAGGATACGCACCATAACCACAACCATAACCATCTCGAACTCCGCACTAAGCCAAAACCAACGTTGAATGCTTCTTACCCGTACGCTATGGACCTCTGTCTTGGGCCGCTTTCCACTTCCACAGCTTAGCCTCGAGACTTCCCCCGGCCTGCAACTTGGAACATCACTGCAAAACCCAAGACCTCTGAATACCGCGTCGTATCAAAGATTCGGAAGACACAATGCCGCTGAATGTGTATGCTGACTTGCACAACAAGCAAGATGCTCGGAATTTCCTCAAGACCGAAGAACCTAGACAATGATTTTTCGCCGCATACAAATGTCGTCGGGCACCTCTTCAGCACGCCCTTGTCATGCGACGCGCAGGCAATCCCATAGCAGGCACCTCGAGCACCACTAAGTGTATCTTCCCCCGTGCTTACATTTGAGCCACAAAAGTTTTGATCTTGCCTATATGTTCTCCATGGTTGAATGCCCACACATGCTGATTCGTCTGTGCCGTAAATGAAACCACCGAATGCCTTTGGAAGAGTCATGGCCTGTGTCGGTAAGGGGCTCTGTTTCATGTTTTTTCTCACGGAAGGACGAAGGATTGACGACTTGCATGGGAAGTTAGCGCGTCGGTCGGCGAGAGCGCCATTTCCCAGCGACGATCGAAGAGATCGTGCCACCTCTCACAATACAGAGCAAAGGTCACTTCAATGTCAATTCAAACAACGACGAGGCCTTTATGATGTAACAACAGCCAAAAGAAAAGAATCGTTAATCGAATAGGGAAAAGGAAGGAAACTTAGCTGGCAATGGTGTTGACTCCGTGTCCACAGTTCCAGCAGCAATGTTCAGTGCAGTAGCAATTTTCCAAAGTGTTCCGTGCTCGAAAAGTTAACTTCACTCACTCGGTCCTTTGCAACGTCGTCCATCAAGCAGAATATTAAGTCTCGACATCAATGATCTAATCTGAAAGGAAGGAATCTTTCGCCCTTGAGGGATAGGTAGGCAGTCCACGCCAATCCATGCATCGCAAATCTCTTCAAAATCCGCATTCTGTAACAAAGCCCAAGGTCATCCTCTGATAACAAAGCACCACCAGTAAGAGTTCATGCGTGTTCGTAGCAGAATCGTGCGGAAGGTTCAAGATTCTGCATAGAATCGTTTCATGAGCCCCTCTACCACCTTGTATGCTTTCTTGGCCTCTTCAAGGCTCTCGCCGATCATTTTCAAACACTTGGCCTCATCTGGTTCGTCAACTTCGCCGGTCTCATTTTTCTTGTGACCATAATGTTGAATCTTTTCGCATTCGTCTTTGACTTTGGTGAAGCCTAGGGTAGCGGATGACCCTTTGAGGAAATGGCCGAGGCTAGAGAGTTCTGGGAGGTTCTTATCTTTCCTGCACGTGGGTGACATGTTTGATCAGTATGCCAGACAGCCTCAAACGGATCAAGGCATGCTTCTTAAGCCAACTCACATCGCATCATCCATCTTCGCAAATGTGGTGTCCGCTTGTTCGAGGAAACCAAAGACTATGGACTTGCTGAAATCACGTTCATCCTCTTCGTCCATGTCGAGAATCTGCTCAAAGGTGGCCTTGTCAACGGCATCGCCGAAATCGAAATCTCCCTATCGAGACGGAACATGTCAGCGACAATAGTCAAAAGGTAAAATTGAGCGTCGGCCGGCATTTGTGTCGTCTCGAAGTGACCGGGCGCGAAAGACTAGGGTAGGCTCACCTCTTCAGACATCTTGTTAGTAACCTCTGATGGTGATGGGTGATGGCGTAGTATATGGAAGTGGGTGTTCGGACGCAAGATTTCAATTGAAATCCAAACGTATCAGAATTTGTTGCTCACGACTAGCTTTTTGTTGCTCCTAGCCGGTATCGCTACTTGAACGCGAAATGGTTGTTGGCGCCAAAGTCGTGCCTGTGGTGCATCCTGTCAGCATCGTGATATGGCATTGATGTTATAAGCCTCGGCCACAACGACGACCATAGTTGGGAGATGGATAACGTGTGGGAAAGTTGTAGATGAGGAGGAGACAGACTTTTTAACGCGCACAGACAAAGGCCCAATAAGAAGTCAAAGACACACAGCGTCTACCAGGCAAGGCTGGACGACAAGGCTGTGATCGGAGGTAAGCTGAAGATCGAACGACGATGGTTGTAGTGAAAAGAGAAAGGCTCAATAATTCTCCAAATGAAATGAATGATGGGATTTTGGTTTGAAATGTGAAGGTGAGAGGTTGGAACCCCAGGAAAGGAAAGTGACGTACAACGAACGTCGACGTAGAGCGCTGATCTTAGAGCTAGGCACAACCCACTCTCACTCACACGTCCCTGGATCGACTGACAACGCAAATTAAAAAAAAAGGGTGTCGAGGATGCACACTGTGTATGTTGGAGAAAAAGAGAGAAGGACAAAGGGATGAAGGAGTCCAGAGGTACGAGATTCCCTGCCGTGGTCGAACGTTTCTGATTGTTTTGAGGCTGAATTGCTGCAGAAGAGAATCCAGTCAGTACAGGGTTCAGAAGGAGGGGCAGCTCATCACTAGTTGAGTTTCTCAAACATCCCACTGATGTGCGCTTCTTAGGTGTGATAATTCACCTGATACTCGGACGAGGATACTGTACACACACACCCCTTCAAGCTATTGAATCTCTACCTCCGTGCGGCCTAGAGAAACGAACACTCAGAACTCGGCTGAATCGGCTACTCGAGGTTGGGAATAATTGGCAGTATTAGATATTCCACCGGTGGATGCAGATCAGTCACAACCAAGTGAAATGAGACACAAGCGGGGCCCAGGCGAATGCCAAAAGGCCAGCAGCAACGATCAGAAACCCAGTGGGCGATCGGACGTGAATGCTCGATTGACAAGGACAAGAGAAACTCGACCCTGCGGTGTGGACAGCTGCCTGGGAAAGTCAAAGAGCCAGGCCAAACGGGAAGAGAAGACGTTGTTCTCAAGGCTGAGGGGTAATAACGTCGACACAAAACTACAAGTACCAAACAAAAAGAATGGGCTGTAAAATTTCTGCGACGAGCCTGGTGAGTCTTCAGGGACGGAACCAGTTATGGAGCTTCCTTGGACGCGGTGCGGCTATGTATTCCTAATGCCGGCGAGTTCCCTTGTTGGCGTTGGCGAACGCGCTGCGCAAACTTCACTAAAAACCCTTCCAAGCACCGCTCCTGCGGGCTTCTACGGGCACTCTGTCCATCAAGATCCCCGGTCTTTCCGCCAGCTGTCTCGGTACTGTACAATAAGCTTACAGGCTGGCTCGGTGTGCCCTTCTCTGTGGGGGCGGCCCCGAACCTACGACTACTGTATGTCCACGAGCATGCAGAATACCGTATACTTGACTCGTACCGAGTCTTGAGATGACATTTACAGGCCAACACAAGAGTAGGACGAGGACTGAACAGATGCAATGGAGCTTCAATCCTTAGAGTCGCGCACGAGACGGACTTCTCTTCTCTCTTCCAGACTGGTGACCATCAGTTCACCCCCTTCTTCTCCTGCAAGGAGACTCTTTTAGACCGACTGGCATGAGATAGCGACACTACCTTCCAGCAGCCGCCATGCTGGGTCCAATCCTCCCAACGCGTCCAACAAACTCGCAGTCGGGCTAGCAATACGGCAGATCGACACTGCGGTCGCTGAAAACGGCAAGCTGACGGCATGCTTGTGCTACAAAACAGACCATGATTCTACGGCGATGGTCAGCCCACTAGATGTATGTTTATGAATCGAAATCCCCAGGGAGCGAACGGAAGACCCTCATGATGCTAGTTTGAAGCATGGGTGGGAGGGTCTTTGACTCCCGAGAGAAAGATGTCCGCCGCCCCTCGTTTCTACTCCGTAGTACTGATCAAGTCACCCAATTCTCAGGCATGCGAAGTCCTACAACGTCAAATTTTCTGCCAGACCCCGGCCTGCGGGATGACGTCTTCGAGCAGCACAGGGTCGCACGCGAGATTCCCGGACCGAGCACCAGAGTCTATGTCATAGGGAGAGAAAGAGTTTGTGTTTTGTGAAGATGATACAAGGATCAGACAAACTGCGACGAACAACAAAAAGACAAAGTCTACGTGAGAAATGGTTGAACCACCGACTTTCTGGCCTTCCCGTTTTACCCTTATTTGTCCTCCACCGGGCGCCGAACAGCAAGAGGGACTGGGGGACCGCAGAAGACGCCCACGAGCTAGGGCCCAGAGGAGGTGATGTCAACCCGCAGATGGCGTCCCGTCGGTTGTCATCTTAACTGCCTCGAGCCTAGCGTCATCACACCTGTTGATTGTTGGGTTGGGTTGTGAGACCTCAAGTCTTAGAGAGGTTGGCAGCACCCTATCTCAGTCCAAACAACTTTGCAACCACCCCACCCTTTTTCTCACCCTCTCTCTCTCTCTCGCACCCTTTGTTTTCTCTACGAGTATATACCGGGGACTTGAGGGACGTACCCAATCATGGGTAAGTTACATGGGTTCCCAGACCATGGTTACGGAGTACAAGCAAGAAGTATACGAGCAAAAGGCCAAGACATGGTATCCAGGTCAGTCGACGACCAACTTATCCTCGTTGTTCGACAAGGACCAGGCTATCTCTTTTGTTTCTATGTCTCGCGTGACCTTGACGGGCCGCATCGACCCTTGAAAATCCATGAAATTGGGATGAAGTACTCCGTACAGTGTAACTCTTACCTTGCAAGAAGAAGAGTTACAACGACACTACTTGGTGGTTGGTGGCGGTCAGCAACAAGCGAAAGACACGCAAATAATCTACCGAGTAGAAAAATGACGAGAAGCCACCCCTTTGTGGTTATCGCAGCAGTGGTGTTTGGCACGTTGATTAGGGTCAAAGGTTCCTCTCTTGGGGCGCGCCATGGCTGTTCGAACCGCCCCGAACAGGGAAAGGACAACTTGGGCCATCACTACTGTATGGTGAACCGTGCTTCGTTCGTACTACTGCAAGCCACTTCTTGCACATGGCTTTTTTACCCTTGTTACATGGTACTCCCGTACATAGGACCTATGGCATAAACCGGCACGTCGGCTCTGGACTTGCACTTTTTTCCCTCCCGGGTAGAACTTGATCAAGGCGACTCCGACCGACGATCGAACTACACCATGTGTCAATCCTGTCGCTAGAGAATGCCAGAAATCAAGGCCGGAAAACCCACCAATAACCCATAATCTTCGAAAAGGGGATGTTTGGGCAATTTTCTCATGGGGATCGGACGAATGGTAAAGGCCGACCTTATACTCCTAATCAGGAGGCGGGCTTCTTCTTCTTCTTTTGTTCCTTGTCTTGGACGGAGTCTAGCACGAGTATCCCTTGTTATGAGTTACAAGAAACAATCCGGGGGGAAGGAAACCCTTTTGACGGGACTGCGCCAGCGCAACCGAGTAAAAAAAACCAAAAGAAACAAAAAGAGTTCAAATTCCTGACCCGACACATATAGACACATATAGAGTCAGCTATGAATGAGTGGGAATGTGAGTATCTGGACCGCCTCACTCCCCTTGGATTCCTTACTGTAGGTCATTTGTGATTCGTCACAGAATGTCGGTGTAGTAGGTACGGTAGTAGCCCATGGCCCGGATGTTCACATGCGTCCTAACAACCTAGGGTATCAAGGTAAGGCGAGGTAGGTACACGAGTAAAAGACGGTCCCTCTATCAGGCCCAACTGCAATATGTACTTACAGTAATAACTATATAGGTAGGTAGGTAGGTAGGTACCTTGTATCTGTACGGGATGCGGTTCAGTCAGCCGTACGAGTGCTGACCTGGTCATGGAGTTACTCCCGTACGGAGTACTTTGTCCGAGCAAAAGGCAGAACGAGAAATGGGCCATCCATATACCCTTCTCCTTCATTACCTTTAGGTATGAATTGTAACTTACGTATCCTCAGTACGTTAGGTACATACGGAGTACAGTAGCAGGACCAAAAGTTACCCGAGTCTACCTTACCCAAGGTATATTGCCCGGCACGGCCCATCACACCCACCTACAATAACACTCGACGAATGAAAAGTACTTTTTACCTTGTTCGAGTACATCACTACAAGACGTCAAAACTACCCATTCCACCACCAGCAGAACATACCTACCTTGGTCATGCCCAGATACGACTACCACCATTGTACTTGTCTCCTCTTCTTGTCGGAGGAATACTGCTGCGTGAAAACATGTTACAGTGGAAGAAACTTTTCTTGATTTGGTTGCTCACGAAAAGAAAGCATCTAAACAATCTAGCATCCGAACGAACGCAAGTATTCACCAAGGTGGCCATACTTGTGTGTCTAGCGCGATCGTAGCATCCACTGTTCAGCATGCCTTCTTTGGCTTCTTCCTCTTCGCCAGGGTCTCTTCATCTCCTTTCTGCCAACTGTTCCCACACGCTCCCCTTTCTATTTTGAATTGTCATGTCGCAGGTATGGTCTGCGACCGACGAAAAGATCGGCCTCCCACGCAAGGAATCTCGTAGTGTACAAGTGCATAGTGTACATTCAACCGGTGACCTTGAAGATGGACTCGGCGAGTCTCTTGACGTTGCCGGTCGTGATACCAGCGACAGAGATACGGCCATCCTTGGTAGCGTAGACGGAGTGTTCCTTGGCCAAGGTTTCCATTTGTTCAGGCTTCAAACCGGTGTAGGCGAACATGCCGATCTAAAGAAAAAAGAGTGATCACATCAGTATATATGACCCTTCAAGTAACGGGCTCTATGCACAAAGGACCCGCGGACGCAGGTGCAGCAATATACAACGGCAAAGAAAAAAAACGCACCTGGTTGGTAATGTGGTCCCAGTTATGTTTGCTTCCCAAGGCTTCAAGGTTCTTCTTGAGCAGAGCTCTCATCTCGATGATCCGGTCAGCCATGCCCTTGACCTCACCGAGCCACTGCTGGTTGAGCTTGGGGTCGTTCAGGATCTCGCTGGCAATTCTGGCTCCGTGGACGGGCGGGTTGGAGTACAATGGGCGCACGAGGATCTTGATCTGGGAGTCGACGCGCTTCTTCTCCTCGGCCGACTCGCACACGACACTGAAGGCGCCGACTCGCTCGCCGTACAGGCCCATGTTCTTGGCGAAGGACTGCGCCAGGACGAAGCCGTGACCCTGCTCGACGAAGAGACGGATCGGGTAGGCGTCCTTGTCGGTGTCACCGCTCGCGAAGCCCTGGTAGGCCATGTCGAAGAAGGGGTAGTGCGACTTCTCTTTCATGACGGCGCTGATCTGGCGCCACTGCTCCGGGGTCGGGTCGATACCGGTGGGGTTGTGGGCGCAGGCGTGGAGGAGGACCATGCTGCCTTCCGGCGCGGCCTTGAGGTCCTTGACCATGCCGTCAAAGTCCAAGCCTATCGTGTCCTTGTTGTAGTACGTGTAGTTCTTGACCTCGAGCCCTGAGTCGGTGAAGACGGCCTTGTGGTTCGCCCATGACGGCGTCGGAATGTAGATGGTCTTCGCACCGGGGTAGAATCGTTGCAGGAACGCACCACCTATCCGCAAGGCTCCCGTGCCGGAGATGGACTGTGTGATGGCGATGCGGTCCTCCTTGATGGGCTGCGAGTCGGCGCCGTAGGCGAGGAGGGCGGCGGCTTTGGTGAAGGACGGGACACCCGTGATGCCAGCGTATTCCTTGTCGAGAGCCGACGAGACGACCTTTTGTTCGGCAGCGCGGACGGAGGGGAGTACGTAAGGCTTGCCCTTGTCGTCGCCTGTCGAAATAGATAACCAACGTTAACCAGGAAGGGGGACTTTATTTGCCATATGGTACAAAACAAAGAACCATGGACAGGGCGAGCACCACTTACGGTAGGCACCGACACCAAGGTTGATCTTCTCGGAGAAAGAATCCTTTTTGAAAGCTTCCGTGATACCGAGGATGGCATCAGGAGGTCCTTCTTTGACATTGGCCCATGTTGATGCGTTGACGGTGCGAACTGCCTGCGCAGTCGTCGTCTGTTGTCGCAGGGCGCTGCGAGCAGCCGGTCTGAGGGTGGAGAGCATGGTTGATATGAGTGATGGTACAGAGAGGAGGTCTACGAGTACAAGATGAATGGGATGGAAGACCAAAGGAGATGAGAATATCAATGGAGGGTACGGAGCTTTGGATGTCAAAGAATTACAATGTAAAAGGGATGGCGAGATGAAGCTCACTTTACTTTCCGTACGCAGTTTGAGGTTAATTAGTCGTTGACTCAGACCAGAGCGCAGCTTTCTCCAACGACCAAAAAAAAGTTGTCCCTGGAAACGGGCCTGATCGGGGCTGCTCCGACTCCAGGGCTCGCTAGGCGGGATGCCCGTCGGGGTACAACTGCTGTTAGCGAAATAGCACTAGGCTTTATGTACCTGTTTCTTCCGCACCAAGTAGGCATTATTCCTGTGGTCCGGTATGCGCAAGAACTGGGTACAGGGGGCTCCATACGTTTATACACAGCCATTTACATAATGCTGGTGGTACCACCAGGTACTTGTACCAGTCTCACATCGGGCCACCGCTTGTCACCACGTCCTCTTGCCCGGTCTTAATACATGCTCAACCTAATCGGACTCCTGCCTGCTTGTTCTTCTTTCCCATTGCCCCCTGGGCATTGTTCATACCCGTCGCCTGGCTACTGTCCAAGATACTGGCAGCTTCGCGTTTCTTCTCCTCCGCTACCTTCTTCATATGCTTCTCTGTCTTCAGCTTACCACTGCCCTTGCCGTGGAATTGATGACTGAGGTGCTTGAACGCTTCTTTCTGATTCATCAGCCGACCATCATCATCCACATATTTGATCTGCACATCTGGCTTGTATTCGCGGTTGAAGGCAGCAGCAGCTTGGATGGAGCTTTGATGTTCTCGTTGGGTGTTCTGCCAACGTGCATGTTCTTCTCGTTCTTTGACGGACATTCCAGTCAATTTTCCAGACTGTCGGTCGCGCTCACGCTGCATACGCGCTTTCTGTTCATTCTCATGCTCACGGAGACGTGCTTCAATTATGAACTTCTGGCGATCCTTGTACAGAGAATTCTTGTCATGGGCATCGCTCTCCTTGACCAGGCCGCGCTGTCGTAGAAGACTGAGAGCGGCTCCAAGACCCTGGTCGAGTGTCTTCTCTTCATCAAGACCGGAGTGAGAAATGTCTGGAGTATGGGTAGATTGTTCTCGTCGTAGCCTCTCGAGGAGTTCTTCTTCATTTTCCACACCAGCATATGCCTCGCCCATAGGTTGGTCTTCGTCCTCGTGTTGGCCAGCCGACTCCTCGGGTGACTCCTCCTTCTCGATTGACTTGACAAGTTTCGGCTCGAGCTGTTCGTCCTTCGGACGGGATGACAGGTTATCCAGAAATACAGTAGTGTCATCAAGTACCAGACCTCCGTCAGTTTCCCCTGATGCTTCGGCTTCGTTCTGCTCTTCTTCTTGGAGTTGTTTTATGATATCTTCAGGTTTCCGTTTCTGCTTCTTCAGCACTGCCGCCCTGCTTCTCGCGAGGGCATTCGCAAGATCGTCGTCATCATTAAAATTGTCCTCGACTTTCCGGGCCCGAGAAGCCGGTTGCGCAGAATCGACTTCCATGGCGTCGCCAGTTATACTGGCTTGCACAGGGAATATATCATCTTCGTCTACCGTCTTCTGGCGCTTCGAGGTCTTTTTACTCTTTTTGGGCTTCTTGATCTTGACTTCCATATAATCTGAGACGGGCTCAGGTTTTAAAATATCAAGGCTGATGGTATTTTTCAACACGTCCCCAATTTGCTGGCGTTTAGACTCGCGTTCATCCATAGCACCCTGAGCATCCAGCGTGAATGCCTTCCGTTTCTTATCGTCATATTGCGATAGAAGACCCTTCTCGGAATCGTCGTTGACATCATATGCCTTCTTTTTCTTCAGCTCGAGCTTTTCATTGACCTTGTCGCGAGCTTTAATCTCCGCATTTTCAAGGATATCATCCTCGTCGCTTCCATCATCCTTGCCGATTTCGGTGTCTTTCAGCGTCAGAATTTGTTCGCCTAGGCCTTCATCAAAATCGCCAATCTCGTGTGCAACCTGGACGCCAGCGAGGTCCTTTGCAGAGTATTCAATGGCCGCCTCTCTTTCTCGTTCAGCCAGTTCCCGGGCCAAACGCTCTGCCCTTTCCCGCTCGATCTTTGCTTGACGCTTCTTCTGTCCCTTCAACCATGCTTTTGTATCGTCGATATCATCATCGACTTCTCCAAGACCTCGACCCTCGAGCTTTTTAGCTCTGGCCTCGGCATCTCTTCTCTTCTGGATCTCTCGTTTCCGTTTCTCTCGGTCAAGGCGTTTCTGTTCTTCTTCCCGGACTTTGTTCCAATTCCCGAACCCAGCGGCTTCTCGAGTCTCGAGGGTAGAGGCAGGCTCTTGGTCGCTGTCGTCATCGTCGCTTGGAGAATGTTCCTTGAATGATGGTCCTTCAGATGCTGGTGGAGGCTGTCCACTTACGCTGAGTAATGGCAAACCCAGGCTCTTCCTGAGCTTGTTCATCTGCTCGATATCCGCAGCTGCCATGATGATAGTCGGCTGCAACGAAGATGCGAAATGTGGTGCACAAATGTTCTGCAAATCGAGGCAAACGAGAAATGAAGGCGCGGGCAAAATTATTACGGGACGTCTGTTTGACGTGAACCGCCACTTGTGGTTCACTCCAGGACTACGGAGGGGTGCAAGTGGCTATTAGCGCAGTGGCACAGAAACCACTGGTAATTCAGGACTTTCGATGAAGGTGCAACATTCGTAAGTCCCAGCTATTCGTCTTATCCACGACTACAGGATTACTTTCTGAGAGAATTAGGTAAAGGTTCAAGACGAAGCGCGGGGCAATACATGGAATAGATCGGTCTGACCGCCAGAAAGAGACACTCAAGGCCCGGTAACAGCATCCTGTTTTTTCTTCGTTTTACTGGAGATGCATAAGGCTAGGGTCGGATATTTAGTGAGAGACAGGCCCTTTTGGTCTCGGCTGGGAGGTCAGACAGTAAGCCCTCCTACGAGCGGGCAAGCGAGTAGTTGCCCACTTTTGCTATGAGGCAGTCTATGCCGCGACAGCTTCAAGGCGTCTCAAGCCGCCACTAGCTCTAATGGAGCACTGCAAGTCTGCCATGCGTTTCTGATCACCTGTTGGATCCGGACTCTCGCCCTGCAACCTCCAGCCCAAGAAGTCGTTGGTATAGTTGGGCGCGAAGCCCTTCTCCAACACACCGAGACGCTTGCCGTAAGCAGTGACCTTGTCCCAGTCACGACGGACATTCTTCAGATCCATGCTGAAGTATGGGAAGCTGCGCTCGTACATCTTGCGATTCAAGGCCGTGTTCATGACCGGCTTGAAGTCGACGTACTCCTTCCACGCCGCCTCAGGGTCTCGGAGGACAAAATCGGTGGCTCGTTTGACGGCACGCATGAAGGCACGGACTTTGTCGGGATGTTCGGCCAAAAAGGCCTCGTTGCCAATGTACAAGATGGTACAGAAGCAGCAGCATCCCAGCTCGGCGAGCTCGTCAATGCGGAGCATTTGGACATCGGACTTGGGCCGGCCCTGAGATTCGAGCCAATGTTCAAGCTCAACCATTTGGACGTTCTCGAGGCCGATGCCGGCGTCGATGGTGCCTTCGATAATGGCTTTGGAGACGTTCATGCCACAGCGGACAGCCGTGTAGTCGGATGGGGCCATGCCGTAATGGGAGGTCAGTTCGTCGATTTGGATCTTACCGAACTCGCCGACGTAGCCGATGCGTTTGCCCTTGAGGGTGCGGAAGTCGGGTGTGATGCCGCTTGACTTCAGATAGACAACCCCTGTGAAGGGTTCGTCGAGCAAGCTGCCGATTGATTGAACGGGGAAGCTACGAGCTTTAGCCTATTGCGTGTGAGTTTGACATGGTCGATAGACATTCAAAGAGAGCGGGGGAGCATACGGCGAGAGTGTGGATCATGGCTTTGAAGCCGAGATCAGCCTTCCCGGTGCCAATGATCTCTGTGACATCCTGGGCATGGTCAGCTCGTCGTGGATATTGGATGAGAGGGGAATGAAAAGCCGTACGCCGGGGTCATTGGGTTCAAGGAGAGCAACCTTGATGCCTTCGTCTGCGAAGTAGCCCTTGGCTTGAGCAAGGTAGAGAGGGGCGTGGTATGGCGTAGCGTGCCTGCGGGACTAAGTGTGAGTAAACACTGTTTTTGACCAAGGTAACAAACGTAAGTACCAATTGGTTAAGAAGACAATCTTGTCAGTCGACATCTTGACGTGATTTCAAGGTCGAAAATCTGTAAGAGTCAGCGATCCCCCTCCACAGAGGTGGATGTCGATGTCAAAGAAGGCATGTCCTTTCGCTGGTATTATCCAGATCAAGTTCTCCGGTATTTCTCAGATCGAGCTTTCACGTCCTCAGAGCTGTTGATTCTTGCCGTCGACGACTCAGTCCTCTGGAAAGAGAAGAGAGCGTGACTCAGCAAGGACACAGAAATGAGGGGCAAAGTCGAACACCCGGCATGCAATCTTCGCATATTTACCTTGACCTTGATAACTGGACAAGGTCCATTGCGAAAGGCGCCATGACTCCCAGAGTACTGTCGTACCAGGTAGTATGAGCTTTTCGTGGTGGTGGGAAAGGAAGGGAAGTAAGTAGAGCAGTAGAGGTGAAAATTGGAAGAGGAAGGGAGGGGGGAAAAGGAATGTGTCAAGCAGCTCCAGCAAGTCTGTTTTGTATTGTTTTTCCATGGAGGGGCAACCTGCATCTTCATCCATGTGGACTGATGATTGTAATTGACTGGTGGAGCACAGAGAGGAGCCATTCGTGTTGCGTTTTCGTAGAGCTGCGGCGAAGAACCGGCCGGAGCAGGAAGAGCTACTGCCACAAAGGGACCAAAGTAGAGGTTGTGCAGCTGGCTAGTAGTTGTATCGTCGATGATGAGAGTGTCCTTTTCCTGTTGAACCTCTGTGAACCTACCTTATTTGATGGTTGTGTGAGAGCTCGTTGCCGCTCAGAGTACATACTTTGTATGTTCACAGGCTCCGACAAGTACACTGGAAGACTTCGGAAATTGGCATAAAACCCGACCGTCAGTTGGGAGTGACTGCAGACAAGCCCTCTTTATGATTTCCATCTCTTGAGTACTCGTAGGGATCCAGATTGGCTGCAGGTCAGAGAGTGACTGGGCTCGGTGTAGCGAGCGACTCTCGGTCGAGATAATATTGCATAACGGCCGAAATGGTGGGAGCCTGGTCGTCGACAAATAAATACCAAGGGCCTCCTTACCTTCTCCATTCTCCTGCCATCTAATCAGGTCCATTTGATTAGCTTAAGAAGCATCTTGTTCTTGGAAAGACTGACATTGTCCTGATTGATACTGCTGTTCCGCTTCTACAAGAAGTGAAGGTCTGGCACGGGGCCTACAGAATCTCCGGCACCGGTGCCGACTTATCAATCAGATAATCAAGAGGCGCCTCGACAGGCCGCGCCGCTAAGCTACGCAACGCCCAATCGTTAACAATCCCATGCCTATTGGCCATCCACTCGAGAAGCATCTGCACCCAAAATTCTCTTAGTTTGGACCCTGGTCGAAAAAAGTGCCCCGGTATATCTGATCCCCGACCGGCGCATGCGATTCCACCATGCCTACTGTCCAACGCACTCGCTCCCATAATCCTCCCACGCACCCTCCTCCTTCCTCCTCTCGATTCTCCAGAATGTCTCTGTTACGCGGCGTCAAGACGTTCCTGGGCTCGGGTTCTTCGTCGCAGCACTCTACAGGCTTCATCACTGCGCGAACAGAGACGGAGCTGTTCCCCGCCACACACCCCGACATCGATGGCGAAGAATGCTTAAGAGATTGCGATTCCTGCACGACGCACTACCCCAAGAAATTCTCCATTGACGAGAGCGACAAGCTCTATGGGCATGTCAAAGGATGGAACACCCACCTCATCGTGGGCACGGGGCAGTCCGACTGGGTTCGCGACGTCACAGACATTAAACACAGCGTCATGCATGCCGTGGGCAAAGCTGGTGTAGAGAGGGAGAATGGCAAGATCATGCTCAGCGCAAGTAACATGCCTAGTGGAACGGACGACCACGGTGATACAGTCGAACAAGGGACGAGCGATTGTATGCTATTGCCCAGTTGGGTCATGATCGAGAAGGTTGCGCCGAGTCAAGTCAACAAGTTGTTGACTGAGGTGGTAGAACAGAGCGTCACGAACGAAACACCTCTTGTGCAGAAAGCAGCAACACAGAATGGACATTCACAAACACCGACCGCGAATGGAAGTCACGTACAAGAGAACGCAGATGAATCAAACAATAGACTCGACCCTGCACCCGTACCCGCCTCGATATCCTCGTCCTTCACCATCAAACACATTCCACACGATTATCTCATCCTTATGTGCAGTCACAAGACCCGAGACGCTAGATGTGGTCAGTCCGCGCCTCTTTTGCGCAAAGAATTCGAACGAATCTTGCGACCAATGGGTATGTACCGGGACATGCATGATGAAAGACCTGGTGGTGTAGGAATATATTTTATCAACCATGTGGGCGGCCACAAGTACAGTGCCAACGTAATGATCTATCGACGAGAAGGACGGAGGAAGGATGGGACGGATGAAGAGATCGACGGCGCTCCACTGGCGAAAGAAGCGGTACAGCTGATCTGGCTGGCTAGGGTGCGGCCTGAGGACTGTGAAAACATTGTCAAGTTCACAGTCCTCCAAGGGAAGGTAGTCAAACCGAAGAGTCAGTTGCGAGGTGGTTTTGATCGGGAGAGAGGTCTGACGAGTTGGTGAAGGAACCGGAGGTATCTGCTTGTCTGATTCGAAAAGCGAGTTATAGATTTTGCAAGCATAGAATCTTGTCCACAAGTCATGCCCTGCGAGGAAGGATGAATTTGATGGTAAGAGGATGCTAGTCGGCATTAGATGAACATGAATATACAGTAATGACCAAGTGAAACATCATAGGCCTGAGGAGGAGAGAATGATTCGCGTGGACATTTGCAACCATTCTTTGATTATATTGTCTTGTTTTATTGGAAATTTTGAGGGATGGGGATGGGATGTAGACAATAGCCTTGGTTTTGCCCAGTGATCATTCCTCGACGAGGATCAACACTAAGCTTGGGAATAAGACGTCTCCCTACACACCACTTTCAGCCGGCCGAGTTCAGCCTCAGAGAGGCGAGCTCAAGGCCAGCCTTGCCCAGAGGGCGTGAAAAGGTCTCGGGTCAATCTCAGTTCTGTCGACTGGGTTGGACATTAATGGAAGTGCGATAATATCTCCGCAGGAATAGTCGAGACGTTCACAACAATCAACCTAGCACATCCTATGTCCCGAAGGAGCATTGAGAGGAAGGGATCGTTGTGACACAGAACTTGTTGTTGAGGAAGAAGAAAAGAGGAAAGCAGACAGTGTTGCATGCTATGGATAAGTTCAGAGAAATTTCTGCCAAGACCTCAAAAGCAGCAACGAGCCTAGTGAGACTATTCTATTTGCAGAAGTTAGGCGAATACGCATTTATGCAACCTCTCTTACACTCGTTGCATTGCATCGCCATGTCAACAACAAGTCCCCATTGCAACGTAACCAGGAATTCGTCTGAAGGTAAGAGAAGTCTAGGCACAAGAAACCCGACTAGGCTCCAGTGGCCGGCTGTGTGAGGCTCCGGGATTTGCTCTTATACGAATCCCGAACACGCAAAGTCCACTCCCAAGCTACTAATTGCGATGCCTGGCCCAATTCGTCATCTTTTCAACTGGCGTCTCAAAACTTCACTCCGAGTGACTATTCTGGCACTGACGCCGAAGTCAACACGCGCAATTTCCCTGTGTGCTCCAGCTCATATCCTAAACCACCAGAATTGTATCTTGTTGACGAGAGCAGGCCTGGTGTTATTGCTGCTGCCTTGTCCGCATTGTGACCCAAATCGCTCATTCCTGATTCTAGATATAGGTGAGGCTGACGTCTGCATCGGATGATCAACAAAGACACACTACAAGCGTTAGCGCGACTGTGGAGACAGAGTGCGAGGTGAATACAAGGACTGTATCTCGACGACATAGAAATAGACGAGGTTGCGCCCACTGTTCGTTGAACTTGCTTCCTGTCCTCATCCTCAACGAAGCAATCAATTGAGATATCGAGAACCCTATTTCATTTACATTACAACACCACCAATATCGACAACATGTCGCAGCCAGCTCAGAACGGTTCTTGCATGCTGTCCCAAGTCGACCAGCTCATGCCCAGAATGTATACGCCTCTCTTTCTGGTCTACAAAACGGATCAATATGAAAAGGCCGTCAAAAATTTGAACGAAGGTTTAGCCAAAACTTCGGCCTTGCTTCCATTTCTCAAAGGCTATGTTCACAAGACATCGGACGTTTCCAACCGGCTGTCGCTCTCGTGGTCATCTCAAGACCCGCCACTGGCTGTCACCGAGACTTCCACTCCAGAGTCCCTGCCAAGCTTCGAGAGGTTGAAGCAGAATGGAGCACCGCTCTCGGTATTCCAAGAGAGCCTCTGTCCCGTACCATCGATCATAGACTATAAGACTCCAGGAGCGAAGGCATCGGTCCTCGCCATCGGGGCTACAAGGATGGAAGGAGGTTTGATACTATGCTTGTGCGCTCACCACGTGGTTATGGACGGAGCGGGCATGGGCAAGTTTCTCAAGCTTTGGGGCGACTGCACGAGAGGTGTTCTGAATCTTGTTGATGACGACGCGCTGTACGACCCCGAGGAACTCTCTCATAGGGACACATGGCTACGAGATGCTAGTGGGTACTTTCCTGAGGCTGAACCGCAAGCGACGCTCGAGGAGCTCTTGTCTCGGCATCCGGAATATAGCCTTCGATCTGTCAGCGCACCTCTCCCACCCCTATCGGCCCATGTCTCTGGACAGCCAGCCGCTTGTGCCGCAAAGATCTTTGCTTTCTCAAGTGCAAAGCTGCAAGAGGTCAAGGTGGCCATGAGCAAATCTGTGCCAACCAAGTACCTTACTGTCAACAATGTTCTGGGTGCTGCCCTGTGGATCGCGATTACAAGTGCTCGGCTTGGACGTATACGCCACAATGGCCTTCCTACTATTGAAGGCTCTGCCACCTCGAAACTTGGCTTTGCCATCAATGCTCGCTCGAAGGTTGGACCCCCGGTATCAACCATGTCTTTCTTGGGCAACGTGACCATGCTCAAGGTGGTTGAACTTCCTGCTACCGAGATGGAAGGTGTCGCTGAGAATGCCCTGGCCAAGTCGAGCGCCACGAACTTTTCTCTTTTGACGCCGGTAATCACTGCTATTGCTGCAACCACCTCCGCTGTGACACCAACTCATGTTGGTGAGATCGTGGCATTTGCCGATCGTCTCTCTGACGTTGAAGACATCCTCCCAGGATGGAATTCCTACCATGGTCTGGATCTGACATATACAAGTTGGGCGGATCTAGGAATGTACGATTGCGACTTCGGAGCAAGTTTAGGAGGTGGGCCGCGGTTTGTTAGGATCCCCTACATGCCTTATATTGACGGCATGGTGCTTTCCTTGCCGAGACGCAGGCTGGCCGAAGCTTTCGATGAGAGAATTGAGGTTGCCATCATGATGAATGAGCAAGATATGCAAGCGCTTGAGGAGAACGAAATGATACGAAGCTGGCGTGCTTAAGCGGATCTATTGCTACCGAGATGCTTGCTTTGGTCTATATGATTCGCGATCTTCCCAAGGTTCAAGAACGGGCGAAGACCCTGGTAAAGCTGCCTTCATTCGCCCCCACGAGTTTTGAATTGAACCCGAGCACATGTACCACAGATATTTTTCTTCTTGGCCACCTAGCTACATCACCTGAATTCACTTTGGACGACACCCTTCACGTGAAGAATTTGTAAACGGGAAAAGTGGCGAGCAGCATTTGGCCATTGGTAGTAGTTCTATCTGGTGGTGACTTAGATTGATCCTAGTGGAACACCAAATGTTGTCCTCCACCCTCCTATTTGTTCAGACCGAACAGGGTTAGGGAAGAACTACTGTATCTAACCGCTGTTATGTACGGTCAACTGTTCATTAAAAGTACCAATTAAGTCATTTCTGTAGGCCTTCCAGGGTAAGCTGACCACCCCTGTCCCGCGAAGAGAATCTTGGGCTTATATCGGCATGGCGCATCTGCGGGGCCCATGACACTTGTGACTGCGCGTACTAATACTCCGTATATGGGCGAAGCGACTTCTACACCGACATAGGCACCTACCAACTTCCTTGTCACACCTTAGTACAGACCATCGATAGTAGCCTCAAACAAATACAGAGCACGTCATGGCAGACTCAGCGAACGTGGCGACCGAGGAGCGAGTCTGTGCTTCCTGCGGCAAGGCTGAGTCCCAATTGCCGACCGGTTCTACTTTGAAAAGATGTGGCTGGTGCCTGCAAGAGAACTTCTGTTCTAAAGGTGAGTCAATTCTTCGGGGGAAGAACCCTCTCCTCGACCCCGTCATGATCAGGGGGTGGCCCTGATCAGTCTTTCTGTGTATAGAATGTCAGGCAGAGCACCGGCTGCTATATTATACAATATGTCGACGACGAGCATCCATCAGCCGGCGGCAACATAGAATTAGATGTCGACGACCAGAGTCCAACCGCTGGCCGCAACATAGAACTGCACGTCGACGACCAGCGTCCAACAGCCCGCGGCCGACCCTACCTGCTCCTCAGTTCCTCACCTTCTTCAACCAACTCAAATCTGAGCCGAGGACGTACCAGGTGCTCATCGACACCTTCCGTCTTCGCTGCGAGGAAGACTACACAATCGGAGGTCACAAACACGGCATCTATGGAGGAGACCCTCCGCTTCCCGTGTTTCGCGATTTCCTGGCTCGGGCCAAGACCGCGGGGATGTTGCCGCCATGGTGGAACTCAAAGAAGCGAAAGGCTTGTGAGGAAATGGCACAGCATGATGAACACTTCAATATCAAGTTTAAAGTGGAAGAATCAGACATCTTGGAGTTCTATAGCAATTGTTTAATGCCATTGAGGTTGCGCTTCGCTGCATTGAATGTGTACGGCGGCAGCTATGGAAGTGGCCAGAACCAAATGCCAGCAGACTATGTATGCCAATGTCGAGGAAAGTGATGAGAGAAGTTGATTGCTGGTGGTCATGGTTTAAAGGTGCAAGGAACAAGCAACAAGGCTGGCTAGGTACGTTGCTGTGAGTCAATGATGGAGTTGGTTTGTCTTTTTGACACTGACAAGGAAGAAAGTCACGTTATTTCAAATCAAGAAAAAAAGGATACCCAGAGTAAGCCTTCGTGACTTGCTGTTTATTTTGTTACCTAGTCTTCAAGTCAGTGTCATCAGGCTCATCATGTTTCCTGCTCGTACGGAGTGTTGAGGCTCATCAGGCTGAGACGCGGGCAGGTTTGGCGCTAACCTGATTGAGGCGAAACGCTCAACACCGTCGCCTCGCCTATTTCTTTAATGCACACTTGTACGGAGTACGCGCCCGCATGATGGTCGCAGTACGGAGTAATGTACCTCGATGACCCTGGGAGTGTGACAACCCTGGCCACCGTTTCGGCCTGGGGCCGAGATGCTCCCATGCAGAAACCCGCGCCAACATGGCTGGCCTTGTCGCCTTTTTGCGTGGTTTTATCTGCTCTGACTTCCTCAGCAGAATGGTGGTGAGGCGAGGTGAGCTTTCTTGCTGTCCAGGTTTCTCACGCGTGCTTTTCTCTCTCTTATTTTGGCCCCCAGGACTTGTGTACTGCGTCAAAAAGAGACATGCACTAGAGCGCGCCCGCACTGTTCCGCCACAAAAACACATGGCGGCGCGCGACCGCAGAGGCTTCAAAGTAGTCCCAACGGTGGACGGGGACGTGTCGACAAGTCAAATATATGACAGTGAGCGCGATGTTCCTCTTCGTGCACTTGCGCCCATTGGGAGAAAGCCAGTGGCCGCCTCACACCAAAGCCCAGCGTCCATCGTCAACTCGACGACGATCGAGCAACAAGAAACCATGCTATATACACCTCCGACGACAGCAGACAAACCACCACCACCACTATTCGTGAGTAGTGGTCTCGGCCGACCAGCTCGCAAGCCCATAGTCAACTGGGTCGATGCCGCCGCGACCCTACTCAGCGTACTATGTCTCATCGCCTCCGTTGTCGTGATCAGTCCGTCGTTTGCCTACGCGGCCGAACTGGCCTACACTCGACAAATCATCGCCGTCGGGTTTTTACTGGGTGTCATGAGCCAATGCATGCTTCGCACGGTCCCCTTTGCGTTTCTCCTGATCGAGGCCCAGTATGGCCGTTCGACCCTGCAGAACCTCGACGGCCTGCTTCGTTGGACCCCTCTCGCCAACAACCTCGGCGCGATATGGAGGACGTGCATCGTCATTTTGTTGCTGCTGCCCTTGGGCCTCAGTGTGGGATACAAGCGATACACGGGCGGAATAGGCGACACTCACGCGACGATGAAAACCGTCGGTCTCGGACCCACCGCCCCCCCGGGGACACAAGGCATCGGGTTCACGAGCACAATGACCAATGCGACGTTGCCGTTCGTCGGTGCGACCATCGACAACGAGACGGTGCCGAGCTTCGGTGCCGCCCGGGGCGGCGGCGGCGGCGGCGGCCAGGTGTACGGGTACAACCTCGTCCTCTTTTCGACGACCGACGCCGCCGCCCTCGACGCCCCTTTGCCCGAAAACGTCTCGTCCATCCAACACTCGCTCGGCCCAGGCGAAGCGGCGACCATCTCGGCCGACGTGCGCGGCACCGCGTCCCACTACCACACGCTCGGCGACTCGGACCGGAGCAACGCCAGCTGGGCCGACGCGTGGACCTACGGCGCCTGGAAGACCATCACGCTCTACAACGGCTACAAGTTTGGCTTCTTGGCCGTCAGCACCGCCTCGGGCGACGGCCCGGGGTGGTACAACTCGTCCTGGGTGTACATGGGGGCGTACCCGACGGACAACGACGACGACGACGACAGGGTCACGTTCCAGCGCACCGCCTCACTGTGCACCGTGTCCCGGAAGTCGTGCCACGCGACCTGGACCGTCACGTCGTCGTCGATTCTTCTCGCCTCCGCCACCTGCGACTCCGACTTGTGGTCGGGCTACCAGTACCTGACCAGTTCGCAGTTGGGGGTCGCCGACTCCATGCCACCTCTGATGGCGGAATACCTCGCACCTTTCGCGACGACCCGCAACGCCTCGGACTGGCGGGTTCCTTCGTTCGCCCTCGCCGCCGCGTCCATGTACCAGTCCCGCGTCGCGTCCAGCTCCGGTTCCGTCCCCGTCCAGCTGGCCGGGTCCCTGTACCAAGATTGGCTGTTGAACGACACCACGTCCGGCACCTCTTTCGGTACCATCAACGACACCGGGACCCCCCTGAACCTCTCGACCGGGGCCTACACCGAACGGTACAACGGTACCTTGACGCGGGTGCTGAACCGACCCGTCCTCCGGGCCGATTGGTCTCTGTACGCCCTCCTCGCCATCCAACCCTCCCTGACCGCCCTGGCCTTTGTGGCGGTGTGCGCTTTGCACGAAACTCCGATCTCCAGGGGGTTTGGACTCATTTCCGTCTTGGCGGGCGTCGAAAGGGGAGGGCTAGACGTACTCGCGGGGGCCACCTTTTCCGGAGAGACAAAAAGGTCGGTGACCATGGAGATTAGGGTCGTAGAAGATGATGATGATGAGGAGGAAGACGAAGACGAAGACGGAGACGGAGACGGAGAAGAACACAACATTGGTCCGGCTTCACCGACGACCACAGCAATGGCCACCAAAACAAAACCAAAAACAAAAGCCAAAGTCTGCTCGACGACCAACCCCACCACGAGGAGAAGAAAATTGCAGTACCTCATTGGCTGTGGTGGCACCACACGACGTCCGGGTTTGACGAGTACGACGAGGTCGCGTCATCAACGTGTGGATCGAAAGATGAAATACTACTGATCTACAATATCCTGATCCACCGATCAACTGGTCAGGTACCTAGACGTCTCTAACTCGTAGCGACCCGGCCTGCGCGCACACACAACACTGCGCTGCGGCCTCAACACCTAGTTTTAGCCCTCCTTGGTACTGAATTCTTATCATTTCAAACGCATAAGTCGTGACACGTACCTACGGGAGTGCGTCTACGACGAGGATCCCCACTCTACCGATCATCAACCTACCATATTATACTCATACCAGGTGTGTCTACCCATTTCACAAGCTCCATCTATAGTCAGGATGGCATTCTGTGGTAGATACCAGCGAAATGGCCCCTCTTCTCGCCATACATGATGAAATCGTGAATGACCTGATGACCAACCCCATTCTCCCTTCTATTCCGCCATTATTTTTTGTGCAACACAGTCAGTAATAAGGCTGTCTACCAACAGATCCAACACGTTAGTTCGTTGATATTTGTAGTCAGATTCCATGCTATACGAAGTAAAATGCTTGCTGATTCAAAATGATATACATATACACTAGCACAGAGCTAGGCTCATCAACATGCAGATCACAACACCTCATCTCAACGCCTAAACATCATCTGAACATCCTCCTTCCTCCATTCAATCTCCAATCCACCCTCATAAACACGGTCAATCACAACTCTCATCCTATCCCATGCATGCGCATAGCGAGTCGCACACTCTTCACACACACGTCCAATCAACCCACGACTCAGACTGCTCGTGCTGGCTCCCAGTCCGCCTTCGTCCGCATCACTGAAATGCTTCTCGATCCTCTTCTTCAGAGTCTCCACCCCCTTACGCACCTCCTTCATATCATACACACCGAGAATCTTCTTCGCACTGCTGCGTGAATGGCTGGGCTTGCTAGCAATACTGGCATAGTCGCCGCTCGAGATGTTTTTCATCATCGCCTCGGTACTCTCTAGGAAATCGAGCCACTTGCCTAGTGGTCGACGTATCACCGCATCCGTATATTGACCAAGATGGCTGACCTGGTCCTGGCCGGCTCGCTCAACCCACTCATCGAGCACACCATTGTTATGCGTTTTGACCTCCTCGACAAAGTAATTCATATTCTCAATCAACAAGATATGATAGTTCAGAGCCTCTTTATCCTCGGGGTCTCCGCTCGTTGGCGCATTTGCACTCGTAGGCCCACTGGCGCCCGCGGGATTGTCCTTCGCAATGAAATTGAGAGACTCCCACATTGCTTTGAGGAGACGCGTGTAGGCATCGTTCACAGTGAACCGGACATCAAGCGAGTCAAGGGTGAACTCTTGCGGTATCATATCTTCCACGGCCGCCGTAAACTCGGGGAAGACACGCATGAATGAAATGAGACCCTTTCGTTTTTTGACTTTGACCTTGGTTTCTTCGATAGCCTTGACCTGCTGTTCGACGAAGGCGTGGAACTTGCCTGTGAGACGTTCATGGAGGATCCTGACGGTTCTAGTGATGAATTCTTGGTTAGTCTCTTCGTACTTGGCCAAGCACTGCTCGAGAGAGACCAGCACTCCGACACCTTGGATCTCGTCCATCTTCAAAACCCAAGTGATCAGGTTTTGCAGATCCATTTCCCAGAACGAATAAATACCACCAACAGTGTTCTGGACGATCTTGGCCATGTTGCGGTCTGGGTCGTAAGACTGCTTCGCCTGCAAATTCGGCACTTTACGCTGGTCAGGAGATCGAGACTGTACAATCTCTGCAAAATCAGTGTTTGACTGGGAGTCCAGATGGAAGAAGTGGACAATGAAATTCTGCTCTTCGGAGATGGCTGTAGCCTGCTGTTCAAGCACAGTATCGAATATTGTCCACGCTTCAGGTCTGCCATCTCGCCTCTCCCCTCCTATCGACTGGCGCAGGGCACTGGTCTTGACGGTCCTGCCGCGCTTGACCGTCAACTTTCGAGCAGCTGTGGATGTGAGTGACTCCTCGGCTTTCTCTTTCTCCTGATGGGTGAACAGGATTTCTTGTTCTTCCCCTGTTGGCTTCCGTGCAGTCTTCTTGAGGCTCATCGAATAATCGCGAAATTGTGACTGATATATGCTCTTCACATTTATCTCATAGCTACTGATCAACGTCTGCCATTCGTATTGGTTGACTTCTCGGACAAACAGCATCATGGTATTGTACATCCACAGGTCTTGTCTCGAGGCACCATATGCTCGGAGGTTGAGGTTTGTAGATGTACCTGAAGAAATACTGGCTGTTGCATTCTCCTCGCTTGTTCGCTGTTCGGCCATTTGGAACATCGCCTTCATATGTTGATTGAGTCGGTTCAAGAAAACTGTGCTCTCCTCTTTATATTCGTCTTTTTTCTGTTGGACCGCACGCATTTGCCCAATCTCGGCGTCTGCAAATTGGCCCACGCCAACGCGACCAGTCGAGGCATCAGCTTGTCGGAGTTTGTTCTGCCGGATTTCTGGATCGATCGTCAACATTGCTCGGTACAGCAAGGCCAAAGAACCTTCGATAGCCTGTAGACCATCGTAACTGTCAATCGGCGCGGCTCTTAATGCCCTCAGATCCCCAGATGATATAGTCAAGTTCTTTAGGAGGCTCTCCAACTCAGATTGTAGTAACTTCTGGTTGGCTGTCTGCACCTGTAAACCTTGACCCTGAGCCTCGATATATTCAATATCGTCGTGTAGAGTGTCGAGCTCGTGTGCGTATAATGTGAGGAGGCCATCCAGCTCTTCACATTCTGCAATGGCCTTTTCGAATGCTTTCGCCAACTCTTGTACTTTAGTTTCCTGTTGTTCAACATGTCCAAGCCAGCCACTTGCCTGAGCGCGGCCGATCTCTCTTCGAATACTCGTTTCAAAATCTTCCACTTTCTCTTCGTCAGCAAGCTTGCCTTCCCATCCAAACTCTGTCAGGAGCTCGTTAAAGTCTGCACCACGACCGTCCATGATACGTGGATCCACGCCCAAGGTTGAGCAGTATTTTTCCACCTCGGCTTCCAACTTCAGTCTACGCCTTCTTTGTGGTGAGCGTGATCGTGCTTTATCTGGAGACTCCCCGCGTGCCTGTTTTTCGGGGGTCTCGGTCACGGGAATAGGCTTCTGTACCGGCGTTTGAGGCCTTGCAACACTATCGGAGGTTGCTGTCCGCTCAATCTGAACTTTAGGGATCGCATCGTTGGGTTTGACCACGGGCAGTTCCTTTTCAACACTAGGAGTAGTCAAGTCGGGGGTGCCTGTTCTGGCGCTATCACCACTCATGCCTCGTTGTAAAGGCGCTGGAACAACAGAAGTGATACCGTCAGGCTCGTTTGACTGCTTCTCTTTCTCTTGTAGGGCCTTCAGACGAGCGCCAGCACCACCTTGACGAGGCTGGAACGCCTGTGCGGCAAGAGCAGCCCTTCGAAATTGATTGGCTATGTCTTTACCAGATTTCTTTTTGATCATAGGTCCTAGTCCAGGGCGATGCTCCTCTTCAACTTTGGGAGGTGGCGGTACAGTCTCAGCGGGTTCAGCTGTCACTCTTTCGTTTGTGATCTGACTAGGAGGCGCATCCTGGCTGCTAGGCTCATGCGTGGCATTGCTAAGGAGTGCTGGTTTAGGCTCATCTGGCTGGGATTCTTTCTGAGGTTGTCTCGCTGCAAAGTAGTCTGGAGCACGCTTTTGCGACTCCTCTTCTTTCAAATTTGTTGGCGTACCCATGGGGGTGACAAAAGTGTCGCCATCCTGGCTTGGGGGACCCAATTGATCTGCGACAGGCTCGGGAGGTGGTGCCACCGGCCTCTTCCTCTCAGGTAACGGTTCAACAAATGCTGGTACGTCAGGTCTCGATTCGGATGGAGCCCTGCGGTCTGCGGGTGCGATGCTCGGCCTTGGGCTACCAATGCCGCTGTTGCCTCCAGCGTTGCGGAAAGAATCTTGACTGGCTTTAGGTCCCAGTCTCTTACCGGCAAAGTCCAAGCCCGCAGGCATAATTGCTGCACCTACGCCGTTTGTCCTCAACGGCTGTGGCTCAAGACCAGGCTCGTTCCTCGACAAAGAAGTCTTGGAGGTTTTAGGACTGAGGGAGGGCCGCGGCGGTGTTGATTGCATATTGTTTGTTAACGAAGGTGCGCGTCCATCATCCCGTCGGTACTGAGCACTAGGGGGCTGGTTTCTGGGAAGATCCTGCACCGGCGTACTTCGCTCCTGCCTCGAAGGGGCACGATTGTCAAACTGGGGAGGTGGTACGGGCCCATCTCTAGCCATCTGGGGTTGATCCTGCCTCGAGTAAGCCCGCTCCTGCTCTTGCGACACAATTCTGTTGCCATCTCTACTTGGTGGGGGGTGATGGGCAGTGTACGGCGACTGCGGTCGGTTCGCATTCAGTGCAGCTACAGAAGGTGGTTGCGCAGGAGGTGTCGATCGGTCGGATGGAGCAGCGGGAGAGAAAGTGCCTGCACCTCTGGGCGGAGGAGCACTTTGAGGAGCCGGATTGCCTATCAATTGAGCCGCGTCTTGTGGTGAGAATCCGATGAGATCTGGCACCTTCCCCCCTGTGTATTTTCGATATATCTTGATCAAACTGGCAATGAAGAAGTCCTTCTCTTTTGGCGTCGGTGCCGACCAGAAATAAGGCTTCCCTAAGGTGATTGTGAAACCAGTATTGGAAGCCCATTGCTTCTCCATTTGCTGCTGCGGCGTGGCCGGCACCAACGATGAGTATGATAAGATGGCATTCAGCTCGTCCAGGTTCCACGTTTTACCAATAGAAAAGGTGCCATTAGGATTCTCTCGAGCCTTATGGACCCTGACCTTCCCCGACCTTCGCACCGCGACGAGAATCACTCTGTTCTTCTTGTTGGCTGCAGGAGATTCGGGCGGCGGCGGAGACGAAGGATAGGAAGCGTCCTCTAGTATTCTAACGTGGGTAATGTATGATTCCACCTGCATGCCATCCTGGTCCCTCTTGTTGAAGCAGCTTTCAACAATACGTCTCTTCTCATCCTCGAAACGCGCGGCGCGGGATTGATTGGTCTCAAGAGGCTCTGGTTGTTTGACTCCGGACGCACTGCCTAGAGAGCCATTCCGAGCGCCGTTTGAGAGCGACGGCGGAGGCTGCTGTTGCTGCCGATGCCCTGACTGATACTGTAACTGATTCATGGCGGATGGTCGGGTTCGAGGGCATCATCTTCTGATGGCTAGGTGCGCAGAGAGGATAATCGTAGCATCTCGGTGTGGAACTGAAGTTTCGTCAAAAGGGCAGAAGCAAGCATACACTCCTGTGCTGCTGTCGCTCTCGTACAGTATGAATATGAGGTAGATCGCACGGAACAGTTATCTTATGTTTGCATTTGGGAAATTCACCAGGTCGATGCGTACGAAGTGTACGGAATACGGGGTTCAGAGTTACGGCTGGGAGAATCATCGATGTGACAGGTGATTGGACAGAGCCGGTTGGTTGTGGACCTACGATGCCGTTTCAGAGATTTGCCGCCTAAATACGCATGCCTGATGCCCGGGACAGCCGCTAAGCTCCCACTAATCCTCAACTCCAGCCACCAGCCGCGCCTATCGAGGTCTACACATCCCCTAAATAGTACGGAAAAGAGGTGTGTTGTACTCCGTACTGAGTATCTTAGGTATCTGAAGGTAGATGGACTCCGTACCCTTTCAACACTTTTGCAGCCTCTACTCGACTGCATTGTCTCTATCCAATCCCCTACAAGTGGCACAGTCCGCTGAATTGAAGCCCAAACTTTGGAGCTCAGCTCTCCCTGCAGGCATATATGCCTCGCACAATGATATGTCGCAAAACTCCAGCCAAAAGATCCTCCTCCAACCCTGAGGGCGATCATGCCTGGTCCCCTATTACCAATCCAAGACGCCTGGCTCAATAATTTGATACAAACACTATCATTGATCATGAAGAAGAAGAAACTTTTTGATCCTCTGTTCGGTTTCAGCCCAAGAACCTTCAAGTGACGCCCAAGGGACCTTTTTGGTTTCACTTCACAAAGAGCCGCTCGGAGTTCTCAACCATCCACATGACCGCCTCATTCTTCATCTTCGTATCACTCAGCTCGCGATTGAGGCTTTCTGGTCGCATGATGGTGGGCGCGAAAACGACAGCGACGTTCATCGGTGTCATGAGATTTTCTTTCTCTTGCAACACCACTCTGGCAAGGTGTTGAATGAGGTATTCCAACACATCGTAATGCACTTGGGGAAGATCTTCCAGTGCGCGCTGCATCCCTTCGAGTCTGACATCCTTTTCTGCAATACTGGTCGTATCAAGCAGTTTGTCATAGACATCGTAAGTAATCAAGGGTGTGGGCAGCCGTCGGAAGTATTGCTTCAGTCCCGAAGTCACAGCATGAATGTCGAGGTCCGGATCGGACAGATCGAAGTCTTTTGTAGGGTTCTCGAACCATTCCTTGACTTGTTGCACTTGTGAATTTGCACCGGATTTGCGATAAATGCCTTCAACATCCATGCCTATCCTTGTCAATTCATGGCCAGTGTGACATGCAGAAATGACTTACCTCTCGACTCAACCTCTTCGATACACCGCTTCACAATCATTGGAATTTCGGTTTTTTCGAATTCAGCCCGCTGCTCAAGGTCCGAGCCGAATAATTCTATACAGTGTTAGCATTGTCGGACTTTGATAACGAATATAGGTGACATACGTGTAGCAGCGTCAACAAGTAAAGAGGGCGTGCTGGTGTTGGCCTGTGAAGCATAAAGCCCATTCGGTTTGGTTGTGGTCTTCTGATTGCCAAAGAAGCCAAAGCCACCCTGCTTGACGGGTTCTGGGTTCGCCTTTGGCAGGCTGGAGTATTCTTGACCAAGAGGCTGTGCACCGTAAGCTCCAGTCTCGGCGAACTGCAAATCTCGACTGTAACTCTGTTGTGTCGAAGAGAAAGCACCCTTCAGACCCTTAGTTACCCCCTTGGCAACTTTTTGTCCTTTCCTCCAATCGAACTTTTTCGGTTGTCCTTTTCGGATGTTCACCATCTGTGGACCTTGTAGAACCGTCACCGGCTCTGCTTCCCCAGCTTGTAGAGTGGTGGCTGATTCAATGTTGGTCAAATCGGTTGACGCATTACGCATGGTCTCCCGAGAGTCAAAGGACAAATTCGACTTCTCCTTGTGATGCGAATAGATACCGAGGCCATTCATGGCCGGCTTGGTCGCCTCGGCCTGGGCACCCGAGTTCGCTTTATAGAGACCTTGGATTTGGTGAACCAGTTGATTGTTGAGTTCTGCCAACTGTGCATTCTTGGATGACAACTGTTCGAATTCCATAAAACTCTTATCCTTCATCTGCGTCAAATTGGCGATTTCGTCGACCAGGTCATTGCGCTTCTGTATCGATTCTTCAATCTGAGGGGCAAAAGAATCTTTCAACTTCTCCAGAGATTCCGCAAAGTCACGAAGGACTGCGTTGCTCAATTTGGACAGGTCGAACGGCTCGCCACTACGTTTCGCGACTGCTAGATGTTCGGTCAGAACTTCAAGTTCACGAACCACAATCTCTTTTTGCGAATCGAGGACAACAATCGTCGACCTCTTCTCCTTTAACTCGGAGTTGACTTGTCTGATATTGGCAGTTGAATCAAGTTGAGCTTCGAGTTCAGCTATGCGCTTCTCTCGCTCAATCTTCTTTTGTCTCTCTCGGCGGAGCTCATTCTTGAACCAAGCAAGCTCGTCCCGATTTTCAGGAGAGGCAGACGTAGGGCTACTGATCTCTTGGCCAATACCTGAAGGACCGACTGGAGGGGATCTTGGCCATCTGTCGCGGGACAGGCGTCCGGTCTTGTCGCTATAACTACGACCGTGGCGGACTGAATTCGACACTCTCTTGAGGAAGGACTCATGTGCGTTTTGCTCTTCATTACCCATGATGCGAGCCATATCCTCGTCCATAGAGAATTCAACGCCGGTAGAATATCTTGGAAGACCAGGTGATTTCTGTCCTTCTAAGTTTCGTTGATGCTCGGAGTGTAATGTGCTGAAAGACTCGTTGCGTGATCGTGAATGATCTGAAGGTGGCAGAGGAGGAGCTCGAGGATCCACGAAGGATTCATTGCCCAATCTACCAGCACTTGGAAGATCTGGTTGGTTGGTCGAATCGTCTGCAGTGTCAAAGATGCTCTTGGAGCTAGGAGACCCGATTGGGCCAGAGATAACCTTTCCCCCGTTGGCCCTGGCGAGCTCAGCAGGCTGCATCAAAGATTTCGAGCCAGGAGATGCTCCATTGACTGTTGCACTAAGGCTCGAAGGTATGTTCGCTGCAGAGTTCAGCTCTTTCCTAGGTATTGTCTGCGTACGCTTCGCGCTGTCGAGAGAATCGCCTCGCTTTGGCAAAGTTTGTAGAAGCGACGTTGTAGGTAATTGCGCGTGCTTGGGTGATTCGTCTGTCATGGCTGGACTCGAGTCATCGGACACATTCGGAGTCGCGAAACCCGCGTCGGAGGGTGAGTTTACGTCTGCAGTAGCAGGAGTTCTAGACAACGTAAATTGTTCGATAGGATCTGTAGGCAAGTCGGCTCGAGGAGTGGACGCTTCCGACCGCGAGTTAGGCGTCGAGCTGGCGACTTTCTTTCGTGGCGCATCCTGGAGTTTGAATCTCTCGGTGGACGCAGATTCATTGGTGCGAGCAGTTTGCTGCGACAGACGAGGAGACTCTTGAGATTGTCGAGGTCTCTCCGCCACAATGTGGGATGAAGTACGCTGCGAGCCTGATCTGCTCACATCTCCGCCTGACCGACCCTTCTCAGTGACCTCACGTGAAGGCCGGCGCCCTTTCTCTTGGTAGGCGATATGCGGGCTGGATGTATTCGACTTTGCAACGTTGGATTGAGCTGTGGGAGCTGGCCGACTCGAAAAGTAGTCTTTAGGCTTTTCTTCGACGACACGAGGCGTGACCTGGTTTGCCATGGCAGGAGATTGATTCGCAGCTGGAGGCGTGGGATCGAAGGCGAGCGGAATCAAGAATTCCTCACCTCCTCCACCCCCGGAGAGATCTGACCGCTGGGACATCATAGAATGTCTGTTGTTGCGGAATGTGGTCGAGGGAAGAGTGAGCATATCTACCAATGTGATCAGTCAAGATGTCCACCAAATAGACTGCGCAACATACCTCGTGGAGAAGTCTGGTCACCTGTGGATGGTCGCGAATCAACGTCCCTCTGTAGCTCACTCATCGTCTTTGCTACAGACGGAATATCACCAGGAGCTTCGACGTAGCCTTCAAGATACGGAGATGACTCGTCAGCCACATACGCCGTCTTTCTGGCTTCTGGAGGAGGAATCGCGGGGAGCGACTTGTCCAAGTGTGCATTGTTTGAAGGTTTAGATCGGTGTGCTGCGCCCTTGGCCGACTTCTTGCGCCTTCTTGCCATCAAGGCCTCGTGGCAATCCATGCAAAAGATCCCCTGTGATGTGCGCGCATATCTCAGGTTTTCAATCTTTCTCTTGCAATTTCGGCATTTGAAGCAGTTGGCACAAAAGGCTTGATCTCCGGTCAAGATGGCCAAATCCTCGATCTTGTTGCCGCAACTGCTGCAGCTATAGGTACAATTGTTGCAGATCAGAGATCCGTCCCCGAGGAGTAGGAGGTTCGCATCGGAGTCGAGCAGGGTGTTACAGGTATTGCAACGAAAGCAATCGATATGCCATCTATTGCCAGCTAGTCATCTGTCAGCACAATGATATTGAACTCTGGATTAGGGGTCACCATACCAAGTTCGAATGCCTTGCCTTCTTCAAGAATCTGCCCAAGGTGTCAGCCTTCCCTAATTGCTGGTGTGCATCGAGTCTTACCAATCCACAGCCTTTACATGGAAACGGAATGTCATCTGTATCCAGAGGAGACTCTGGAAATAACATTGGAGACTCCAATGCTGTAGCCATTTTGTCCTCTTTCCACAATCTGTACTGCACAGTGTACCGGCACTGTCGAGAACATGTGGTTGATTATGTCTCAAACCCTAATGAACCTCATGTGAGACAAGACAATGTAGTGCATTAACAATCTTTTCCTAGGCGCGGCAGAAAGTGCACAAGGGTCCCAAATATGTCCAGTCGACGACTAAGCAACAATTAAGCGGTGTGAGGACTCTCTTTGAAAGACTCAGTCTCTGTACTGTCCGGCAGTCGAGACGCAAGTTCGGACAATGTGGTTGAGAGGTGGTTGTCGGAAGCCCGAATGGCCCAAAATAGAAAGCTCGTGGCAGGAATGGTTCGCTAAAGGACGTCGATGGCAAGATGAGATTGTGAAGCAAATGAATTATGGTGTTGTCAGAATAAAGATCGTAGGAGATCAGCTCATGTGCTCGTATGGGATATGGGATATATGGGATGGGTTTCCAAAGGTAGGAGATAGAGTTCGTGCAGACAGTTGATGGCTGAGCAACCGCGTCAAGTCAGGTTGTGGACGACAGCCGCCAGGGAAGAATCCGTATACGGCGACTAGGCTGTCGGTTTCGACTTTATTCTCTGGGCGGCGGCGATGGCGCATACAATAGAGCGAAGGACAAGTTGTTGTTGGGTGCTGGCCAGGGAGATTTGATTGATGATGGTCCTCTGGTGTGCTAGGAGAATCTCGTCGTCGTCCTCACAGGAGGAGAGTCGGCACTAACATGAGGACGGTATAGTTTCTTCAGGTCACTGACGATTGGGGAGGACGTGTTCATCAGACGAGAATCCAGGGTCCATTCAGTGGTCAGCCATGGAGGCTCCATTGGACAAGCCTCCAAGTCCGAAGGGATACGGCGCAGGTACTTTAGCCTACGAACTCGCACTCGGTCTGGGGCTAGTGGACTTGGAGACCGCCAGGCGCACCAGGCTTACCCTTTGGCACCCCTAGCTAAAGGGACTAGATGTACGAGCTGGGGCAGCCTCTAAGCCAGAGCAACCCGCTAGGCTTGACTTACTCAACTAAATTTATAACACTGCGGGTGAGCAAGAAAGGGCGGTGTCTAGGTGGTTTTCTAGGTGACTTAGCCCATCAGCCTAGTCTCCTGAGGTACTTTTAGTAGGCTACGCTGTTCCCTACCTCGACCAGTGACCATGATGAATACACCCCCTCCCCCTTATTTCTTGGTGTGGCTCTTTGCGTCAAGACTGCTTGTCCTCTCACTCGGAGCATCTCATCTCATCTCAAAAAGAACCCCAAGTTGGCGATAGCGCTCAAGGGCCTCGCCAGGTCGCTCATGTTTCGACTCCCTATTGTGTGCAGCGCCTCCGTTCTCCAGAGTTCGCCATCTGGCCCTGGCTCCGTTTTCGTCTCCGTGATGTGACAGGCCTTGTCTCGTGGCCGGCGACTTCACTTTGCCTGTCACAACATACACGACCACGTCAGCTTCGATCTTCCCGAATGCGAGAAAGAGATTATATTGCTAGAGCATCAATGCCACCTGACAGTCTGTCGTGCCCCGTGTCACTGCTGGTTACACTCCCAGCCGACCCCCACGTGGTCGTGCGAGCGCTCCTAAGATGAGGCAGATTAACCCAGGCCGCTTGCAGGATCTACCGTTTCACTTGGCCCATCGATCAGCACACTTAGCACTGCACACACGATTCGGGCCAGTTATGCCTGGAATCCGTCGCCCTTGCTCCGATGTCACCCATGCCCTTCTTGACCTCCATGGAACCACCTGAAACAGACCGACCTGTAATCCGTACATACGACGCGCATCGCTTACAACGAATCACTGGTCCTGTATACACGGCGAGGCACAAGAAAGAATCACTTTGCGTTTTGAATGAATCGATCGAGTTTTACAACTCTATCTCGGAGCCTGGACTCCTTTCTAATGTGACTTTAAACCTCGAGTCCGAATCCTTCCTCTAATCAATAACCCGTGCCCAAAAACTAATAATCCAACACTGGCAGTAATAATTCTTCTCGTAAGACGACTGATACTAGTGATACTGGATCTCTTTCATAATCATAATGGTAATAATACAGAGACTTTTTCATTCGTCGACAGCTGTCCCCAAGACTTCCCAGTTGTGCGATGATCCTCCCGGAGCTGCAGTTGAAGCAGCAACACCCATATTAAGATTTGGCGAACCAATTTGTTGTCCATGCATTCCATGCCTTAAAGTAGTTCCGAGTGTCTTCCAATCGGCTGATGTCTGTGAGGTTGGGTCATAAGTCGAGGGCTCCTCTTCCATGTAATCGTAGTCTTCTTCTGGCATGACGGCGCGCGATGTGCTGCCAAAGCTGCCGGAAAGCGTGCCAGAAGCACCGGCAACGTAGTAATGAATAAGGTTCTTGTCGGATTCCTTGCTGAAGTAGTTATAGAATCTTCTCTCAGGCTTGATGATATGATGCAAAGCGCTGCAGAAGTCAATGATGTTTCGTCTCATCAGGGACGCGTAGGTTGAGAGCAGACGTTCTGCGTAGGATGCCAAACGATCCTCCTGAATGGTATAGAGTGTCTGACCAAGTGCAGTGACTCTGTCTAGAAGAAAGACGAGAACATTTAGGCCAAAAGCCAAAACAAGTGGTAGTCGGGATGAGAATTGAGGTTTATCAGGACCAAAATCAGATGCAACACTCCTCAGGCTGTTCAGGAGTTGCGTGACATTGGAGTCAGGAGTGTTGATTGGGTCACTGGCATTGATGATAGCTTCGACAGATTGCAACGTGTCCAACACTGCGTCGATCGCCGGGAGAGGATGTGGAGTGCTGTTACAGAGGTTGAGAGCAGTCATGTCAATTGCTGCCAGCGCTGAGGCCCAGCCGGAACCATGATTACTTCTCGCCACAATAAGCGCGCACAAAGTCATCCCTGGATGCGGTTCCGGATACTGAGGATACTGATTGAAGAGGTCCACAAGGATAATAACCATAGTGTGTCTGTTGTAGGCTGGATGATTGAGATTTCCGATACGCTTTTCTCGTGGTTCGGCGATTTCATCTATGGAAGTCAGGTTAGAAATTAGAAGTTCAAACAATTCATTGAACTGTGATTGACGAGTGATCAAAACACTTGGGTGGCTTTCAATCAGCTTTCTAAGTCTGCGATAGCCCAATGCGTCCAACGTTCCGTGACGGAGAAATTCCATGGCAGTGGCTAGTGACTTTTTAGCAGATGCAATACTATTGCGTCGGACGGGAGAGCGTTTCGGGGATCGACTCGGTGATTGGTGTGACGATCGGGTTGGAGATTTGTGACCTTGTTTTGATATGATATTGGTGTTCTCCTTCCCGTCAGGAATGTATTCGATGGGATTGGTCCTGTCACTGGGATGTTCGGGAGGCGGCATCTGCATTTCAGGTGCGAATATCTGGACGGGGCGCAGAGGCAGGGTTGAGGCAAAGGGCCCTTGTTCTGTGGGCACGTTCTCCTTGAGAATGTCTTTGTAAGCAGCAGGGGCTGACATGTATTTCTCTTCGACTACGTGTGGGACTGAACGTTCATCCCGTTTTGCGGATTCGAGGTTGGCAGGAGTAGGTGACTCTTTATCTTCGGCGATAACTGGTGTCTGACGACCGTTTCGCTTTCCATTTGTCCCATGTGTGGATGTGGTGAGTTCCTTTGCTTCAGCTCGAATGGTGTCGTGACGACTGACAGTCTTACGGTGATGACTGGCAGTTGAAGAGACGGAATCTTTGTTGGTGTGTGAGATAGGGGTTTGCCTGCCAGACGATTTCTCGGTCGAGGTCTTGTCAGTAGTCTTCTTGCCAGGTTCGCCACGAGAACCAGGGCGTTGAGAGGTATGTGAGGTATGTGACACAGGCGCGATGGGTGTAGCAACAATACGTCCTCTTCTGACTGGTGCAGACAACAGTGGCCGTGCATCGCCATGTGCAGTCTGAGGACTGGCAGACTTGGTATCTTTTGCGGTTTCGAACTTAGAGTCCTTAGACGACTTTTGAGAGTTTGGACGAGAGCCGTGGCGGGAGTTTGCGACCGTCTCTGGATGATGAGCAATTTCCTGAGTATGCTTGTCTTTCGTATGCTCATGGGCAGCTTTCAGTGCGGACTGCTTTTCGTCAGGTGTGGGATTTATACCCTCCATCGAGCCAAAGGCTAAATCATCTTGCTTGACCGATGCTGGTGTGTAACCACGATGTTGCATGCGTTGCTTCGATTGTGCCTTAATCTGAGCAAGAGCTGAGTCAGGCCTAGGAACCCTAACGGGTTTGGCTGGTTTGTCTGGGTTGTGAGCATCGTCGCGGAGCGCAGCTTGAGCATGAGAGTTCAGTCCGCCCATAATCATGCGGGCTCCCTGGGCATCGTACTTGGCGAATTCCCAGTAAACTGCACGAGAATTCTCTCTAACCTTGACTTGTCCATCGGTGAGGCCTTGGAAAATAGCCTTCTGAGCAGCATGGCCATCCCTTTCTGCGTCCATTTGTGTCCGATAATTGCTCAAAAGGATACGCAACCATTCTGGTGCAAAGGTACGGGGAGGAATTCGCTTGTCTCTGAAGGCGGCAGTGATGTGGTAGAAGAGACGTGAGCTGTAACCAGCATGCTTGCAGAGGGTAGAGATCGCATCGTTGGCATTCTTCTGATTCACGCTTTTGGTAGAACCGCAGTGAGCAATGAGGGCTGGCAGGAGGATGTCGAGCTGAGGCTGAAGCTGATGGTCAAGGTTGCGTGCAATTTGAGAAACGGTACGGCAGGCTTGAGAAGATAAGGTGGTACGTTCGGATGAGACTGCTTCGACGATCGATGGTAATATGGCCTTGACTCTTTCGACGAAGTCTTTGGGGAGGGGAACATTTTCCCTACGGTTTTCGAAGATGTCGCACAGTTGAGAGAGAAGATCCTGACGCCTCTTCCAGGTTTCTTCAGTCTCAGGAAGCGTGAATTCGTACTGCAAAAGGTTGAGGACATCAACATAAGTTTTGCCGAGCATCTTGGCTCTGGCAGCGACGAAGGAGAAGTACAGAGACCTTCCAGCTGTCGCGATCGATTTGTCAAATTTCTTAGCTGAAGCGCGAGTATTGTCAGCAACCTATGCTGACTGGTCTTTGAGCAAAAAGCCCATTTTTCTGAGAGATCCCATGTTGACCGAGTGCCAACGCGAGATCCCACGGTTGAACGACGCGCTCTGAAATAAAAACTGTTGGAGACGGATACAACAGACAAAGAATAGCAATGCAGCAATGGAATTTTGCAGTGCAGATATGAGTGTTTTGGGTGCAGTGTGGATAAAGCTCGCTTGTTGATGCAGAGGCACGTTGTGTGAGATGGGATCGGGGGTGAAAGACGCAGAAGTTGGGATGGGCCTCATATTTGTAGGATTGGGAAACGTACCGGATCAGGTCAACTGAGTTCGACTACTGCGCCTTCGCGACGATATCGTGACACTTCTGCAAGGATGCGCGTGTACATTGAGGCGATGGTTGTGGGCGTGTGATGGAAGATACAGACTCTGGTAGGCGAGAGAGGGCTGTTTGTTTTGAGAACCGACCATCTTCTTGGCAGTGACGTTCTTTGGCGCCCAATCACACAATGTTTACTGTGGGCAATAACACCGGCTCACCTGCTTAATCAGGTTTTGACTCTGCGCGTGATCAATGACAAGGCTGCAAGGACGCCAAAAATACGACGAGGCTCCGATCATCTCGTATTATGTGCCCCTGGTTTTCATCGTTGATGGACTATTCTTTCTGTGCAGCTTGTGCACAATCAAGTTTCCAGTATTGACTATCCCAGTTGTGAAAGTTCTCGAAGATTGCTAGCGAGATGCCTGCACCGATTCCCCATCTGCATCATAAACCAACACTTCGACTCCATCTGGACGACATCAGCCATCCGGCCAGCCAAGTCGCGTCTTCTGCCCTTGACAGTGGGCTTTTTCTCACACGTGCGATCGAGCATGTTCTTGAACACTTATATGTTGCCCATGGGTCGGGTCTGATCCCCAAGGTCAGATCTGTTACAGTAGTTCTTCGGGGCATGGGTGGTGTTGCCTACACCACCGGGCTGCAGCTGGATGATCTCCATAAAGAAATCCATCTGTCTCTTGACTACGTGAACGGAGTGCTTTCCAGGAATTTTGCAGGGGTAAGGCATGAAATAGCCGGTGTTATTACACACGAAATGGTGCATTGTAAGAGCTTTCCCATTTTGCTGATCATCCCATCAAACCCATTCTTGATGGTTCAAGCCCGGAAACACGAATTTCAATATCCTGACACCAAGTAGGTTTCCAGAACAATTGCCACGGCACCGCTCCCGGAGGCTTGATTGAAGGTATCGCGGACTTTGTCAGATTAAAGGCAGGTCTTGCGCCTCCACATTGGAACAAATCACCTGAGAACCGAGGACAGAAGTGGGATGAAGGCTACCAGAAAACAGCTTGGTTCTTGGAATGGTTGGAGGATGAACATGGCCAAGGAACCGTGAGCAGAATGAACGAAACTATGGGCAACGAGAAATACGATGAGAAGAAGTTCTGGCTTAATCTCTTTGGACATTCAATTGATAGCCTGTGGACGAAGTATAAGAAGACGTGGAGTGTCAGTGACGAGCATACGGCTCCTCGCATGTCACGAGAGCCGAGCACGGAATCGCAATTAGAAATAATCAACTTGGATGAGAAGGAGAAATTGGAAGCGAGTGAAGACAGCAAAGCCAGAGAGTCTGGTCCCTAAGCCTCAGCATCAATCGAGAACACGTCTAGTTGACTTATATATACAAGACGATCTGGTCGCAGATAGCCTTGGAAGGGAATCACCTCTGGCGACATGGGCGAAGAATCGTCTCGAGGATTGATGAAATCAATGCAATGCAACAGGTGCGATCCCGCAAATACGACAGCAACTGCTTCTGAACCAATCAGCACGTAATTCATGACATATATTGACGTAAAGAAGTGAGGGAGTGGGAAGTCAGTAAAAAATTAGAGTGTTGTTGCGTTGTTTTGTTCTTCAGTGAACAAGTTCTCGGTGTTAAAAATGGATCATCACACCATCGAAGAGGAGAAAAGAGAGAATTCATGCTTACCTAAAAAAACAGCAAATGGATGTGCTCGCTCGTCACGACTGGTACCTGTGAGTACGAAAAGTGGGTTTCTGCATTGCATGTCATTGCATCTATGTCGTATGACTATCATAGGGTATGTCCATGCCATGGAGTGTCCTGTACTACTAGACAAAGCGCAATTCTCAAGCCATCTAGTCGAAGAGACCACCGAAGCCTGGGAGTAGCGTTAGCAATAATTAAAGCAAAGATATGAGCTGAATTCAACTTACCTTCATCTTCGCTTTCCTCCTTCTCCTCTTCCTTCTCTTCTTCCTTGGCAGCAGCTGGAGCAGCACCGCCTGAGGAAGCCGCAGCGGCTGCTGGTGCAGCTGAAGCGTACTTGTCAGGGTTGGCAATGCGGTCCTTGAGCTCCTCAATGGCCTCCCAGCTGTAGTCCACCTCAAGAGCAACAGATATGAGGTTCTTGTAGCCGTTGACCAAGCTATGAATGACGGATGGAAGAGTTGGGTAGTTGGCAGCAAGAGAGATGGTGGTGATGGTTGCGATCGCGGACGACAGCACCTTGAGCAACTGAGCCTCCTCGACATCCAAGACCTCTGGGGCGAAGGTCTGACCCTCCTCGTAGACTTGTTGCACCTTCATGCCGTAGGTGAAAGGAGAGATGTTCAACATGTTGAGAAGCGTAGCTTCTGATGCACCAACTTTTGCGCCAGCTTCGACCAACTTGAGATCGGTGGTGATTTCGATGGTACCACGAGCAATTTTGGTAGGGACACCGAGGGCCTGGAAGAAAGAGGTCTTGCCGGGTTCCATACCAGTGTTTCCAGCAGGTACGTAGACGTCGCCAGGAGCCACAGCACCAGCACGGGCAGGGGCGGCAACACGGTTCGAAAGGATTTTGTCACGAGTGGCCTTCAAGTCACCGTTGGTGAAAATAAACCCGACATTTCCTACCACAGTCAGCATTTTGCACCATATGTTCCTGACCCAACTAACCCTTGACGTGAGGCAAAAGACGCTCGTACTCTGGGTTCTCGCCGATGAAACCCTTGAGCGCACGTCGCACCATGGTGTTCTTGCCCATCAAAACCACAGCTTCACCTCGGAGGGATTGACGGATTTCGTGCATCTGCTGAGATGAGACATTGTCGACGCTGACCTATGCTTTGCGTCAGTATAAATCGAAATCTCTAGGATTGCGGAAGACTGACAATGAAGATGGACTTGTACTCGTCGAGCAAGGCCTTGAGCTTGTCGAAGTAGACAGCTTTAGTTCCAGTTTTGCCCCCCATGACTTCTTAGGGTTGAAGTTAGGATATTTAAGGGCAAATTAATGCGCAGTTGATTTTTGAAGTGTTTGTTGAGGTATGCGATGAACTTCTCGGACTGCGCTGCGGACCTTGAAATCATGAAATTTCGTGTGTGATAGCTAGCCTTGGCGTGAAAGGATGATTACATAAGAGCCTGTTGCACTAGGCCAAATCTCGTTCCCATCTAGCATTTTCAAATTGAATTAGGTAAGCATGATTGGAGATGGGATTCGTGTTGGAGGAGGCCGTTGGAGACATGGAGGTTTGGTACGGGGTGCAATCGTGTATGGAGGTCATCTGAAGTAATGTATTTTCTCACAGCCACCTGCGCTCGTTGAATGGGGAAAGGGCCGTTGAGTTGCAATGCACGCGTCGTTGCCGTAGTCTCAACGTGCGTCTATCTTCCGGAATCTTTGACTATAAAAGGTGGTAGCAAAGTGATCGGGGAAGCACGCCGTTGTTCGCTTCTCACAAAGAGGTGCTCATCATGGCGCATAGAATTCTCATTACAGGGGCGTCGGGCTACCTCGGTGGCACTCTTCTGGCTCGCTTGGAAAGTGCCGGCCTGCCACCATATGAGAAGCTGTACGCCCTCGTTCGGACAGCTGGCCAGGCCAATGCTGTGAAGCAGTACGGAGCGGAATCTACTACCTTCGACACAAAAGATGAGGTGGCTACGAAGGAATTCATTGTCGCGAACAAAATCACCATCGTATTCTTCTTGATAGATGCGATGCGCTCGGAGTCACAGGTCAATTTCATCAAAGCACTAGCTGAGGTGAAGAAAGCCACTGGTCGAGATGTTCATTTCCTACATGTGAGATGTCCAGACTACCCTGCTGGCATAGATTCTGACTTCTTTCTGAAGACAAGCGGAGCGAAGATATTTTCGAGCCATGCTGGAGCTCCAACTGATCGACCACTTTATGATGATGAACTCGGGCTCTATGACATTCAGAGGGCTCAAAAATCGGCCATCCCTCTGATGAACTCGGTGAGCTTCGCATTATCAAGACTACATTACAGAGCGTGTCCGTTGACGTTTCTCCAGGCAATTGCAACCAACAACACTGTGATAGAGCAGGCAGAAAGCCACGGAGTCCGCGCTTATATCTTCGTTCCATGCATTGTCTGTACGTAATCTGCGCTGCGCATGTCGGTGATGTCGGACTAAGTCATATTTTTTCTGCAGATGGCAAAGGAGAAGGGTTTGGAAATCCCATCTCGATTCAAACCGTCGCCATCGTCAAGGCTGCCAAAGCAGTCGGGTGGGTTTGCAGCGTGGACTCTGGCAGACCAGTGAGTTGAGACCCGACCGTAAACACCGGGGATTGCCATTGCTCCCGAGTTCCTCTACTGACTGATGTATGTAGACATGGCCGGTCTGCCACGTTCTTGACAACGCACATCTTTACCTAGAGCTCCTCCGGCAGATATTATCGGACAAGAATCCCGGTAGCGGCAAGAATGGGTATTACCTGGCATCTCCTGGTAGTGTTGCGTGGCAAGATTTGTATGCCGGAATGGCGGCCGCCTTGGCCAAGAGAGGTATCATCTCGGACGCCACGGTACAGAGAGCGTCAGACGAGACGATGGCGGATATGGGTGCAGCTCTGGGCTGCCCCAAGGAGATTGTACCTCTGCAGCTGGGAGGATTATGCACATTCACTGCTCGGAATGGTGAGAAGATTGGATGGAGACCAGAATTCCCGTCAACACATATACTCGATACGGCTGACGAGGAGGTTGCGCTGATTTTGGATAACCTCGATAGATAATCATTTGTAGTGATAGAAGGACGAACCCGAAAAATGTGCCTGTTAATAGCCGATAAGTCTCGTAAATGGCGACAATTGTCGTAAGACACACCTATAGACTGAAATGCACAAATGAGAACCTGCCGCCTGTCATAAAGGTCGAGGCTGATGCGTCGCTTCTGTCCTTGTCCGTGGAAAGATTGCGGCGAATCTGTTCATTCGCGCGATGATCATTCCGTCTTGTGGAGTAGTTGATAAGGCGTCCACCAGCCTTGTGGATTGAGGAGATTGCGGATAGAGAGTCCAGTTAGCCGGAACCACCAAACTGCAGTGGGTTTCTAAAAGAATGGTAGTAGATGGTTCACGATGTTTGTCACAATCGTTATGGGAGATCTGGGCGAGAGTCAGATACGGAGTGCCGCGAGTAGGCATCGCTAAACGCTTGCGCGCTGCGGGCCCCTGGCCGACCCAGTGACGCCCAACTCAATGATAACAACATTGTCCGCGCCAGAACCCCGGTAAGTCTCCAGCGCACCACTAGCCATGCATGGTTATCGCCGCATTACACTGTATGCTCATGATTCATGTGCGTGCTCTCCTGTCGTTGTATCACTCGCACTAAGGTCAGGTCTCTATGGTTGGTTGCCGGTTGATTTGCACCTTCGTAGCCTCACGTGCAAGATGAAGACACTTCCCGCAGGAATCTATACTGCTGTCCCTACCTTTTTCCTCGACAACGAAGACATCGACGTTGAGACTTTCCGGAGACATCTTCAATGTAAGCCGGTCCAGCAGAGACGAGATCAGCGGAGTACCTGAGTCGTGACACGTTGATCACCATCGTATAGAACCCAGAGGTTGTGTTTGCTAATTGGACTCTAGATGTCTCGACGGCGGGTAGTATTCCAGTCATTTCAGGCACCATGGGCGAGGCATGTCATCTTGTAGGCACATCCTTGCCTCCGAGTGCAGCAACCAATTAACATGACGACCACTCCCAGTCTGCAAGCGAACGCACCCATCTCGTCAAGATAACTCGCGAAGTCCTTGACATGTCACCGGCAACCAAGGGTATCCCAGTCATAACGGGTGTAGGGTCGAGCTCAACACGAGAATCCATCGAGCTGGCGAAATCCGCCGCTCTGGCTGGTGCTGACTTCGTGATGCTCATTCCACCAGGCTACTATGCTGGTGCACTAAAAGCAGACAACATGTTTGCTGTGAAGCAGTACATCATAGATGTGAGCGAAGCATCTCCTATTCCACTGTAAGTATTTCAAAGCACTCCCGTCAACCTCGGCTAAGCACTGCAAGGATTGTATACAATTTCCCTGCAGTATCATCCGGCATTGATATGGATTCCGATTTTGTGATCGACATGGTCAAAAAGGCACCCAACGTCTGTGGCATGAAATTCACGTAAGCTTCCGTGTGCTCCAGATCTCACCTGATCTCACTGACGGTCAACCGTTTTTGTCTGCCAGCTGCGCCAACGTTGGCAAAATAGGAAGAATCACATCAACTTTGCGGGATCCCGGATTCCAGGCCTTGTACCCCAGACGGTACCATCAGACGACCCAAGACGGCGCAAAGACAGACGGACAGACAATCCCCTATTTTAGTGCAATTGATGGCTTTATCGATATCCTTCTGCCGAGCATGGCTGTGCATTCTTCGGGTGCGATCACAGCCATTTCTAACTTTGTACCGGTAAGTAGCCCTTGCACCGATTTGATCAGTGGCTCATATTTTGGGTATAGAAATCATGCGTCAAGCTATGGCAGCTGTGTGAAAGGGCTCATCTATCCCCTGAAGCATACGCTGATGCACAGCGCTTGCAGGAGTTGATCAGTAATGCTGATGGTGGCGTTCAACGAGTCGGTGTGTCCGGCATGAAATTGATATTGCATAAGCAATTTGGATACGGAGGACGTCCGAGAAGACCTCTACTTCCCATGAGGGATGAATTGGTGGATGCTTTACTGAAGGATGATTGGGTGCAAAAGCTGCTTCGGTACGAGGCTAGTATGTAGGTTGCTAGTCTGGAATTGATATCGTTGATGCCATTCAGAGGAGTCTGCCGATTGATAACATGAATGAACATACAATAAATAGATGAAGAGTAGGATAACTCGCCGCTGTCCTTGAAGCCAAGATGCAATATACACGTGATGACGTAACGCGTCGCTTTATCGCTTCCGGCGCACTTCTACCCGCTTTCCCTCCTTGGTTCTTTTCTCCAAGCATACATCCTATCCTTGAGAACCGACCTACACGAGTGAGGCTTTTGCCAGTCTGAAACCATGCGACCTAGTGTAGAGTCAACTTGACATGGACGACTTGAGAAGACATGAGCCAGATCCCAGAGCATGAACGACGGCCACAATCAGAATGATGGAGATGCTGGCAGGCCATATCGGTCTCGCAAAAACAGGCCGTGCGATGCATGCCGCCGCAGAAAGGTACTCTGTGACCAGCCTAATGGTGCCCCTTGCATCCGCTGTAGTCGTCTGAGCCAAAAATGCACCTTCGACGAAGGACCGAGGAAAAGATTGCGGTCGCCTGGTGGGCAGCGAGAGCCGGCCAACGATCAAGAAAGGTACGAATGCTAATGGTATAGCACATCATGTTGCGGTATGCTTATGAGTGAGTATAGGCAATGGCCCGATGAGGCATCCTTTACTTTCAGCCCGGGTGCGTTTAGCAGGCCAATGCCTGACTTCGCTTCATTTGAAAATGGCCTCAGCTCCCCTTTCACTTACATATTTGAGGAAGCCGCTCATCTGGATCACACAATATCAGCGGAAAGGTTTCCAACAGATATCAGACCAGACCAGACTTCCAGGGATATATCTGATGTTTTGGCCGCCTTGGATGAGGACCAAAGAAGCCAGATCCAAGCTTTGGCAACATTACAGGATCACCAGGACGATTCTGAACGCCCGCAAAGTCTGCACACAGGAGAGCAAGTTGACCTCGACCATCAAACATCGCTAGAGTCAATTCCAGATGCCTTCAGCTTCTACATTGGTCCCACGGGAACCTCAGATATATATCTGCTCCGTCGACAGACGTTCCTCAATAGCAGCTTGTCCGCAAACGTCGCTAGTGGGATCAAATTCCAATTGACCGAAAAGCCAGACCGCCGTTCGAACCTTTCTGATCAAAACCCTTGCATTGGGGAATTCGAGGGCTTAGGACCTCTACCACCAACTATCTTCGGTGTTACCGACAACAGCTTGGTGGCTAACGCGGAACCTCGAGAAAGCCCAGAGGTCATTAAGCAAGCGTGGTCCGAATTTTGGGCTTTGATCGAGCCTGATGTGGCTTTGAGGCTTGTCCGCCTGTATCTTCGGTTTATCGAGCCCCAGTTCCCAATCTTGTTTCTTGACCAGATCCCTAACAATCAAGAATCTTTGGGTTCGATGAACTTGGCATTACTTGCGGGTATGTGTGCAATTGCGCTGCCTTTTGCACTGTATGACGAGGCCCTCTACCGGTTACAACCCAGGCCACCCTCAAGTCAACAGCTGTATCGAATTTGTTGGTTGGCTCTATGGCACGATTTTCATGCTCCAACTTTAGTCACCATCCAGAGCTGTCTCATATTCCAACATCGCCTACCCACCAACCCGGTCTTATCGGACACTGCTTTCAAGTGGACCTTGATGGCTTCAGCAGTTGCCGCCGCTCATACGGTAGGATTGCATCGAGACCCTACCGAGTGGCATTTGATTCCGCTCAACGAGTGTAAACTACGCCGAAGACTTTGGTGGGCATTAGTCGCAATGGAAAAATGGCATGCACTCGCTAGAGGTATGCCTAGCCATATTAGAGATGACGAGAGCGATGTACAACCGTTACAAATACAAGACTTGTCAGGGAATTCCGACGCGACAGAGGACGGCTTGCATTTTTTCTGCCTGGTCACTTTGACGAGTCTTCTCTCCGAGATTCAAAATACTTTTTACACTGTTCGCGCTATCAAAACAACGGCTAATGACTTGCACACCAGCCTTGATCTAGGCAGGTCCATTCGCATACGGCTGCAAGAGTGGAAAGATGGTCTGCCAGATTTTCTGAAATTTAGGCGACGGGATCTCGAATTGGCTTCGCGTCAAGGACCTCCGTCAGAGCAGATCGCGAGACGACTTGATTCGACTGGTTCGCTCCATCTGTCATATATCACAGCACATATGACCCTGTTCCGGGCTCTTCTTCGGCCACTTGATCTTTGGACGAATATCGCAAAGCATGACACTGCAAAGGCTCGGACAATGTATGATATTGCTTTAGCTGTTGTGCGAGGAGCCCTGCTCTGTGTCAGAGAACTTGTTGAGTTCATGGAGGATCTGACTAATTCTCACTGGAATGCTTTCTGGCATAGCTGTAAGTCAGGATTTGCATGGCACGTCAATTGACAAACGTATGCTGATCATAGTGCTCAGGGAGCCGACCAAATTTTGCAATGGCTGGAACATTCATGGTACATCTACTTCAAATCACTTCTCCAGATATGGACCTGGCTTATCCGTCTGTTTCAAATCAAGCAGAACCAAGACCCGAGAGTCTCTATTTTATTGAAGAGCACAAAGAACTCCAAACTCTCATTCAGCGATGGCGATGGGCCAATCGCAGTTGTACAAACAATGCAGCCGGCGCAAGGGGTTTGACAAATCTTGGTCTCTTCAAGGTCGAAACACTCTTAAGTTCACTTGGTATCAGCTTGCTCGCGGTTGAGTCAGATTGAGGGTTGCGGAGTGAGAATTAAACAAAATCATTATTGACTTTAGTGGGACTTTTTTGTCTAGCAGAGATTGAGCATTACTCTTGCCTCATCCTTTTGGCATTCACCATCGTCCTCTTCGATTTTGCTCGGGATCGGAACATTCGCTAACGGAGTCAATCTGAAGGCGTGGCGGCGATCACCTGCAGCATAATCCAGCGTTTGAGAATGTTGAGTAATGCGCTGATCCCAAACCACAACAGTTCCGGGCTCATATCTCACCCTGCAAGAGAAGTCTTGACCACGATTGATATGGTCGAAAAGAAATTTAAGCATATAATCTATACCATGAGAATTAGCTTTTCGATCTTCAGCACAATTTCATCCCACACTTACCAGATTCTTCTTCGTCCCATCCGACGATACTTTGGGTATACGATGAATTGACGAAAAGCCCCTTCTGTTTGGTAACGGGATGGACAGTGACGACAGGGTGGATATTGCGAGTGATAGGTCGCCTCAAGACAGAGTTATTTCCGTTGTCGCGTATTTCTCGCAGTATCGGGTTTGCAGTCGTATGCACAGCGTTGAGACCTTCCAGGCGCTTTCGGAATGAAGGAGAGAGTCGCTCGAATGCTCTGCCCATCTGCAGGCGAGTTCAGTTAGTGATACAGAGAAATGATTGACTGCAGATCGTTGTCTGACTTACGTTGGAAATAATCGTATCTCCTCCGCTGCCATCTGGCGACTCCAACATGCAGAAAAATGTCAGACCAGGAGGTTGACGCTCTGGAGACTGATCGACGTGGAACTGAATTGGGCTCTTCCTCGCCCATGATTTCCGAATCCGTAGATCGTCTTTGGAATCGTAGACGATCACGAATTCCACAGGTCCATCCTGAGGGTGTGGCATCCATCCGTGCTTGTGCAGGGGGCCGAAGTGCGAAGCAATCTTGGCTTGCTCCTTGAAGCCGGCGTCCGTATAGGTCTGGTCACGGAATACCACGCACCCTCGTTGAGCCGTCAGTAGTGCCAGCTCATCCAGGCCCTCGGTCGTCAGCTCGGTCTAGAGGAAAGAGAACAGTCAGCCTGCGTGGTCGGGGTTATGGCATCAACATCAACCCAGCTAGTCTACTTACCAATTGGACACCCAGTAGCTCGGTGCCGCAGTGCGGACTGAGCTCGGTGATACTGGTCGCATTCTGCAACAGATTTGGCATTTTCGGGTCGGCACGGTGACCGGGGTCGTCATGCTCAAAGGGACCGACCTCTTCCACCTTTTCCAGAGGGTCATAGTGTGCTATCAAACAAGAATGTCAACACAATACTGGTGAGGCCTTGAGTTGAACTTACGAAGGTATTTTGGATAAAGTGGCTCCTTGGACTGGGCCTTGAGTTCTCCCAGAGGGGCAATCATTGTGAAGGATTTGAGCGGGAATAGAATATCACGAGGCTGATTGGAAAACCTTGATACTGATTTCAACCAGGGAAGTGCTTTCCGGAAGGATATCGTCCTGATTTATTGTCGTGGAAGGACTCGATGGACGTCCTTGATTACTGTGCAGTTCGAAGACGGCGATTTATCCAACCGCTCTACGCCCAAGCGTGCGCGCTGCAACGTATGATTTGGGTCCTCGCGCCCTGGATACTACTGGGTCTTCACGACTACTTTGACCACACGCCGATCGACGAAGACAGGCACGGCAAACGTACGCTCAGATCATCGTTGCGCGTGAAGCCTTTGAAAGGGCGCCGCTCTTATCGCGCGGACCGCCAGCCAGTTCACGGACTCGATGACCTCTAGACTATGCTTTATGTACAGCTTGCCCGCGCTCTTGATTGAGTTGCGCGCTCGTTGGCCGCGCCGAAGCCCAAAATCCGCCTTCTGGAATCTCTGCTCTCAGATCTGCGCGCAACTTCTGCAGCTAAGAAACACTATCAGTGGAGACACGGAGACGCTGCCGTGCAGATAACAGCCTCCATTGGAACGAGTGTCCAATCACATAATGGGAATTGTTCACCACATTGCGCTTGTCAATTATCTAATCTTTGTGGACTGGGCGTTCCTCTCCTGTCACACCTCTGTACCAGCCGTCTTCGGTCTGGGATATAACTCATCCATATCGCAACGGCATGGAAGGAACACTCGACCAGAAAACACCTCTTTCCATCTCCTCCCTTTGACCTATCTCCTCAGCCATGGTCGCCGAGAAAGATCCCCAGTTGACGGCCGAAGATGTCATTGAACCGACTACTGAACGAGGATCTATTGAAATCACGGCCGAGGCAGCTGTGAAGGCAGTCAAAGCAGGACGAGCGAAAGATGTCGACATCGCTGCTCAGATCATCGCCGAGTATGGCCCAGAAATGGGTGGCCAGGGATGGTCCCCCGAGGAAGAGAAGAGATTGATGCGAAAGGTCGACTGGAGATTGATTCCAATTGTGAGAACCCACGTACCGTGCCTATACAATTGTGACTGACGACGATTTCAACAGCTGTTCGTATGCGCCACACTCTCGGGCCTGGACAAGACGGCCATCTCCGGAGCGGCCATCTATGGTCTCAAGGAGGATCTCAATCTAACCGGTCAGGATTATTCCTGGTGCGGTTCAGCTCCATTTTTTGGTGGTTTGGCTTTCATGGGACCGGCAGCCTACTGTCTGCAGAGACTTCCGGCAGTGAAGTTCTTTGCATTCAATGTTTTCATGTGGGGAATCACAGCAAGCTGCATGGCCGCAACGACAAGTTTCGGAGGACTCTTCGTCTGCAGATTTCTCCTAGGTGGATTTGAGGCTCTGCTCATTCCAGCAGTCACCCTCGTCGTCGCCATGTGGTACAAGCCCGAGGAGCAACCGAAGAGAAACAGTATCATTCTCAACGTGATTGCACCAATCCTTAACGGTTTCATCTCGTGGCTGGTCGGCTACTACAAAGGATCTTTTGAGCCTTGGAAGATTATCTTTCTGGTTTTAGGCATCTTCACGCTCTTGTGGTCTTTTGTCGTCTACTCCTTCTTGTACGTGTTTCAGGTGGCACCGTCCACTTTCGGTTCGAAGCTGACGGTTTGACAGGCCAAATAACCCATTGGATGCCGGCTGGCTCTCTGGGAGAGAGAAGTATATCATCATCCAGCGCAAAGCTTCTGACAATACCGGTGTGGAGTCAAAGGTGTTCAAGAAAGAACAAGTCTTCGAAGCTGTTCTGGACATTCGCACTTGGTTGATTTGGTTTGCTATTGTTGCATTACAAGTCCCCAACGGCGGTCTCACCACGTTCAACACCCTGATCATCTCCGGGTTGGGATTCGACTCATTGCACACTTCGCTTCTGGCCATGCCTCCTGGAGTAGGTTGTACTCCTGCCTATCCTTCTCTATCGCACGGCCCGGTCTTTCTGACGACAATTGCTAACATGCACCTTTTGTAGGCCATGTCAACTTTCTCAGGTATCGCCTTGTCTTTCCTGGCTGCCACGACCAGGAAATGGCGTACCGTCATTATCGCTGTCTCGATCCTGTTGCCCCTGCTCGGGGCCGTCCTGTGCTACGCACTGCCTAGAACGAACCTCGCGGGGCAACTTGTTGGACTATAGTACGTTGTCACTGAAGCCCTATCTTCTCGTCTGCGTTGCTGACATTTGATTGCACAGTATCCTATACACCTACTGGGCTCCTTACGTGACCCTTGTGTCTGTGTACCAGGCGAATATTGCAGGACATACCAAGAAGTGAGCCATTCCATGATCCATATTCATATTGCTGTATCTTGGGGGAGGGAACAAATCATACTGACTTTCAACAAGGACCGTCCTGTATGCCTTTTACTACGTAGCATGGGCTGTAGGAAACATCATCGGCCCTCAAACGTTCCGCGCAGACCAGGCGCCGGCATACACCGGGGGCACGGTGGCCATGATTGTTTGCTACGTGGTCGCCATCGTTTTGATTTTACTGTATGGATATCTGTGCTACAGGAGCAATCTCTCTCGGAAAGAGGACATTGATCTCGCCGTCGGAGATCAAGATTGGCTCGATAAGACGGACAGGGAATTGAAGGGGTTCAAGTATACCACTTGAGTTTAAGGGGGGGTTCAGAAACACGGGAAGCATTTGTTACCGGTGGGCTTGTGCCGCAGGGCCAAAGGGGCTTGAGGAACACATTACTCCGTGTCTCCATCCACATTGCAAATGCCAAAGTGTGTTTTGGTGAAGAAAGAATTCCGTCCATTGATGTAATCGTGGCAGTAGACAATGTAGTTTGGAAGAGACCCTCTGCACCAATATTTCTACCTCGTTGTCTTGTAATTGGCTGGCAATTTCGGCTATCAGTCAACGGTTATTTACCTGAGCAAAGAGGTGACGATCCCAAGGGGGAGAATTTGTTCAGCGAGGTTTTGTCCCTCGGCATCCTCCAAATCTCGTAAGCTGTACGGGGCATTGATGTAAATGTACCGAGAAGTGAGGGGAAGTGAAGAAAAGGGTAGAAGACATTGAAAAAGAAACGGAAGGTCGAGATGGAAGATGTATCAAGTCGTCTTGGAGGTTTTGTTTAGATTGTTCCCTCTCTACGAGAATTTCTGAATCGAGTTTAAATTCTCTTCCAAGTTAAAAGAAAAAAAGATATCATGGCATATTCACCGAGTGGTCCCATCGATTGTAGTATCATTCCGGACAAGAGTCGGTGCAAGGGGAAAAGCATCGTCGTTACAGGAGGTGAGGATCCAAGTTTCTTCTGTCCCTTTCGACACAAAGTTACAAATCGACCGACAGACTACTTAGCTACCTGGACGGTGGGAGATTCGGCATCTTTGGAGTTGTGCTGGGTTAACGGTCTTCTCCCTCAAGCTCAAGGGCTCATCGGTTTTGTTTGAACAGGCGCCGCGGGTATCGGCGAGGCATATGTCAGGGGTTTCGTCGAGGCAGGGTATGTCGCGTCATGCCACCATCCCGAAAGAAAGCAGATCCATTAGTTTTTTCTCGATATTGATAATTCGCTACATGGCAGAGCCTTTGTGACGTTTTGTGATGTCAATGTGGAAAAGGGCAACAGACTTGAAGATGACTTGTCGAAGTAAGTGTTGAAACGACCCAGTATGATCCGGCCACACAAAAAGCAGAGATCGGCTTTACTTGATTGCTTCGTCGAAATGCTTAATTTTTGACCGTTCCCGACAGGGACAAAGTGGCATTCGTCAAATGCGATACAAGGTCATGGGAAGAACAAATCCAATTGTTCGAGACTGCCATTGCAAAATCTCCTCAACACAGCGTCGACGTCGTACTTGCCAATGCAGGGGTTGGAAGAGGATCGGGTGATCCTTTGATGACACTAGAAGGTAAAGTGGTTTGTCTTTATTCTTTCTTCATGATCGCTCTGCTCATGGCATGATTGTTTTCTTTTCTCTGATCGAAAACGTCTCATGTTTTTAGACCCGTCCACCGTGCCTACGAAGCCTAGTATGCACATCGTCGACATCAACTTGATCGGGGTTATGTACACTCTCAAGCTTGCCATTCATTACTTTCGTAAAAGTCCGGTGGACGTACGAAGAGATCGGTGTTTCATTTTCGGAGGAAGTATTGCGGGTTACATGGACAATTTGGTAAATCTCCGAGACTCACCGGAAACACTCTCGAGTAGCTGACGCCTCGTGTAGAGCAGTTGGGAGTATTCTGCTGCCAAATACGGCTTGAGAGGGATGATGAGGGCGATACGTCGACAATGTTACCATCAAGATATGAGAGTTGCATACATTGCGCCAACGTACGTCTTGCGTCCCCATTTATCCCTTCAAAAGAGCCACGATACTGACATGAATACCTCGGCAGGTATGTACGCACAGACATCCAGTCCGAGGCTACCTATGAATCCATTCTGGCAAAAGGCATCGAGTTCGCGACCGTGGACAGCTGCCTCGCTGCCGTCATGAGAATTGCTTGCGACAAAACCATCAATGGTAGGGTTGTGTTCTACCCAAGATGTATGGGCGATTTCGCTGAGAATGTCAGGTCGTGCTTTCGCCATCGTACCGTATTCCCAGTCCAAAGAAGGATTCGTGGATCTTGATGAAGATGATCATCAGGACAGGAAACAGGCCCTGGCAGTGTTTCAGGACGCAGCCATCAAGTTGAGAAGAGACAATTGGCCGTAGTCAACGCACAAATCTCTTGCGTGATTTGTGTCGTACGGGTTGCAGTGCTGTGGCCTCGGCAATCCATACTCGAGGAACGCTAGACACAGAGTATTTTACTCGGTTCGAGGATACGGAATAGTAGAAAGAGAGGAGGACTATCTACGGAGAATAGTGGACGGAGGATGTTGCTTGAGGAAGCTTTTTGTTGCGCCGTAGCAGGCTTGGCAGTATTTCGGCCAACTACAACTCTCCCATAATGCACTTTCAATAAATGTCCATTTTGCTTTACTGGACATCAAGGCTACGCACGGTTTTGGTTAGGTGTATGAAGCTTTCAGAATTTTTCTAAGTGTCTTCGGTTGCTATCGAGATGGCTTCGTAAGGTCGGAACAGGCCAGAGAAACTCGCAGGAACTTCAAATCAAAAAGTCATTTCGCGGAACAAAAATTATCAGAATGGTCCAACCACCTTTTCAGACCATCTGCTGTGTTCAGCCATCGAATGGGCAGCAGCCGTTCTTGATCTCTGCCTCTGGTCCCGTCATCTGCTCGTTAGATCTCAAGACGGGCTCACTGCTGAGTCAGTGGCCACGACACACTGAAGAACCTGGTGAAGATGGAGTATCCACCAATCCGACGGAAGACGACCAGGGCAGGCCGATGAAGAGACGACGTCTTGATGAAGAAGAGCCAGTCAATGTTGCTCGGAAAGATTCGGAGAACCCTGCCGAGACAATCTCGGAGCCAAAGAAGGGAGAACAACAGAAGCCAAACGTAACGCATATCATCACCACCAGTGACGGCGCAACAGTCGTAACTGTCACCGCCGAGGACAAGTCGATCAATGCATTCAATGTCGAACCGGAGGGGGTCTTGAGCCTCCAGAGCCAGAGGTAAGTCAAGCCACTATTGTTTTGGGGGAGGTCCCGTCCAGCTCACAAAGGGTATCTAGATCGATGCCGAAACGTGTTTGTGCCATCGTCTTGACGCCAGATGAGAAGAATATCCTGGTTGGAGATAAGTTTGGAGATGTCTATCTGCTTCCTCTGCACCCAAGGGACGACTGGACGCCTCCCAAGGTGGATCAAGATGAACAAGAGCGACCATTCACCCCCTCGGCTTCGGAACTGACAGTCCACAGCAAGCGCAATCGGGAGGCGTTAAGAAACCAACGAGATCTGAAAATCATCAGACCCAAGAAGGAAGGGCCAAATTTCGAACGCAAGTTGATACTGGGACATGTCTCATTGCTGACCGATGTGGCCATCACTGAAGTTCTGGATGGTCTCAAACGGAAGCAGTACATCTTGACCGCCGACAGAGATGAACATATCCGAGTATCTCGAGGTATCACGCAAGCGCATATCATCGAAGGCTATTGCTTGGGGCACCGCGACTTTGTCAGCAAATTATGCATCCCACCGTGGGAACCCGAGTACCTCATTGCGGGAAGTGGTGAACCTTCCCTGAAAGTACACCACTGGCGTACGAGTCGATTGATCGACGAAGAGCTTTTCCAAGGGGCTATACGACAAGATCTTGAAAGACACTTGGATGTCACTTCTGGTGAACGGTCGATGGAGCATCTAGCTGTGTCCAACATTTGGCCAGTTCATTACTCGGTGGGTGGAAATTCACCCTATTCTCATCAACCGCCGCACTGTCTCCTGGTGGCACTGGAAGGGTAAGTTTGTGGTTTTTTAATGTCAATCCACTTGGATACAGGCTCTAATTCTGGGGTTTCAGACTTCCTTTACTACTTAGCTACAACTTGACAAAAGAGGGTAAGCTTCAACATCATCAGACCGTAGAGCTAGGGGGAAATGCCTTGGATGTCGCCGTAGGACCAGCACTATGGGACATCGTGGTCAGCATAGACACTGTGCATAAGCCAGGCTCCGTCAAGGAAATCAAACGAGAAGCCGTACCCAAGTCGAATTTCTTCGAGACGTTCAGTTTGTTCTCGAATCTTTCGCAGAATGCCAACGGCACGGCTCCCGCGGCTGAACAGCCTGGACCCGAATTGAGATGGGAACGATCGAGTCTTGCTGTGCTTCTGAACGACGCTGTACCCATGTCCGAAACATCGGACCTGTCACAGGATAGTAAGTCGAAGGGCAAGGGCACATACAGCGCACTGGGAGAACAACTATATGGCCTGGAGAACTTGCGCAAAAGGAGGGGCGACCAGGACCAGCCCATGGACGCTGACGACGAAGAGGCTGGAGAATCTCCTGCTATAGCTGTATAGCCAATCAAGACAATGAATTTATACTGCAATGTATAAGATCCTAGCTCATCGTGTCAAAGAGCTCAACCATCTTATTCGCTGTCCTCACACTCGTACTCCGTCATCTGGGGACAATATCACAGCCAGCCACGTAGCCTCGTGATGGGGAGGGGCAGCCGGTTAAACGTCGGGTTTCCTTCAGGAATGAAATAGTGGCGCACTTTGCATCAAGCCTCAAGACTTCCAGCGATCTTTGACTTCCTTCCAAGACGCCGACAACATTCGACCACGGAATTGTTGTGCCCTTCAAAACCGTCGGTTGTTGGTCAAGATGAAGGAGACGTTTGCTCCGTTGAAGAATGACCGCCTCCTACGGGCGGCACGTGGTGCGTGGGTTCTCTTGTACTTATGGACCAGCGTTGGGAGAACATGAGTAGACCTGACTTTCTCTGTTGAAACTAGGCGAAAAGGTCGACAGGCCACCCATGTGGGTGATGCGACAAGGTACGCGGCGGTCAGTCGCCTCTTTTCTTTTCTTTTTCTCCCTCGTCATTGATTCGTTGCTCTGTGTCGTCCATTGAAAGCAGAGACTCTGACCTCATTGCGATCTAGCTGGCCGATACCTACCCGAATACCACCGAGCCAAAGGAAAGCATGATTTTTTCGAATGCTGTCGGTCTCCCGAGATCGCCTCGACGCTGACCCTCCAACCGATCGAGCGATACGCGGGGCTCATCGACGCGGCCATCATCTTCTCCGACATTCTGGTCATTCCGCAGGCCATGGGCATGGAAGTGAAGATGATCGACGGCGTCGGCCCCAAATTCCCAAACCCCCTGCGGTCCCCCGCGGACGAGCAATACCAAGAGATTCTCCGACGGGAAGTGGACGTCGCCAAAGAGCTGGACTACGTGTACAAGGCCATCACGATGACGCGGAAGAAGTTGGACGGCCGGGTGCCGCTGTTCGGGTTCTGCGGCGCGCCCTGGACCCTGCTGTGCTACATGGTCGAGGGCGGCGGCTCGAAAATGTTCAGGGAGGCGAAGACGTGGGTGTACAAGTACGGCGACGAGGCGAAAGTCCTCCTGAAAAAGATCTCGGACATTTGTGTCGAGTACCTCGCCCTCCAGGTCGCGGCGGGAGCGCAGATTCTCCAAGTGTTTGATTCGTGGGCCGGCGAACTGTCGCCTTCCTCGTTCAGGGAGTTCGCCCTGCCCGCGCTCAGGTACATCTCGGAGAACCTGCCCAGGCGGCTGCGCGAGATGGGCGAGGACGTCGTGCCCATGGTTGTGTTTGCCAAGGGCGCGTGGTACGCTTTGGACGAGTTGTGTGACTCCGGGTACGACGTGGTCGGGCTCGATTGGTTGCACGATCCGTCGGAGGCGGTGAAGATCGCGAGAGGTCGAGTGACGCTGCAAGGGAATGCGGATCCCGGTGTTCTCTACGGTTCGCACGAGTCCATCACGTCGGTGGTCGAGAACATGGTCACAGGTTTCGGTGGAGGTCAAGAGCGATGGATTGTGAACCTCGGACACGGTATCACGCCCGGGGTCAATCCTGACGATCTCAAGTTCTTTTTCGAGGAGGTTCAGAGGTGTACGAGTGGACGGTGATGTAACCGCACTACACGAAAACAAAAGAAAAGGGAATGACGAGGAATAAAAAGGATAAAAAGAATAAATGATGCTTTTGAAATCAGTATGATTATTGTTCCCCTATATCTTCGTTCCTGTTTATCAAGTGTCAGTACAGTAGTCCGGGGGCCATATATCTTTCTCCTGAAGAACACAAAAAATAAAAGAGAGATTTTGAAACGTACCATACTTGAGGTTTCTCCTCCATAAACTTCTTCATCAACCCCATGCACTCTTGATTCTCGAGCACCACGACCTCGACGCCTCGTTGTTTGAGGTATTCTTCCCCGCCCACGAAGCTCCTGTTCTCCCCGATCACCACCCGGGCAACCTTGTACATGATGCAAGCACCCGTACACATGTCGCAGGGGGACAAGGTCGTGTACATGGTCGCGCCGGCGTAAGCGGAAGCCGGTAGTCTTCCCGAATTTTCCAAAGCAGAGATCTCGCCCTGTTTGAACATAAGAACGTATTCGAATAACTTTGGTCAGTTTCGATCGCGGGCAAGCTTCACACATGACAAGGATCGTCTTGTTGTCCCTGAATGGTGTCTCGTTCCACAAATTCAAGTCTGGATGGGATGGAATCAAAACAAACAAACTCACGTGTAAAGTAGCACTACCCTTTTGAACTCTCATGTTGTGTCCTCTACCAAGAATTTTGCCGTCCTTGGAGACTAGACACGCTCCTGATGATAGCAGTGCGTGGTCAGTAGACTATGACAGTCGGATATAGTAGATACACAGACCATACGGGATTTCATGGTTCTATTCGTTCAAGTGCAATGGTGAGCGTGTTACTTACCAATTGGTACACCACCTTCATTGAAACCCTGTCGAGCTTCTTCTACAGCTGCGATGAATCCTGGATCCGTCTCGGCCATTGTTTTTTTTTGGTGACTCGAAGGAAATTTAGGGTGTCAAGGAGAAGAGAAAAAGGGAAAGGACAAAGCAAGGCTGGGTTAGAGAGATGCAGTAGGCAAGTTACGTCAGGTAGTTGAGAGCTCTTTTGTACAGATATGAATCTCAGACTACGAGTATTCAAAAAAGGAAGAAGGGAAAGACCTCGGACTTGTCCGATGGTTGGTGTACAGTATCAATCAAAAAATAATGTCAAACCCCACCCAAAAAGGTCCAGAACATACGACATTTCAAGGTGGAGATCATGGGATAACCAGGATACAACAAATCCGACACCATTCACGTGGTAAATAGATGCTCTTCTCTACATACGAGTACACTGGAACTTGCTCACATGGTATACGACCGCGCTCAATCACAACCAAGATAAAATTGTCGCTCAATCAAAAACTCGAGAATATTGTTTCTCAATAGTTGATCTATCCAGTCCTCTGACCTTCTCTTCCCCCTCGAAAACCACTTTGCCGGGTCTGATTTGATTCCACACGACGGAACGGACACCACTACCCGCCGTAGTCGTTGCCGAGGAGAAGGAGGACTCGGTGTTGTTGGTGGTAGTGGTCTTCTTTGCCAGTGGCGCTTTCGGGAACGATGCCAGTAAATGTCCTGCACGCTTCCTGAAAAACCAATCTGGGAAATGTTCGGCCAACAGGGACAATGTCACCGACAGAGTGTCATCAATGTCGGCTTCATCCCAAGGCGCGGATTCCCGCTTGGCCACCGCCACGCGCTCGATCGTGTCCAGGAGGTGTCTCGATGCTGCCTCATTGGCCGTGCTGAAGGCGCCGGCAATATCTTCAGGAAGAAAAGACAAAGCCGTGATGAACAAGATTTGCACCGTCTGCTTGTGAAGGTTCGACTCTTTGCCGTGCAAACAATAAATCCGGGCCCTTTTCTGCCATGTGCCAATGTACCGACGCAGAGCGAGGATCGAGTACCTCGACGGCCCGCGTGCGTCCGAGTCTGCATCTGCGCGTCGTTTGAACCGTCTCACTCGCTCGATGAGCATGTCCCGCGCCTGTGCGAGGGAATCTATCGGGACGTCCTCCGGCTCTGTCGTTTGGTCATCATCGTCCGGATCATCGGGGGGGATTTCGATCGGGGTACTGGCTCCGTGGACAATGTTGGAGAATGACAGGGAAAGATAAACCATGGGTTTCACGGCGGCCAGCATGTCCAAGGCAAGCGGGTCTGACGACGACGGGCCAGACTCTAACTCTTTCAACAGTCGGGACGACGCTCGAAGGTGGATGGCCGAAGCCGCAAAGTTCCCTTGCAACGACTCAAAGACCCAACCCATCGACGAGGCGAGAACCAGAAAGGGTTCGTCGGCCCTCTCGACCACCGTCATGCCCCTCAGCGCCGTCTGGTAGTGCCACAGCGCGAGCGGGGTCAGCTTGATCTTGGTCGCGGACCGGTACACGCCGAGTTGCTCGTCCAGCAGCGCCGTGGCCACGAGAAGGTGCCGGATGACGGGGAACTCGAACGCGAGTTGCGGCACCAGTCGAGACCAGAACATGTAGTCGGGGCCGTAGTTCCCAATCGTCGGCGCCGTCTCGGCGAGCCAGAACTTGAGGCTGCGTTGGTCGTGCGGCGAGTCTCCGAACCTCACGCTGACGGTTTTGGTCAGGTAATTCCATTGCGCCCGCACCAGGGCTTTGCGCTTCGCTTCCCGTGCGAGGTCGGTGATGTCCTGAGGTCCTTCACGACCGTACGTGTACCTGACGCCGCCCCCACCGAGCTGATGTTGTCCCGCCTTGGAGGCTTTTGGGAGGTTGCCGCCGTGGGTCTGTTGTTGCTGTGTGCTGATCCCCTCGAAGATCCACGGTTTGGGGGGAGTCTCGTATCCTGGACATTTTCGTCCTGCTATCGCACACCTACGTTACACATCAGGTGTGAACATAAAGATCCATGAAGCCCAAGGCACAAGGCCACACGGAAATGATGAAGACCCACCTTTTACACGTCGGGTATCCTTCGTCGCATTTGACTCTTCTCTGTCTGTTGACGTAAGAATTGATTGTAAGATTTCGAATGTCATTTTGGACCAAGGTAGGTCGGGTGGGTGTACGGTGTGTGTAGGTACTTACTTGCACGTCGCACATCCACTCCGGACCTTGTGGTGGAATTGTTTGACTCGTGGCTTCGACTGCCGGTCGCCCTCTTCTACCACTCTGTATCCGGAGACGAAAGCCATCCCGCGCCCGGGTCGTCGTCACATATCTGACTGTCTTGTGGTGGCGCGATGGCTGTCAAGGTCCGATCCGCGCGCCGCGAGGGCCAGAAAGACCTCCCAAAAACGCAAGCAAGTAGGAAAGGTGTATGTAGGTATGTTTAGCGTGATGGACCCTTTATTACATAGCATCAACGGTGGTGCCGCATGGATCTCCAGCCCTGTGAGAGGAATCAATCTAGGAATTGATTCCGAGAGTTTGGGATGAGGATTGGCGGGACGCCTGGCCAAGCTGTAAGGCATCCAACAACACTCTTGATCTCCTACTGAATATTACTAAACAATACGAGATCAAAAACGGAATACGGAAGATCTTACTGATTTCTTAGTCATTTTGGCTTACAGAGAACCGAGCCTCTGATGATGCATTGATGCCTGGCGCATTATGCCTAGGGGATGCCACCAGCCTAATGCAGTAACGCAATCTTCCAATTTAAGCGATTCAAAGGCGTTTTGCTCAGCCAACATGGCATTGATGCCTGAGGGACGACGCCTGGGGATTGCCAAGGGCTCCTGATACTGCGCTACCCCTAGCTACTTACCAAAAGTAGTAACCTAACTTTCCCTTTGAGCAATTCGAGAACGGTTTGCTCAACTAACATGGCATTGATGCCTTACAAGGGATACCTGAGAATGCCTCAGGATGCCTCAGGATGCCCAGGATGGCCCCGGCTCAAAATAGTGATTACAAGCCGCTGCTCGAAAATGATTCACGTTATTGAGCGAAGGCCATACGAAGTAGCAACAGGAACTCGTCTGGTTCAACTGCAGAACGAAGAACCAATCACAACTACTCAGGTAAAAACAATGTCATTGTCACAATATTGTTACACGTCCTCATAGCTTGCCACACTCCTGTCAGCTCTTGTTGAAGATTCTAGCAACAAGACCCTTCTTCGCCTCCTGGTCGGTTGAAGGTCTCTCTGGTCGACCCCAAATGCCGCTCAATCGGCCTTGAATCCTCTCGGCCAGTGGCTTCTTGGTCGGCTGCTTCTCGTACGGAGCCTTGTGTTCCTCATACACATCATGCAGAGCCTCGTAATCGACGTGCACGAACGCTCGCTCGACGTCTGCCAGGCCTTCCAGCTTCCGCTGTAGAGATTGGCTCACGTCGTGGGTGACCTTCAGACTCTCTACTTCGTCCATGATGATGTCGACCTCGACGTAGAACTTGTCGCCGGCATGATATGCCCTGACGGTGTCGATCTTGTTGATCCTCTCGTTGTGCGTGATCGCCACGTAGACGACTTTGTTCAAGAACTCCTGCGGAGCAGATTTTCCCACCAGATACCACATGTGTTCAAAGGCAGTCGATGCCCACGAGTAGAGAATCAACAATGCAATGGCGATGGCGCCGGTGGGATCCAAAAACCACACCTGCCTGAACCGAGTACCGACGATCGACATAATGAGACCGAAGAGGTTCACGGCGATGTCGTTGCGGTGGTCTATCATGAAGATGCGTGCCGCAGGGTAGCGTCGGAGGAGGAAGCAGTAGACAAACAGAGTGCCTTTGGCGAAGATGGCAACGCCCACGAAAACAAGGGGAATGATATCCAATGATTTGGAGTCCGGCTCACCGGCACCGAGGCCACGTGCGGACTCGATAATGAGCTGAACCGCCACGGTGGTCATCAGAGCGCACTACACATCGTCAGACGAAGCTGCTACTTGGGTGCTAGAGAAAGAAGACATTGTAGACAGATGGGAGAGGGCCACATACAAAGAGGATGATGCCAACCGTCTCCAGGCGCTTTCGTCCCACGGGAAATTTGGCTACATTGGGTCGAGATGCCATGCGTGAGGTGATCAACATAACGATCGAGACAACAAGATCCATCTGCGTGTCTTGCCGTTAGACAATGTAGAACACTTGCCGGTTGGAGGAAGACTTACGAAGGCGTCTGCAGCGGTGGCGAAAAGTGACAGCGAGCCAGTCGAGATGGCAGCGTAGAGCTGAATGACAAACAAGCAGAAGTTGCACACAAAGCTGGCGTTGACAGCAAAGCGCACTTTGCCTCCATTTTTGATGTTGTCCTCGCGCTCAAGGGCTTCTTCATCGGCACTTGTCAAGTAGGCATCGATCAAGGCATTTTGTCGGTTGTAGTACTTCTTGACTTTTCGATCTTTCCTTTGCTGCAACAAGCTCGAACGCTTGTTGTCATTAGCAGCCGGCTGCTTCAGGGCACGAAGAGAATAGGGGTCGGCTATATCGACGACTTGTTCCTGATCGAATTCGCTAGCTTGGACGTCGACGCCGTCTTTCTGCGCTGACGCTGTGTCTTGCCCACCATTGTCGCCCCGAACAGGGGAAATCTTATCCGGAGAACCATTCGCCTGAGGGCCGGAATGTGTAGGGGAGTCCCCTCGTACACTGTTACTTTCACCCGCTGTAACGGAAGCCATGGTCGTGTCAGAACAGGGCTGGTAGAGTAAAGACTTTCGCGGAAGCGACAACAACCGTAGCTATCTTTCGCTTATTGAAGTTAGTTGAACAAGCTGAGATCGGATATGTTTCCAAAGAGCAGACGCACAGATGGATGACAGACACCAACCCTTGTTCGAGCAACGAAACAGGAGAACCGATCTCGACAGACGAGGGAGTATGGAGATGTGGACGAGTTTTGTGAGTGATACAGAAGATCGGTCAACTGGAACCATTTGAACGAGCCAGCAAGTACACTTATCTATGTCATATAGGAGAGCATTCAACTAGCTTCCCTGAGCGGCGCAGCACCTAGAATACCTTGTGCCAGGGTCTGGACCCTGCCATGGAGACATTCCCAGTTCTACGCTGTGCAACGGCCCCAGGGCTGAAAGAGGTGATGTGAAATCTTGAGGCGAGATGAAGTTGTGATGTAGAAGCCAAGATCTTGGCCGTATGGGCTTAACGCGGTCAAGGTAGCAGGTTTGGAAATGGAAGCGGACCTCAGACATGGATTTGTGTCGGAAGATACTCCGTACTCCCCTGCCAGGCACTTTGTACGGAGCGATGGATACACGTCTCCGTACAGAAAATGGAGAACCCCAAATGTGGAATAGCCCGATCCATTGTTCCGGCCTTGGCGGAAAATCATGTTAGGGTACGCCAAGGCTGCGCTAGACCTCTTGGGGGTTGCACCAGGCTGGCCTCGTATTTCTCTTCCTACTGTACATGCCCAGACATCCCTCCGGAGTCGCACTTCCTCGCCCAAACCTGTATCTGCCAAATCACTCTGGGTCGGCTTTCGATGGCGTCTACTCGCCCGTTATGTCATGAGTGACAGGCCCTTGTACTCGATCAAGCTCCATCGCCAGCATCAGCAGTCGATAGCTGGGTGACCTTTGACGAGGCCTTGAGATGTCTTTGCCAAGGCGGAGCTCCCTCTCCTTGTCACAGGTATGCAAATCCTACTGAGATGTGGATCATTCTGTCGGTCTCTAGCGATAAATCAGTCCGTCTAAGACAGCAAAGCACCGCGGAGCGGAGTGCTTGTGTCTGCATGCAGAATGTCTATGCGTCTGGCCAAGTCTGTTCTCGACCATGATCAAACAGCGACCAAGCAGACCGGAAGTCTTGTCTACCGAAGCCAAGCCCTCAAAGCAGGATGCTTGCCTTCGCTTGTCCGCTTGTCCTGGTATCAAAAATGCTCGCTCCTTTGGGCGCTCTCTCAAGCCAATGGCCATACGTGCTCCGTACTCCACGCATAAGGTCAGCGTCCTGGCAAAGCCCCTGATTGACTTGCCAAGATGAGTGACGAATTCCATTTGTGGACGTCAACTCTGCTTCAACGTCCAGCGTTGCTGCTGACCTACAGTACTCGTATTTAGCTTGAGGAGGAGGCTCTCCCTGGCCCGGGTTTGTCCTTCTAGGTGGATGATGGGGACTGTGGTTCTCTTCCTACAGACAGAATTGACTTTGTACTAACGTCTTAGAAGGGTAATGACCAACGTGGACCATTTACCATTCCGTAACCCGCTCACAGGCTGGGTCACACGAGTACTTTCTAAATTGGGATTGCGGCTGCGACGACTGTTCTACGCACATGCCTCGAATATTGTCTCTGGATATCGTGCGTGAAGAAACAGACAACACCTCTGATGAATGGGAGAATGAATAAAGGCATAAATGAAGTCTCCCGTGATATCTTTTTCTCTTGTTAGACTCATCAAAATATGAGGCTGCACTGGATTTGCAGAGATACGGATCCGGGACCTATCCTTGTGGTTTCTTTCTCGCTTACTCTACTCAAAACGAACATTGTAACAAGGTAAGATGCATCAGATAAGATGGATGCGTCCACTTGGTCGAGAAGGTATGGTCAACCCTTTCCCCAGGTCGAAGATCATTGACTGCTCGTCCGGTTTGATACGCCCAACTATACCAGAAATTGTTGCTATCAAGTTTCAACTCGTCCCGCTGGAGGAGACCCAAACGATACTTGGCAATAGTATAGGAGCGTTCTGAAAAAAAGTTTTATATGCAAAGCGGTTGCTTGACTTTCTGGAATTGTTCCTTCACGCTCTGGCAGCTTTTCTTCCCCAATCTTCCATCGGTTTTTGTCTTTTTTGAACTCGGCGGAGCTGTGCTTTGCGACTTCCATTCTCTTCTCTGCCCACCCCTCCTTATATCATTTGTGTTCGGGGACAGGCTCCTCCAAGGGATTGTTTTTATATTTCGTGTTGCAAGAATGTCGAAACCACAGTGTGGCGGAGGAGCTGCTCAGCTCGCCGAGTACGACCTTCCTCTCCATGTCGGTGCGGTCTTCTTGGTCTTCGCATTCAGTATCGCCGGAGCTGGTCTCCCGGTCGTGGGGAAAAGAGTCAGCTGGGCAAAACTCCCCAATCGAGTTATATTCTTCTGCAAACATTTTGGAACGGGCGTGTTGATTGCCACGGCTTTTGTTCACTTGGTCCCCACGGCATTTCAGTCTCTCAGTGACCCATGCCTTCCCTCGCTTCTCACCGACGATTATCCAGCCATGCCTGGCGTTATCGTGAGCATCACTCAGAATCCCTACCCGAACAAGCCTTACCCTGCGACTGGCGTTGCTACACATACACATACATCCCTTTTCATTCTCCTGCCCTACCCGCCTCGGAGGAAGAGAGAGAGAACCGTTGCTAATCAAGTCACAGATGATGTTTGCCCTGTTTGCTCTGTTCACCATTGAGATGTACCTGAAGGCGAAGACGGGTGGCCATTCCCACGGTGGGCCCATGGGTAACGGTGCTCCGGCTCCTGCACAACACGGCCATGGACACGGACACGGACACGCACAGGCAAACGGACCTGGACTCGCAGCACAAGGTAGTCGACCAGGAGTCGGCACCCCTCAAGCCCTGCCGGCATACGTAGTTCACTCACGAGACGGGTCCGAGACTATCGTCGACGGGATGGAGAAACCCCACGCCTACACGCACAGCTACGAGGTTTCGGCCGCCGCCCGCGAAGAGATGGAACAGTACAACAACCTCTCCGACATGCCCACCTGGTTCCAAGTCTTTTACGCCCAGTATGTCCGTCAGCGTGAGGAGCTCAAGGACATGATCCTGTCCGTCACGCCGCGCGCTCTGTACCCGGTGGAAAAGTCTGAGTTCGACGACAGCTCGTCCGTCGACCTGCACCACGATGGCGACTCCGAGGAGGGGACCGTGGACGCGGCCACCCTCAAGACCATGAACCTCAACATTTCCTTGCTCGAGGGAGGTATCCTGTTCCACTCCATCTTTGTGGGGATGACCGTCTCCATCACCACCGACGGCTTTGTCATTCTGCTCGTCGCCATCCTCTTCCATCAATTCTTCGAAGGTCTGGGCCTAGGAAGCCGCATCGCCACCGTGCCTTACCCCAAACAATCCATCCGTCCTTGGGTCCTGGTCTGCGCCTTTGGAACCACGTGTCCCATCGGACAGGCCATTGGGCTCATGACTCGCAACTCGTACGATCCGTCGAGCGCGTTCGCCCTCATCCTCGTCGGTGCATTCAACGCATTGTAAGTCTCCCTTGCGTGCCTCGCAAGGGCTAAAAACAACGCGATTAATGTGTTTCTTTTGCAGTTCTTCGGGCCTACTCATCTACGCCGCCTTGGTGGATCTGCTCGCGGAGGATTTCTTGTCTGAAGAGGCATCGCTCATCATGACCAAAAAGGACAAGATTCAAGCATTTTCCTTTGTTCTCATGGGCGGTAAGCTGTTAACAAATCATTCCGTGCTCTGCCTATTCTCCCTTGGTCCCCCTTTACGTTTGTATGTCGAGACCAAAAAGACTAATTTCTTTAACATAACTAGCTGCCGGCATGTCCGTCGTCGGGGCATTTGCATGATACGATAGCAAAATGTCCGACTCCAACACGCCCCCTACCGTCCGCACAAGCCGAGCTCCCTCTTCGTCTCCTTCCACCCCCCCTTTTTTTATTCGCCTCATTCATTACATGTACACCAAAAAAGGCCAAGCTGATGGCGTCGCTCACTTACGCCTCGCTTTTCGCATCCACATCTCAGGGTACGAGACCCAAACACACTCCTTCAATTCAAATCTGTCGAGAACAGCCCCCTAAAAAAACAAGAGAAACAAAAGAAAACAAAACGCAATGCGGGCGCAAAGCGAACAAGACAAAACCATTGTGTCGCTGGACCCGATCCCCACGCCGAACCACACCGGGGGCCGAAGTCACCGTCTGTCAACCAAGCTGTGCTCCTATCTTGGATATCTTCCAAGGGGAGCCAGCCACAAAGCTCTACACACATTACTCAATGTATACGAGTATGAAGTTACGACTATTGAACATTAACGGATATGTATCAGGAAATACGAACAGTGGGAAGCAAGAACATACCGTTGCTGAGACTATGAAGATACTTAGGAAAAAAAGTAAAAACACAGCCACCATGTACACAAGGTATCCCAAGCACGTACGGAGGTTTTCGCTAGGAAGGAACGATAGAAAGATAGAAATGACGACTTACTCACTGTATGCATTCTTGAACAGAATTCCTACCTTTGAAATTACTTACTGTCATGATCCGACTGACCATAATTCTCGAGACTTCTCGCTTCTTCAAACGGCCTTATCCGTACTTGTACTCTTCAGTAAGTCTCTTTCCACATTACGTTTTAGGAAGCAACTTGACGATAGACAATTTGACTCCCCGTAAGCGTCCAACCTGAGAACGGGAAAACAGAATCAGATGCAGTGCCTGACCGCCTGGGAACTCGTACCGTTTCATCGAGCAATCCAAGCCTTAAGTCGGCCGATTCTCGTTTTCACACCACTTGCTTGCCCAAAGGCCTGTCTCGTTTGTGTATTTCCCTCGAGACGCTATAAGAGACAGGGCCTTGCGGTAGATAACATAAGCATCGTCGGTAGGGTAGATTGCTCTACAGTTTGGACAAGTCCCTGTTTTGTAGAACTCATCACCGTGAACGCCATGGACAAACCATTCGGCAAGACACCGAGCGTGTGCAAATTTGTGGCAGCATGGAGTGGCAACCAAGTCTGGACTCGCCTCTATGTCACTAGCAGTTGGGGTCTCGACACAGTCATGGCAGACAAGACATACCTCGGCGTCGTCGGTTGCATCCGGCATATGATCCATAATTGTGTCTTCGTTTGCTAGTCCGAGAACCTCAACTGGCCACAGAGGAATCGTCGAAAGACTTGTCGTGGTCTTGAACAAGCTTTCCCTATTCAAGGCGGAATGCAAGCACAACTTAGCAAACACTGCTCTCTCCTGATACATGTCGTAGTTGAAGAATGCTGTATCACATAGAACGTCATCGTCGTTGAACATCTCCATGACGAAGGTGGCGAGGAAGCATTCCGCGGACGCCAAAGCCATCAAAGATTCCCGATTATAAGGCGCATGGTGAAGACGTGCAAGATTCCACAATGTACCCTCGATGTTGCCCACATTGACTGCGAACTTCTGCTCTGACGTGATTCCACTGGGTGACTGAAACCAAGGAATGTAGGGGAAGATTTTTCTGAGGTTGTCGCTGAACTGCTTGCAGCTTACTGCGAGTGTGTAGATGTCTTCGAAGTAGATTTCCTTGGGATTTTTGCCGGTAGCTGAATACTGGATAATGTCACCGCAGACCAGTTTGAGTGAAGTTACAGTGGAGCGAGCTCGGAGTTTCTTACCTTTGAACGTGAAGAGAGCAGGGTGTGGCTTCTTGGCCGATCCTTTCCAGAATCTTTTCATCAAGTCTCTCATCTTGTCTCGACCCCTCATGAGTATGGTATACTCGTTGTCGCCATCCATGACCTTGATAAGAATATCTGCATCACCCTTGGAATATGGTGCAATGATTTGAGACATGATGTTGTAGGGTCGAGGTGACCAGAAAGGTGCGTCGAGTTTCGTGGTTAGAGGTGGTGTTCTGGACGAGCTAGCGAGGCTTCACTCGAACCAGATGACCAAGTAAGTATTTGTGCGGAAATTGAGAACGAAGGTAGGAAGTAGACATGAAATAAATATATCCAAAAGACAAGGTATAGCTTTTAACTTTGCTAACATATCCATATCAAACTACGACTGCGTCGCACTCTAGAGGAGTCCTTTGTCTAGTGCACCTGTATGAAGAGGCTGCGGACAAAGAGTGCATCCGAGCTACACCAAGAAAGACCATCATGTTGAAAGAAAGAAAGATCATCGCATTGAAAGACATAGGATGCTATCTTCATGAAGTCTTTGTCCTCGTTGTTAAATCATCATTGGCAGTTTGGGCTTCTAATGGATTCCTTGAATGTGGAGTGGCATGTGAGGTGCGATGTGTGGTGGTAATATGGAAGTGTACAGAATCTCGAAATACAAAATCTCAAGTACATGATATGAAGTAATGTAAGAAGGGAAGAAATAAGGAGGGAAGAAGAAGAGGCAATTTCTGCTTAGGTAAGCCGTCTAGGAAAGTGAGGTGATCACGTGATGACGTATTTATTTCGAACACTTGTACTCGGTTCTCCGTCGACCGTCCGCCATGAAATCAGGCACTTGTCCCGGCTACGGTGCTATAGAATTCCACGTCGACCACTATGTTATAACAGAAAATTCCTCCAAACAGATCTCTACAAGATGTCCCTTACTTCTGCCCTCAGGCCTGTGGCCCTCACATTCGGCGCAGGATCCAGACGAGAGGATGCGACGGCCGAAGTCGAGCACACGCGACCGTTCCGACATGAGATTGACTACCTCAATCTGCATAGAACCCTCATACGCTTCCAACACCTTGTTCTTCTGGCGCCTTCGCCAACCTCTCAGGAATTGACGGAACTGACAACCCTACAAAGACAAGTACAAGCAGAGTTATGGTCTCCTTTGCCATATCACCGCACGAAATGGCTGCGCAATGTCGAAGGGGCGCGGACTCTGCTGCTACACTTAGAGCGAAAGGCACAGACGATCAGAGTACAACGGACCAAATACGAAGCTATCAAGGACCTAGCGGATAAGAGAGCCATCATCAAAAAGTTGAGAAGCCGGATTGAAGAGATTGGACGTGAAGTCGAGATGATGGGCAAAGAGGCTTGGAAGGTGCCTGTCACGAACAACGAAGCCGGCGATACACTTTACGACGTACTCCAACAGCAGAGTCGACCCCATGGGCAACGAGAATCTCAGACTGCACCGGACGACACGCTTCGGGAGAGCAAGCCCATCGCGCAAGTGGAAGAGGATGGCGACGAAGGAGATAAAGATGGAACAGACCAGTTGTTTTCCTCATCCACTCTACGGCGGAGGGGCAAAGATCCAACGGAGACGGCGAGGATCTCCGCGACCCAGGCGACAGGCTTTTCGAATGCATCAGCTACTGAGAGATCATTGCTAAACTCATCTCGGGTACAAGAAAACATTTCGGCATCGATGGTCAGTATGGCTGTCCAATTGAAACAGCAGGCACAAGCAATGCAATTCTCTCTACAACAGGACAAGAGCATCCTCGGCCGTGCAATGGAAGGGCTGGATGTAAGTGTCAGCTCGATGGAAGCCGCCAGCAAGAATCTTGCATTCCTGAGACGAATGAGTGAGGAGGAGGGCTGGTTGGGAAGAATGAAACTGTACGCCATGATATTTGGAATGTGGATCGTCGCATTCTTGTTGGTCTTTGTTGGACCGAAGATCAGATTGTGAGGTTTGACTCCTGATCGTGTTCCTGATTCAAGATCCTTGGTAGAGGAAGTCCCATGGAAATCGTTGAATGGGATACAAAACGTCGAGCACGATGATGATCATGCCAGTCACCACTCCAACTATTGCCACGAGAAGGTTCGTGAATGTTGGATTGGCGGACGACAAAGACTTTCACATGAAAGCATTGCGTTGCATCTGATCATGGCTATGATTGGTACTTCGTATCATCAAGGCGCCACCAACCTCTTTCTCTAGGCTTCATTTGTGTGGGCGCAGATGACGTCGAGTGGTTGATGCTTGAGGTCCTCGGCCACAGATCTTGATGGCGCGTACACCCCATCGGGACTAGCGCTCAGACTAAAGACGCCTCAAGCTGCATTCTAGCCACTCAATCAACTCAGCCTCACGGGACTAGCGCCAAGCTGTGGCTGCTATGACATCACAGCGTCACTGACCCCTCCTGTTCTCTCCCCCTTCCCTGACCCTGCGTTTGACCAGGATTCTCAACAAGCAATTGGCATCACAAGATCTTAGGTCGACGTCTATAAATAAGGCTTGATCCTCTCACGGAGACCAAATCTTCCTTCAGCCAGTCTACCAAACGAAATAACAACTCGATCACTTCTCTAAGCTATTACTACATCGAATCACATATCAACCACTCAATCAACATGTCTTCCGAAGATAACACCTCTACCCTCAAGTCCGTCATGGACACCGCAACTGGTACATCAACTCTGGCATTGCCGCCGTCACTGGCAGTGCTGGTGATCAAGCCAACGCAGATCACTACAAAGCCAAGGGCGAGGCCGAGTCAGACCTTTCTCACGCTGCGGCCAAAGCTGGTCCATTCACCATCAGCTCAACCGGCGCTCCAGCCAAGGACAACAGTGACCGCACCCAAGGCCAATGGGACCAGACGATCGGTAGCGCCAAAGAGACCGTTGGTAACCTCCTCGGCAACGAAAACCTCAAACAGCAAGGCCGCGAGCAGAACCTCCAAGGCCAGGGCCAGGAAGCCAAGGGTCAGCTGAATGACCTTGGAAAGGGCGTTAGCGATCGTGTTCAAGGTGCAGTTGGCGGGGCTGCTGCTGCCTTGACAGGCGATCGTGTTCAACAGGAGAAATACGCCGATATGCACGACGAAGGAAAGACTCGCCAACGTGGCGTTGAGCTTGATCTCGACAAGCAAGCTGCCGCTCAGAAGTAGTTTGGGATATTCTGCATACAGGATAAAGTCATCAGCAGTGTTTTATGATTAGCATTATGATACCCACGGAATAAAGTGTATTTGATTTAAAGAGCTTTTCTTGGATGCTTTGGGTTAACCTTCCGTGAACCGAAAATGCAAGGAATACAACCGTGTTCATCAGTCGAGATTTTCACATATGCGGATATCGCACTAAGGCTCGGCGTCGTTGTGACATCTACAAGACTGAAGGAATATCAAAATCCTTTGCCCTCACAAATACAAGCCCTCGGAGCGATCAAGAGCCTTGCACGGACAAAATTTCCCATTTCACGAGGCTGCCTGTTGTTTTATGATGAAATGATAGCCAACCTGATTAGGCTTAGAGGTAACATTGGAGGACAAGGTGGAGGTTCTCCCTGTAATGAGAACTTAGCGTGCTTGATACCACTCATAAATGACAACATTGCCTCAATCCCGATCAGGAAACTGGAACAAGGCGGTCTTGGCTTTCCTGGGGATAGTGAAGTTGCACCTGGACGATGATACGGGAGTGTACAGGTACTCATCTGAGGATTTGTTTCTTGCCACACAGCATCGCCATGATGGAAGTGCGATTTTTTACGTGTCACTGTGAATTTGCTTCTAGTCTTTCATCATTGGCAACAGACCCCTGTTCGTGACACCTCGCAGAGTGCAATCCGTCATGGCTCCAAACGGAACACCTCGTGACTTCACGCATCTTCGAGATGTCATGGGTAGCTTGCCCATGCTGAAAAGGTACATTGTGTTGTGTCTATGCTTTCATCTTTCGGATGAGTATGCCACGAACGAAATCGAAGGCGCATTGAGGGACGGCCTGGAGCGACTGGCGGAAGCATTTCCCTTCCTCGCCGGGCAAGTGGTTATGCAAGGCCGGCGTCATGGCTGTAGCGGCAGACCAAAGATCGTACCACTCGAAGAAAGAATACTCCTTCACATCAACGACTTGAGACAGAGCGGCAACCTATCATTCCCCACCTTATCAGAGATGAGTGCCGCCAGATATCCATTCAGGTTCCTCGACCCAGCCATCATCCTGCCCCCGATAGCTTCCTCGTGGGCAGAAGATCCAGGCGATTTCAGCCAAATAGCACCGGTTCTCATATTACAGGCGAATTTTGTCCGTGGTGGGCTCCTACTTACCTTCTCCTGCAACCACATGACCGCGGACATGACGGGACTGGGCACCATCATCTCTCTGTTTGCCAAAGCGTGTCGTCTGGAGCGCTTCACCGAGGAGGAAATCGAGCAGGGCAATCAACCACGAGGGAACGTTGTGCCTTTGCTTGGGGACGAGTATGAGCCCGGCAACGACCTCGAAGACGTCATGGTCAAACCGTGGAGGATGGAGGGGAAGAACAATCCGGTGCCCTGTTCACAGACCGTGACGGTCACGACGATGCCACCCACACCTGTCCACCCGGAAGCGGCGGTATCATGGGCATATTTCAATCTCACCTCGTCGAATCTGTCGCTCCTCAAGGTCGCCGCAAGCCGTCAGACTCTCGTGCCGTACATCACCACGGACGACGCGGTGGGCGCTCTGTGTTGGCGGGCCATCTCACGAGTTCGTGGTGGCTCCAACCGACGACCCGGAAACACACAAAACGCCAAATCGTCGTCGTCGAAAACGACGACGACGACGACGACGACCTTTGCCCGACCGCTCAGCGCGAGAAAATACCTTGGCCTTTCGTACCTGTACCTGGGCCACATGGTCGACGTCGCATACGAGTCCGGCAGCGTCGACGTGTACGAGCAACCCCTGGGAGACGTGGCGGCGCGCCTGCGCATGCTGCTTCAGCGCGACGACAAGATCAAGCACCATGTACGTGCGTTCGCGACGATGCTCGATCGTCTGGACGACAAGAGTCAGTTGGTCAATGGCGCGAACTTGGACCTCGATCGAGACGTCATCTTCTCGAGCCACGCCAACGTCGCGTGTTGCCAAAAGTCGTTCGGTCCGGTGCTTGGGACGCCCGAGGCAGCCAGAAGACCGAGGATGGGCGCTGCTCCCAGTCTCCTTTATCTCATGCCAAGAGACAAGGAAGGGAACATGGTTGTCGCGATGTGTTTGAGGGAGGATGATCTCATGGCGCTCAGGGATGACGAGGAATTCCTCAAGTTTGCGGAGTATATTGGCTGAGTCCCAGTCAAGACAAGTGTAGAATATTTGATCGACGTCCATCAGACGTGGAACGCTCACAGCATTTTGGACTGATTAGACCCAAGCAAATAGAGTCTTCATGTGACCCATCTAACTTACAAGCAGCACTCCAAACTCTTTGCGAATTTTTAAGAAACAACAACAACAGTGTTCTCGCCTGTGTTTGTATCGTGATCCCACCAGTCTATCTCATACTCTTATCGGCGCGCCCTCAATCGTCTTTTGTGCTTGCTTTGGGAAGCGATCGTCAAAGGAGAAGTGCGCTCTCCAGGCAAGAGAAACACATCTACGAGGACTTACCCATCATCGACCACCGCTTGTTCTCCGTATTCTCCTTATCTCCATTGCCTACCTTGTATGAGTAGAATCAGTTGAGACCCCATCTCTTATCTTGACCAACAGGATACGTCCAATGGCCCTATCTAGCATGTCCATGTGGACGTTGAACTCCATGTATTCAATCCCAGTCTTGGTCGGAGGGACTTCCGACATAGGGGGTGCATACCTTATAGTCCCGAGTGTATCCATACGAGTACTCGTAGTCATGGTCTAATGGTTCACCATGGCCAGTTGTTTGGAGTCACTCGTATAAAGGAGACTACCATCGGGTACCGAGAACACGTTCTATCTCTCTTCTCCTCGCGCTCCCAAAGGTCACTCACCACTTGACTCGATTGAGGCCATTTGACCGACCTAAATAGACTGCACGTGTAGGGGCAGTTGGAGGGTAAGCTGCCAGTATGAACTTCAAACACTTCTGGCAAGAGCATGTCGTGCTCAAGCCTCGACCTGGGTCTTTTGCCGTTGAAGATCCAGATGCCGCCGCGTACACGAATCAAGACATGGACCCCATCAGACGCAAAGACCGGACCTACGAGTGGTACCAGATGGGACTGTTCTGGATAGCCGAAGGGTTCAACGCCGCTCAACTGCAAGTCTCCAGCTCCGCCTTCTCCCTCGGCCTCAACCCGGGCCTGTGTGTCGTGGCGTGCTTGATCGGCAACATGATCGTGGCCGTCCCCTGCGCCGCTTCGGGCTACCTGGGGAGCAAACTGGGCACGAACTTCCCGGGGACGGTGCGCGCCTCATTTGGCCTCTGGGGTTCGAAATGGGCCATGGTGGTCCGCGCCGTCCCGTGCCTCATCTACTACGGCATCCAGACGAGCCTGGCGGGCCAGGCGGTCCAGGCGTGCGTGACCGCGATATGGCCATCGTTTCGACACTGGCAGGTCGGCGCGTTCCCGGCCTCTGCCAACATCACGGCCCAGCAACTCCTCTGCTTCGTCATCTTCTGGCTCTTGTCCCTGCCGTTTCTCTACCTCTCGATCAAGACGCTGCGGTTCCTGTTCGTCGCCAAGAGCATCATGGTTCCGTTGTACTGGACGGCCTTGTTCACGTGGTCCATCACGGCGGCAGGAGGGTGGCCCGCGCGCATCTGGAAGAAACCCAGTGTCCCGACGGACGGCATGTCCGTGGGCTATCTGTTCGGAATCTGCGTCAACGCTGCCATCTCCGGCAACGCCACCTTCGCGGTCAACATTATGGATATCTCACGCCACTCCAAGAACGACCGGGCCGCGTGGGTGACCCAGCTCGTCGCCTTACCTGTCTTTGTCACCCTCACGGAACTTTTGGGGTGTACCATGGCGGTCGCCAGTTCGGTTCTCTACGGTGAAATCCAATGGAACCCTTTGGTGACGATCAACAATTTCGATGCGCGCGGCGCCAAGTTCTTCGCCGGCCTGATGTTTGTCTTCTTCAACATCATGACCAACGTCACCGGTAACTCGATCCCGTTTGCGAATGATCTGACGGGACTCTTTCCAAGGTACATCAACATCCGCCGAGGCCAGTTTGTGTGCGCCGTCATCGGCTTCGCCATCTGTCCGTGGGAGATCGAGGCCAAAGCAACCACGTTCCTGGCCTTCTTGGGAGCGTACACCCTGTTCCTCGGCGCGACCACGGGAGTCATCATGACCGATTACTTCTGGGTGAGGCGCGGGTATGGGATCAACATCTCGCATCTGTTCAAGCCACGCGTTGGGATATACTGGTACGATTACGGATTCAACTGGCGTGCGTTTGTCGCTTGGTTTGTGGCATTGGCGCCCTTGTTTCCTGGTATGCTTCAGGCCATGGGTGTGAGGGTCACGAACAAGGGGATTTTGAACTTGTATTCGTGGAATTACGTTCTCGTCGTGGTCTTCTCGGGCTTGATTTACCTTGTTTTGACAACCGTGTCGCCGGTACCTGTGAGGACGGAGGATGAGGATCTGGGAAAAATGTATCTTGTTGATGGGCTCCGTGGGGAAAGGGTACCTGGGGAAGAAGGAAGACACGAGCAGCCTGGACACAATTATGGAAGTGAGAAACAGAATGGCAGTGAGAGTGAGAAGGACAAGGGATTTGTATTGAATTCTCAAGTGTGATGAGGTTGAGCCTGTTTGGCAGTAGTAGATGGGCGGACCGACGTGCGGTGAAAACCAGACGAAACTATGATATGCACATAACATCGGCAGTTTCTGCTATGGGATGATGCTCTGTACATAGCGATGCAATATCTTCATAGCAATGATCGAAAGACAAAAGTCCCAAGTTGTCTGAACTGTTCATCTGGGCTCCGTAATCCGTAAAGCAGCGCGATATATTTGCTGCAACAGGCCTTCTCTCGTCTTGGCCAATTAGAGACGTCCATGAACATAACGAGTATTGGCTGCGCCTGAAGAACAACGATCATATCAATCCAGACTATGACAAATGGCCGGTGTGCCGCAAAAGACTCTGAGCTGGCTCTATGATGTCTTGAAACGTGTAAGAAGCCTCCCCCTGAGATTGTCTCTGTGTGTGTATTGTGTATGTACTTAAGTTCGCGCCAGGAATACCGAGACCCAAATCGAACCTACTCCGACCTCGCCTATGTGCTGTCCCGCAACCATGGGTTCGCACCTCGAACCGATGTCTACAGTGAGTCAGAGATGATAAAGAAAGAGTAGGACAGCCGTTTGACAAGAATATTTAGCGTTTGAAAACGGAGTATCGGCGCTCCTAGTACATTTCAAAGGGACGATACCCGTCAACTTTCGAGGAAATGTCTACCGGTTTCCCATCTCGTTATGGGTTCCTCATACATATCCACACGAGCCACCCATGTGTTATGTGACGCCGACGGATGATATGGTCATACGGCCCGGGCAATATGTCGGTGGAGATGGGAAGGTGTATCATCCATACCTGGCACATTGGAGAGAGGCCTGGGAAGTAAGTCAGACCCGTAGCACAACCACCACCGAGAGAGAGAAATCGAGTGGTCATTAACAAAAACCTCACATTAGAGATCTAACCTTGTCGACTTCCTTTCCATACTGGCTGATGTTTTTGCGAAAGAGCCGCCTGTTGTCGCCAAGGGTCAGCTACAACAACAACGACCAGCTCAGCCTACGCCACCTCCTGTGCCACCTCTTCCAAGGGAGCTCGCACAGCATCCGTCAACCGTGTCCGTGTCGAGTCCACCACCACCGGCACAACAACAACACCAGGGCGGACCTCCGCCGCCGCCGCCAAAACCAGTCACTCACCCCGGATCACCATCACCATCAGGAGGCCCTGGTCAACGACTAAGCCGATATGATGCGCTCCCACCACTACCTCCGCACCAACAGAAGCCCCCTGGCCAAAGACCTCAGTATCCCTATGGGAATGGTGACATGCCTAGATCTCCGACTAGTACGAACTATATGCCTCAGAGAACTAGTAGTCTTAGACAATCGATACTTCCACAGCAACAGCAGCAGCAGCAGTCTCAGTACAGACCTCAGCCTCCCAGACCCGCGGAAGGCCAGGAATACGCTCAACAGCAGGGGCCAATGGGTCCCTACCCAGGACAGCCCTACGACCCCCGATCTCAGCCAAACCAACATTTCCCACAACAAGACCACAGTCAATACCCTGGCGGCCAGCAATATCCTCCAGGACAGGGAGGACCACCGCCACGGCAGCCACAACCTCACCCTCAATACCAGGTTCAACCTCACCTGCCACACCATCATCAACAACAACCACTACAACCACAACCGCCTCCCTCACACCCGAAACCCGCACCTCCTCCTGACCTTCTCGACTCTCCCTTTGAAATCTCCCTCCCTTCGGCCACAAATACTGCATCTCATCACCCCGATTCCTCCATCCCGGCCCCTCCTATTCCCGTCAATCCGGAGAAGGAAGCCCTCTTGACCCACCTCTCCCACACGCTCACTCAATCCCTGCACTCTCAAATCACCCAGTCCACGAGCGCGCTGCCGGCGTTGCAATCCCAAAACGCGGCGCTCCAATCGACCTTGTCGGCACTATCCGCGGAGCTCAACAACCTCCAGACCTTGCACTCGACCTTGTCGTCTAATTTATCGTTGCTGTCCACGTCGCTGTCAAAATCCGACGGAGTCATCTCTTCGGCCCGTCAGCGCGCGAGCCAGAACGACATCCCCGCCGTCGACGACATGTTGGTCCCTCCGACCGTCGTGGCCCGCCAGTTGTACGACGCCGCGTGCGAGGAGAGGGGCATCGAGGACGCGATTTTGGCTTTGCAGGAGGGCTTCGTCCGGGGTCGAGTGGGGCCGGACGTCTGGTCACGAAAGACGAGGGAACTCGCGAGAGAAGGCTTCAGGAGGAGGTGGATGGAGAGGAAGGTCGCGAGGGGCATGGGTTTGGACCTGAGTCATTACGGGTCGTCTTGAGAGAACTAGCCTTGCTCTTGCCTTTCTTGCTCCCGTACATCGTCTGGCTTGCGGGTTCATTGGAGGGTAACCTCGGGATGGAACCACGGCGGCGGCGGCGGCGGCGGTGGTGGTATATTCCGATGGTACTAGGTAGCCTCTAACTGGTATTTGAATCCAAGGTACTTACCAGGTCAACTTACTTCATGCTGGATACGATACAACACAACAAGTCACATCAACCATCAATCTCCAGCTACCGTGTTCAGTGTCATGTTCAATTTTCATTTGTGAAGTTTTTGTTGTTTTTGTTGTTTTTGTATTTTTGTATTCTCGTATTTCTTATACTTTTTCTACCTTTTTTTGGTCTCACTTGGACTTTTTTGACATGTAACACAAACTCATGGTAATCGATCGTATGGACGAGAGACTGTTTTTGGTGTGCAAATATTCGCAGAGCCAGTGGCGCGCAACACATGCCTTGATCAATCAAATCAATCAATCCGATCCTTATACGCTCTTTCCCGATCCATTCAATATAACCAAGTATACGCACACGCTCGTCTCGTCTCGTCTCGTTCCCATTCGCTCTTGATGACTGTAAAGGGAAAAGTAAAAGAAAAAAACCCAACGAAATACCAGCAAAAAAAAGAAAATCACCAATTCTTCCTGAACTTTGACGGTCCGACCGTCAGCTCCCAGTCTCTGGACATATCCTGTCGTCGTCGTCCCTTCATGTCCAAGATAGGTAGGTACCGTATGTCCTTCATACATTGTACTCTTCTTCACAGCGCAGTCGAGTGTCGAATCGAGTCCAGCATATCGATGTCAATATCGACACCGGTTGTGTGATCACCCATGTCGCGTTGGTAATCTTCATGTTTCATTCCACAATGAATGGTCATTCTTCTCTCTTCTCATATTTGTGTTTAAGAGGACGTCGATACAACTCTTTTGCTCACTCTCACTCTCGCTCATACCCGACCACATAGACGAAGACTGAGAACGGAGTACGTCTTGGTCGTCATGCAAGTTGATTCGAGTCAAAGTCGGGCACCAGCAGTCTAAAAGCCCCGGTCACCAGAGTTGAAAGGCTGGGACTCGTTGAACATGTCAAAGTCAAATTCGAAGCCTGGCAATCCTTCGCTCGGCAAGCCCAAGTCCGTATTGTCGACTGAGGTACCCGAAGATGATCCGTCGACGCCATTGATAACATGTGGCGGAGTCGAGTCATTGTTGTTGGCTGTAATTGCAGGTGCGGAAGCCTCATTCTCGACAACTGCAGGTGTCAACACAGCAGGGTGAGGAGTATGAGCGAAATTGGAAAGATCAACTCCGAGAGCAAGGAGTGTAGCTTCAGTCTCCGAGCTGGGATTGGCATTTAGAGGCGGGGTCAGGTCGAGCTCCGGGATGGCATGAACGTTTGTGTTTGTGTTTGCGACCTCGGGTGGATCGAGGTTGGAGATCATGAGATCTGCTGAAGTGACGGTAGGTGCTGGGCCAGCGGGAGTAGTGGTCATGTTCCAGTCCAAAAAATCCATTGGAGTATTGCCCGTGGAGTATCGTTCCGTACCGGATGCTGGAGCAGACGGTTCGACCTCGTTCTTTTGAGGAGTCACGACATCAGGAACTTGAATGCTTGGTGGATTTTCAACAGATTGAACTGGTTTCTCGATCGGGGCGACTGCAGGAGCAGAGACAGTCTTCGTCAAAGCAGGCTGCGGTTGAACTTGAGCGTTGACAACAGCAGTAGAGAGATGAGAGGTCGGTCTCGAGGCAGGAGTACGACGTGGTGCAGGTGTGGGTGTAACATCTCTCATGTTATACTGGCGCGAGGCTGAGAGACCCATACCAGTTCGTGGACTACCTGGAGTGACTGGTGAAGACTGAATTTGAGGAGTCTGCTTTTGATAGTGCATCTGAGGGGCGAATTGAACCTGATGTTGGGTTTGTGGTTGCAGATGTCCTGCTGGTGAGTTCACCGCCTGGTGTTGGAGATGGTCTGCCATGAAGTTTTGACGAACTGGTGTCTGCTGCTGGACGGGATAGTTCAGGCCAACTTGTGTCTGTTGCTGGACATAGCCATTCTGGGGAGCTGGTATTTGGTGTTGAGCAGCATTACGTTGAGTACCATTCGTATGGCGCTTGGTAGATCCGTTCTGTTGAACTTGTGACTGCTTGCGGACGGGAGTGCTCTTAGAGAAGTGCGATTGATTCTGGATGGGAGTGCTCTGATAGATATGTGACTGATGCTGAACAGGAATGTTCTGATAAACCTTTGTGTTGTTCTGGACGTGAGTGTTCTGATAAGCTTGTGTTTGTTGCTGAGCGGAACGAGAAACAGGGCGAGGAGGTTGGACTTCTGCCGACAGCTGATGGTGTAGCTGAGTACCCATCATAGTCGTCTTTGCCTGCTGCTTTTGTCTGAGCAAGTCCTGAGCTTGTTCAATCGAAGCCAGTATTCCACTGACTCTTGGGACGGGATAATCATAGCCAGTCTGCTGACGAATTTGAGATAACGGTGGTGTAAGGTTGCTCATGCTACTGCCAATCCACTGATTGTTTTTAAAGTTAACAGGGTTGGCAAAGTATGTAGATAGAGTGAAGGGTCCCATGCCAGTGTACAAAGGTTGCTGGTTGGCAGCCACGCGTTGATTTTGCAGTCCAGTAATGCTGTGTCGATTCAAGAAGTCTCCAAAGCCTGCCATGATGCTATCAACTTCCGAGAAAACGACTTCGCCGTGAGGATTATTGAAAGTCAGGTAGCCAGTCTCTTGCCGAGTCTTGTTCGGTCGAACACGTTTTGGTGCAGGCGGGCTCATATCGTTGAAAGAAACATTCGCCATGGTATGATTGCCAGGTCGAGAGGATGGCATGTTCTGCGATGATTTTAGTTGAGGCATGGTTGCATAGCCCTTTACCATCTGTGATGAAGTACGCGTTGGGGTTTTCTTGGGTGAAGGGCGTCGTTGGTGTCGTCTTGAAGTAGGGGGAGAGATGAAAGTATTCGTGTTCGCAACTGGGTGGTTGATTCTTGCTGGCGCAGATGCAGCCCATTGTCCTTGACTAGCGATGGGTTTTCCCTTGGGTGTATTGGCAGTCATAGCAGGCTGATGTCCCTCGGCGCCCCCTGTGTATGTCTGTGCTGCTTCGTTGCTTGCTCTTTCATTCTCAGATGGATCCTCAGTTTGCGAACAGTAGGCTTCCAGCCGAGCGATTCCGTTTGCAATTTCTGGATCTTTGAACGCCAAATCAAAGACATTTGTCGCATATCCCATTGGGCTCGAAATGTTGACACCATCGTCGCTGATTGTGGGAACTGGCTCTGCTGGCTGCGCGGGAGGACATGTGACAGTCTGATTAGTGGTATTGGACATGAGCGCGTCAGTATTGACTTCAGGTTGCTCAGGTTGCTTGGGTTGAAGTGTGTTGTCACTGTCCAAGGGTTTGCTAGGCTCCGCAGGCTGATCATCTTCTTCCGCAACATGAGACTGGAAAAGGGAGGCGAACTTGCTGGGGTCATTAAAGACGTCGAAAGGATCATCTGGAGGAGGGTTGAAGTCTTGCAAGTCAAGATTGGCGTCGCTAGTGGCTTCAGCATCTTGCAGTTCTGTGACATAACGATAGGAGCTCGCATCGAGGTTCAGGTAAGGGTCAATCATGTCTTCAGACGTGGTAGAGGGAGGCTCGATGGTGTTCGAGAAGTGTGTATAAGGTGGTGTCGATAGGGGTGCAGAGGGCAAGTCGGCGTCATCGTCGTTTTCACGGCGACGCTTCTTTCCTGTTGGCATCTCCATCTTCAAAGGTATTGGTGACTTGTCTGTATTGTGGAAAATTGGAAGGATTCAATAAGATGACGTAGAACTTGTTCTCAATTGACACATTACAAGATAGACAGGTCTTCTCGGTGTGGAATGGAGGAAAGAGTATGTGGCTAAGAGTAAGTAGACTGAGTGAGAGTAAGAAGAAGAGCGAGATTATGAATGAGAAATTTGAAGGCGGCGAGAGAGTATTCACTTCAATGGGTGTTGGAAAATCTCTGCCGTTTGAATAGATGAATTTTTTCTGCCGCTGATACTGCCAGACCGTGTCCCAGCCTCTCCTTGTCAATGTAAACGAAGCGAAGGTGAGGGGATGACTGTATGAAAAGATGCGCTGATGGAGAGCATCCTCGACCACAGCACCAGGGATTTTTTGGTGGGAGTATTGAGGTATCTAGGAGCAAGGTTATGGACCTAGAACCACCTGAAACTCGAATTCCCGACCAATACTGCGAGAATGCTGCATGCTGTAGCGAGAGGGCGAGCTCTCACTTGTATATAGAACCTCACTTACGTCTTTTCGAGGGCGGTGAATCGACCCAAAAGTTTTCGCCCGGAGGACCCAGCCCCCACAAGTGAATTCATTCACTTCATACGGGTCTCCAGGAGGAACAGGGTATGTTCCTGAGGAGCATGGCTTTGTCAGCGTGAATATTCACATCCATAGCTTGTGCGGTGCCAATGGGCCACGCGATGTAGGTTGATGTTCTCATGGACAAATCCTGTTGATGCGAACGGTCCGACAACCTCACCTGCTGGGATGGAACATCGCCTTCGATCGAAAGATGTGGACATGTCTTTGGATGGAAGTATTTGACTGTGTTTGAAACACCGTAGTGGTCCAGGGATTTCCAGGCCAGTGGTTGTACTCATGATCTGATCCTGCTGCTCCCGTATGCCGCAGCCTGTCTGCGCGACATTTCCCGGAGCTCGAATTGGGATTCGCATCCATGGCCGGGGGAGTTTCTCACTCACTTCATCTCGGTCTCAGACTCAATGCCAGTTGACGTCAAAGTTTTCTGTGGACCATCATGGCCGGATCCTCCCCATCCCAACTTCTCAAGCCGCACAGCTTCTGGTGGACCGACGACCAATTGTTATCGAAGCCATGATCTCAAAACTCGAACCCTCCGCTTTTCTAGACGATGACTTGGATACTGAATAGACAAGACACCATCAAGGAAAGCAGATGTTACCAAGCCAAGGAAAGAAGGACAGTCAGGGGAGGTGAAAAGTGAGGGAAGGGGCAAGGGACAGGGTTACAAGGGGTCACGTGATGGTTTACATAATCAATACCACCCCGCGAACGAGAGTCAAAGGATCAAAGGATCTCAGGATCTCAGGATCTCAGGATCACCAAAAAGACTCCAGTTCATCGAATCATCGTATGCTATACTTAGACTTCCCCATCAATCTCACAAGAACAAGAAAAAAAAAGCAACGGTGCCACTCATCTGCACGATTGGCTCGAAGTCTTTTTCTCAGGGCGCTAAAATGTGAGTGTTCCAGACCTCATCGTCAACGTCAAGGTGTCAGATTCTCTCCAACATCATTGATCGGAATCGATGAACCTGGAACGTGCACCACTCTCTACACCCGGCAGCAGCCGAGTTTATTGACTCAAAAAAAGTCGTCCTCGTAACCACCACGAGGCGGCAGAGTTTTGACCCTGGCTGTGTGTGGCTGTTGAAAAGAAGAGAAGACTTTCGTACTCCGTGACTCGTACATGTTGTCGCTTTTTCACGATCTTCTCTTCCTCCTCTCCCCACCCTCCCCCGATCTTCCCTTTTCCATCTTCTTCATTCAAACATTGACATCAAAGCTTTTCTGAAGTTTGTTGACATTGACGACTTCTTTAAAATGACATCTCAATGAGTCAAGGTGGAAGTGATAATGATACGACGTCAAGCGACAGCCTGTTAATGGAGAAGTTCGCGCAATCTGGCGGGCAATCTGCCCCAGACTCTGCGTCTCCCCTTACGTGGAGCGACACGATATACTCGACGAGTCCTTCCAAGTCTCAACGAACACTTCCGCGATTAACTACACGCTACAGACAGCCATGGCGACACTCGGTGTCCACGGCCGCCGCCGACGTCCCATCCCAGACCGTTCGCGAGTTCAAGCCCAGTCGCCAGCGGATGCGCCTTTTCATCAAAGCCATTTATCGATGGGCCATCACCGCGATCCTGTGTGGCCTTCTCGCGACCTGCCTGGGAGTGTTTGGCAACCTACTCAAAATGTCGGTCAGCCAGATCAAACTTTTCAACGCGCTCATCGTCCTCTTGTCGCTGTTCCTGGGCAACAACTTGAGCAGCACACTCCGCGAATTCGCACTCATGTTCCGCTGGCGGCTCCTGGCGTCCAAGTATCGCTCGCTCCAAGAATTCGACCTCATCATGTCCTGTGACAGTCTGCGGAAAGTGATTGGCCTTTTCCGCGCGGCGCACACGCCAGGCCGACTTTTTTTCAGGCTCAACCGCACGCAGTGCCTGTGCGCCCTGTGGCTGGGCATCAACATATGCCTACAAGTCCTCGTGGCGCTACTCGGTTTGACATACAGTCTCGGCACCTCGAAGCATCCCGGCGTCAAATTTGGCCATCTGAGTGTCGCCAACTTGACCCAGATCAATGATGTCTGGAGCGCCGACAACCCCGATTTCGCGGCACAGTTGGGTTCCGCCAACAGCTACGGCATCCAAGGGCAAGACTACCTTTTTGTCAACGGACCAGTCCCCGGACAAACCGGCCCCTGGGTATTTGGCAAACCAAGCACACCGACCGTTTACGGCAACGGCGCGAAATGGGATTCGATGACATATGCGTTTCAAGATTCAAACCCGACCAACGTCGACATCACGCTCATCTCCCACCGAACAGTCACGATCGAGGCGCACTGCGCCCCCCTCGAGCTCGTCGACGTGTCCGACCTCGAGGCGAAGAGCCTCGGCGACGACACCGGCACCGAGACCATCCAGTACCGCGACGAGCGCGGCGCCCTGAGATTTCTCGACCTACCACCGGGCGAACCTGGAGCCATGACCTACGTCGGCGTCCTCGGAGCGACGTGCGGGCCACGGTGCACGCAGGTCATGGCACTCCAAAACGCCAGCTCGCCGCACATCCCCAAGGCCTCGTTCTACACGTGCAACAGCACCCTGTACCCCGTGGAGGGGGTGCAGGATTACTTGTTCCCGGGCACGAACCAAACGGAATCCACGTTCCAGATCCACGACGAGCAGGCTCGCATCGTGGCGGGGGCCGTGGGCTGGTCCATCTCGGGCATCCGCTTCACCCAGCAGGGCCACGACGACAACACCACCGGGCTCGCGTACGAGGTCTCCCGCTACACCCTCTCGTCTTACTGGAGCCCCAACAGCGCCTCGTCGGCCTACTGGGTCGAGCAGAGGCTCATGGAGTACGCCATCGAGGCCGTCGCCGCCATGGACTACAACGGGCCCCAGCAGAACGTGACCGGTTGGTACCCGGTGCTGGCCCAGTCGGTGACGGTCGAGTGGGTGTGGGCCGGGGCCATCCTGGCCCTCGTTCCCGTCTTACAGTTGCTCGCCTCGGTCGGCATCATCATATGGTCCAACACGGCCATCATCCGTGACGAGAGCGCCCTCAGCACCGCCCGCCTGCTCCGACCCGTGGTCGAGGGCCTGGGCGGTAAAGGTTGTCTCTTGTCCGGGGAGGAAATCGCCCACATGTTCCCCGGGGTCAAGGTCAAGTACGGCTGGAGGGAACCCGAGGACCTGACCTTTCGAAACGAGATCGACGACACCAGGACTGTCAGGCACGTGGACATCCTCCAGGAACAGGACGGCTACAGCACTCAAGGTCCGATGCCTGCCGGGTTCTACGATGGTGAGCCGTCGGACCGAGAGGACGACGAGGATGACGATGACGATTATGATTACAACGACAACCACATGAAATGCAATTTGTTGAAATGTGAAAAGACTGGGTCACGGTACAGATATGATAGACTTGCGAGAAGAAGACGAGGAGGAAAAAGAAGGATGAGTATATAAAATTACACTCATGGAGCTATTTGGATTAGCTCCTTTAACACATATAGATGAAAAAACAAATGTCAAAAATATTTAATATCAAATAATGACCGTCTTGTTATATTCTGTTTCCTCCTGTATGGCCCTTGCCATATACCATGTATACGTCTACTTCCTAGGTGCTTCCAAGGTAGTCTGTCTAGCTTGGGCAATGACGGGATGATACTCTCCCTCGGCGAACAACAACTCATCGTCCATGTCAATGGTTCGATCAATCTTGAAATACCGAATTTCCCACTCCTCGTCAATCTCGTCCCCGTACGATTCCAATTCCTCCCACAAGTCAGGGTACGCCTGTCTGGCCCACTTCTCGACCTCGTCCTTCCGATATTGCCAAGGGATGGCGTTGTAAAACGTCCCGATGGTGAGAACGTCGGGCGGCTCCCCAATATCCTCCTCCATCTTCTCGATCAGCTCCACGACATTTTCAAACTCGGACTGACCCGCCAAGGCACCGACGTAACAATCGTAAATTTGCTTTGTGATAACCAGATTGAAACTCTGCATCAACGCCATAATGTGTCGGGCCTCATGCGCGCCTTGGGGGATCCACTTCTCGCAGGCCTGCAGGGCGAGCGCGAACGAACTCAAAGTCGGTCCCTCTCGAGACTCCATGATCTTCCAAAAGTGATCGATGATGGCCGAAAAGGGCTGTTGGCACGCCGTGTAAGCCGCCATCATCCCGTTGTGGATGCGCGTGGTCTGTTCGACCAACAAGTCAAGTTTGAGCATGTTGTACACCATCTGAAGGCCGTCAATGTCTTTGCACTTGGCGATGCCTTCGAAACACTTTGCGTAGGCTTCGGGCGTGGGTCGCGCGGACGGTTCCTCTCGTTGTCGCATGTGACCAAACACCAGACACGCCAGATCCGATCGACCACGGTCAAAGAATGACTGCATTAGGGGAATGCGGTCCTCGACTTCTGCCTCCGGGAAAGCATGCCGGAAAAGCTCGTATGCGTTGAACGCTCGTTGATCTTTGATCGTCGGGTCCACGATGAATTGACGAAACACGGCCGCAATACGTGCTCGATCGTCCATCGGATACGAGTCGATCCGGTGACGTAGAATTCCCGTCGCCTCCTCAAGCTCATCTTTCAACAAAAATACATGACAGAGGCCGGCTATGGCCTCGGGTTCCAGCTCCGCATCGGTGTCAAGAATATGATCCACAATTTGAATGAGATGGGTGTACTCTGGGTTGGCAGAGAATGCCAACGAGGTAATGTACTCGTTGAGGACATGAGTGTCGCATCGGTCCGCAGGGATATCGTCCCTCAAAAGTAGCTCGTACGTCGAATAGGCAGCGGTGCGGTCTCCCTGGTGAAGATGATAATGCAACTGAACAGCGTGTGTTTTGGCGTCGGGTCTCAATCCGAATTCTTCAGCCAACTGGACGTATCGCTCAGCATTTTCCGCTTGATGTTGCAGGTAGGCATGTTCGATCAATCTGTTGAGCGTCTTCATCGTGATTGCATCTGTCACTCCATATTTTGCCATCTGCTCGAGCTTCTGTCGGATGTTGGTTGGATCTTGGTCGTGTAGAGCATACCAGAGAAGTAAAGTTCCGGCCATATCGCCTGAATCCGTCCGCTCTTCAAGTTCCTCGACAAAACGAGATGCCCACTTCAACTCTCCGCTCTTCATAGCACAGTCCACCGCCTTGACCAAGCTCTCGGTGGTAGGCACTTGACCATCTTCCAGGGGTAGTTCGAAAACTTTCTGAAGAGTATGAAACTCATCACGTTGGACCAGGTAGCTCACCAGCGATTGCTGGGAGACCGCGTCGAACGGACCGACTGTGTCTTGCATCTCCCGAATGACTTTCCAGAATTCCTGTGTTCGGCCCTCATTCGCCAGACCAGTGAGAACAGCGGTCCACATGGGCAGACTTGCTCTCTCTGTGCTCTGCGCAGATCGTCGCAAGAGCTCCAAGGCATCTTGAGCCGAGCCAGTTTTGGCGAGGACAGTGATGTACGTCACCAATAAAGTAGGCTTGACGGCTTGATGCCCAGCCTCTGGGGGCAGCTCTACATCATCAACAGCGCCGGATCGTGTCTGCAGGGCCTCGAAGACGACAGTCGCCAGGATGCGGGCATCACTTCGGTACCTATCACGGCCCGTAGACGACGCCAATACCAGCAAGACATTCTCCAAATCTTCTTCTGACAGTCCTGATTTTTCCTCCCCAGACAAGATATGCCCTCGCTCTTGTAGATGCTTGAATGCTTCCGTGACCAAAAAGATTTCGTTCCTCGTTAGCCGCCCTGGTGTGGCGACTCTGGAGGCAAAGAAAAACTTGAAAGCATCTGCGACCTCCTCATCGGATGGAAGTCGAGAATGTGACCTCCTCGCCTTGACAAGATCGATCAGGCGGAGCAAGGCAGCTTCGATGTTGGCATTGGTATTTTTTGCACCGACCAGGGTCTTCTGCCCGCCAGCAAAAGTCAAACCGAAGAAGTCACGTTTCTGAGACAGGCAGAAGGTAGTCGGGAGGATGTGAGGTCTCGAGTTTGATCCAATACGTCGCTGGCAATCTCGAACGATATAAGGTCGGTTGGCAAGGATTGCCCGAAAGACGCTCCGGGTTAGGTTGGAGGATTTCATCCTTGTAGGTGAGGCACAAGAAACTTCCAGACCTCGCCAATGGAGAGAAGATGAGGACCGATTATATATGTCCTGGTTAGATTACTTGTAAACCAGCAGACAACTGCAGGAGGAACTGGTGGCGTGATGATTTTATTTCAAGCAACTTGGAGATGTTCAGTTACCACAAGCCATCAAATGCGGAGCTGGCTTGACAGTCCCCCGGAGAAGATATTATCCAGTTCCGTCGAGCACCCACGTGTGTTCAGCCTCGCAGCCTCGTCGTCTTCTCTATTTCACGAGTACTTTCCTACTCGATGTTCACCAACTTCACCACCTTCACAACAAAAATATTCTGCAGAAAGGAAAAAAAAAGTAAAAAATCAAAAAGTTATTTGGAGATTCGAAGCCCCGACCGTCTTGCCAACGGTCGGCGCTTCTAATACTTATCCCGACTATGACCATTCACAAATCTCAACTCCCTAAAGGAACGTATTACTCCGTAATACTTGTAGAGATTGCTACAGTAGTCATGGAAACCTGCCGAAGACTCCCAGTTTAATCCACTAAGCAGCTGGTTTCCAAGGATAAGCCCACCTCCAAACCACTTGAGCCAAAGGTGCGTTGCGACGCGGTGAGTCTTATTAGTGGCCATCAAGGCGATTCCTTTGTTGGAGGAAATTTCACTGGAATAAACATATATACCTGTAATTAATAAATTGTGGAGCACTAAGGATGTTCAGTGAATAGGAGGCTTGCGTATGCGTGGACAGAAGGATAGGAATATCAGTGAATACCTGCTTAGGGGTCAAGCTTGGTAGAAGAACGCCCATAAATCCAGCATAAACCATCTCCGAGACGAGGACGTCTATTGTTGTAGACGTTACATGTCACCACACATAGGTACATACGCAGTACCAACCAAGACATACATGTGTAGGTAGGTAGTCTCAGCTCTCACCACTAACATCTCTTCAAAGCTGTCCCCAGACATTCGCCTTCATCCGAATTGGCTCAGTCAACAAGCCAGTGTCAATGTTGGGAAGGTCGAGCTTGAAACCACTCTCCCCATCACTCTTGTCGGCCACCTTTTCGCACAGATATGCAACGGCCAGAGGTGTCCCAATAGCCTGAATCGTCCATCGGTATACGAAACGATGAGTGTGGTGAGGACTGTTCTGAAAAGATCGGGGTTCGGGGTGGAATGACCGCCGTTTCGCTGCTTGAAGCAGCTTCAAGCCTTGCCTTGAATTCCGCGCCGAAGCTCGAGTGAGGATGAGACCAGACATAGCGCACGGAGAGTCTTTTTCGAACTGCGGTTTGCAGAAATCCGGGGTTCCACGAAAGGGATCGTCTGATGGAGCGACCGATCCTTTTAGTGCTAATCGTCTTCCTTCATCGGCGAGGAAGAATAGACTGTACGAGTACGACTTGTGTGTACGGTGGTCAATCCCTCTAATTTGCAAGTCATTGTTTGAGAGGCGCATCAACCCCTCATTGCGCGCACATCTTCCTGCAGCTAAAACGCCAAAAATGTTGGAGATCAACGCAACAACAAGGGTCTAGGCCCGATTGAAGTTCCGCAAGCGCCAGAGAGACACACCATCGACACCGGTAGATCCCAGAATGAGTCCACAGGGGGTCCAATTGGAACTAGGCGGAAAAGACGGATGACGGCTTTTCCCAAGAATGAGTCCACTGTTCTCACCTCTCCTCTCATATTGAAAATCCTCTTACCAATTGAAAGATCATGACATCCGGGTCTGCGTCTTGGGCGAGACAGCCGGTCGCTTCGTTCGTCAAGCAGAACCAACAGGCCCCTTCGCTAGGAATCTGTAAGAAGTTTCGACGCCACTCAACTCGCCAAAGTCTCTTTCTGACCGATCTTGCTGCACCCGGGGAGTCGAGGTAGGTCAAGAGAGGGATGTGCCATGCAAACCCCGCAACAAAGGCTCAAATGAGATTATCACGCATATTGCAAGCCCAGCCCAGAGGTGTCACAAGGACATCCTCTTCTTACGCAATGAATTGTCCAAGGCGTTCGTCACGAGAGAATTACCAAGCCTGATCACCTCGATCGTAGATGGCTGAGCCCCCTCTGTTCTCGTATTACACTGCAAATGCCTCATCACATGATCACCACGAACATTCCCCCCTGGCAGAAGCAGACCATTCTCACTCGTTCTCGAAGGGGGACGTGCTCGTAGATAAAGGACCATGGCCTAGAAGGTAGGTTTTAAGTCTTGGGTCTTTTTTTTCCAAGTATCAAAGACAAAATCAAATATCCAAAAATCAATCAAAAAGTGTTAATCAACACATACATATCAAACTTGATACATGATGCCTGTTCTCGACAAACTCGACAAACTGATCCACCCGAAGAAGGTAGGTTGTCATAACAAGTGACAGGCCTCTATCATTGAAGCATTGACTTACACACGAGAAACCCCAGGCACCTACTACGGAGGCACCTCCAGCTGAGGAGGACCAAGCTCCACAACCCACGGCGACTGAAGTCCCGGCTGCAGCACCACCGGCGGTGGAAGCCACCCCTGAGACCACGCCGGAAACACCCAAGCGCAGACAGTCCATCGTCGACAAGATAGAGGACAAGGTCGACAAGATCCTACACCACAGGCGCTCGAGCAGTGCTGAAAGGAAGACCGAGACCCCGGAAGAAGGTGCTGCTGCTGCCGCCGGCAAAAAGGAAAGGTTTCATTGGCCTCACTTGGGGGGAAAAGGCCAAGCGAAAGAAGAGAAGAAGCCTGAGCAACCTGAAGAGCCGGCTGCTGAAGGTGTGGTCCCACCTACACAGTAGGTTACTCGTTGAAGAGTTATTGGGCCAGAGTTGGCCATGGATGGGTAGTACCGACACGGGAGATGAGAGACAAAGGAACAGAAGACGTGGATCATGATGATGACGATGATGACTGAGAGAGCATGGATAGTCGTTTTGAAGCGTTGGACGGATGATACCCCCAGCGAAGAAGGACCGATGATTCGGCTTCCTTCTCGCTTTGTGCGCACTTTTTCTGTCTTTCTTTTGCTCGCGATGATACCCCCTATTTGCTATTCTCGAGAGATACCCCAAGACTTTTGTGATGGGCAAGGATGAAAGGAGAGAAGTGATGGAAACACGTCTCATTAATTATTGTTTTAATTGGACTTTATCAATTCTGATCTCACTCGACTACTCTAGTTTTATTTTTCTTAAACACGGTTCAAATAGTGCAATCACTGATGCAGGTAATAATGATAACAATTGATCAAGGATTAGAATTAAGAACATCTGTAGTATATCGGTCTAATAGCGAGTGGGTATCTCAAATCATGTTGAGTCAAAGAAAACTTCCACCACCTTTCCATTATTTTCGTCATAGTTGGCGGCGCAGAATCATCAGACAGCACAAACTCTTTTTTCGGGCATTGCTTTCGACTTCCATTACTTTGCGCATTACTTCTCTCATTACTTCCATCAACATTCAAATTAATCGAGAAGGGGGGGTGGGGTATCATATCTGGTCCGATGTGGTTGTGGTTGTTGTTGTCGTGCTGTGCCGGTAGGTGTGTAAGGATCCGAAGCGCATCCTCCGTCTTATTGGCCACCAGAAGTTAGCTAGGTGCCACATGTCTACACAGCAGCAGCTGGGGTGGGCTCGGCTGGAGCAGAGCCATTGGTAACGCCCTCAGAAGGAGCAGGGACAGGCTGCTTCTCGTGGTGGGGCAAAGTGCCCGGGAGAGGGTCCTCGTAGGATCTCATGGCGAGACCCAGACGAGCAGGGTCGATGTTCCAGTGAGCCCACAGGAAGTAGCTGAAGAGGACGGGGAGAAGGAGACAGTCGAGGATGCCGTAGTAGATGAGCTCGGAGTCGGGAGGGATGACGTTGCCTCCCTCAGACACACCCCAACAGATGGGGTACAAGCCCCAGACACCCCAGATGAATCCGGAGGAGACGTTGTGGATACGGGCGACGTCCAAGCCAAGGCTGCTGGCGTACTTGCGTGGGAGCCAGATCAAGTTGTAGCCGACCAAGAGCCAGGCGAAGAGCCAGAACGTATAAAAGGCCCACTTGTAGTCGGTCTTCACAAGCGCGGCGACAGTGGCGAGAATGGCCATGGAGCCGGTAAGGAAGACTGTCCACAGGATGTAAAGAGTCGGGACCATCGATGTGAGCAGGATGGCAACGCTGATGATCGGCCAGACCAAGAACCTTGGGGAACAATGTTAGGCTGTGTGTCCAGAAAGAGAGTGGGAATGAGGATACTCATTACTTACCATCCAATGTAGCGGACATACCAAATTTGGCGGTTGTTGCCAGCAACATCACCGTTGGAGCGGTGCCATTCGACGTCAATGGGAGTCCAACCGAGGTTCGAAGCGATGGAGAAGTTGACAACGAAGGCAACGAATGCGGGCGCAGCAAGGGTGTAGAAGAAGAACCGGTTCTTCACTGACTTCAAAAAGCTGGCGCCGAGAATGCAGAGGAAGAGAAGACCCATGATGGAGGTAACAGTGAAGATCCAGTCAGATCCTCGAGTGGTGATGTGGATGTCAACAGACTTGCCATTCACGACGAAGCCGTTGATATCGAGTGCGTGGTTACCCATTGTGTCTATTTGTGACGAGGTTGGAGGCAAAAGAAGGTTGTTGAAAGGGTTAGATTCTGTCTAGCTTGGACAGGAGGTTACTGGAAAAGTGAATTCGGAGCTGTTTGCTTGATGAGTTCCTGACGCTCAGATGGAGGAGGGGGAAAACTTGACGTCCTTTATAGGACTACTCGCTTCTCCTCTCGTATATGCCAACGGAGGAAGTGAACGGACCTGTCGGATACGAAGCGGTAAACCATCACTGCGTCACAAGACAATTTTTTTTACCCAGCATGCAGATGAAGCTCTGATCCTTGCAGGAGCAACAAGCATTGGATCATCAGAAAGAAAATGACTAATCTCACCTTGGTAAACTCACCAGAGCAAGTATCATGATCATCTCCTCAATCCGAAGCCGTCTCTGTGTTGGTGCATACGGATAGAAAAGCCAGGTGGAGCCCTCTGACTTGATGGAAGCCCACCGGCATATCCGGAGGTACGAGAGGGAGTCGTCTGGTGTAATGGTGGTCAACAATCCGGTGCGAGGTCGGAAAGTACCATGTCGTTCTCACAAGTTAGCGACCAGTCACGCTCATTCCGCTGCTGAGCACAGGGAGCCTAACCCAGCGTGGCAGGCTCGACTTCCTGTTTCGCAAGGTCCTGGGCCAGCGTTCATGCGTTGGTCTTCGCAAAGACCTGCACGAGGTATTGGTGGATGAAAACATTGGGCAAATCGATGATGCGCAAGGCTAGCAAGCGAGGCTCTGACGGGCCTCATAGGGCGTCAACAGCTTCCGGAGGATGTCGTGACTAGCATGCTAGCTTGCATATGAAGTGTTTGATGTGTCAGGTGAGACGAATGCTTGAATGTCGATGGTTGCCATATTAGTGATTCCGAGGAAGCCGGTGAATCAGAATCGAGGTGCTAATGTAGTGTGTTGACAATGGACTGAGGTTGAGAGAAGAGGACAGTAAGTGGTAGACTGCTGACCAGAGATAGGAATTCTCTGCGTAGTCCAAGCACAATGATATCACAACAGGTGTTTTCTCGGCCAGTCAGAGAGAATGACAGACATCAGACCATTTTCACGAGCAGAGTAGAGAAAGTTGGTGGGACCGGATAATGGTTTGAAGGAAGAGAGAAGCTACCGCTGCTATCGTCCTGTTGAGTCAGCAATACGGAGTGAAAAGTCTTCTTTTTTCTTCCGCTTATTAGACAGATAACATTATTGTCATCCCTTTGCCGCCGTCTGGTGAGCCTTGTCGGTTGTCCACCGTTAGCGCTGATGAGGTGTGTGATCATCACGTTGATCGACCTCTCGCCGAAGCTGCTCCATTCCGGCCTTTTCCCGACTAATCCGTACAGGGTAGTTTCTTAGACGGTTCTTGTAACTTGTTACTCATAGTTAAGTCATTGCTTTACGGAGTACGTCGTCGTTGCTGTTCATCATTGAGACTACAGAAACAACACTCCGTCCTAGGGGCCAGCAGCTTTGGATACACATCCACAGCATACAATAAAACAGATGAGGGTGATGTACTGATCGCCTGCCTCAGTAGGCCTTCACACGGCTGTTGTTCCTCCGAAGCAGACGGGATGCTAGATACTGAATACAGCAGTCGCCATGCCATGGCTTTATTCTCGGAGTATTAGGAGTCATTAAGGTCTTATGGAATGTTCAGGCCAGTGGGAAATACTGTACGCGGTGAAAGTAGAAGCTCAAGGCTGCGTTCGAATACTTACGCTAGTCTGTTTTCGGCGATTGACGAGGCTGCGGCGTTGAAACACCAAAACAGCACCACGTCTGCGAACAGCATATCTGAGAACCATGGTAGAGATCCAGGTCTGAGAAACAGAATATTTGCCTTCGCCTTACAGATAGTTTTAGAGTCAATAGAATGCACAAACTGTTCATGTTCCCGATGTAAAGGTATTCGCAGACTCACAATAGTATTACGGTGGAGCGATGGAGCCTCTCAGCGCAACTCCGCCTCCGCAGTCTCCAGAGCGATTGGTTTCAACACCCAACGCCGCAGATACGCTCACGGTAATCACTGGTCTCTACGCCAAAGACCCCCCATTGTTATCCCCTCGGAAGAGAGTCGCAGCAGTCGTACGTAGAGATATCGACGGCACTGCATTGCCGGCCTCCGAACGTCCATCAATATGCTCCGATAGCGACAGCGTCCATCATTCCAGGTCCACATCTCTTGCATCCAATCTAGGACCTTGGCAAATATCGACTACAATGACGAGGAGTGCAAGGGCCTCGCAGGAAGAGAGGGAGACACTGATCAAGGAAGAAGGCGACTGGGAAGGCACATCCACAAGGGAAGATGGTGATCGGTCGAGGTCATCTGAAGAAAGCGTCACCACCGTGTCGACTACATCCCTAGTCCTCGAGAATCTGAATTCGGTTTACGCGACAAAGGAGGCTGAGGAGCCTGTACAATACCGCGACAATGACAGTGATCCTGAGCTGCCCAGATTTGTGGATAAGAACTACACGGATGGGAGCCGGATGTCGAAGGGTTTGCGGAGAGCGTTATGGCTGGTGTCTATTATTGCCATTGTTGGTTGGGCATTTGCTTTATTCGTATTTGTGTCAACAGCCAGATACAAGCATGCTTCAACCCTGGCCTACGACCACGAAAAACCTACCAAGAGCTCGGGAAAGAAAGTGTCACTTGATGAGGTTCTGTCCGGGAAGTGGCAACCAAAATATGCTAATATAGAATGGACCGCAGGCCCTGATGGTGAGGATGGTTTGTTGCTCGAAACAAACCAGCCAGACAAAGCTTTTGCCGTTGTGGAGGATATCAGAAGCCGAACTTCTGCATCTGCCAACGCTACAAAAGACAAAGTCTTGATCAAAAGTGGCTGGTTCAACGTCAATGGCCAGCAATTGTGGACGGACAACTTCTGGGTGAGCCCTGATTACAAGCATGTTCTCCTCATGTCGAAGCGAGAGAAGGTCTATCGACATTCGTTCTTGGGAATCTATTTCATTCTCGATGTCGAAACGCAGGCCGTCCAACCATTAGATCCGGCATATCCGGACACGAAGACCCAACTCGCTCAGTGGTCTCCCAACAGTGATTCAATTGTGTTTACAAGGAACAACAACCTCTACCTGAGATCCTTGTCCTCGGCAAAAGTCACACAAATCACAGACGACGGAGGCCCCGAATACTTCTACGGTATCCCAGATTGGGCCTACGAGGAAGAAGTCTTTGGTACCAATACGGCGACATGGTGGGCGCGTGACGGTCAGTATGTCGCATTCTTGCGCACAAACGAGACCATGGTCCCGGAGTATCCTGTCCAGTACTTTTTGTCGAGGCCCAGTGGGAAGAAGCCAATCGAAGGACTTGAGAACTATCCTGAAGTCAAAGAGATTAAATACCCCAAAGCCGGCGCACCAAATCCGGTGGTGGATATGCTTTTCTACGACATTGCACAACAAGAAGTTTTTACTATTGACATAGAAGGAGGCTTTCCTGAAGACGACCGAATTATATTCAACATCGTTTGGGCTGATAGCGGAAAGGCATTGGTATCGGAGTCTAACCGTGTTAGCGACCGCGTCAGGGTTGTGTTGGTGGACGTCACTACTAGGACAGGCCAAACAGTCAGGACTGTCGATGTCAAAGACGTTGACGGAGGTTGGATTGAACCTACTCAGTCCACCAAGTACGTCCCGGCTGATTTAGCAAGCGGGCGACCCGAAGATGGCTACGTCGACATTGTCATCTCTGACGATAGCACTCACCTTGCCTTCTTTACACCTCTGAACAGCTCGATCCCCACCATGCTCACCAAAGGTCACTGGGAAGTCGACGGTGGACCTGCGGCAGTCGACCTCAAGAACAATCTGGTATATTTTGTCGCCGCCAAAGAAGCGCCCACGCAGCGACATGTATATAGCGTCAAGCTCGACGGGACAGACATGAAACCTCTCGTCCCATCGGAAGAAGCCGCCTACTGGACAAGTTCGTTCTCTTCAGGCGCAGGCTACGTCCTGCTAACCTACCAGGGACCTAGCATCCCCTATCAGAAGGTCATTTCGACACCTGCAAACACGGAGAAGATCAACCAGAAGCTCGAAGACAACAAGGCTCTCGCCCAAATGGCTTCGGCTCACGAACTCCCCCATCAGATTTTCCAAAATGTCACCATCGAAGGGCAAACGCTACAACTTGTGGAGCGCCGTCCTCCACACTTTGACCCCAACAAGAAATACCCGGTTCTTTTCTACCTCTACGGCGGTCCCGGATCTCAAATGGTCAATCGCCGATTCCACGTGGACTTTCAGTCGTACGTCGCCAGTTCGCTGGGGTATATCGTGGTGACGCTCGACGGGCGCGGGACAGGCTTCATCGGCCGCAAGGCCCGGACCATCGTCCGCGACGAGCTGGGCAAGTACGAAGCGCACGACCAGATCGCGGCGGCCAAGATGTGGGCTGCCAAGGACTATGTCGACGCCTCCCGCATGGCCATCTGGGGCTGGTCGTACGGCGGCTTCATGACGCTCAAGGTCCTCGAGACCGACGCCGGCGAGACGTTCAAGTACGGCATGTCGGTGGCCCCGGTCACGGATTGGCGCTTCTACGACAGCATCTACACGGAAAGGTACATGCGCATGCCACAGGACAACCCGTCGGGTTACGATCGGACCGCCATCAGCAACGTCACGGCCATCGGTCAGAACGTCAGATTTCTGATCATGCACGGCGTCGCCGACGACAATGTGCACATGCAAAACACGCTGACGCTACTGGACAAGTTTGACCTCGCCGGGATAGAAAACTATGATGTTCACTTTTTCCCCGACAGCGATCATGGTATTTTCTTTCACAACGCCAATCACGTCGTGTATGAAAAGTTGAGTAAATGGTTGATTAGCGCTTTCAACGGTCTTTGGTACAAGACCGATGATCCGAAACCCATGACTGAGGAGAGGGTAGATAAGAGAGACGAGGAGACGAGTCACGGGTCGAGAGTCTAGCTAGATCATGTAAGAAAATGTAACAATGTACAGAGTCATCCAATGGTGATATGCTTTGATATGCTTCGAGATGGTGTCAGTTCTTCCGACGTGGTATAGTAGAAGATAAATCTCATTCATCATTCTCTTTTCTTCATTCAATCATTTAGACAGAAACAAAAACAAACATAAACACATCTCTCATGAGGGGGTTACTGTCTATGAGAGACGCTCAAAACCATGGCGATTGTCTCTTTTCTTCTTTCCCATCATCCAATCCATCATGACTTTTTTTTTGGTCGTGAGTTTTTTTTTTCTATTTTTTTCACCGCCTTTTTTTCCCCTTTCTCCTTCCTCTTCTTCACCTTTGTAATCTTTCTTTTCTTCATGCTTTTTTCTCTTTCAAATCAAAGGCATGGCCCAACTCTCCAAGATCCAATACATGACACCACCAAACATGATGGCATACCAACCTACCCATATTCTTCCTTTTCCTCCCGTCAAGGGAGATGAAAATTTTTGATCTTGCCTCGATCTTCTCGTGGTCGTCGTTGATGTCCCTTCCCCTGCCCCCGTCTCTACCTCTGGGTTTTCCAACCCTAGACTCGCCTTTGCCATACGGCAACACCTTGCCCTCGTCCTGTTTGTCAGGTCATCCCTGACTTGTCGTAACCCGTACAACGCCACCGCGAGCACGACACTGACACAAACCACCGGTAGAATCAAAAACAACAAGAACCATCTTTCTCGACTTTTTCGGTCATCAAAGTCCCCACGTCGGAAAGCTCGGTCGTAAATGCCAGGTGTGACGATGAGACCCGAACAAGCCAAAAACAACGACAAAGTACATACCAACCACACCTGCGAACGAGCCAAGAAGACGACTCTGTCGGTGTCGCCACAGCCACAAATCTCACACCTCGTACCATCTTCTTGGTAAGTGGTGGTGGCGGTGGTGATGATGGCTGCGGCCGCATCACCCGTAGCTGTAGTACAAAAATAACCGTTACCACTTTCGGCCATTCTTTCGACGTCGGTCATCAATCTTGGTCTTGTTCTCGTTCTTGCTCTTGTTGAGCGTCGTGTTGGTGGTGGTGGTATATCTGTGTTTGTATTCATGTTCGTGGTGTTGGCTCTCGAGTTCCTGTGGTTGTTTCTGCTTATGTTCATGATGTTGGGCTCGGTGTTTCCGTCAACGTTCACATTCACCTTTGAACGACCGCCGGCAGCAGCAGGAACATGAACAGGAACATGAATCGATTCTGGTAGTGGTAGTTGTCCCGGCACCAGTGGTAACGTAGGTATTGTTGTCGCTCTTGCTCTCGCTCTCGCTCTCGATCTCGATACTGACATTGGTGATGGTCTGTTGTCATGACTAGATCCTTGTTGTTCTTCCTCTTCTCCCCTCACATCGTTGTTTCTGTCCTCCTCGTCGGCATCTAAAATTGCTTGAATCCTTTCAAATTGTTCATCAACTTCCCTCAGAGTTCTCGTGATTTCTGACCATTGCCGTTCCGTACTGCCAACTCCACGACCCGACGGACTGTCAGACCGACTTTGTTGTCCACTCGAACTCAAACTCGGACCGGAGGCCGGTGGTGTCTCACATCCGACAACGGTGGAAGTGGTCCAACTTGAACTTCTACCCCTCTTCAAAAGCCAAGGACCAATTCGATCTGGCATGGTTCGAGTATCATCTTCTTCGGGGGCGCCGGCGGTGGCGGCGGTGGCGGCATCATGTTGTTGTTGTTGTGATTGGGCCAATGATGGTGGTGGTGATAGTGGCGATGATGATGATGATGATGATGATGATGATGATGATGTTGCTTGTTGCTCGACATCTTCGACCCGATATGTGGCCTCCCTATAGGTCATCGTCATGGTATTTTCAAGTCGACACACTGAGAAGAATACCAAGTTTCGGACTTGATCGTGGCCAAGAGAAGAACTCGAGCCTTGAACATATAGAATAGAAGAAAGAAGAGAAGGGAAGTAAATCTAGCATGTAGGAGGTGGGCAAGTTGGAAATCAAATATAAATACAACAAATGACCTCAGAAGAGACACAGAAAAGACGCTGACTGTTCAACACGAGATCCTCCACTGAGGACAAAAGTTGAACAATAAAAACCTTTTTCAACAAGGCAGAACCTAGGATCTAGACAAGAATAACAAGAATACCAACACAAACCTCCTGTTTGCTAATGTCTTTCAAGAGACACGGTTCAAAATCAATCAATCACTCCACACACACCATATGGAACTCCAAGGCAAAAACAACAACAAGAGGACAGAGGGCAAGAAGAGATGGCCAGACAAAAAGGAGTCCAACAACGTCCCATGCAAATGCATGCATGCACCTTGTATAACCTTCAATTCTAGGAAAAAGTTTCGACTTGACCTGAGGGACACACAACACACAACATCAACGCGACGAAGACGACGTGACAGCGCGTTGATTTCTCTCTTCCTGTTTCGACCCATTTACAGTGGTGAATGGTCGGAACCGAAACAAAGCCCTTGTACCACATAGATGTGACAGAAGTAAACAACTGACAAACCTCGTTCCCGTGCCGATCCAGTGGCTGCATGGTACTACACTGCACCGAGAGGGTCACAAGACACGCGTCTCAAAGAGAAGGAAAAGATGTGTGCCCTGCCTTGGCCCACCAACGAACCCGAATGTTGGTGATAGGATGGAGACGAAGGATCTTCCCGAACTGTACCACGAGGCGAGACCAGAGGAGAACAAAAGCAAAAGGAGAGCCTTCCGGGCAAATGGGTAACTGAGTTAGTAAAAGAGGATGGATCTTCAAAACAAACACCCTCCCCAGCCACAATTGACAATGAATGGATACAATGGATCTGCCGAGTAGATTCAACAAGACACACAAAAGTTTCTCTCAAAGTGTGAAATGGGAAGGGTCACTCCCGGATGGTTATGTATACTGACCTAGTATGCAAAATAGAACCCCCCCCAATATCAAAAACGCCTTGCGCCACTGAGCTTCCTTGGACCAATATATCCTTGCCCACGATGCCGATGCAAACAAGACGCCAATCCCATGCAGTGTTCAAGATAATCAAAGTCAAGTCATCGATCTTGCAGAAACTTGCAGGAACTCCACTCGATTGGCAAAAGCCAACCGTCAGAAATGTAGTGAGACCGCTCATGTCCCATCCGTAAGCCTCGTAGCGGTTTCTTTGCCTGTTTCGAGGCAAATGTTTTCCCGCATCCTTCGTGCATGTTCGGTTCTGCTCAAAGACTCGAATGTTCCAATTGTTTGACATATCTAACAAATGCCTTTTTGTGTACCATTCCTCGGTACTCGCCTTCGTCCAAAACACAAATGTATCGTAACCCCAACTTCACAAAACACTGATATACAAGATCCATAGGTGAATGTGTGTCTAATGCCACCGGTGCTGGGTCGATGTAGGGGGTCATGTCGATAGGAGTCGCGCTTGATTCCTCGTCCGGTTCCGAACTCTCGCGTCCAGATTCGTAACCGGTCTCCTCGAACGCTTGCCAGTAGCGCTGATGGTTGGTGGTTGAATTGTTCTCAGTCGACAACAAACACATTGCGTTATCCTCGTCTTCAATTCTGTCCAATGCAAACTCAAGATCCGGAGCTGGAATGAGACCAAGTAAAATCTTGTCTCGAATGATGGGTAAACCGCCGTCAAGCTCACCTAGATACTGCAGGCGTCGAAGCTTAGCTCGTAGATCATTCGCCTTGACGAGCGGAGAAATGGTAATGTCGATGACTTTGTCCCGTCGCAATCGGGGCGTAATGTCTCCAAGTTCCGAGTCGAAGACAGGGCTGCTTCTGTTGTCTAAAAAGGGATAGGAGTTCATATCTGTCAGAAGATCGTAGATGCTCAAAGGCTCAACGGCGTCTGCCGTCCACTTCGCACACAACACTCCGAGCGAGAATGGCAACACATGATCAAGACTACCTGTGAGCTCGAACAAGATGACCGCGAGAGTGACGGATAAGCGGGTCACTCCACACATAGTAGCACCTGCAGCTACCAAGGCATACACGCCAGGAGTGACACAAGCCTCCAGGTTGCCAGACTGGTAACAGCCACCCCACAAGAAGAAATTGGGGCTCTTCAACACAATATACTGTGTGAGGTGGCCCAGGATGCGACCCATGAGGCCACCAACAACCATGGAAGGCACGTAAATGCCTGCAGGGACTTTAACACCAAAAGTGATGATCGTGAGAAACGCCTTGACAACAAATGCAACGCACAGGTAGCCGACAACGGACAGGATACCATCTTCTTTGGGACACAACCCGCTTGTGCTATCCTTGTCACAAGGGCTGGCCAGTTCGAACAGTAACTCTGTAACCGCGAGTCGGGTGTATCGATTCCAGAAGCTGATCAGGCCGGTGACGAGTGCCACCAATAAGACCTCCAACATGGGATAGCTTTTGATGAGTTTTATTCTCCGAAATGTGGTGGCCCAGAAGCGAGATGCTTTTATAAAGAGAGCTCCCGCAAGTCCACCTACTATACCAAGCAATGCAAAGTTGAAGAGTTCGAAGAAATTCCAGTCGGTGACATAGCGGACCTCGAACAAGACGATTTTGTTGGTGCCGTAGGGATTGAGAAACTTCAAAGACAGCGCTGCAACAATGCAACAGAAAAAGGTGCGAAACAAAGTCTTGGGAGGAAAATAGTAGCTGACCTCTTCGAGACTGAAAAGAACTCCTCCCAGAGGCGAGCCAAAGGCCACAGCGACGCCAGCTGCAGCGCTTGCAGACAGAACTTCTCGTCTTTTGCCGTCGTTGAGGTTGTACTTGGAGAACAAGCGGCAAGCAATGTTGCCAACGCAAGTAGCGATGTGCACATATGGTCCTTCTTTTCCTAGACTCATGCCTGAAGCAACACTCAATACCAATGCCACCATCTTAATCACGAGGACTCGTAACCCGAGGTACCCATGAAGAACGAAGCCACTTAAAATGACTTTGACCTCTGCAACACCACTTCCTGCAGCCGAGTAGTAGACATTTGTGGGCGGTAAAGCATTGGCATGTGTTTGTTCCGCTGCAGCCTTTGCCTCCTGGTCGTCTTCATCGAAGTCTCTGGTTCTCCCAGCGCTTAGGTCCTCATCGAATGTCGAGGCAATCGTTGAAGGCACAATAGTTTTGGAATACAATGTAAGGAAACAAGACAAGGTTGCCAACACCATGCAGCCAATGAGGAATGCCACGAAATCGATCGATTGTTCGTCCACCCCCGAGGCATGGATCAGCTGTGACCAGGTCCGCCAACGGTCACAAGTTGACTCGCCGTGACAACAACTGGCCCTTCCAAGATACCATGCATCTCGACAGAAGCCTCGTTTGACGTCGAATACGGCGGCCTCGGTCACATCCACAAAGTACGCTATCCCAGCGGTGATGACTCCAATCAAGGCAACCAGTATCCATCCTTGTGAAGAATCGAAGAGTAGCTGGAGGCGACCCCGGAGTCCTTTCTTCTTCTTGAGTTCCAACACCCGATACCCGTCGGCAATACTGTCATGGACCCAATCTGTCGACGTGAACTGATCATACCACAAGCGGTCGTCTTTCGAGATGGAGCCCATCAACGACTGATGCAGTTTAGGTGTCCGTAGGCCAGAGTTCCTCATCCACACGGGGCTTGTCTGGCCAGAGGGCAGGGCACTGTGGAATCTCCGTCTTCTTAAACTACCCGTGAAACTGTTGACCCTTGACAGCTGCCTCGAGTGAGGCGAATAGATCGAATTGTCTGCATACCTCCTCATACCAGAGTGAAGGCTCCCTCCGAGCAGTTCGGTCGTCTCATCGGGGGTGGAGGTCATGGCCAGAGATGGATGTAGACGCCCTCCGACTTCAGGGCCAGAGATGGAAATGGACCGTTTGTGGAGGGCTTCTGGCGAGGACGGAGTCGTAGCTGGTCGAGGGCGGGCGGCAAAGTAGTCGAGGTCATCCTCTTCCCCGGGTTCTTGGAAGGAGACGTATGACTTCGGCATGGTGAATCCGCAGGCAGATTAGGCAGGCACGAGCCTCGTACTGGACGGGGGGTATTACCCAAGAGGACACCGTGAAACGCGTAGAAAAGAAAGGTAACAGCAACCACGGTGCTCCTCCACACAGGCAGACACCGCCTTGCCGTGTTCAATCAGCAGGCCATCGAAGTCTGATCAAGGGGATCAAGAGACTCGACGGCGAGCTTGGGTAACTAGTTACTCGAAGGAGCAAAAGATGCAACAACCCTGATCAGACAGACACACGAAGGGTCAGTGGTCAGCAATTGGAGAGGGGGGGTTCTGAAATGTGAATCAGTTCGAATCACCTGGGCACACAGGACTGCGGATTTATGATCCCCTTACACACCCTCATAAAAAGCAGAACTTTGCGAAAGGAAGAGGCGCGTGTCTGTCTATGAGGTAGTAGTCAGGCAAGGTGAAAGGGGGCGCGAAGGGGGGATCTTCTCGCAGGCCCTTTGCAAGCCTAGAGGGAAACGGCAAGAACGGTGATCAGGTGGACTGAAAGTAAACATTCGGTATATCAGATGACGAGGGATGCGTGAGAAGTGAAGGGTGCATTATTGTTTAGGTGATTGATAGGCACCGCGTCCGCCCACAACGGAATAGAGAACGCCATTTAGCCATGAAGAAGCCCACCCGCCAAGGTGTCGCTTACAGGCGACGGACGGGACACGTTGGACTCTGCTCGATCCACGCATCGAAACATGTCGAGAGCGACGATGGACATTTATGGAAAGACACGGAGTATCAATGGGTCTAATCTAAACCAGACAAAGTCCACAGTATGTATTGCCGACAATTTTTTGGACAACAAATGCTTCGCTCCTTGGCCTAGGTCAGTAGGTTCGTGGACGAAACTTCGACTTTCGCACCTCGGGCAAATAGATCCGGCCATCGTATGCACCCTGACGATGCCCTGCAGATGACGGCAGGGATCCTTGACGCACTACAACGCACTAACACTGTATGTCCTCGTATGCATGCAATATTCTACTACTCCGTAGAGGACCGAGAACTATCCGAAACACAGCGAAGCTATTTCGGTCAAGGAAGATTGAACCCTTGAAGAAACATCGTGATATCGCAGATTGATTTCCCGTGTGCTTTCCTCAGGGATTAAATAAATACCTTCAACCTTGTCTATCCATGACTCAGCCAAACTCCTACTTTACTTGTACCAAATCTCGAAACCATGAGGTTGTTCGTGAAGCCTACTCTGTATGGAGTATGTAGGGAGGTATGTGGAAGACGTCAACACAGGGGACGAAGAACGCGTCAAAAGAAAACGGACTGTCTGACAAAGATGTCTATCCCCGTATCGGCCCCATCTTTCCGTTAAATTCACCCGCACGGTGACCGTCAGACAAAAATCAATCATTCTGTCTCCCCAACGTCAAACAACACCACCCCGGTCAATGATAGCAAGGCATCTACGGAGAAAACCACTGTGCTGTTCCCAAATAAGGAGTTGTTGTTTTTTTTTTCATTTCGTTCCCCTTGCCACACTCCCTCCCTACCAATACATACATGACGGATCACAAACTGGTCAAGATCCAACGCCTCATTTCTTATTCTTCTGGACTCTCTCTGGCACTGTCCCTGCTCCCTTCCAAACACCATCACCATGTCCCATTCACCTTCAGCGTCTGTCTGGTCCCCATCACCACAAACACCACCCAAACCCTACCCCCAATTCATACTCTTCGGAGACTCCATCACTCAAATGAGCACCGCGGGGCTCCTCTGCCCCTTGTCCGAACGATACAACCGACGCATGGACGTCCTCAACCGGGGCATGTCGGGGTACACGTCCCGGATGGGTCTGGACGTGTTGAGGCATTGGTTCCCATCACGACCCCCGTCCGACAACCTCACTCCCCAAGTGAAGTTGATGACCTTGTTCTTTGGGGCCAACGATGCCACCTTGCCCGGTTGCCCTCAACACGTCCCGCTGCACGCCTACACGGGTTACCTCCGAGACATCGTCAACCACCCGGGGATCGCCTCCCACGACACCAAAATCATCCTCGTCACCCCTCCGCCCGTGGACGAGTGGCAGCTCGGCGACCAAGAGCGAACGGCCTCCAACACCCGAGCCTACGCCGCCGCCTGTCGACAACTCGGTCGCGATTTGGGTCTCCCCACGCTCGACCTGTGGACCATGTTCATGACCAAAGCCGGCTGGCGAGAGGACGACGACGATCGCCAAAAAAAGCCCCTGATAGGGAGCAAAGCCGCGCCTCGCAACCAGGTCCTCGCCGACCTCTTGTCGGATGGGTTGCATTTCACCCCGGCGGCTTACCAGATCGTGTTTGATGCCCTGCTCGAGCTCATCCAAACCCACCTGCCCGACTATGTGCCCGACAAATTGCCCTTTGTCTATCCGGACTGGAAGGACCAGCTTGGAGTGGTTTCCGCTTTACCCTAATCCATAGAACCCGTAGTCTAAAAATATCTAAGTCTACATGTAGGTGCGAACGAGATTTCGTCGACTCCCAGACCACACATAGCTCGTCTGCAGAACGACAACTTTGATACGATCCAGACAGAATCTATTTTGAACATGGTAACTATGATTTGGTTACGAGAATAGAGTCCCGACGAGCATGTATAAGAACACAGGGACCATGGCGTAATTGATATTAACACATGTAAGCTTAGGCTCTACGCTACAAATACGTTACGTGGGAAGTTTCCGGATTGAAAAGGTAACAAAGTCTATGCAAATGATTGGATTGAAGATTCTAGATACACTATTTGATCCTCATCGCCTGAACAAAGCAGGCAATACCTGATCAAACAAGACCAGTCTATCCTTCAATCGAGAAAAGAATGACTGAAAGCAGATTCAAGGAGAGTCACTGATGCCGGAGTAGAGTGCTGGGAAAAGTACACGAAGACTGGAGACCCAAGATGGTAGAGGGAACAGAGTCGATTGTCGAAGATTTCCAATGCCACCGGCATCGCTTACTCTTCGTCACTCTCCTCATCACTGCCATCATCGCTCTCGGCTTCATCGAGCCACTGCAAGAATTTCTCCGAAGCTTGGCGAACCTTTCGGCTGGTGCTGATGTCAACGTACTTCTTGCTGGCCTTTGCACCCCACGCTTTGGCAACCTCTTCGCTGAGGAGATCATGCTGGTAATAGCTCATGAGAATGGCAGGAACCTGAGGGATCAGTTCTGGATGGTCGTTGCCGACAAAACGCTCGGTGCCACCCAGGAAAGCCTTCATGTGTTTTTCAGACTCGCCAATCATTGTTTTTAGCATACTAGCACGAGCTGGGATTTGCTTGACGATGTTTTCATCAAAGATGGTCTGGGCAAGAACAGTAAGAGTCTTGTGCTTGCTCTCGATGCCCAATTCCTTGGCCTTTTTGTAGATTTCCACATCGTCGACGGCGCTGACAGAGCCTTTGGCCTTGGTCTCGTCAATAACCCAAGTACCGAGCTGATCGTAGACACTGGTGCCGTTGTCCTCGCCTTCTTCATCTTCATCGAATGCGAGCGAACGCTTCAAATCAGATGGGAGCTCCTTGGCACGGGCGGCAATGGCCTCAGCAGAGGTGTCAATGGCCCATTGTTCTTCCTTGGCTTCTCCATTAGTGTTGATGCCTTTAGCATCGGCTTGAATCTGCTTGGTGAACTCGTCGTCACTACCTGCTGCGACCTCGTAATCGCCATCGTCGGCATCTCCTTTGTCGGAGTTGGAGTCATGAGGGCTTCCACCGTTCATGGAGCCGTTCTCTTGACTCTCAGCCTTGGCTCTGTCACGACGAGTCATCTTTTCCTTCTTTGTCTTTTTACCACCTTTTGGTTCATTCTTGAGAATAAATCCGCTCAATTTGTGGCGCAAGTCAACATTGGTACGTTGACCGCAGGCCTTGCAGTCTAGAATGATGCGTCCATCCTTGATATTGATGTCGGTCTCCGGGTTCTTGCAAGATCTGCATAGGACGAATCGGGAGATGAAGCCGTCCAACGAGTCCTGCAATTTGCCCGCGTCGTGTGCTCCATTGATGATCCAACGATCATCTTTTGGGTTGGTATTGGTTTGAGCACCGAGTTCGAAGCCGAAGTACTTGATCACGTAGGATGGTGGACGAGCCAGGGACGCTGCGACGCTAGGAAGATTGGCCACAACGGTCCTGCGCATTTTTGTTAGTATACGTCCGTATCCAGTGACGTGAACGGGCTTACTTGATTCCATTGCCTTTTCCTTCAATTTTGGACTGCAGACGCTCCATTTTGTATCGGTAGAAGGGATCGGTAACATCCCGACGAATATTGATGGTCGCCATTTTGAGCTGGGTAGGGGTGAATTATTCTCTTTAGAATATCGAAATTGATTGATGAACCGGATTTATTGGTGATTTTGGGCGGTGGTGGAGAGCAAAGAGACAAGGACTTCTCTTTTCAAGTGACCAGACATGCGTGGATGTTACCACCTGGTAAAGATATTTGACATGAAGAAAACGTTGGGTTTTGATGGTGTATTAACCATAACAAGACCTTGTAGGACTACAAGGGTCTCTGCTTGCCGGAATTATGTCCAGCTTTTGCTTGGAGTTGGTTTTGGAGGAGTGAAAGACTGCTCGATACATGAACAATCCGGCGAGGTGTGTTTGACGAAGACTCTGGGTTTGGTCAGGTTCGATGAACGACAATGAAAAGTCGTGTCTAGGAAGTCGAGATTCGTTGTCGGTGAAGCGACGGTTACGAGGATAGATCGATGTGATGTTGATGATAAGGTCGGTGATCAGGAGAAAGCCTGCTGAGACAGAGAATTCTCGCAAATTCACTATGTGGTAGTGATGGTGAAAGAGTAAGAAAAAGAAGGAAGAGTCAAGAAAGCGGCGAACTCGGGATTTTAGGCGCAGCTTACAAAAGGAGCCTTGGGGGGTGCGCTAAGTAACTCAGCAAGCTTAGGCTTTGTTCACCAGGCAGGAGAAGGGCTGTGAGGGGCAGGCACACCGATGGTTACCTGATCGTCTTTGTGTCTGTTTAGTAGTTGATGGAGTCCAGGGGTGATCAGATCATTTGACTGGGTGACTGGGTCTTCGGAAACGCGGTTATGAAAGGGAGAGAAAAAATTTCAGTTTCGAAGTCTGCTTTAAGTTACCGAGTATCTGAGTTGTGAGCAGAAGCGAGAAAGGCCGAGGGCGAGAATTTGAGGAGCACGAGGAGCGAGAGAAGAGCGAGACTGGATTGAGGTACGAGTACAACGGCCGGGAGATGTTATTATTGCTGCCTCAGCCGCCTGTGGGTGACGCTTTAGAGCCCGGAGTCTGCCTAATAAGACCGTTCTAGGTAAGTGATGGCCTAAAGTAGCGAGCCTGGAGAGCTTTATTGCTGCCTGGAGAGCCCTAAGCCACATCAACACTGTGAAGCCTGAGAGTGGTGAGCCTGACCGCATGCGGCAGACTGTCTCGCATTGGCCTTTATTGCAACAACGTCAACAACAGACATTTGCTATGTGAAAGACGACGGCTGTTCGCATCACTAATTTTCCCCATCACTTACCGTTTGACTGTGATGTCCGTTGAAGCAATGTGAGTACTCGTCCTTACCGTGTCACGGTAAGGTATTTACCTGGTGAGGCTTGTCCCGGTTGGAGCGACTCGACCCAAGCATGACACAATCGTTACACCCGCCTCTGTTGGTCTTTTCCATTTTTTTGTCCCACCCGACTCCGCCCATTGGATCGTCTTGGACGTTCCTATCCGTCCGAGTACGAGTACGGAATATCGAACGAGAAACCCTCCTGCTTGGTGACCCAGAACACTGATACGAGAAGTCGATGAGATTGACTTGCACGCCGGACCTCGAGTAAGAATGACTCCATGACAAGTTGACTACAGAAATCACATTTCCTCATCAACACATGCGCACGGCTGCTGTTACTGCTGCTACTGTAAACAATGGCGGCACCAAAACAGTCCCGTATAGACTTGTCTCTCTATCTGGTCACAGATTCTACTCCTGCCATTCTCGGTGACAAGGACATTGTTCACGTAGTTGAACAGGCTCTTCAAGGCGGAACTACACTGGTCCAATATCGAGACAAACATGCAGACACCGGGGTGATGATCGAAACCGCCAACAGACTCCATGCAGTTACCCGACAATACGGTGTTCCTTTACTTATTAACGACCGACTCGACGTCTGTCAAGCCGTGGGAGCCGAAGGCGTCCACATCGGGCAGGATGACATGAGTTGCACCTCTGCCAGAGCCATCCTCGGACCGTCCGCCATCATAGGAGTTACGGCATCTTCGATACAAGAGGCCCAGAAAGCCATCGCAGACGGAGCTGACTACCTTGGTATTGGAACGACGTTTGCCACCCCGACCAAAACAGACACGAAATCCATCATCGGCACCCGCGGTCTCCAGGAGATCCTAGCAGCCTGCGACACAGGTACAGAAAAGTCCATACCGTGCGTGGCCATCGGCAGCATCAATGCAAGTAACGTCCAAAGAGTCCTCCACCAATCTGCAGACGGCTCGAACCGTCTCAACGGCGTCGCGGTGGTCAGCGCCATTGTCGCCGCTCCAAACCCAAAAGCTTCTTCCCAACAGCTCTCCGACCTCATAAGGACAACCCCCGAGACATACTACGCCGCCGTCCCACCGAGCAAACTTTCATCACGGACCACAAACGTCCCAGGCTTGCTCTCGCAAGTCCCCTCGATCATCAAGACGCACTTCACGTCCTCGGTGCTATGCCACAACATGACCAACACGGTCGTTCAGAACTTTGTGGCCAACGTGTGTCTCGCGACCGGCGCGTCGCCCATCATGTCCGAGATAGCCGTCGAAGCCCCCGACCTCGCGAAACTAGGCGGCTCGCTCATCGTCAACATGGGCACAGCGACTCCCGAAAAGGTCAACAGCTTCATCGCGGGGATGAGGGCCTACAACGCAGTCGGCGGCCCCGTCCTCTTGGATCCCGTAGGAGGCGGCGCAACCTCCCACAGACGCGAGACCGTCAAGAAACTCCTGACGGCCGGCTTCTTCAGCGTCATCAAGGGCAACGAAGGCGAAATCGGGGCCGTGGCGGGTACGTCTGACGTCCAGCAGCGCGGCGTGGATTCCGGCCCGTCCACCGCCACGGCCTCCGACAAGGGGAAGTTGGTTCAACGCCTGGCCCGGCGCGAGCACTGCGTCGTCCTCATGACGGGAAAGACGGACTACCTGTCCGACGGCTCGCGGACGGTCGCCATATCGAACGGCTCGCATTACCTGGGCAGCATCACGGGCTCCGGGTGTGCCTTGGGCGCCATCGTGGCAGGTTACCTCGCCGTGTACCGCGGGGACAAATTCCTGGCTGCCCTGGCGGGGATCCTACACTACGAGATTGCCGCAGAAATGGCAGAGGCGAGGGGCGACTGTAAAGGCCCAGGAAGTTTCATTCCTGCTTTTCTAGACGAGTTGCATCGCCTCGGTCGGTCCGTCTCCGAGGGCGACAGCAGTGTCAGTGTCGAGTCGTTGGCAAGAGTAAAATTGCTATCCGTACAAGCCGATTGACATTCGTCAGACAAGACCAATGCATATCAAGAGAAGACATTAAGATGTTTTTTGAGCGATATATATATACAGATATTTGACAACTACACAACTTCCGAAAAGAAGATATCTAATCATTGTTTGTCCACTGTTGGTAGAGGTACGAAGCTACTTAAGTAGTTGATATTTTGATGTCTATTTACTGCTCAGCATCCGCCTCTATCCCAAATGGTTTCCTCGTGTTTCAAGCTCAGTCTAGATAACACAACTACACCTGCCCTCCGCGCAAGGTCTAATGTCCCGTTCAATATCGAGCCTGATCCACCTTCTACCCTCTGGACCGTCCGTCTCCTCTCGCAAGCCCCTCGTGGCCGTCGCGATCAAAAAGTCCTCGTCGTACGCGACAAGCTCAATGTCGACATCCTCGACTTTCGCTGCACGGAACAGGGTAGTCATTCCTCGTTCGGCCTTTTCGGGGGTGGTCCACTTGTCCGCTTCGTGTTGTAGTGCATCAGGGTGTAAATGCGAATGATTCCCCGCTTGCGCATTCGGTTCGCTTACGCCACCGCCACGGCTTCGACCGCGCTCTTTGCGTCTCGTTTTTAAAACGGCCTCAGGGATGGCCGGCGGCACGACATCCAAAAACTCCAGCTCCCTCAGCCAACTCGCCAGCAGGCCCTCGCCGACCATTTTGATGTAAGCCTCCTTCAGGGCCCAGTACGCGTAGAACCGACGGAGTTTCTGTTCGATCATCTTGGCCTCTCGGTTCCCTCCAGTGTGGCCCGCGGACGCCGACGCCGACGAGTCATCGCTGCTCTCCCACCCGTAGTAATCTCCCTCCTCACGCTCCGAGACGGGGACGTGGACGGGAGCGAAACGCATGTCGCGGCGTTCACGGTCCGAAAACATTTCACTGAATATGTCGACCCATTCGTCGAATTTGGCTTGGGTGGTGACGTCTTTTGGTGTGCGTTTGTCTTCGTTGGTGCAAGCGATGTCGACACCCAGACGAACCTGGCCGGCGCCGAGGATAGGGGTGTGGTGCCCCGTCAAGCTCAACTGCTCGAATCGACCTGCGGGTAAAGTGGGCGAGAGTGGCGTGACTTGGGAAATGGAGGTTGATGGGTTAGGGAGCTGCGAAGTGGGAGTCGTGCAACCCAAGATGGCCACGAGACCTGCTTGGTGGGATACGTTGAATTCGAGACCTTTCGTCTCGGGCTGTATGGAGTCGGAACGGTTATCCGTAGGGGCCGTTTGAGAGGCCGAGATTGGAGATCTCGTCCAGAGTTCAGGTGGTTCCCAGTACGGACGCTTGTGTGGTGCCGGTGTGCGTGAGATGCGGATGTCAGGCCAAGGTATCCCAGCCTGGCGGTGTATGAATGTGTATTTCAACAGCGCGCTCCCCAAGGACATGAATCTGTCGGCGGGTCGAATGAATCGCGTTATCGATTCTTGTTCACTGAACTGTAGCGTCGAGAGTAATGGTAAAGATTTTGGTGAAGCGTTGACGAGTGGTCGGGTATCAATGTAGAAGCGAGTTATGGTCGAGGGGTGTTTGGGGGGTTGTTCAGAACGAGGTGTCGCCGACATCTTGCCAGATGGTCTTCGAGTGAAGATCCCTGTAGTGCTGCTCGGTCGGATAGAGTGATGTCGAGAAAGGTCGTGCGGCAAATAACATCACAGACTCCGTCCTCATGAACTGGTCGATTCAGCTGGTCGTCCGATCTTGTTAAATGAGTCGGGACAACCGTCTTCAGCTGAAGGACATTGTTCTTGCTGAGAGGAGAGATTAAATCCACTCTATTGCATTTGATTCCAATGGTGGTGTGCTTTTGTTCGGTCAGGCAAAGCAATGATGTTGTAATACAGGGAGAAATGGTCAGGTGTAGTCTATCTCAGATGTGGCTTAATATAGCACGCCTGAGGAATGATTGACGGAGGTTGATCATTCATTCAGTTCCACAAGGCTGAACCGAAAAAGTGGGTGGACACTGTCTAACAATTCCCTTCTTCGTCTCTACAAGTACGGGTACGACCAATGGACCTATCCTGCAGAATCATATCTCCAAACCATCAAATCACAAGATGGAGAGTTGTAGTGAAGTCTTGTAGATGGTCTCCGGATGTCTGTATGGGTATCGTCGGGTGTAACAAGGCGGAAGAAAGTAAATCGGGAGCAGAAACAAACCAATGACAAACCACAAGGCGGCGGCAGAATTATTTTCGCCTCGCGGAGACGAATATCACTCCGATTACTCGTTGAATCATACAAGAACTAGATGACTGATTGACTACTCCGTACCTACGATTGACAAGAGAGATCGCGTATAACAGGTAGTCAGAAAATTGACTGATACCATCATCACTTCAACAATATCCAAAACACATGTTATGTCAATGACACTCACAGTCGGTGTCCTGGCCTTACAGGGCGCCTTTCTGGAACATTTGATACTACTCAAAAGAGCTGCAAGTCATTTACAAAGCCACGGAGTCACGACGTCCTTCGAGTTCACAGAAGTCAGAAATGTTGAACAGCTTTCCCGATGCGACGCATTGATTATCCCCGGCGGTGAGAGCACAACCATCTCTCTAGTGGCGGCAGAGTCTGGTCTGCTGGAGCCTTTAAGGGACTTTGTAAAGTATGCTATCTCCCATGGCCACCGTCTTTGAATGACTAGTCTAATTATGACCCAGAGTTGATCGGAAGCCAACCTGGGGAACATGTGCTGGACTCATCCTGCTATCCGAGGCAGCAAATGCCATCAAGAAGGGAGGTCAGGATCTCATCGGTGGTCTAGATGTTCGAGTGAATCGCAACCATTTCGGTAGGCAAGTCGAGAGTTTCCAGGCCGACCTAGACCTTCCGTTCTTGAAATCAGAGGAATCAGTGTCGCATGAACCATTTCCAGGAGTCTTCATCCGAGCACCCGTTGTCGAAAAGATCTTGCCCAATGTCGAAGGTGTTCAGAAAGGAGAACAGCAGATGGCTCAGACCGTCGTTGCCCCATCGAAATCTGCCAGAGACAATCACGCCCGGCAAGCAATGAGTTCTCATGTTGATGTCATGGGCGTGCTTCCTGGTCGACTCAAGAAGGCAAATGCTATGGGTGCTGAAGTAAATGCTGGAGAAGAGGTCGGCGATATCATTGCTGTCAAGCAAGGTAACGTCTTCGGAACGAGCTTTCATCCTGAACTGACCGCCGATATTCGGATACACGTTTGGTGGCTGAAACAAGTCTTGGCCGCAGTCGGTAGAACATCTGTAACTAAGTCGGAGTGAATAAGACCATGGTCGGGTTGCTGCGATTGACCGCATGCTGGAGTTCGCCTTATATAGCAACTAGAGTTAGTCGATATAGTGTTTACCTTCCGCTGCCATATTCCTCCTCTTCCTTCTTTCGTTCAGCGTCGATGGCTCTGCCGTAACCTCCTCGTCCAGGATCGAATTCGTCTCGATATTCGTCACGAACTTGTCCACCAGACTTGCCGCGACCAAATTGTCTTCCATCTTGGAAACCGGCGTCCAGATCAGTTCGAATGACTCGTTCGTCTAGTTTGGTCCCGCCGATGTATTTCATGCAATCTAAAGCGTCTTGATGTGTATAGTACTCGACGAAGCAGAAGCCGCAGGGTGTCTTTTGGTAGCGATCGAGGCCCATAATCAGACGCTTGATTTCGCCACACCTGGATATTGTAAGCAATGAGATCCCAGAAAGCAGAGTGTTGCGTACTTTGAGAAGAGCTCGTGGATCTGTTCTTCGGTTGTGTAGAAGGACCTGATCGAACCATGAGTTCAGCGCTTCACAGTGGGCAGTATACACACAGATTGCCAACATATAGAGTGGTCGCATCTTTGAGTAGTTCGTCCTCCTCCGGCTGTTTATCTGCGCCGTCTCGGTCGTCTGGCTGATCGCGGCCATACTTGCGCTTCTTCTGCACTTATTGTAAGCTCAAGGTCGCATCTAACAGGAGAGGCAGGGCTACTAACCCTTCCAGAGTAGTAAGTACTAGGCCTGTCTAGCCTGTCGACAGTTGAAAGCGTCAAAGGAGCCATATTGTGCTAATATCAGACTTGCCGCTGGATTGTGGAGGAACAGAAATGCGAAGATGAATCTGAAGTGGTGGAAATGATGAAATGCGGCGCGTCTCTCTAACGCGAAAAGACCAAAAACGGCGCTGCGCAATTCAACTACAACTTTTTGAACCACAACTAATCTGTACTGTCTTTCCTTGACACTCTCTTCGTTCATGGCCTCCTCGATTCGCCCTTGAGTCTCACAGTGCCTCTAAGATGCCGAAAGTCATCGGCTACACTCCTCCCTGGCTGTCTCGCCCATCGGCGGGTGCAAAGGTATTCTTAGACCCAGCACCTCAATCGCCGGCTTCACCCTCAAAACGGTCCTCCTATCTCGGTGCACCTCCTTCTACAGAATACCAAGGTCCCAGAAGGCTGGTTGCAAGTCGTGGTACAGAGATTTTCACGGTTGTGGGCAACAAAATAAGATGGGCAGACCTGTCACTAGTCAAAGACGAATGGGAAGAAAACACCCACGCTGGGAACAGTCAGTTTGGTCTTTCGCGTTCAGCAGATGCTGCTTCGGAGCAACAAGTTTACAGAGTATGTCCAAAGGGTGGTGTTCTTGTCATGCGACTAACTATGTCAGACCCTGGATGTGTCTATTTATTACCAAATTCGACAGATTGTCGTCTCTCCGTCAGGCATTTTTCTCGCTATCGCTACCGAACACACCGTTCATATCGCAGCGCTACCGCCGTCCTCTAGACTCCGAGACCAGGACAGATCCCCTCTCAAGTTAAAGACGTTTCAGCTCGGCCCAACAATCCATGTCATCCCAGAATCTCCTTTGGCCTCGGTACTATGGCATCCCCTCGCATCTTCGACTGCAAGCACGGATTGTATCGTCACGGTAACGGCAGAAGCAGCTGTAAGAGTATGGGAACTTGACAGGTCGAACAAATGGTCATTCGAGCGCCCGGCTCTGGCTATTGATCTACGGAAGCTGGCTGATGGAGTCTCGTGCGATCAAGATTTCGAGCCTTCGGGATTTGGCAAAACTAAAGGTTTCTCTGTTGATGATTTCGACATGGAGGTCTCTGCCGCTTGTTTTGGTGGTCGAGGCAAGGATGATGAAGATGCATGGGCTGGTATGACTCTCTGGACCGCAATGAGGAATGGTGACATATACGCCCTATGCCCTCTGTTACCTACCAAGTGGAAGCCAACATCCACCACTATTCCCTCTCTTTCGACGAATGCCGTTTCTCGCATGGCCTCTATCGCTGGTGAAGATGCAGACATGGACGACCGACGAGCTGCTGATCAACAGTACGAGTGGGTACAAGAGATTGACAGCGAAGAACCGCTGCTTCTTGATTCGACAGATAGCCTAGGCGAGTTTGAGGTACGCCTGCGACCACAGAATCCAAGTGCAATTCCTCGGCTTCAAGGTCCATTTGCCATCCAGCCAGAAGATGACGCCTCGGACATTGAAATTTCTGACATCTACGTCTATCCGGCGATCATTGATGAGCGTGATCTCATGTCTGGTGAAGACGATGATGATTTTGACCAACTCACCTCCCACGGTGTGCCTTTTACTACCGCTTGCGTAGCAACAACAGAAAATGAGGTGTGGTTTGCCATTGATCTTGACGGAGTGTCGGGGCAATGGCTTCCTAAGAAGGGCAAGAGTGCCTTTGGCGTGCCATCTTCAGACGCAAAGGAGTTGGCATTGGTCGATACTTTTGCACTTGACGCCGAGGTCGACTCTGCATCGAACTGGCCAATGCTCACCGGTGATATCGCCAGCGGCTACAGCCTGTTCCTGACAACATTCAAGCATGTTTATTCTTTGTCCCTGAACGATTGGGTAAACCACCTGGCGGCTGAGATGACGGGAGCTGAGAATGTCGACCCAGGAATGAGAACTCGACTCGAAACGGCCTGCGAATCCCAGGTTTGCATAACTGACAAGGTCATCAGCACCAACGACGCAACGGAAACACTGTCCGCACCCACGATAGTGGACGACATATCTTTGGGATTTCTCCTTTTGACTGCAACTCCTTCTTCAGCCTACTCTGTCTTTTTCGATCAAGCTCACTTGCACGCATCCACAGTGGCGGTGTCCTCTCCAGAGCTGACCACGATCTCCTCAAGTCGGCAGCTCGCTAGAGTATCGGAGGAGAATGACGCTGGGACACTGCCTACAAGATCACCTTACGTTCCCGCAAAGGTCTTCTATGCCAACCATCTCTATCCCATTGAACAGATGAAGCAGCGCCTCCCTCCCACACTGAAACGTGCGGTCACGGACAAGCCTATGCGTCTGAGTCCGGCGATGCTGGAAATCATGACGGTCACGCACCGTACCGTTAGTGTTCAATCTGCCGAGCTCGAGAAGGCGGCCGCCGAACTCTTCCGACGATGTGAGCGTCTGCGCGAAGAACTGGGCAGCCAAGTACAACAGATGAGCGAGCTGGCCCAACGGCTCCAGCATCTGAAATCGAGCGAGGAAGTCGACGAAGATGGCACCGTCACGGCGAAGAAATCAGTGACCACGAGAATCCAGGACGCCCAAGACAGGCAGGCAAACTTGCTTGCGCGGTACGAGGCACTGAGGAGGAAAGTGGGACGAGTCGGATCGGCCAAGCGGGAACTGAGTTCCAAAGAAAAAACCTGGATCGAGGAGATTGATGCGTTGGGTAGGAATGTCGGCGTCGGCGTTGACGGTGATGGAGGACGTGCAAATGACAGACTGGACAAGAGATTCGACATGGTATGTGGTATACTCTCTCAATGTTGCCTCTTGCGTTATTCATGTGTGTGTATGTCCATGAAAACTAACCGTTTGTGTGATTTCTACAGGTCAAAGAATTCTCCCGTGAGCTCCTGGAAGAGAGCAAGCGAGTCCAACAAGCCCAGACATCTGAACCCTCGCCTTCCCCAATGTCTGCGTCCATGTCGACCGTCAAACCGGGCACTTCTGCTTCGGCTCCTGGCGCCGCCGCCGCGTCCAGTTCGACAACCACGACAACGTTTGGCGTGTCGAGTCGATTGCAAAAGGAGAAGATCGCCGACGTCATGGCCATGGTGGAGCGTGAAGGGGCCGTCATCGACGCCGTCATGAAACGTCTGGATCGGTTGAACGTCGAGTATTAAGTGTGCTTGGCCCTGCCGAGGTTCGAGCGCGCCGACCGAGGGATCTTGTCCACGTATTTTTGAATCCTCGACGACGTGCACCCGAGTACGGAGGTAGATGACCACGTTGGGTAGTCGGTCTACCTAGATGGACAACTTGACCATTCCCTGGTCCGGACATTTGCCGACCTTGTATACCTAGGTGTTGAGAGGACGCAGGGGGTGACGTTGTGTTTTTGTAGGATATTACAATTCTGTTACCAGGGATTCTTTTCCTTCTGTAAACAACAAAAACCAAGGTGGGAGAATAATGTTTTTTATATGATTCACCAGTCTTTGTTGGTTGTGATTGAGTAGAGCTATTTCTGGGGTATTTGCGAGTACGGAAGTAGCTTGAGAGGTAGCTATACTAAATATATAAATCATAGGCCCACGATTTCGATGAATCGTCAAGTAAAAGTACATATAGGCAGGTAGACATAACAGGGGGTCGGTTTCTGTACATGCCGACGAAACCATCTTCAATTTCTTGCTTTTCCCCCTTCACTTTTTATTGAGTGAGGTCCGTTTGAGCGAGTAATTGTTGTTTGCTTCTTTCGTTAACTTTTTCTCTCCTTATAATTCACGAGTGCCAAGTTAAAGCTTCAAGTCCGTGCTATTGCCCACCAGCTTGATCCCATGTAGAAGAATCCTGCATCATCATGTCCCACGAAGCCCAATCCATGGGCATATCGGCGAGTGCAAGGTCCTCGGCTAGGGACGGATCAGACGCGTACATGATCTGTTCCGGTCGAATGTTTTGTGTTTGAATCGAGGCGGGCACTTGAGGAGGTACGAAATTCGGTAGAGGTAATTGTTGGCGTTTTCTGCCGCCGCCGGCGCCACCGCCGCTTTCGCCGGCCCCGAACTGTCGTGCTTGGGGTTGATACAACATTGACGTCAAACTCCCTCCGCCTTGCCATGGATCAGAAGGTGTTCCCTGGGACGTCAAGACCGATGGACTACTCGTCGAAGCAGTAGTAGACATCGTTGGTGGATGGGTAGCAGCTGCTGACAATTGGGTAGCAGACGGGGGAGGAGGATTCGCCTTGCGTTGTTCCTGTAAAATGACAATATACTCAGGTATCGTCTTAGGCAGGAGTCCGTTTGTCTTCTCGCGTAACGCGGCCGCGCGGGCATTAAACGCCTTCAACAACAGACTGCCAGCCGCGGCGTGCAGGGGACGTTTGTAGTCAGTCACAAAATTCTTCTGGTGATGAAACACCTCGTCCACGACGCTCCACGCGTGATCGGCTTTGTCACCGATAGTCTCTGTCTGTAGCTCGTTCAAAAGATAAATCAAGGCCTGCCACCCGAAAAAGTTCCTCGTGTGCCACATGAACTTTCGCAGATATTTGGTCGAATGCGCCAAGTTGTATCCCTCCAGAAGCTTGAGGCTGATCTTCCATAGGTATTCCTTTTCGGATTCCGGCAGGTCGGCCGGATTGGCGTATTTCCTTGGGTGGTGCGCCATCAGCCTCATGCTGGCGACGGCGCCTCTGCCCATCAAAATGCACATGAACTGTACAGGAACCGAAGGGTCGCAGTATTTCAAATACTTCTCCTCAAGAAGACCTTCCAACTCGTTGATATTGGCGTCGCGTTCTTCCAGCGTTGTGTTAAAAGGTGCGTCTAGTCTCAGGTTCTCCATGGTGATTTTGGATTTTGCCGAAATCTTTTCTTTCCAGAACGTGCCGAATTCGCATCGAATTAGACAGGCTACCATGTCCGTAGGCCGTGGGCTAGGGACTGGGGGTTCCGTCATGCCAGGCCATATATCGGTATCGTTGACATTCGTTGGCGGTTTCGTATCCCACATGTCAAAATCGCCAAAACGTCCGGATCCGCTCAACTCTCCCGACCTGAAATCCAGCGTCGTGACCTGCCACCATATTCGCCGACGCATTTCAGTCTCAAATGGAGGAGTTCCAAGGGTGGTGCCATCACGATGTAGGCCCATGCCTTGCGCTATCCTGCTGGCCACACCAGCCAACGCCCACACAGTTCTCGAATCATATACTTCTCGCATTGTCAGCAAGTAAATCACGAATGCCGCGAGTACTTGGAGATCCGAGGTCGCCATAAACTTTGCTCTAGAAAGTGCTTTCCTGGTGCCATACCGATACCTCGAGAGCAAGACTTTACGCTCCTCGCCAAATTTCATGATGCATTCGTCATCCTCCATTGCATAGACGGCAGCACTATATACTGAAAACATAAGTGCCTCAAGACTCCGTGGCACGTTTTCCAAATCTTGAAAAGCTCCTATGATACTCTGTTCCAGTGTGGGTTGGTGAACAAGCTTCGTCAAAGGATTAAAACTGTCCAAATAGGACTGCCATAAAAGCATGATATGATCTGGTGGCGGATGGAGTTGTGATACGGTGTTGGAGCTTGGCGTATAACCCAACATAAATTCGGTGCCTTCCCCATCAGGTGAGCCGTAATCACCTTCATCGGAGTACTCTTCCGTGAGGGCCTCGTTTGTTTGGAATTCTCCCGACACACTGGCCCAAAGATTGTTTTCGATAAAGCGGGATTTAGAACCATCCATCAGAAGTTGTCCGCCCTTGTTCGCTGGGAGATCCGGGAACAGACCAGGTCGGTTATACTTGAGGCCACCAAAATCCGGCTCCCCAGTCGACGCTGGGTCCACGGGCGATGAATGGCTGGGGGAATTGAGGTCACCGGGACCGTCGTCCAGGTTGAGACCCTTGGCTTTGAGGAGTAATTCGCACTTCCTCAAACGCTCTAGTAAGACATCTTCCTGTAACCGTTTCTTTCGACGACGAGGTGCTGGTGGAACGCGGAAGATGCATTCGACCTGTGATTTGGAACAGTTCGAACAGGGACTCTGCTTGTCGCATTTTACCTTGCGCTCGAAGCATCGAATACAAGAAAATGCCTTTGGCGGCCGTTCGGCCGGAGTACTGTCACTCATGGCTAATGACTGATCTCCAAGCACCATGCTCGAAGACGTTGTTGTCTGCAATGGCCTCTTCCCAGGCCAGCAGTGGGGTTGATCGGCCCAGGGATGATAGGTCTCCAATCACCAGTCTGGGAAGGCAATCCACCTCACTTTCAGCTCAGGACGAACACAGACGCGACTAGGAGGATCTTTGAAGGAGGTTTCTTGGTATTTCTCTGTCAAAGCGAGGAATGGCCTACCTGGGCTGAGAACAACGTGGTGACATCAAGACATGGCTGTTGAATTGACCATTGTCTCCAATTGATTAAAGTATGCAGATTCAGGCAGCGACGAATGGTCTTGGCAATGGCTCTAGCTTTATCGAGACGGTTGTCGCTGCTCGTATTCGGATAGTCAAATACGAGCCACCCATCTAGGTAGTCAAAAGGTTGGAAACATGTTCTGGAGGCAATCATGAAAAGTGAAGGTTGATGGATGAAGAATGAGAAAATCAAAGTAAACATGCGATCTTAAATGCTCCCTACTTTAGCACCAGTATGACCAGCGGATCAACCAACTTGGCTCGGTGCTTGGCCTGGTTCGGCGCCTATGAACAATCATCATTATCCGTCTGCTCATTGGATATTTGGATGGAAAACTTCTTAAATTACAATCTATTTCCCATTTCTAGCTGTTGACCACGACTCCACCATTGGGGTGTAAGCTCTGCCCGCTCATCATGCTGCTGTCTGGGCTGGCTAAAAAGACAAAGGAGGTAGCGATCTCGGCAGGTTGTGCAGGGCGACCCAGTGGGGAGGTGAATTGCTCTTGAGCCTCCTTTGTCATCGTCGAAGGGATTAAAGGCGTCCAGACTGGGCCAGGGCATACAGCGTTGACACGGATGCCTTTGCTCACCTGCTGGTTGGCGAGCCCTCGAGTGAATGCAACGATCGCTGACCCATTGTGTTAGTCGTGGTTGTGGTACGCAGATAATCAAATCACTCACCCCCTTTGGTTGAAGTATAGTCCAGAAGATCTGGCCGGCCAATGTACGCGTTGATCGAAGCGCAGTTGATCACTGTGTCGCCTCTCTTCATATGCGGAACTGCGGCCTTGGAAAGATAGAACATCGGGTGAATATTGATGTCAAACGTCTTGATCCACTGTTCGGCTGGTATATCGGTGATGTCCTGTTGCATCATTTGATAACCGGCATTGTTGACCTACCAAAATTGTCACTATAAGAGAGTGTCTAGCCAAAGAGGCATATGCACTTACCAAGATGTTTATTTCACCGAGCTCTTTCAATGCAGTATCGATGACCTTTTGACAGTTCTCCTGCTTTCTGAGATCGCCACTCACCAGGACGCATTTCCTGCCATGCTTTTCAACTGCACATTTTGTTTCTTGGGCATCTTCCTCCTCTTCAGGTAAATAGGCGATCAGACTGTCTGCGCCTTCCATTGCATATAGGATAGCGATTGCACGACCGATACCGCTATCGCCACCTGTGATCACCGCTTTCTTTCCTTCCAGCTTTCCCGCTGCCTTGTAGGGTTGCCATTTGCCATTGGGAGTCGGGAGTTTGTCGTGAATGGCCTCGACTGGTAAATCACTCTCTCTGCCCGGAGGATCTTGATGTGAGACCGGCGGTTTGAATTCTTGCTGGTACTGAGACATCTTGGGAACTTGTTGGACGAAAACGAGGCACAGGTATAGGGCGGATAAGGGAAATCAAGATTCGATCACAATTCAAGAAAATCAGGTCAAGCAGATTGATAAAGGGAAGTTAGCATGAGCAAGAATAGTCGAAATGCTCTTCCTGAGAACTTTTTTAATGGATGCAGAACGTCATCATCAACACTGATGTCAGAGCGGGAATCGTCTCCGACTCTTGCAGAACCAGTCCATTGTGTGTGGTGTGTTCAGGTAGTCGTGATCGTACTGGGAACATGAACTGACACGAAACACTTCATTATCACTCAGGGTGAGGTGCCACTGAAGATCTTGATGTTCCTGAGTGCCATGAACAATATATATTAGAACGGTTGAGGTTGTTGTCGAGGAGAATGTCAATATGTACCAATTGTTTCTGGCGAACCAGTAGAAATTCACTGTTGGCTCCGAGCTTTACCAGACTCGGACCTTGAGCAAATGCCTTTGTCAGACAAGATCATCGTGCTTTACAGTCTGCTGATTTTCTCGTCAGGCAATATTCCCTTCTCCTTGTGCTCGGCCCCGAAGCTTCTCTGACCGTCCGAAAGGCATCGGCCGCTTCTTTGATCGTTTTGGTGCTTGTACGGACCTCGAAACAATCAACAGTCAAGATCCAATATTATCTCCTTATGGTTCTATGGTCTTTTCGGGGCCATCACGACCGACAGGCACCGCTCAATCAAAATTTCACCGTACTATATGCACACTACATCAACAAAGGTAGGTCAATAAAGGTAGGCTGCTATCACAGTGTTCGCTTCCTCGCTCTCATACCTGTTCACCGAATTGTTCGTGATTGAAGGTAATCATCTACACCTGAATAAGGCCTGCCAGCTACTACAGAATCAGTCAAAGTCGATGGTCTCTACCCAACTTCAGCCCGCGATGTCCATCTCAGAAACCTCTGCAGAGGGTTCCAACAGGGAACCCAAGAATCATCAAGATATCCCGTCAACTCCTCAGAAACCCAATGGATCGCCTGCAGATGAAGAAGACGAATACCCTTCTAAATCAAGAGTCCTTGTGACCGTTTTTGCAATGATGTTAACGTCATTTTGCGTCGCACTGGTACAGTTACACTCCCTCCACCTCTTTCCTCATTGGAAACTCGTTATACTAACCCCAAGTCATTTGCTCCATCGTTATAGGATCGCACCATCATCGCAACAGCAATACCCGTCATCACCAACCACTTCAACTCCCTCGGCGATGTGGGCTGGTACGCGTCGGCCTACCTCCTGACCATGGCTCCCCTGATGCTCATCATGGGCCGAATATACAAATTCTACAACCCGAAGTGGGTCTACATGGTCTGCATCGGCATCTTCGAGATTGGCTCCCTGGTGTGCGGCGTCGCTCCGAACTCGACTGCCCTCATCATCGGGCGCGCCATTGCGGGCATGGGGTCCGCGGGGATCATGTCCGGGGCCATCGTCATCGTGGTCTACATCATACCCCTGCAAAAGAGGCCCGCGTACACGGGCATGTTTGGGATGGTCTTCGCGGTCGCCTCGGTCGCGGGCCCCCTCCTGGGCGGCGTCTTCACCGACAAGGTCTCCTGGCGGTGGTGCTTCTACATCAACCTGCCCCTCGGCGGCGTCACGATGGCCATCCTCGCACTGACCCTGAAGGTCCGAAACGATTCAACCAAGGCGCCGTTGAAGGAACAAATCCACCAGCTCGACCCGCTGGGCACGCTGTTCATCCTCCCGGCCGTCATCTGCCTCCTTCTGGCTCTGCAGTGGGGCGGGACGACGTACTCGTGGTCCAACGCCCGCATCGTCGTCCTCCTGGTCCTCTTTGGTGTCCTTTCCATTGTCTTTGTCTACATCCAGCACTGGCGCCAGGAGCTCGCGACCATCCCCCCGCGCTTGATGAAGCATCGCGCCATCGTCGCGGGGACGTGCTATTCCTTCTTCAGCGGCGCCGAGATGATGGCGCTGGTCTACTTCTTGCCCATCTGGTTCCAGGCCATCAAGGGCGCCTCGGCCGTGCACTCGGGCATTATGAACATCCCCGCCGTGCTGGGCATATCCATCTCCAGCATGTTCGCGGGCTTCTCGACCAGGAAATTCGGCTACTTCACTCACTTTTTGTACATCTCGTGCGTCATGACCACGGTCGGCGCAGGACTCATCTCCACCTTCACCACCTCGACGGCCCACCCCAAATGGATCGGGTACCAGGTCCTCTGGGGTCTGGGTCTCGGGTTTGGCATGCAGCAACCCAGCGTGGCCGCGCAGACCATCCTGTCGCGCAAGGACGTCTCGACCGGCGTGAGCATGATGTTCTTCTCGCAGACCCTGGGTGGCGCCATCTTCGTCAGCGTCGCCAACAACGTGTTCGACAACAAGCTCGCCTCCGGCCTGAGGGGGGTCCCGGGCATCGACGCAAACTTTGTCACCCACATCGGCGCCACCGACTTGAGGCGCGTCGTCGCCCCGCAGTACCTCCACGCCGTCCTCGTCGTGTACAACCAGGCACTGCGGAACGCGTTCTACGTCTGTGTCGCCCTCGCGGCAGCCACCATCCTCGGCTGCGTCCCCATGCCCTGGCTGAGTCTGAAAAAGGCGGCGGAGAAGCAAAAGGCAGAGGCACAAGCCGCAAAGGCGGAAAAGGAAGAGGCTGCCGCCGCGACGGACGCACAAAAGAATGACGGCGATGCGAGCAGCGTGCCGGGCAGTTCAGGCGAGGCGAATCAGCATCACGCCGAAGAAGAAAAGAAATTGGCGAGAGTGTAGAAGAAAAGATAGGCCCAGTCCATCATTGCATCCTGCGCTGGTACAGTGGGAGATCATGATTGACATCCATGCCCTGCTGGTAGATTGTACAATTTCAGGGGCTGGACATTTGAGTGATAATGAAAACGGCGATAACAAGATCACATATTCCATTCTGGATTAAGAAAAAATGAATCACCATACTCTTGAAAATTGTCATTGTAACCATGAATTTTTTATTCTGTCTTTTATGTTCACGAGTGATTGCCACACTTACCATTTGCGTTGGGTGGGCGGCACATAACCATACTTGGGACAGAACCATTCGTCTTTTTGGGTACACAGGTAGACCGTGCTAAAATACCAATATGTCACATCTCCTCTCGAGTCACTAGGTATGCCCTCAAGGACCGCTTCCAGCGCTGAGAATGTATCCACCGTCCACCGCAACTGTCTGCCCGTTGAGATATTGACAGGTTGCGAGGAACAGAATCGCATTCGCCATGTCCCTGTCCTCTCCGGGCCTCGCGGCGGGGACCTTGCTCTCGTACTTTTCCCGCGGGATGTGGGACTTTTGCTTCTCGTCGCTCTCACCCGCCGTCATCTCGCTGGGGAACACGCCCGGAGCGACGCTGTTCACCCTCACCCTCAGCCCGTTCTGCGCGATCTCGTTCGCCAGCATCCTCGTCAAATGAATAGCGGCGGCTTTGCTGGCATTGTAGGCGAAATGGTGTTGCGATGTCTTGACGATCCCGGAGATGCTCGTGTTGTTGATGACGACGCCGGAAAAGTTGTCGTTGTGCTTGTGCGCGGCTTCCAGGAGCGGCAAGAAAGCGGTCGTCATGAAGAAGAGCTGCGGCACGTTGGTGCGGTACGTGTCGGTCCACATCTCAAAAGTCTCGTCCGGGTCGTCGAAGAGGTTGGCCGACATTTCTTCCGCCGACCTGGCCTCGGTCTGTTGGGTGTTCAGGGAGATGCCGGCGTTGTTGAACAAGATGCAGAGACACCTTTCGCGCGACGAGATGTCGGCCACGAGCCGCTTGATCTCGTCCTTTTTGGACACGTCGCACGTCAGTGGGATGATTTCGCCGGGGATGTCTTTGCCGTAGATGTCGGCCACTCGTTGCAGTTTCTCTTCGGTCCGGCCGACGATGTAGACTCTGGCGCCATTGGTGGCCAGGGCTTGAGTAGCCATCAGGCCAATGCCTGAGCCGCTACCCGTGATCAGTGCGACTTTACCCTTGACATCAAAGAGCTTGTCGAGCTTGAAGTCGGCATTGTTGTTGTTCTGAGACATGGCGGTGGTGGTGGTGCTGAGGTGGTTTTGGAGTTTCAGTAGACGCGGTTGAGCTGGCGTGACGGGGACTCGTACACGAACTGGCCCGTAGAAGCAGGGAGCCTTGCGTGTCGATGTTGAGAGGTAAGGAATTTGTGATGATTGAAGACGAAAAGGTTTGATGCTTCGCAAGGGTAATTTGGGCGGCATGGGGAATTGATATACCAACCAGGAACGAACGTATCTTACCGTGTCTTCATACCAGAGTTAAGGCAACTCGTCAAGGCCATTTGAAGCCATACGTCAATGTTATGACGATGAGATGATGAAACGATAGTCTCCATCCGACGGATGCATTATCCGCCCTTTTCTTACTGCTGGTCTCTTGATCGCACACTGGTGACGAACTCACTTCGTTGACCATCTCTAAAGAAGAGTCTCGGTGATTGTTGATCAGGTTCAAAGCGTGAGAGTTTCTGATTGTTGTAGGTCATGATGGAAGCGATGCAGGACATGGCGGTCGCCAGAAGGACACTATGAGGACGAGTACATGACGGGCATAAATGCTCCGGAGAAGTCGTAACTCGTCAATCCGGGGTAAGGAAGCAATTGAACCAATCAGATCAATCACGACCCATGGGCGCATTTCTGCCCATCAACTTCCACTACACGAGTAATCGTTGCATCTTCCGATACTGAATACCAATTCCTCATCCCCACTGCCGTCTACCAGAATGCGACGGCCACCTACAACCAGACCTTGACCCGTTAGCCATCTCCAAGCTCAGTAGCTCCCTTCCCTTCGCCATGTCTAGCATGTACGCCTACGGCGCAGGCGTGCCACGGTCATATGTCACACCCCAATTTCCCGCCTTGTACTGGCCCATCCGCGCCCTCCCAGGCCAGTCGAAATACCTCTACTACCTCTCGGACATCTACCGCTACACTCTGTACTGGTCGCTCATCACCATTGTTTCTGCGCACATCTGCGTGGCAGGTTGGGCTGTGCTCATGCAATTTAACTCGGCGTCACAACGAAGGAAGTTTCTCGCCTCGCCGGTGGGCAAGAACCTGAGTACAAAAACTAGGAGATTGCTTGGGGACAATCCCATTGGTGAAACGCTTGGATGGGTTTGGATCGTGCCTATTGTCTACATCGTTCTAGGAGGGTTAGAGGCTCTGTTGGCTGGGACCATGGTTGGCTTAGTCCTGGGCGCGGTTTACAACGCGGGATACTTTGCCATGAGCACATGGACACCCTTGCTCTGGGGCATTATCAACATGCTTGTCCTGGTCGTGAGCAGTTTCAGAATACAAGGTGGCCTGTGAATCCTCATAACTATGACATTAATGGATCAATTCACATCCGGTCATTGCTTTCTTAAACTATGGATCAGGTCATGTACACGATAAGATCAACTTTAACTGGTGGATCTATGTGACTTGACCTCACCTCCGCACATGAACACGATGTATGAGGAACTTACAAGGTCAGCTCGGCGAGGTCATTTCAAGCTCGACATCTAGAAGCTGAGAGCTCAGCGGACACTAGGCTCGAGGCTAGGGGAGCCAGTACACTTCGGCAAGCGGTTGCACAGGCAAGTCTGCGACTCATGTTGATCTCGAGTAGTAAGTTTAAATGAGTGACTTCGAAGGAGGTAAAGGGCATTCGTCTTGACCGCCTTAGGTAGACAATACGGGGACATCCCATTTCGTACCATCAATTCGTGAGAAGAAAGTCGCACAAAGTGGATGAAAGAAGAAGCAAGGAAGGTCTAGATATGTGTCCGCGCGGTATGCATGTGCTGTTACAACATCCTGTAGATGATCGTTCGACGTCAGAACCAATACACCTGGAAAAGGAAGATACTTGACTAAAACTTCAATTTGGTTCTCAGGATTGCCGTTGCATGTCTCCGTCTTGTACCCATCTGCAGTGTGCAATGCGGTCAGCGATAGCCCCGTGAAATTGTAAACGCTCAAGCCAGGAAAGTACTAGAAGCAAAAAGGCCATGCGATCTGCCGGGACGTTCGAAATCATTCATCCGGGTTGCCTTGCTGGTAAATATGTCTTGTCCGGGTGGGGTCTTTGCGCATCTCGTGCCCACTGCCAGTAAATCCAACTGCAAACAAGTAAGCACGTAGAATCACAACAGGAACGGGTGGTCTCACCTCTCGCATTGACACCTTCTCCGGTCCGGAACATGCTTTCCTTCTTTGTAAATTTGCCGGCTTTAGACTTGGCTGCAAAGTCCTGCCACTTGTTCTTGCCCGCCTCCAGCTCTTTGTTCGCCTTTACCTTGCGTGGTATCTTGGCCGGTCTGATAGGTCCATCACTGACTTTGCTCGGCTCTCGTTTGGCCTGTTGGGCCAGAGTAGGATCGACGCTGGCGGCTGCGGAAATGACGCTTGGATTCACTGGTGCAGGAACCGGAGTGGACGATCCTGAGATGCCATCAGCTTTCCGCTTCTTCGCCTCATTTGACAGCGGCTTGATGTGATTAGATTTCAGTGTCTCGGTGTTTCCATAGTTTTTAAAAGTGACAATATACACTGGGTCGCTCGATGAGCCGGTGATCGACGTAATTCTGGCGGCATAAAATCCCCCATCGCCTGATTTCCATCTAGCCATGACATTGTCATTGACAGAGAATGTTGTTGGTGTTTGTGATTCTTCTTCAACATCAGGTTTCCGATAGCCGGCTTGATAAGCTGGATGGTTTTCTTTTGACCATTTCTCCTTCACTGGTGGCGGCGAGGGTTTCGCAGAGTGCGCTTGTACTGAAGCAGGCTTTAGTTCTGCAATGGCAGCTTCGGTGAGGGAAATAACTTCTTCAAGTTCTGATTTCAGGCTCTGTAGTTCAGTGTTGTCTGGATCATCTTGTAAACTTGACTGTACTGTTTCCAGTTGCAGTGTGTATTCCTTGAGTTCGTTCTCAAAAGCGGCCAACTCGGCTGCGCTCATGTTGGAAGTTGAGAGTGCCTAGGGGGACAGGTCGAGATCTGATAAGGTGAAACTGTAAGTAGGTGTATGTCAGGTAGGAAATTGATAAAATGACGAGTGCAAAGTAGTTCTATACATTCAAGTCTGCGCCATGCAGCAGGCGCAATACAGTACAATCACAAAAGTGCCAAGAACGTCCAGGGTTTTTACCCGAGGTTTCTGTCCCAGGCGCTCCCCATACGAATCCTGGGTTTGGAGTATGAATATTGCGACTATCTGAGGTACTGACTTGTACCTGAACTTATCAGCACGTCCTATCTTCGGCCAAAGGAACTCGGCCAATTCAGATCGTCGCTCATCATTTCTCAGATCTTCCTGTACCAAGACATTTTACATATTTCTGTCCTTCCTGTACGGCGTATAGTAGAGGTCCAATGTTGCCCCAGCCTCGGATCCCGGCAAAATCCGTGTTAGAGACACCATACGATATGATAGCGAGGACACGAGTATGAGAAGTGGCCAGTTCTAACACAGGCAGTTTACGGAGTCCACAGAGTTTCGTTCCGGAGGCCCTCAGGTGACTAGCGAATGTCGGGCTCTGCATCGATGACGTCGCAGAAGCGAGCCACCAGCTGTTCAATCAGAGACTTCAGCGATAACCCCATCCATACAGTGAGTCAGGCTAGGAGAGCGATCCCGGTCGTCCAGGAACCGTGGAAAAGTAGGGTTCGGAGTATAGAGAACCTCATTCGTCGAAAGGGTCTAGAAAACGACTTTCCCATTGCCATTGTCAGCGCCGTCATATCAAATTCGGCAAGAGTGCCTGATTGAAGTTTGGTGGTAAATTTGAATGGACGGCATGGACTATCATGGATGCGCATGGACCAGTCGCGGCTCGAGTCAGCTTAGAAATCAACTTTGGATGAGGTCGAGGCTGCTCCCATCCGGATAGTTTGCCACATCTCACCCTGGCCCACGAGGCCTTTTCCTCCAGCCAGAGCAGAGAATGCGTGGACAAGCGTGAAGATTTGAGCGCTATGGTGTCAATCAACTCTCTCCCGCCTGGAGAGGTCAATCTTATGGTCAAGGAACAAAATCTGTTCTAGTCAACTTGGACAGGTCAATGACATCTTCTCGTACTCTTGCTTGTCTTCCGTATCTCGGTCAGTAAGAGTCCAAAGCGGTAATGAGTGGCTGTAGCAGCGGGAAAGGCAGGCTTCCTAGGCCCAAAAAAACATCCATGACATGTCCGGGCGCTCTCCAGGGCCTGAGGTTGCCTGTACTTTTAATTACGAGGTAAATAGTGGTACCTCCGGGAAGGGACATTGGGAGGGTCTAACGGAGCATCGTAGTTAAAGAACACCCCCGTCGGGGCTCAAAGAGGCGTAGATCTTGGCAGGGTCTGTCCTCGGTGTCTGCAGTCAATGGTGCAATCCGTCTTCGATCTCCCCCTCCGGTGCTTCTCATCCATTATTCATTCTTCTCCTACTACCACTGCCCGCGAGTTGAAGCATCTGGCCGCAACAGACAACCCTCGCCAGACCTTTAACTTCTCTCTTATACCTCTCGTCATTCCTTCGCCCCTATCAGGAATCGTTTATCTTGGTCAGGCACTGCCATCATCCTTCCGTCCAGCCTTGTTATTATCTCAAAGGGTGCGCTGACCGCCCCGCCTATCCCGCACCCTTACTTCTACCCACTATTATTATTCTGTCATATTCAATTCATCTTTTTCCCAAGCAGTTCCTGTTACTATTGAACATCTTTGCGCTATACTTCGCGCCTCTTGCTACTGCCATTCGCACGCAGTAGAGGGAGGCATCATTCAAAGCCATCTGTGGGAGCATTAGAGCCGCTCCGCACTTCCCGACCGAACAGATCGCTCGCTCCAGCCAGCCGGCCCTGTTTGCAACTGAGACAAAAGGCAACCCATCTGTCCATTCTACCTTTCAATGTCGCGTCGATCTACAGAAGGTCTCTTTCTCTCTCCGGATCAGCAAGAATTGCTTATGGCGGCGTTGAACTCGAACAAATCCTTGAACCAGCAATCTACTCAAAAATCCACCCCCCAAAATCTTAACTTCACCCCCAACATGTCTGCTCCAGGCTCTGCCACACTCGACTTCAGTGACGACAGTCCTTTTCTCGATTTCGACCCCGAAGCCGATTTTGGCGATGAGAGTTTTGATTTTGATGAGAATGCTCGCATGATTGGGGACATCCCCGGCGAGCTTCATGATAAGAGGAAAAGCATTGATGGCAAAGATGACGATGATGAAGGAGGAGGGAAAAGACGTGAGGGTGAAGACAAGACTGCCAAAAAGCCTGGCAGGAAGCCTTTGACCTCCGAACCCACCTCTGTATGTATAGTCCGAGCTTGACGACGACAGAACTAATCATTGAACCACAGAAGCGCAAGGCTCAGAACCGAGCAGCTCAACGTGCCTTCCGCGAGCGGAAAGAAAAGCATCTTAAGGATCTCGAGACGAAGGTGGAGGACCTCGAAAAAGCCTCGGAGTCCGCCAACCATGAAAATGGTCTCTTGCGTGCTCAGGTCGAGCGCCTGCAAGTTGAACTGAAAGAATATCGCAAGCGTCTCTCGTGGATCAGTAGCAATGGCTTGAATCGCTCGCAGCCAGTTGTCACTCAAGGACGAACTAATCCTGGCGTCAATAGCCAAAATGACTTCAAGTTTGAATTCCCCAAATTCGGCGATTTGCCACCGATGCCCGCGACAAACCTCTTCGGTTCGAACTCTCAGAAACCGCAGACCACAGCCTCCAGCCGAGCATCGTCAGTCGCCACACCTAGTTCGACCCAGGCAAATGGGAATGCCAACAATCGTAGATCACCATCGGCCTCACAGAACCAGCCTGCTAGGTTTGGGTCCCTCAGTCAGTCTCCATTGAGTACTGGATATTCGGCTTCACCACGGCCCCAGACAGCGCATAAAGAGCAGCAAGGGAGCGTTGATAGCTTGTCAGGTCTGTTCAGTCCTTCCATCCTCGAGGCAAGTCGGCATGCTTCGATGAACGGCTACTTCCTTCAGAATAACTATAACAACACCAACTATAACGGCCAAGGCAACGGCTCTGGATTACATTCAAATTCGAGCATGTCCACCCATGATTCTCCCAGTTCGTCGACAGAGTCACAGAATCATATCTCCTCGATTGGTACATCCCCAGAACCCAGCCTCAACTCTCCAGCGAACAAGATCAACGAGATTGGCCTCAACCCTATCCATGAAGAGAACCCGCTTTCATTTGGAGGTAAGGACCTCTGCCAGCAACTCCAAATGGCCTGTGGCTGCGCGGACGACCCTGTACCTCCCATCTTGAACATGTCTAACGGAGTACCTTCAGGCTTGAGTCAGAATACACAGAGCTTGGATGGCACTGGCTTTGATTTCATGGCCCAATCAAATAACAACACATTTGATCCGGTTCTGTTCGGAGACTACCGTGAGACACAAGACAACATTCTATCACAAGATTTTGGGGCTTTCTTCAATGACGCCTATCCATTGCCCGATTTGGGGAGCCCGCTTCACAACTACACAGATCTCACGACAGATCAATCCTCGAAACAGAACGATCTCATGAAGATGGTCGAGGCCGCCAAGAACGAAGAAGTCGTGCCCGACAACGACAAGCCCATGACTTGTAACAAGATATGGTCAGTACACGTTCGTGCATCGCAAGTACAAGTAGCTAACTTTTCGTGCAGGGATCGTCTTCAGTCAATGGAGAAATTTCGGAACGGCGAAATTGATATTGACAATTTGTGTAGCGAGCTACGTTCGAAGGCAAAATGCTCCGAAGGTGGTGCTGTGGTGGATAAGAGAGATGTTGACAAGATCCTGGGTACAGCTTGAAACATCTGTTCTGCATACTGGTCATGTACGAAGCTCTCGGGAGTTTATGGCTGAAGTCTTCGGGGACATATGATACCATCATGAAAATGGAATGAAAATGGGGAATGAATGACCTAGGTGCGTGACATTTGGGTCTATATCGTATTGTTTAGTGGAGTTGGGAGGTGATTGTGCCTTCAATGTACCAATTTTGTGCGATCTGGGCTCTTCTCGAAGTCATGACGCTCTTTAGGAGGTATTATATCTCCAGACAGCCATATATCAGATCTGAAAACATGAAAACAATGTGTAACTGAATGATTCGTTGTTCCCTCGCCTTGAGAAACCCGAGTCGAGCAATAGGGGGTAGTGGACGGCCAGGCACCTAATTTGTGGTTCGCTGACACCCAGCACTGAGATAAAGATGGAATCATGAAGACTAATTCCAATCCAGCAGTCCTTACCTCTGTAGTTGCTTTGTATACAAGGCCATGCACTGAGCACCTGGGCATAGACAGGCAGTAATAAAGTGAGGCGGTGATGCTGTTCTCGGGGTTAACGAAAGAGGTTAAGCGGCAGTGCCAAGCTGACTCTCAGACAGATGGAGACTGGCGCCATTTGGACGATGTAGCTTGTCGCTTTTCCTGGGGGTGAATACTCTCATTGTTGTAGACATTCTCATTTTTGTTCTACTCTTCGGCTTAGTATCAGCCTCTTTCTTGTTTTTGGCCTTTGCGAGATCCTTGCCACAACAGATCCCTCCGCGCAAACCATATATTCACTAATTCTAATCGATTCACCTCCTGGACCTTTCTGCCGCGCCCCCAAACCCGTGCTTGCGCGCTCAGAGATTCTTCCACCACGAACTTCACATCCAGTGATGGCTTCTGTGAGTCTTCATCTCCTTCATACCTTCTCGTCGTTGCCTCTCTTTTTGATCTAAGCCCCGTCATCACAATGTATCGATCCAATGCTGGAACAGGCCTTATGCCTGTTGCTGTACCGCCACTAATCCTGCGCCGTCAACAGCCTCGACCTCAATTCCCAAATCCAGGCTATCTACCCAACGGTACTTCTGGCCCGACCCCAGGAGCACAGGCTCTTCTTCCCAACAATGGCCGAGTCATCCAGTCCGGTCCTGTCCGCGTCCTATGCATCGCCGATGTGAGAGGTGAGTTGAGTTATACCTTTCCCTGCTATGCTGAGCCTATCTGACGAACCCTTTCACCTGCACAGGAAACCTCCGATCCCTGAACGACCTGGCGAGGACTGCGAGGGCCGATTACATCCTACATACCGGTGATTTTGGTTTCTACGACCACACTTCATTAGAGAGAATAGCCGAGAAGTATGGAGACCAATTCACTCCAAGATCAGCATACTGAACCGAATTTAGGACTCTGAAGCACGTCGCGCAATATTCACCTCTTCTCAGCGAACCTGTCAAGCGACAGATCGCTCAGCCGAATCCATCGCGACCGGTCAAACAGATGTTTTCGCCCGATCAACTCCCTCTTTCGGAGCTGCCTCTCCTTTTGAATAAGCAGATCACCCTCGACGTACCTGTCTACACGGTATGGGGCGCTTGTGAAGATGTGCGCGTCCTCGAACGATTTAGATCGGGGGAATACAAAGTTGACAACCTACACATCATTGACGAAGTCAATTCAAGATTACTGGACATTGGTGGTGTCAAACTGCGCTTATTGGGTCTGGGAGGTGCCGTCGTCATTCACAAGCTCTTTGACAATGGCGAAGGCAAGACATACATTGCAGGGGGTCAAGGAACAATGTGGACGACGCTGCTGCAAATTGGTTCTCTGATCGATACCGCCAACCGTGTCTACGATCCCTCAGAAACCCGAATTTTCCTGACTCACGCCTCGCCTGCGAGAGATGGAATTCTCAACCAACTCTCCGTCACACTCAAGGCCGACTTCTCCATCTCCGCTGGTCTACACTTCCGTTACGGCAGCTCTTACAACGAGTTCTCCGTGAATCCTTCCCTGGACCACTATCGTGGCAAGCTGGCTGCTTCAAAGGCTTCGTTCCAGGATGTGTGGGAAACAGTCAAGATGGATGTTGAGCAAGCCATCGAGTCCAACGCAAGTCACAAACAACTCCTGCACAGTGCTTTGGATATCATCGAAAAGATGCCTAGCACTGCCAACGGAGGCAATCCATTCGGCGGTCCAGTTGGTGGTGGAGGTGCCGCAGGTCAAGTGGACGAAAGTGCATTCAAAAACATGTGGAATTTCAACCTTGCCGATGCTGCCTTTGGCTATCTTGTTCTGGAAATTGAAGGGGGTCGCATTGGCACAGAAATGCGCGCCCAAGGCTTCAACTTTGCCCACCGCGGCAAGCAACCCAACATCGGTCAGGCCGGTCAGCAGCAGCAGGTTACATCTGCACAACAAGCTCCGGTCCCAGCACCACCTTCCGCCGCTCCAACCGGTCCAGGCCAAAACCGCACCCCTGCTTTCCCGGCTCCGGTTCAGCCTTTCCCACAACAGCAGAAGCCCGGGCAACAGCAAGGAAGAGCCAACCAACCAAGTCAACAAGGGCCAGGTGCAAAGGCAGCCACTCCACCAGTCACAGGATCTCCCGCACCACCTGTCACTCAAGGAAAACCCATGACGCCCCAGCCATCGAGCGCCGCAGTGCCAGCTACTACCTCGTTGGATGCCAAGCCCATGCTACCCGCTACGAACGGTAGCAGTGCAGATAGGGCAGCTGACAGTGAGGCGTCCAAAGCGAAGACTGCGGCCCCTGCTATTGAGCGCAAGGCGCCTACTGCCCTCTATATGTCGTTTGTGGACACGGAGGAGGCGGCCAAGGAATGCGTGGCAGAAGAGGACCGAGAGAAGGTCAAATCAATTGTACGGATAGGAAAGTTCGGCAATTGGAAAGTTCAATTTGAGGATCACGAAACTGCCCAAGCTGCTTTGACACGCTCTCAAGCCGAAGTATTGAAACACAAAGGTCCCAATGGCAAGCCTCCTAAGGTTATGTTCTTTGAGGAACGAGGCGGTGGAGCCCACCAGCGTGACAGCCATAGTCAAGGCGGTGCGGGAACCTGGCAAGGCAGCAGTCGAGGTGCTTCAGCTGCAGGCTCTGGACCTTCCCGAGGGGGTTACCAGAGTGGAGGAGCAAGTGATAGCGAAGGTGGCCGTGGTCGAGGCGGGTTCCGCGGTCGCGGTCGTGGCCGTGGCGACGATCGAAGTGGCCGAGGTGGCCGTGGTGGACGAGGAGGCTTCAACAAAACGGCTGAAGGAACCTCAGACAGCCGACCATCCAACGACTCCAAGTCAAATGACTCCAAGCCACCGGCAACTTCAGGTGATAGCTGAGTCTGTCGACACCGTGATTTCACCATATCTTATTGAGTCTCGAGTATGGAGAGCGAAGGAATCCCCGGCGAGATTTTTCAGCGAAATGGTCGGGTTGTGTGCATTATGAAGGCGCCATAAGGATGTCAAAATGGTGGGTACTTTGGCCGGAGTAGAGAACAGGCTGAGGTTCCGACCAGGACATGGGGGTTTCCTTCTGAGGCTTGGAGGCACTTCCTTCAACCATGTGTATTCTACCCTTTTTCTTCTTGTTAGAAAAGAGAAAAGTCAATAGTGAGCTGGAGCAAGAAGCGGATATCCAATGGAACAGATTAAAGAAGATTTGAGAGAATCAACGTAATGTTGTAACAATGGCCCTTTAGGCCCTGTAGGCACAAAATAGACGAGTGCACTCGTCCTCCGTACAATACGGAGTACGTGGGCAAGGCTGGGGAGGGCTCTATAGGCGCAAGCAACAGCCCGGGGGGTTCCCCCAATACAGTATGCGGTATGACGGAAGCGCAGCGGAACTCGGGCCCGTCCTTGTACTGGTGACGCACTCGGTTTCTTGCTGCAAGGCTAAACTCCAACCACCTGTGACTCGTTGGTCCTGCGTCTCGAACATTTGTAAATACCTGCTTTGGAAGTCTACAAACAAACCATATTGCATTCTCCCTACATTCTTTTTTGGCTACACTTCTTTTTTTGATCTCCTCAGTGATTCATCCGGACTTTTGCTATTCGCCTTGCGCGGACTCTACCGAAACACTCCAGTGCATAATGCAGCACGCCGATTGTTCCTCCCGGTGATACCAAAGAACATACATACCCCTTGACCATCCACGACGCCCTGTAAAATGCGCTTCTCCACCAGCGCTATTGCAGCTTTGGCTGCTTTTTCCTCGATTCCTCTCACCATTGCCTCCGTAGGCACCCCTCTTCACGAAGTCGGTCGATGCGCAATACGAGGTCACTGTGGCAAACAAGGGTTTTTTGGATCTGACTTGCCCTGTCCCGACAATGACAAAGCATCTCCTCCTTCTGACACACTGCGCGAGAAGTTGGTTGACCTCTGCGGAACGAAATGGGAGGACACCGATGTGTGCTGTGAGGAGGATCAGGTCGATACTTTGAAAAAGAACCTCAAACTAGCAGAGCGCATCATCGCATCGTGTCCAGCTTGCAAGGAGAACTTCTTCAATATTTTCTGCACCTTCACTTGTTCGCCGGACCAGTCCCTCTTCATCAATGTGACGGAAACTGGAAAGGCTAGCAATGGAAAAGATGTGGTGACCGAGCTTGATAACATATGGTCAAAAGAATATCAGAGTGGATTTTACGACAGTTGTAAAGAGGTCAAAAATGGCGCCAGTGGTGGTAAAGCCATGGCTTTCATCGGAGGCGGCGCGGAAAACTACACCGAGTTCTTGAAGTTCTTGGGCGACAAAAAACTCCTGGGCAGTCCGTTCCAGATCAATTTCCTGGATGAAGCACGGCATGATGATTCAGAGGGCATGAAACCAGAGGATCCTCGTGTCTATGCCTGCAACGATACGAACCCGGATTATCGGTGCAGCTGTGTAGACTGTCCTGCTGTGTGCCCAACATTAGAGCCCGTCAGTTCAGCCAAGTCTTGTCACGTCGGAAAGCTGCCGTGCCTGTCTTTTGCAGTGGTCATCATCTACTCTGTTGCACTCCTCCTCCTCATCACGGCCATATCTGGTCATGTGGCATATCGGAAACATAAGCAGTGGAAGAGTGAGAGACTACAATTATTACAAGATGCTGCACCAAGCGATGATGAGGACGAGGGCGATCTTGTACACAACCCCGGACTTCTAGAGCGACCTCAAAGGAATTACTATTTGAACCAGGTCTTCGACCGAGCCTTCAACAAATTGGGCGGTTTTTGCGCTCGCTACCCGGCCTTGACAATCGGTACTAATATTGTCATTGTGGGACTTTTGAGTATAGGCTGGGTACGATTTGAGGTCGAAAGAGATCCTGTTCGGTTGTGGGTTAGCCCTAGTTCCGATGCAGCTCAAGAGAAGGCTTTTTTCGATGCAAACTTTGGTCCGTTCTACAGAACAGAGCAGGTTTTCCTCGTCAACGATAGCTCTCCCACCGGCTCTGTTCTCAACTATGACAACCTCGACTGGTGGTTTGATATTGAACAGCGCGTCTCTCGCATGATGACACCCGAGAATGGCATTACACTCAAGGATGTCTGCTTCAAGCCGACCGAATCGGCTTGCGTTGTTCAGTCCGTCAGTGGATGGTTCGGAGCTGGTTTGACTAGTGACTGGGAAGATCAGATCAATCTTTGCGCTGCCCATCCCGGCGACCAAAGATGCCTGCCCGAGTTCATGGACCCACTCCAGCCTGGTCGTGTCTTGGGAGGGTATGATAACGTTGACAACATCACCCAAGCGAAAGCAATGTTTACTACATGGGTTGTCAACAACGATCAGCCTGGAACAGAGGGAGAGGCCAGAGCTGAAGAATGGGAACGTGCTCTTAAGCATGAACTGCTTATTTACCAAGAAGCTGCGAGATCTCGAGGCCTCCGACTATCTTTCAATACTGAAATTAGTCTGGAGGAGGAACTGAACAAATCAACAAATACAGATGCCAAAATTGTGGCCATCAGCTATGTTGTCATGTTCATCTACGCCTCTCTTTCTTTAGGATCAGCCAGTCTGTCACTCAAGTCTCTTCTCGGCAATCCTTCCAATGCTTTGGTTCAATCCAAGTTTACCCTAGGCGTGGTTGGTATTGTCATCGTCCTGATGTCCGTCTCTGGCTCGGTTGGCTTGTTCTCCGCAGTGGGTGTGAAGGTCACATTGATCATTGCGGAGGTCATTCCATTCTTGGTGCTCGCGGTCGGCGTGGACAACATCTTCCTCATTGTTCACGAGTTTGAACGAGTCAATGTCAGTCATCCAGATGAGGAGATCGATCAGCGTGTCGCAAAGGCACTTGGCAGAATGGGCCCCAGCATCCTCCTCTCGGCATCGACAGAAACCATAGCCTTCGCTATGGGTGCATTTGTTGGCATGCCGGCTGTCAAAAACTTCGCCGTGTATGCCGCAGGGGCAGTGTTCCTGAATGCATGTTTACAAGTGACAATGTTTGTCTCCATTCTGGCGCTCAATCAACGACGAGTGGAGAGTCTCAGGGCTGATTGCTTCCCTTGCATCACCGTACGCGGTGCCAACTCCGTCAGCATGCCTGGAGGGCATTTCTTCGGATCTGATGAAGAGGGCTGGCTGCAGAAGTTCATTCGCAAGTCATATGCCCCGACACTACTCGACAAGAAGGTCAAGACCTTTGTGGTGGCGTTCTTCGTGAGTATCTTTGCCGCCGCCATTGCGCTTCTACCGGGGATTCAACTCGGGCTAGACCAGCGTATTGCACTGCCCAGCGACAGCTACATGATTCCGTACTTTAATGACATGTACGCTTATTTTGGGTCCGGTCCACCTGTGTACTTTGTCACGCGAAATGTTAATCTCACGGAGCGAGCACATCAGCGGCAAGTCTGCGGACGCTTCACGACTTGTAATGAATACAGTCTGGAGTATATTCTCGAACAGGAATCGAAACGACCAGAAGTCAGTTACATCAACTCCGCAACGGCCAGCTGGGTGGATGACTTCTTCTACTGGCTCAACCCTATCAGTGATTGCTGTAAAGATGACAAAGGAAACACGTGCTTCAACGAAGGAGAGTGGAACATTACACTCTCTGGCATGCCGGTGGGTGAAGAGTTTATCAACTTCGCAAATAAATGGATCCGTGCACCAACAGACGAGGAGTGCCCCAACGGTGGCCAAGCTGCGTACTCAACTGCGGTGGTCATTGACGAAGAGAATGTGGATATTCCGGCCAGTCACTTCCGGACGTTCCACACCCCGCTCAAAGGACAGAAGGACTTCATTGAGAGCTATGCCGCAGCAAAACGCATCGCATCAGAAGTGAGCGACAAGAATGAAGGGATTGATGTGTTTGCGTACAGCAAGCATTATATCTTTTTCGACATGTACAGCAGCATTGTACGACTGACGGCGACTCTGGTCGGGGTTGCGATTCTGATCATCTTTGTCCTCAGCTCGAGTCTACTTGGCAGTATCGCAACAGGCGCAGTGGTGAGTGCCAGTGTGGTCATGATCGTCGTGGATGTGATGGGTGTCATGGCCATTGCGGGCGTCAGTCTCAATGCTGTCAGTCTGGTGAACTTGGTGATTTGCGTGGGCATCGGCGTCGAGTTTTGCGCACACATCGCCCGGGCGTTCATGTTCCCCAGCAAGAGCGTCATGGAGCGAGCCCGGCACAAGTTCCGTGGTCGCGACGTGAGAGCGTGGACTGCCCTGGTCAACGTGGGTGGCAGTGTGTTTAGTGGGATTGGAGTCACCAAGTTTCTGGGTGTCGTGGTGTTAGCATTCACGCGGAGTAAGATCTTTGAGGTCTATTACTTTCGTGTGTGGTTGGCTCTGGTTGTGTTGGCGAGTGCACATGCCCTGGTGTGGTTGCCTGTTGCTTTGAGCTTTCTAGGAGGTGATGGTAAGTCTCTTTTTTGTTTTGTTTTTTGTCCTGCTGTCTTGCAAGACATGATTATCTGTCTGTGTTTGACCCCCGACAAATTGCGAACTTTGACTGACCATGATTGTGTGACTTTAGGATACATCGATCCAGAGAGCGAAGGAGGATTGGAGGAGGACCTTGCGAGTAGAAGGTATAGAAGCCTTTTGCCGGATGACGATTATGACTCGGATGAAGAGTATTGAGCAGTTTTTAGCTCCCTCCTGAATGCAGGGTACATTGGAAGAGTCACCCAGCATCAGGATGGTGGTAGACTATCTAGTAACATTGTCATTGTGGTGTGGCATTTCAGATGGAAGATGGTTCAGGTGTATGAGTGTGTAGGGAAAAAGGGGAAGGACAGAGAATACCTTACTCTATATACAAAGAAAGACCAGATAAACAATAACCACATATTACAAAACTTGAAATCGTGAATTATAAAACAAAATTTGAAGGAATCGTGAAACAGTGTTTCTATGTCTGTTTCATCGCTGATCATAGGTACCTTAGGTACCTTGTACAGTGTACGGGATAGGGTGTATGGTGTATGGTATACCTTTCATGGCTCATCATACTTTCTTGTCTCTCAACACATGACTACCTACCTAGGGATCAAAGAATGACTCTCTGGTAGAAATCATACCTACTGTATATACTAGGTACTGTATACGTGCTCTCTTTTGGACATTGTCGACACCCAAATCAAACCACGTCTACCAAGTCGAGACTATCTCTTTCCTCGGTACACACGCCTCTTTGAGAACTTGCTTCATGAAAGGTTCGGTTCCAACCAGCCAACTCGCTCAATCATCGTCCCCCAGCTCAAGAATTGTCGTCGTCATGGTGGAATCCGGAGGCAATTGATTTCTCGACGGTGTCCCAAGTCTACTGCTGTTTTCATCATCGTCATCGTCATCATCGTCATCAGCGCCACCGAGACGCCGGCCACCACGGACACCAGAAAGTCTCTCCGCCTTGAATTGTTTCCTGCCCTCTGTGGTCGAAGGGATCACGGGGCTAGATCCAAGACCGACTGGTCTACGGTGGGTGCCTTGTACGTCGAGTCCGTTTTCGTCTTCATCATCGTCAACATCACTCGTCGCCGTCTCCTCTCGGTTCTTCTTGGCCGCGAGCGCTAGGAGTCTCTGGACGCGTCGTTTCAGGACCAGGTTCGGTTCAAGGTCGTCTCTGGTGAGGGGGACATTGCACTCGGGACACTTGACGGTGCGAGTTTGCATTTCCCGCTCGCGCCGCGACCGTTCCGAGCGGTGGGTGATCTGGCTCAGCTCGTGCAGCTGGTCGGAACTCAGGGGCGCGTGGTCGCGCGAGGTCCGGAGCATGCCCAAGATGGCTTCCCTTTCGTACGAGTGTTTGCATTTTTGTGACGTGACGGGGTCCTGGAATGGGAGGAGCGTGATCGGACACTTGATTCGGGTGGTTTCGCGGGCGATTTCGACGTCGCTCTCGTCGGAGGACTCGTCACCATCGCCACCGCCGCCACCGCCGCGCCGAGGCCGTTGCGACAACAGAATGTCGCGGCCTTCTTCGGCGGCGAACCAGAGACCCGGGTCGGGCATGGGCGGCTGCTCTTCACCCGGGTGCAGGGCGTCGTAGAGCATGCGTCTGAAGCCCGCGTAAAAGTTGTGGTGTGCGTATTTCTCGGTAGGGGTCTTGCTGGACCACTCTCGGTGTTGTTTCTGGAGGGCCTCGGACAACAAAACGTGCGGTGTGTCGGCTGGACGAGGGGCAGCGGGTTGGGATCTTGTCGAGTTTCGGGTTGTCGTTCGTGATGGACGACCTCCTTCGTCATCCTCATCGTCATTTTCGTCGTCCTCGTCGTCGTCGTCGTCGGGAATGGTGCGTCGTGTAGGAGAGAGCGGTGTGGGATTGTATGATTGTTGGGTCTGTGTAGATGATGGTCCATCGGCCTTTCCTGCGGCCTCTTTGATCGCGTTGGGTAGATCTTCCAACCAGATTTGATGGTCGACTATCGCGCGGATGCTCATGTCCATTTTATTCGTGAGCGTCTCTACCTTGGCTTGGAATTCTTCAAAGTCCCGCTCCGCATCATCGTGACCTTCATCGTTTGCGTCCCGTCTCTTCCGGTGTTTGTCATGTTTAATGCGTCGGTCGTAGCCTATCTCGTTCAATTGGTCGACCGTCTGGGCGAGATGCTCCGAGGCATCTTTGAGATATTTGGCGAGTTTTGTGGTCAGGGTCTTGTCTTTGGCTAGGGCTTGAAGAGATGCAACGGCATCCTCGTTCAGAGGGGCACTCAACGGCTGTGGTTGAATTGCACTGGTCGCCATATTTATGTGAGTGGTTATAGCATAGGCAGGTAGAGGCCCACACAGGGCTCTGGAGTATCTAGTTGTCGTAAGTGTCGTTCATGCCTCTATCGCAGTGTTCGGTTGCCTCGTCACTGTGGTCGAGACGCGTCGTTGGCTGCGCGTGCAAATTAGTTCAAGAAGGGAAATCTAGCCGGGCATCGAAAAGGACTTGTCAGACGACTGACTCAATGTGAAGAATTCTGTGTGGAAGCAGAAAATTCCGATTGTCAGACTATCAAGGTTAGTTCGCACTCGTCTCCAGGCAAACTAGACTACATTTCCTTCCACGTAGGGCAAGGAAGAATTGGTTCGCAGACAATACTCTCATAGTTTCTACACGGGTCTCTACTCGATTCGATGAATCGTCTGCCATCGACGTACAGCGCCTCCGAATAATGTCCCAAAAGCAGATCCTGAAGAGATGATATGCATGAGTCCAAGGTAGATCCACTCCAACGACCTGAAACCGTAGCCAGGTATATTCAAGGCTTGTGAAGCAGGAAGCTGAGTTGACTATTCGCTTCGCCATGGTATAAGTACTACGGTCGACTTCTTCAACTGGTGTTGTGTGCTTCGTGAACTCTTCAACTCCTCGAATGCGCAGCCTTGCGCTAAATATCAAAACGCATGCTTGGCAAGCAGCATTCATTTCTCAACCTCCTCAGTTTCATCACCTTCCACTTCCACTATTTTGTATTGGACTCAACTCAATCATTGTCTCGTGTATCGCTGAGCCCCTTTGATGTCTAACAAACCGTCGATTGTCACTTGAACCAGCAATTTCGATGACTATGGCGGTCTTCCCAATGCCAACCACCTTCAAGTCGGAAAATCTCGACCCGGGTTCAAGTGGTATCAATTTTTGCCCGCACCCAAACAAGTCCTTGAAGGCGGCCAGCACTTTCATAGATGATATCGAGAACATGGTCATCTCTGGTCTCGCAGAGGGGCCCAAATATGTTGGCAGCACGATCCGTAACCAACATTCTGCTCACTCTCACTTGGCCAGTCAGCCTTACCTGGTAATATCAAAGCCACCACTCACTTACTCCTTTCCCTTCTCCTCTCCTTCTTTTCCTTCAGACATACCATACCCGGTCTGCTTTCCTCTTGCCATGCAACGTGTATTGCTAAGCACCAAGCTATGAAAATCATATCATGATCCAGACGTGGCTCTTCGGAATTTAAAGTCAACCGCTGCCGATCATTTCCCATCACTCGTGCTGACCATAGCACTTCATTTCATCTTGGGTACTGTGTCGACTTGCACTTCACGTTCATTACCGACATTCATCTGTCTTACGGATCTGTCCACTCCACAGAGGACATCCGACTTCGCGCTCTAGTCTGTTCGTTCGCAGCAATTTGTTTACTCCTGCAACTGATCTGCTGTCACCAGCAGCCCGGCCTGCTTCAGATACCTTGCCAATATCCAAAGCATTGTTTCATGTGATCTTTGTGCAACGATGCCGAGTTTTCTCAACTGGTACAGAGCGGCGATGGGCGCGAACATCTCAAAAAGCGATGAGGACGCTATCATTGTGAACAATGATGTTGAAGTCGTCAGTTCCTCGAGCTCATCTTCGCAAACAGATCTCACATCTGTACAAGAACTTCAGGCATCGACGTCTTCAGTGCCGCCGACACCTTCAATTGAGTCCGCACATCCATGTCACCGTCTCCCTCCAGTGGAGAGTAGGGAAGCAGTTCGAAACCAAGCCTCTTACATTCGTTATTGGCAGGCGGTAGATGGCGAAGGCGATCTATACGAGTCTGGACCCGTTGATCAGTGGTGCGCAACCCAGTCAGTCGACCAAGATGACAGCAATGAAGATTTGTCGCCGAATCGACTTAGTACACCTACACAAGCACTGCAAAATAACTCTTCTGAGAACACTACAGTCAAGCAGAGCACCTCACCGCCGAACAGCCGAGGATTGTCACCCTGGATCGGACGGTCTCAACGAACCTGTCGTCTGATTGTCACCGAAAAGGCTATCGAAATTGCGCTGTATCGGTCGAACTCTTCTGATGATCATTTCCGACCGGCTGGGTATCAAACATCCTCGGCTTATGAACAGGATGATACATTCAAGGAAGGGGCTGGGTGGTCTTTCAGAATACTAGAGGAGACAAAGAACATTCACAGGTTGACGCAACACCAGTCACACGGTTTGTCTGTTAAGTGCGCTAGTACCGGCTCTGTTATTGAAGCTGTAAGTTCTCATCCTCTTTTCTATCTACATTCATATTGTCATGCATACTGACATTCTACATTTTATCCGATTCAAGGCCTCAGGTACCACTTGTGTTGAAGATGGCTTTCCACCCAATGATTTGTGCCAGGAGAACTTCTCGTTGTATCAGGACGAAGACTTCGATAACAACGAACAGCTCAACGAGAAGGGTATTGACCAAACATTGCCTGACAAGTCATCGGAACTTGAGGAAGACGAAAAGTTGATCAGAAACTTAACGCTTGTGCAGCCTGAAAATATCGTCCTATTCGAAGCAATTCGAGCTTTTGATCAAATCCCCTCGAGACTTGACGACGAACCTGAGGATGAGAATCTAAAAGCAGCTCGACAGTGGATGCTGCGGGATCAAGCAGAAGGTGCCCAACGAAGTAGGGTGCTACGCGAAAAAGCACTACGGCGTCGAAATCTTTGTGAATCGACCCCTAGTCCCCCTTTTCTCGAAGTTGAATCGCATTCTCCTTCTCACGAGAGTATGTCGAGGTATCCATCTCCCAAGGATGACACTGATAATGCTCTAGGCGTCTCTAAGAAAGAGGTAGAAGTGGATGATATCGCCGACATACGCCTGCTTCCTACTTCTGATAAGCAAGTACTCTGTGAGGAGAATTCTTCTCGTGACTTAAACAAGATATACTCTTCCCGGCCGATGTCAGGATTTGATCTACTGGCTATCAAACGTGGTACTGAGTTGAATATCCAAACCCCGAGCAGAATAGACAGAGGAGAATCCGAGCCTAAAGTGTCGATCTCTGTAAAAAAGGGTCCGGATATTACCTTGCCGGCAAATTTTGATGCGTATGGCGAAGAAGAACAAAATATCGTCGTGAACCATGAGACTGCTAAGGAGAGGAAAAGAGACCTGGATGCTATCGAAAGAGCAATATACTGGATGGGATATTTGCGTTGTTGTGGACCTTTCAATGAGAAAGATCGAAACGATATCAATCAACTTCGCAAGTTTATCAGTCTCGTCGTCGACAATTGTGAGGGTAACAGGCTTACACGAAGGCGAGTCCAAGATATTCGGGACAAGATGAAGCGACGAGCGGGAAAATTTAAAGCCCCGGCTCCTGGAGAGATTACGGGCTGGCAAACAAGATTATTCCCTGGAAGACTTGACCGTTTGAAAGAAGAAATGGGAAAGGCCGACGAACAAGTCCAACAATTTGGTGCACTTCGCCTTAATAAGACGGTAAAGAGGAAACACGGGGATAGGAAACACAGAAAGAAAAAGGCCCACTTCATCGATTCTGCAGCGACACAACAGACAAAAGTACCCAAGGCCGACCAGATTCGTGAGAGACTAAAGGAGCAACTGAAACTCTTTGAAGACACTGAAGTGCCAGAGATAACCGATTTGCCCGAGCAGACAGAGTTTGTCGATTATCACCAAAGTGATAGCGATGAGAGCGAAGAGGATGAAGGTGCTCAATTCGTCTATGGCGCAGGTCGAGATACTGCAAGCTCCAGCTTCAACACTACAGCAGGATTACCATATACTCGTCAGAGTCAAGAATATTCCCAAGATATACTTGAGATCAGCAGGTTAGAGAATGCCCGGCAGGCAAATAGTCGACAGCAAGGCACTCAGCCTATGGCAACAGCAGTGGCAGCGGCAGGAGTAAAAGGTCAAGCTTTCGATGGTGAGTTGCTCAAAAGAATGCAAGCGAAGAGAGCTCTTCAGGATCTGGGGATCGATCTTACTGTTATCAAGGCCACCACAGAGGTCCAAGAAGCGATCGATTTTGTATCTGAGACCTCGGACTCATCCGACGATGACGATATTGAAGAAGATCAATGGGTTTTCCAGTACACGGTTTTGGGCAGTTTCGCCGGAATACCTAGCTTCAGAGACGGAGACGACTACGTGTTCAAAAAGACATTCGATCCTTTATCAGCCGAGATCCGATTGAAACAAGTTATTCAGGATGTCAGTACTCAGTACGTACCTCAGGGAGGATACGAAGGGGGTAACTGGTCTCTGAACACAAGCTACCGCCATGGTTTGATTGAACAGCATTTTACAATTGGCGAGGACGCCGATGTGGAAGCTCGGTTATGGATCGAGAAGGAACAAGTTGAGGTTGACAAGAAGCTATTTCGACGGGCCAAGGCTAGAAGATTTGGATCTCAGAACATTCATTATACCGTGGAATGGGAAAAGATTGTATCGCCTGTTGTCGATGAGACCGATGGTGATACTGTTGATACAGGCGCCACCACCTCGGCAGGAAATGAAAGTGTCGTCGCAAAAAAAGACGAGGACGACCTCGACAGTTTGTTCGGGGACAACTCATCAACCACACCACCACAACAACAAGGGGATGGTGTATCTACGTCTACCCCATCGCGGCGCTTTGACGTTGTCACGACTGCGATGCCTCGAGAAGACCTGAGGACGTACACTACTCCCGTACTAGCGAATCGACATGCCAAAGATTACTACATGGCCTGGTACGCGACTTTCTTCCCAGGCGTGGCAAACGAGGGGTACAGAAGAATGGAAGACGAGGCCGTCGAGGACGAGCTGGAGAGTATGGGAGCCTGGGGGTTGTGGAGTAGAGAGGAGAGCTTCACACGTCGCGCACGCCGAGATGAAGATGAAGATGAAGATGATGAAGACGAGATGGGAGACCAGAAAGTCCAAGAGAAGTTCAAGGTTTGGGTGAGGAAGGTTGAGGTTCTAGGACCACGCAATTGAGTTATCAGTACTCTCTTTCTTTTGACAAGAGTCCAGAAAACTCGATTGACAAAAGGAAGCAATTGGTAAGAATGTTGGGAAGATACAG